CCCCCCCCCCCCCCCCCCGCCCGCCTTTCCTCTAATAAACCCAGCAAGTCTCCCCCTCGCCTCCTCCTCCCTCTCCGGATCCCCCGCCGCCCGCGCAATCCTCAAATACTCCCCCCTATCCCCCCCCCCTCCCCAATCACCACCACCCACCCGCCATACCTGAACAACAACGCATTCGCAACCATCGTACACATCCGCCCATTCCCATCGTTAAACGGATGCACCATCACGAAATCCTGACATATATCCGCCGCGAGGTAACACGGGTCAATCTGCTTTCCCTGCGCGATGGCGCGCATGTCGTCGTTGAACCCCGACACTAGTTTCGCCATTTCTGTAGGGACGTTGGCGGGTGCGGTGAAGATTGTTGAACCGGCTGCGACTGTGGTGTTGCGGTATACGCCCGCGTAGTTGGTGTCGGAGTCGCCGTTTTCGAGAGGGACGCCGGTGCATAATATTTTGTGTGTCGCGCGGAATAGTTCTTCGCTCAGGAACTTCTCACAGGTGACTAATTCGTGAAATAAAAAGTTCATTGCTATTGCTTTGGCGTGTTGGATTACCTCTCTTCTAGCACGCACCACATCCTTGAATTCTGGATTCTCGACGCCGCGTTTAATGAGAAGCTTGACCTGCGCGATGTATTCTGGTGATTGGGGATTTATGTCTTTGGCTGTGACTTCGCGGCCTGAGAATATCTGAGTGCAGATTTTGGTTGTTTCGGAGAGGTTTAGGCCCGCGTTCTCGACGGCGTTGGAGCCGTAGATGGCGCGGGTCATGCATTCTTGTGTGAAGGCGCTGGAGGGTTTGAATTGTGGGAGTGAAGAGCTTTGGTGGGGGGGTTGAGGGGGGAGGTGCGAAGTGAGATGGTCCCGTTGGATGGGATGGATTTGTTGGGGATTTAAGGGTGTTCATTCTGGATGGTGGGAGATGCGGTGTTGTGGAATTTGGATTTAGAAAGATAGACTGTAAAGTGAAGTCAGAAGGATGAGAGGTCTTGGTGGAGAGATATGTTCTGTGACGGGTAGACTAAACCAGTCTGTCGTAGGTAGTCAACCGACCGGTCTAGAACGGTGTCTTAGAAGATAACGAAGATGAAAGTAGAGTTTCCACTCTGTGGGGCTGAAGAGAAAGCAAGATATGGCGTCATTCATTTTCATCTTCTCACAAGCATAGAAACTTCGAAAATTCTGCCATCACAACGAGACGACTTGGCGATTGATTGACCTGCTTAAAAGAGTCTGAGGAAATCATTCGAAAGCAGATTGAGTCAGCAACTGGTGAATTTATGAGTTCAGTTGTGTGTGTTTGAACGAAGTAAAAGTGCATGTGTGCTGAATTGGGCTCGGTGATGTGTCTAACCTAGAATCTGTAGAAAATTATGATGCATCTTCAATGGTTAAGTGTTTTCTAATTATATGAAGCTATATTAAGTTTTTTCTCAATTGTTTGGATAATTACTTCGTCCGACTGTGTCAAACATGATTTTATATGAGCTACATGTAGCAGAGCGTCCAAGACTGATGTCATTGAACTATGTCTTTTCTATCGGAATCCTCTGACCATCAAAGTCATCTTCCGTTCGGTCTATGACACCATGAACATTTTCCCAAACATATTCTTTCTCATCTTCCCACAACCCCTCTTTCAACACCAGATAATATTTCACATTAGCACTCTCTGCTTCCCAAGTCCTGCCGTCCTCCGACAGAATCGCGGTCACCTTCTCAGAAAAAAAGAGAGTCCCAAGGACATCCTCGTATGGTCTGAAAAGTCGTTTATGCTCCTCTTGAAGATCGACAAACCTGGTAGATGTTTCTCTTAGCCAGTAGTCTTTGGCAGAACTGTCGGCGGGGACGACGTGCTTGAATTTGCCTCCAGGGAATGGTTGGTAGTCTTTGAGTTTCTCCGTGTTTGATGAATGAGTGAACGTTTGGACGGTCTTTTTGAGGTTGCTGATCTGGCTCTCGATTCCTCGCGGTTGCGAGGCTTCTTGCTGACGCTCGGGAAATGGCTCCAAGTCCGTTAGCCAAGCTGGTGTCGGAGGTGTTTGATATTTTTCGTCGCTTCGTCTGAATATTTTCGAAAGCATTTTGGTGTTTTGCAGGCCAAGTTATTAAAGTGTAGAATGAGAGGTGTAGGGCTATTTATACTTGTGTCGTGAGCACAGATAAAATTCATGTTTGCTTTGTTGGTTCTGTGACTCCGGCTGTTGGTTTAATTTACGGATTTGTCTGTGAATGGACCGAGTTCTTACTGTTGAGACAAAGGAAAGTTTCGGCGACAGGATTTGCTGAATGAGCGAAAAGATTCCAATCACGGATCGCATACTTTATCATAAGACATCTCTCAAGGCTGATGTATTCACTTCTCAAGTATCAATTGACTCACAACGTAAAATCCAAGTACCTCACGGGATCTGAAGCAATGTTTTCTCATATTTGGCCAATGATTATATAGACTAATGGAGTATTCATTTCTCACACTTGATCAATGTTATGTTGATTGATGTAGTATTCATTTTGATGAAGGACTATAGTCCTACGCCTGCATCTTATTTCATACTCAAGCACAATAATGCTTTTGCTCACCAAACGACTCCTTCACTTCGTTTTCCACGCGTGGTGTTTCAACACTATGCGACCACACAGCCTTCTCCACCAACTTCCCATCTTTGTCTTTAATGTACAGCTCAAATTCCCTGCTGGCGGTTTGTGCATCCCATTCGTTTACAGCATAATGCCTACCGGCGAAAACTCGCTCCTCGATTGTCAAATATCCAAAAATATCTGCGTACTTTCCAAGAGATGCCTTGAGCTTGCCTTGAATTTGAGATAATTGTACATGTTCTCTCCTGTACCACACCTCGAAGCGATCGCGGTTCTGCAAAAAGCTTTCGTCGGGATAGTATTGTTTCAAGGCTTCGGGGTCGTATGTGAGGAGGGTTTCGATTGTTGTCTTGAGGGCGTTGATGCGTTGAGATCTTGCCGGGTCATTGGTAGATCCTGATTCTGGGGACGGGGGCGGCATCTTGGGCAATATTTTTCCTTTGCTTTAGGTCTTCTGGAACTTGTGTTGTTGATTCTGGATTGTGCTGAATTGAACTTGATTTGAGGAAATGGTAGACCTGTACCCAGGAAGAAGGAGGTTAGGCTCGACCCTTTAAAGAGTTGAACCTTCTTTGTCTGGCCATTCATAGCTATTTCAATTTGGTGAATCGTTGGACGCAAGCGTCAATTATCGAGTCATTGGTTGTTCTTTGTAAAGAATCGATAAAGAAAACATATTCTCATTCGATATGATTAACAGTGTTAACAACAGTTAGCAACTGTTAACCGCCGACTACTGAGTCATGGGTCGTTATTTGCGAAGAATCCATAAAGAAAATATATTATCAATCGATGAGAGGTCCATGTACCAAACATGTTGTTAACAGTGTTGGCAACAATTAACAGCGGTTAACGGGGGGGGTTTCACGATTCCTCAAACCAACGTCAAGATTGGCGGTTACTTAGCGTTAGTTAAAGAGACTGTGAAACCGACGGCCGTTTGCCTTTGCGTTAAGTACAGTTTAGTCAACCGCGACTTATTGAGGATATACTTTTTGTTATGTCTCGGGCCGAATAAAACCCGAGTCTTGGAAGAAGCCGGCCCAAGTCCGCCGAGCTGGATTAAGGCAGAGGATCGCTTTTGATTAAAGATTTTCCTTAAAAGAAAAGGGGTTACCGCCTAAAATACTGCCACTTTCCTACCAGATTCGTTAAAACAACACCAAAAGAACCAGGAAAAGTAGTCTTGTTTTTTATATGGATCAGCCCGCAAACCGTACAAAACCGAGGTTCAAACCTCTCAAACCGCACCGAGGCTAAGGTGCTCAAACCGACGAAGGTTAACCCGCTTGGCGTTAGTTATATACGGTTTCAACTGCTGCCAACACTGGTTGTTAATGAAAGATATGTTGTTGTTGAATGGAATAAATTGAATACACCCAAAACATATTTACATAACAATACTAACATAATTCATAAGTCATAAATCTAAACATCTTCCTTGCCCGAAATGACATTTTCCACTCGGCTCTCCGATTTCTTCTCCTGATAGATTTTCTTAGGATCTCCGCTTGAGAGTATCTTTGAAGCGGCGACAATAGCCAGTGGATTGTTGTTGTCTCGGAAAACTGCATCGATCTGCTCCAAACTCTGACCCATAGTTTCGGGGTAGAAGAAGTATACCGAAAGCGGAATACAGAAACTGATAACGCAGAACAGGATGAAGTAGTAATTGCCGATGTTGGCGATAGCGACTGGGGTAGCCATAACAACAACGAAGTTCCTGTAAAGCTATTAGCAGTGTTTCGAAAACGGAAATTAAATATGGGTTCATACCAAAGCCAATGGTTGGCGGTCGAAATAGCCGACATACTAACACGCAGCTTGACTGGAGCCACCTCGGCGCAGTACAAGAAGTTTGCACCTAAGAAACCAATTGGAACGAAGAAGTTGTACTAATGGCTTCCTGTTAGTTTCCGTCAAATTTATGAGTAAGGATATACGTACCATGAACACGAAAAAGACACTTGCAACACCCGCACTTTTGTTGCTGTTTGGGAACGAGGTTGAGATGGCTAGGGCAAGCATACAAGATCCCATACTATATTCAAATTAGCAATGGCAATGATTCTGGCGGATTTGTCTTTCTTACCCTACACCACTGAACATGAATAGAGGTCGTCGGCCAAAACGATCAATTGTGAAGAAAGCCACAAATGAAGAGAGGAATTTCCATGTTAAGGTCCCTCCCGACAAAATTCTCGAAGTCTGACCATCAAGCCCGAGGTTTTGTTGGAAAATGACTGGTGCATATACGGAAATTAGATTGCTTCCAGACATCTGTTGATAAAACTGCAAGAGAATGCAGAGACAGAACCGGTAGAATAGCTTCTCTGGTCCCATGGTAAACATGTCTTTCATGCTGGCCTTTTTCACAGTAGTCTCTTCTAGGGTATATTGAATACCATCAATCTCAGCATTGATCACAGGATCATCCTCTGGGAGATCTTTTAGTTTCGATAGAATGGAACGGGCTTCCTCAACACGCCCCATTTGAATAAGCCCTATCTCGAAGTCAGCTGAATTGAATGACACTAGACACAACAAAAACTTACAACGAGGGGACTCGGGCATCGTGAAGATACAAGCCATCAGCATGATCGATAATGCGATTGGAAGAGCCAACGGAAATCTCCACGAAGCGGAAATGTTAGGTCCAGATTTAATTTGCGATGCTCCAAGGTTGACCCATGACTCAAGGGTGTATCCGAATCTGTAATAGATTAGAAATCGAGTTCTACATCTTCCAATTACAAAAAAGCTTACGTCATAAATAAACCATCTAGAACGACATGCTTTCCTCGGTGGGCAGCTGAACTGCATTCAGCTTGCCATACAGGCACAGTGGCGCTCAGAATTCCAACACCAAGTCCGATTATTGTGCGACCGACGATGAATTGAGCAAGACCGTAAGAAGAAGTGCAAAGAACTTCTCCAACAAGTGACAGAGCACCTCCCAAAAAGATGTTCTTACGACGACCGAGGAAATTACCGATGTACATGCAAGCCAAAGCACCAACTAAGGCTCCTAGGACGAATGTCGCAACAACCAAGCCCTGCAAGGTCGCATTATCACTCTTCTCGGATCCTGTGGTGTTCGTGGTATCAATCTCTGGGAAAGTCTTTGTCCAGTCAGGAAGCTACCAAAGAATCAGTTTGTGCTCGTGTTTCTGCCGTCCATCGGATCTGACTGACCGAGAGAAGTCCACCAACACCAGCTTGATTATAGCCGAATAAAACAAAAGCAGGAGCGACCACAAGAGCGATTTGAGCTACAGAGAGCTTGCTTCCACGTAGAAGTGCCATCGTGAAGGAATTCAGAGTTATTCGGGAGAATTGCTTGATTTTGCGAAATCAATTGAGCCTGGTGTGGCCTTTAAGCAAAATTCAACACCTCAAGCTAGAACCATGTCCCCACATCGTGTTGCATCATAAATGGAACAAGTATGGAGAATTAGATAGCTTTGGCAGATAAGGTCCACTCTGGGGCCCCCCAAAGGGTTTCTCTGTGCAATGCTGTTACGAAAGCTGCCACCGTCCGGCGGTGCTTCCCCACGTTGAACCATTTCGCCTCCCTTTTGAGGTAATTTCCATGAGAAAGGTCTCAAAAAAGGTACAAGTGATGTTTTTTGAGGCTCAATTGCAGCCACGGAGCTTGGTCCAGTCAAGCTTTCGGGCAAGTACTAGGCGACCGCTGTCGAATTTTTCTTGGGATCTTCTGAGCAAACTCTTGTGTTCAGAAACCTTGGCGACGATCCACCAATGCCGTACTCTACACCCTGGATGTCCGGCAGAGCGTGGACTTCTTCAGAGTCCACTTAGAGTCGGTCCGTCTGCTTCGTAAACTGGGAAAAGTTAGAGAACAGACAACCGATGAGTATCAAGCGTTCTCCACGGGGTTCTCTCCATGGAGAGGTTTTTCTAAACTAGGACCAAAGTCTCGGGATGTTTCTGTTGAGTAAGGTTGCCGAATTATACCCAGGATGTACAAAGGAGGGTATGCGAAATTGACTGGGCCAACGACATTACCAGACACTACGAGAGGGGGTAAGCGAGTCAGGGTGTTAGCCGACCGGCGGAGCGTTTGTTACAGAGACCGAAAGAACATTCTTTTCGGCCATCCAGAACGAACACTTAAAGGCAAAGGAAGCCCAAGTTCTAAGATCCAGCCATTTCGTTGTCTGTAACACCATGGAATGGTCAGATAGTTGGCAAAATTTGGCATTTTCAGATGGGCTACTTCAATACGTATCAACTCTGAGAACAACGAAATTACGCGACTAGCATCACATTGTCAAAACGAAGAGTTTGGACTGGTTCGGTTGTTGGAGAATGCACTACATTTGTGGTTAAACTGCCTCGTGGCGGATTCGACAAGATAAGTGGCATTGACCTACCAACTAAAATCTCAACTTTATTTACGTGGCTCCAGGAGAATTCTGAATCTGGATAGGCTCACGTGAAAGACCCCAAGAAACATGCAATCATTGTCTCAAGTCAATTGATCAAAACTCGCACTTCGAGTGCGACATTTTGTTTGCCAACAACGATGTTGTCGGGGAACCGAGAAACCTACTTGGATAGGCCACAGTCACAACTTATAAAAGGATGAAAGTTATTCGTTTGTTCTACACACGAGTAAACAGGCACCAAGAGAGAGCCATTTCAAGGTTGAAGTGATGGCGCAGCATTCACGGCTAGCTGCAGGGTCGTTGCTAGTCAAGCGAAGGGAGCAATTATGTCCATGTGGACGGTCTGCCAGCGACCTCTCGATATCGTGGTGTTGTAGGACAACATCCCGCAACATCACAACGTCTGGTCAAAAGCTTGATTTGCGAAGACTTGTCGTAATGTTATTTGAAACTACCTCATGACTCTACTTGCCTGGAAATTTTCAAGAAGACCAAGAGCTTCTTCGTCGCAAATGGCGCATATTCAATTCTGATGTCAGAGTTTTTCATCCATATTAATCGTCTTTGCACTTCTGGGTCACTCAAGGATGTGGTTTCCAAATACTCATGAGCTGGTACAAGATTCTACTAGAACTGACGATTCACAAAACTGTAGTGAGGCTGCTCGAGGCGTACAACATCATCGGGGAACCCCACAGTGCAGGATAAAAAATGGGTTGCAAGTCTACCAGAGTAGAGCTGCTCATTACGAAATGCTACAAAAGGCTGGCACACACGCACCGACAGCTCTTTCGTCCCATCTGCCCAATTCCGAGGTCATTCAATACAAGTAAAGGCAATGATTCTGGTAGGTCTCCATGCCTCAATACTGTTTCAATTTTACTTGTATCCATACACTCTTGAATGTTATGGCTATGAAATCCATCCATACATTGACTAGAGTTTCAGTCCAAAATCGAACTGATTCCTATTTCCTTAGCAGTTCAGAGTTTCAAAATGATGAATGCTGCCGCTCGACTTGAACGTCATCAAACAACCACTCTGTCAACCCTTTCTTCTACGGCCACGACTCCTGAGGCTTTTTCGAGTATGCCACCAGCGTCTTCTTCGCATCAGCATCTAAATAATTTTCGAACCATTCGGCCATCGGTTTACCCTGCTCCTTGAGAAGGTAATCTTGGCGAATAACAATATGAGTTTGACCTGACACATACACACTCTGGGAAATTAGGAACACGTCCTTTCTCCAGCTAAACCTTTTCTTTTCGATGTCAACTTTAAGGCCATCGCTCTAACTCACTTTTCGCTTGTCAATACGCAGACTGTCTAGTTCTGTTGATTCGCCGTTTTTGATTATTTCTGCCACGGTTGGTGTGTTCTGGCTCTTAATGGTAGCAAGATCCATGCTGAAATTTGAAGTTTTGGTTTTCAAGATGTGTTTATGGAGATATGAAAGAGGTAAAATACAATGCCAATCTAGCTGATACATTGAGTTCCAAGAAGAGTGTCTTATATACCCGCATTTAATGACTTGAATGACCCCCTACTTTAGCACTCACTCTAATATCAAGCATTTGGCAGCGTCATATGAAGTGATTGATGACTCAGATTAATACCAGGAATTTCTCAAAAGCATCCATCGTCCAATTGGTAACGCAAAATGAGGTGTATAAAATTGTGGTTCGCAGTGTCTTCAATTTGAGCAAACCTGAGCTCATCTATCAAATCTATCAAATGGGTGCCGTAGGTTCTTGGACAAATATATAAAAGGTTCAATACGGGTTTTATCTCTGGGGTCATTGGGCGTTTTGTGGCTTTTTAAGGAAACTTCAAGCCAGTATGACTACAATAAGTTACGGATAACGAACTATGGCGGAAATTTCATCCACGTTGAAATTTTTGCTAGATGCTCCAAGTTGATGCGTTGCGAATTGTACTTATGCTACATTCTCAGTATCCACTAGATATGACCATCCATATTACAGATCTACCACTCTCCACCAACATCATTCCTAGTCCTCTCGTTAATCGCTCTCTGATCCTCATCAGCGCCCAACGCGACACCTTTGAGATATTTTCTAAACGCTCCCGCCATCTCACAAACGTTATGGAAATCTTCTTCTTCTAATCTAGCTTTGTCTCCAGGTTCTTTATCCGTCTGCTTCAAGAATCTATATTCGGCAAGCGCAACTGCGGTTTGGAAAGCTGTGGGTATATATTAGCCATCAAGTTTAGAGGGTCGATGAGAGCGAGAGCTTACCATTCCTGATCTCGCGACCATTCCATTGGATATGCAGCATTTCTTTATCCTCGAGAACAAATTTCCGAGCGCCTCGAGAGATGGAAATATCCCGACTGCGTTCGTCCTCAAGCTTTTTGAAAAACTGCTTCCAGATATCGTTGCGGTCTCGGTCGCTGAATTTGGGGTAGTGGATGACAACATGGATTCGAGACACGAATGCATCGTCGAAATGACCGACACGATTGGTCGTGAGAAAAAGGATCCCGCGGTAGTATTCCATGGTTCGAAGAAAAACTAGAAAATTCTTAGTTCATGTTTTAAGTTGATTTCATACGGGATAACTTACCTGATACCAAACTATTCCGCTGCAGATCAGAGAGCTGTCGCTTCTCAAGGTACACATCAGCTTCGTCGATTAACATGACAGCCCCCCAAATCTCAGCGAGTCGGAACCATTTCGACAGTTGATCTTCCATTTGCAATTCATTCGTGCCGATATCACCACAGGTCAGTGCTAATAATGGTCTGGAAGTAGCTTCCGCGATACACTCTGCGGTCTAACAAATATTAGTCCTCGTTGTCCCGGAATTACTGATCCATGAGCCTACATAAGTTTTACCAACTCCCGGACTGCCATGAAGCAAGAATATCTGTCCCTCGCCCTTATTGGCAATGAAGTCCGCTGTCCAAGGACTACTTCCTTTTCCAGAAGTATCATCAGGATTAGTGTAGCGATTTACAAGCGCTTTGATCATGGTTAATCGATGTTCTGGCATGACCAGGTTGTCGATAGCTTTGTTGTTAATCTTGGGAATTTCGCAGCACTCTACATCGAGTGCCTCTATAATACGATACTGTTAGCGTAACTGTGCAAAACTTCAGAAGGACATTCAGGTTCACATACCCCATTTTCTAGTCTTCAAAACGAACCCGATCAACTTTCTTGAGCATAACAAATATCGATGCTTATCAATCTTTCCAGAGGCATCAACAATATCTAAGCTGTCTATCTTTTTCGGATCTAAATCATCGTACTCTGCATACTTAAACTTTGGGTTCTGTCGTCTATGCGGATTGGCGTGGCAGTCATCGCAATTACAAAGTGCGAAGTCTTCTGAGTCCTCAATCATACCAACATTTGGCTTTTCGTATTTTTCTTTGAAATTGAGCTCTTTCAAACTTGGTCTCGATCCAGGTGGCGGGGGTGGAGGTGGATAGTCGAGGTAATCTCTGTTTTGCTCATTGTGGTAATATGATGCTGTATCAATCATCACTCTGCCCTCATACTGGAAACGCGTCAGTTTTTTAATGCAATTCATCGTTTTAGGGAATTGAAATTACCCATCTGCACTCTGCCCCAAATGAGTCTCCTTTGTAATGCATTTGTCTTGGAGTAAGTAATTTATACCACTTCTCACCTCTCGCTTCGAGCATTTTCCGCAGCTCTCCACCATCTTCGGCGTCGAAATTCGCTGCGGGGAATACATTGAGCGACGTGACTTCTCTTTCTCCATCGAACGGAAAGACAGTAGTAAAATGCTTGCGCCTTCCAACATATCTTCCATCAAAGTCAAGGTACCATAATTGCAAGTGATAAGCGCCGGCGTTTTTGAAAATTGCTGGCGTAAAACGAACATGAGAGACAACACATGCGGCCAATCTCCCGCTAATTTCAGTATAAACTGTGACACCTGGCTTCAACACCATCCAAAGCATTGGATAAGTAACGACTGATGGCGAGCGAAGATGCCGCAGGCGCTCGTCGGCTATCTCCTTTTTGTGACTACCATCAAGAAAATCTCGGAGAACTTGAATGTGCTCATATGTAGTCTTGTCACACACTTCTTCCTCAACAAGACACCCGGTTGGAGCCTCATTTCCCTGCTCATTATCCTTATATGTGGCTTGATAGGCTACCAGTTGGTCTAGGTGATGAATGATGATACTGTATGGCTCGGTAACTGTGATTGAGTTGCCCATGACACTCGTCTCTGGCCAGTAAGTAATAAAACGTCGCAATGCTTTGATTATCGGCCGAGAGTGGATGGTGATCATGTCCCCTTTCACTTCAACATCGTTGACTCCATAGTTATGCGCTTGAGGACCCATATATGGCGATATTGGCCCTCTTCGATGGTCATTTATTCCAGGCACATCTGTCTGTAAAAGGGTGATAATAGTGAGAATGGTGTTTGCAGAATAATCAGCACTTTTGCCACGAGCCTCTTCGAGATTGAAAGGGCCAGGCCAAACATCTGTGCGCAGAACCCCTCCAGATTGATCAAGATATCTGATTTTATACTCGAATTGAGGATCCTTTTCTGTATTTTCCTTCTTTGTGTTCGAGATAAGTGGTGGCGGAAGCATCCAAGGCGGAGGAGACAGAGGACGAATACCGTAATAGCCATCCTCAGGTGACGGTGGCTGTTCGTAGTGTTTTTTATTAGGAGAATCGAGTTCCTTTGGCCGCTTCAATTTATCGCCACAGGCCGGGCAAACATATATACTCCAGTCCATCAAAGCGATATGGTTCCGTCGGCTAACCTTGCACCACAAGTGTGGATGATTCTTGACATCGGATGCTGGCTGTTCGCTTGAAGGTTTTGGATCCTTTGAATCGTTAACCGCTCCATCTGGATCTACCTTCTCATCCGAGCTGGGTGTCCTCAACGGTTCATCACTACTTGCCGGCGAAGGTCCTGTCGTTAAGGATGTGAGCGATTCTTTAATTTTACTACCGATTTCAGATGCTGGCCGATTGACCTGAACCTCAGTAGGCGAGCTACTATCCACGGTATCTGTCATGGTGTTTGATCTTGAAGCACTTTGCATCTTCAAAGTGAATTTAGGTGTAGGTTCCCCAGCGACAGATAGAGTAACGGCCAGCAGCCTAGCAATCGACTTCCCAATTACAGTACACTTCGAGCTTTGATGCCGCCAAGTTTCTCGTGCTTGCAAAAGAATAAAGGCGCGTTATTTACTTGGAATGGTTGTTAAATAACGTATTTTTCGTCGATCGTATTGGCTGAATGTTGTGTTTCAGGTGCACCTTATCTTGCTTACCGTGAGGTTTTGGGGGGCTCTCACAGCTCAATCTTGCAAAAGGTTGGTACTGGTTTCGTTAGACACGTCAAGGCGCGTTCGGTGTGACCTACTCACTATAACCTAGATTCAAAGAGCTGTCCAGTTTGTTGATAGGAAATTTTGATGGAAGAGAAAGGGAAACACTCACGGTCACGAAATCGTCTGCTCCTGGAAATAGCCCGATCATGGTTGTCCGCCCCGCTTTGCTGCTGCAATGCGGCGCAGATTCTTTGGGGGCCATCCACGCCAATTGTCCACCTTTCATATTCAGCCTCGACCACACCCATTTGCACAAATTATCCCCAAGTGAGCCTGGCGTAATCAAGTCAACAAATCATCAGTGAAGGATCATCAGATTCGCGTACAATCCTGCTTCCTCGCCTCAGCCTTTCGAACCGTCCCGCTTCGTCCGGCACACTCTTTTGCAAGGCAGCTCGCGAAGACACCTCATTAACAGCTACAGAATCTCGCAGTAATCTGGTTAAGGTTAAAAAAGACTGACATTTATAAACTCAGATAGATGCTCTCTAGAGTTGCTACTTCTTCGACGTACTCGTCGCGGCAAATAACCGAGTGCACGGTAAAGTCGCTTCTGCCTTTTGCTGCGACTCGGACTACACGTTTTCCATAATTATTCAATGCCCAAGATGACGAAGTTGGTGCGAAAAGATGAAGCAACTCGAATCGTAAGACAATTTAGCTGGGATGCCGTCGAGGAACTACCTGAAAACCCATGTATTCAAGCCGTAAACTCGTTCGAGCAAGAAACAACAGCAATCGAGCGAGCCGAAGCGAACAAGGTGCAAGAGTGGCAAAAATGGCTTCGTTTTGACGGGGTAGAGCCGTAAGCCAACATATATCTGTTCATTATCGCCCGGTTTGACTGACATTAACAAGCGACGACGAGTACGTGGAACTGGAAAAGGAATGCAAGAATATGGCAGAAGTATGGGAAGACTTCAAATCACGCTTGCCTGAATCAGACCGACATTTGGACGCCTATTCTGGACTTCCAAATCTCTCTGCTGTTAGGAAATCAGTATCAATTGCAAGTGCTGAATGGGAAGGTAAAAAAGAGAAAGGGTTTGGCAAAGCAAAGCACAATTTTACGAGCTTTTGTGAGCGACTCGATGCTCATTCTCAACTTTTCAAGATCTTTCCCGAGGGCGACAAATACACTTCGTTGTTTACGGGTGTTTTATCATCCATCGTTCTAGTTTCTGTCCGTCATAACGAGATCGCTGAAGGCTTTTCCCTTGCTTTGGCGCAGATAAGTTCAGACTTGAAATTCTCGCAGCGTCAAAACCAGATTTTCACAAACCCCAACATGAAACGCCTGGTTATGTTGCTTTATATTAAGTACTTTCAATTTTTGTGTCATGCCATGAAGTGGTACTCATCATCCAAAATGCGGTTCCGAAAGGCTTTCAACCAGAAATTTTACGACGACGAGGTCGCGAAGAAAGTTGACAAGATTAAGAGTATTGTGCAGGAAATTGTTCAGGAAGCGAGATTAGAAACCCAGCAAACGGTTGTTGCCACGCTGGAAACTAGTACCGCCATGTACGATTATGTGCAAAACGTACCGACGAGAGCGGACATGCAGATGCTGGGCGAGCAGTTATCGAGGCGAATGGGAGGAATGGAAAGGAATTTTCAAGTTGCGGATGAGAATAAAAACATGGTGGAGAGAGAATTGTTGGAAAAGGTTGATTATATTTATACGATGTTGGGAGCCTTCGCCAAACAGAGTTTGGTGGCTAGTGGTGAAAGTCATTTGATTGAAAGAGAGCAGGAAATGATGGCACTTCCTTGGAGAAAATCACCATCCCCAGCCGCACTGGGCGATAACCCCATCATGCGCATCAAAGAGGCAATATCTCATGATAGCCTACGACCTGGAAGCAGCGAACTTATAGGCAGCACAGGTGAGACCGGCTCCATGCAAGAGGTATTGATCGCTGATTCGAAAGAACATCCAAAATACACCCGTCGCCAACTAGAGCTAGACTCACGCCTACTTCAAAAATACATCAATGCATCAGGAATAAGCGCAGGTTTTACGGATAATGGCATATCAAACCTTCATGTAGCAGGAGAAATCGTCACTCGACTACAAGCATGGATATCCGGCGCAACCTCCCAGACACTGTGGGTCATAGGCTTGACATCTTTTCCAGCCGAAACAACGAATGCAGCATCTTACATCGTAACAATCGCAACCAAAGGCAACATTCCTTGCGTCTCATACTTCTGCAAATTCGAAAAAAACGAGTTCTTAAAGAGAGAGGATTCGAACGGCGTAAAAGTGGATGGTCTCATATCCCTGCTTTATTCACTGATACGACAACTGATTATGCTTACACCGCCTACAATAGATGAACCGTATGACTGTTATGCTGACCTTCCGTTACTCGATGGTTCAGAAAAAAGCATACCGCAAGCACTCAAGCTCATCAAACTTCTAATGACTCAAGTTCCTCGGTTGTTACTTTTGGTGCTCGACGGCCTGCAAATACTAGATCAAGGGAGCACCACCTCATATATTAGCCAGCTTGTTGATATTCTGCAAGGGAATGAAGATGGACGAGTGAGAAAGGTCTTGTTCACTACAAGCGGAATATTTATGAGTGGGATGAAAGTGAAATTCAAGGATCGCTTGGATTGTGAGACACTTCCTCGGAAGCTGCCAGGGAAGAGTCGGCCGGGAGTGAGATCTCTGGGTGTGATTCATACTCCACCTGGAAGGGACTGAGCGATAGCTCTATTGAACTTCATCCTACTCAAAGATTTATCTGTGAAAACAATGATGTATGTAAGCCATGGATCGGTAAGCTCAATCGCAAAGTTATAGTGTACTAACACTCACAATTTCTGTAGACCGAATCAAACCCATGTAATAATCGTGAATGAACATTAGATGTTTCTTCTCATCAATCTGCCTATATCAACTACGGGACTTGCCTCATTACCCTCTGTCGAAACCATTACAGGAAAACCCACAGAAACCATGCCAAATCTACCATACAACCAACTCCTCGCTTGTCTCTCCCTCGATCACAGTCCTATGTCGCTCGAAGAAATTGTTGCAGTCCAAGCACTCTATGATCTGTATCTAGCTGAATCCCTCCAATCTCACAAACTAGGACGACCATCAACTACACGAATTCCCATAATGTCTGTATTCAAAAAGAGCCAATCAGTCAATACCATGTCATGTAAAGAGAAAGCAGCAGAAGAGCTGGCTAAAGAGGATCTTGAATACTGGAGGCAGGTAAGAGATAAGTCAGAGGTCCAATATGCAAAAGCATTCAAGGAGAGGGAGGAATCACGTGTCGCGTTCGAGAAAGCGAGACGGGAGCTTGAGAGAATCGGTGGTGGGAAGACTGTTTCAACGTGAGTGTACAAATAAGGTGATACTCAGTGCAAGAGGATATAGAGGATTGGCGGACTAAGATGAGCTGAGATTGAGCTTCTCCAGAGTGCATAGTAGATCGAAGCACCTCCAGAGATGCCGACATAATTAGGAAGGCTTTTAACATGAGTCGCTTTGAGTGAGTGCTGTGTCTTTTAATTGGGGAAAATGAACCAGGGATTAGTGAAGTCACGTAGTGCCGTGCGAAAGAATGATGACGTCATTATCTACTCTACGTCTACCATAATGAATGTTGAAACACTTTTTCGAAGACTTCTATCTGACCGGATTGATCAATAGCTTGATTCCACGGTTTAAAGTCAGACTGTGTTTTGGTTCAGTGCAAATGACCTTAAGGTGAGCCCCTGAAATATCTCGCTTAATCACTCCGTCCTTCCCTCCCTTTCCGCTGGCCAAAGTAAGTGGTGCTAAAAACACAGAATTTCTTAATTGCATTCAACGCAATGAAGCATCCGATGTGGATGTGCTGGGCAACTTCCACGCATGGAATCTCGCCTGTTGCATGGGAAGCTTCAGTCTTGACACTTGCTTTCCTCGCAGCGGGGCTTCCACTTCAGGCTGAGCAGAATTGCTATAGACAAACAGTATTTCAAGTGGATTCAGATGCCCTGACCCAAAACTCATGATATTCGGAAGTGAATGTGGGAATGAGCACTATGGCACGATACAGTCATAACTCTAAGGCGGTATTTGAGAAAGCCAACAGCGTTTCTCACGTGGTATTTATCACCCGATTATACTCTATATTTTCTATTTGCATTCCCATTTAAATAGGAACTTGATAATCTACTTATACAATTTAAGGAAATCTCATGTTTCTGTTATTACCCAATGAAGTTACCTTGAAACCAATTTCCAACCACTTCTCGCATACCAGTAACATTTTCTTAACCCACCAAATGACTCTGATAATTAGTAAAGAAAGACACTTATACCATAACCCTCCCTGAACCCGACACCGCTAATTCACTCAGAACTCCAACGCACTCACTTAGCCCTTCCCTTCCCCTTGCCCTTCCCATTCCCGTTCCCTGTATCGTTATCCTGCACCGGCCTTGGAGGCGGTGGCATTGTTCGTGTATCGGCTTCAGCTGCCTTTTCGTCGGCAGCACGCTTCTCCTTACGACTCGCATTATCTCGCTTTATTTTTGCATCCACAAGTATAGCCTTGGGATCATCTATCGCTAGCCTGTTCTGCAACTCCCTCTCGCTTTGGGCTCTGTTGTCGTAGTCTTCCGCCCACTCTCTAAGTTCATATTCTTGTGTCATATGCTCCGGATTATCTTCAAGCAACCGCTTCGTGGACTGTTCCTTAAGTTTACTAGATTTTAGCTCCTTCCCCCCTGGAGGTCGTTGATTTGGAATGATGTCTACAGGAGCGGCTGAGTTGAGAGTTCCCATATCGTGGTAGACAGTGTCGTGAATTTTTTCTTCGATAGGTTCTGCGTCACTTGCCAGGCTCCTGCTACTCTCTCTACGATTGTTGGAGAGCGGGTGAACCATAAGACTTGAACTACCTTCGCCCCTGGTGTTGTTGTTGTGTCCGCTCTCCTGGTTCCTTCCGACTTCAAAGCTGCGATTTAAATTTCCAGTAAAACGTTGTTGGTTGTTTTTAGTTTCTGAATCAGCTTTGGTTGCAAGGCTGCGATTGAACTTTCCATCAAAGCGTTGTTGATAGGTGTTTTGATCAGACATTGTCGTGCCACTCTTTGTTGTCAAGGACATTACAGTGGAATTATGCAGGATTAACGGCTTTTAGTGCCTATCAGGTCAGGGTCGTAGAATAAACTTTTCTACGCTTACTTTGCTGGAATATTCAGCTAATTCATAGGAAGTAAAGAGAGAACTACGAAGGGAGAGGGGCAGGGGGTTTTTTATAGTTTTCGAACTCAAGGCATATGATTAAAATACGCAGCGCAACTCCAATGAGTAACGAAGAGCAAAGTAATTATAACTAAATCAAAGCGAAGATCATTCTTACACCATAGACTTATGGGATCCTGCTCATTGAAAGAGTCTTTGAAGGTTGGGTGCACGATTGTTATCAACATATTCATGACTACATTGACGATGTGCCAGTCAGTCGGTATTTACAGACCGCAACTTTCCAATCACTCTATATATTTCGCAAATCTATCGCAATAAGGTTCAGAATCAGTGTAAGTATACCAGTCAACCAAATCTAATATTTGTGATATCTTCATCGATATTATCCTATGACTAATTGATAAATATTCATCGATCGTTAACTACATGTGTCCAGCCCGTTCGTCAACATATTATGTTCGTGAATAGGCTATCTACTCTCTTTATTCGTTTATGAACAGAAAATATTTGACTCACCCTATTCATAAAAAGGGTACGATCTACCTGTGGGGTACCTATCTACGAATAGGGTCGCTATTCATCAACAGGTCTAGCTTAGTACCCCTTTCATAAACAGGAATTCCGGAGCTTTATAAATAAGTAACCAAAAAGGAAACCTAAAAAGCCTAAAAGGATATTGTATAAGGGGCTCTTGTATTCTAGAAACTAAAGAAAATTACAACTATTTTTGTAGCTATGGTTGTTATAATTAAGCTATTTATAAAAAGTATACTAGTTTATACAAGCTACATTATTGGCCTGTTTATAAATAGGATATCTAAAAGTGACTTTGCTCACAACTAGTGCGTGTTGATTAATGGGGTAGAACACATGTTTTATGTGCCTACCGTGACAAAACCGATAGTCTATAAAGAAATATGATCATGAAAAAGTCCTTCCTAAATACGACTCCGCTAATTACCCACATTAACCTGAAAATACAGGCCAGTCGCCTCCCCTTCCCCTTCCCGTTATCCTACATTGGTCTTGGAGGCGGTGGCATGTCTCCTGGCTTTGCTTTGGTCTCAGAAATTGCACCCTCGTCGGCGGTACTCGCTCCGGCATTCGTTCGATTATTCGTGTTAAGTATATCCTTTTCTGCCATCACACCTGCAGTCATAGAATTACGAGCCTTTAGCTTTTTCTGCACACGATTTTCGCTTTGGCTCTTGACTTCACAGCTAAAAGCCCGCTCTCTGAGTCCTGGATCTTGTATCATATGCTCTGGATTTTCCTGTTTCGAAAGCTTCTCTGCTTTTTTTTGAAATTCTGCAAACGATGGGATCATTCCTCCTGGCCTTCTTTGATTCTGTTGGATATTCGAAGGAGGGGCTGAGTTGAGTTTGTCCATACCATGTCCAGCGCCAAACTGGTCGTCGATGTCTGGGTACAATGTGGCACTGGAACTGCTCTCTCCCCTAGGATTATTTGCTGCTTCTCGTACGGGATCATAGGGAAGTCTAGGTTGGCCTTGGTTCGACATTGCTGAAGTATTCTCAAAGATTACTTAGTGTTATACAGGTGTGATTCTTGTCTATAACAGTTTGATTGAAGGTTACTTGAAGAGTGAAAAGGAAAGAGAGAATGGTGGAGAGACAAGACCTTTTTATAGTTTTCTCAGCGAGAGGTGTATGACTGAAATGGTCAGTGGCACTCAAAACATCGTGGAATTTATTGATGATAAGATGCTTCAATAACCAGATTCTCTAAGGAATTCATGAGAATCAACATAAAGCATGAGTCGAGAGGAACAATTACATTTGGAATACAGAATATACTACCTTTCAGCTTTAGATGAGTCTTGAAAGAGCACTTGTGTCACCAGAGTAACGTTAATGAAAATTGCATGATTAATATCGTATCCCTGCTTTGATTCTCGAATGCGTTGATGATGAGATGTTTTGATGATTAGCGAAATAAATGAACCGAATGAGTAAAGAGAAGTATTTTTTACTCATAAGTCACAAACTTGTGGCCTTTGACTGGGTTTCAAAGGGGATATTCATAAATTTGGGAACATCAATGTGATCTGCAGTCAGTTCAGGCTCTCTTTCAATTGTGAATGTGTTTTAGAACTGATGAATAGCCTCCAACTTAAAACTTGGGAATAATACCTCATGATAAAATGAAATATGAATAATCTTATCTGACACGAGCAATCGGATTTGTATTCTGACGGTTTGCGGATCTTTGCAATGAAAATGTCATAAATACTCGAAAATGTCAGATTTAGGAAGTACAATTTCTGTATTATGGCTGATTAACATCATTTATCTTATGGGAACTCTACTCAATGTCTGGAAATACTACCCCTTTCCCTGTCCTCACAATACATTCCTCAAGATGAGTTTTGCAACAAAGTGTCCTGAGTTAAATCTTGCCTCCATCCATAAGCATAAAATCTCCATACGATATCTCTCGATCTCAACATGACCCCTTCCTTCATCCAACATTTTTTATTCCACGAGCCTTCGTTCATATCACTTTCCCACTCCACCATGGCCTCCTTCTTCCTTCTCCTTCTCGACCCTGTCCTCCACAGTAATCAACCTCCCCTCGCAGCCTTACTCCGTCTAAACTCCTTCTCAGCCCTCGCATTACACCCAGTCCCTTCAGAAATACGCGCGATCTCTTGGACGATCTTCAGTCTTCTGGCTGGACCTTGTAGCATGTGCGGTGGATTCGAGAAGCTGGCAGCAACCAGTGCCGCTCGTTGATATTCTTTTGGCGGGCGAGCGAGAGTGTGCCTCTGATTATGGAGAAGTTCCTCGGAGTTAACAGACCTGTTTAGGTTATCTAAGCCTTGGCCAGCCCCGAATGGATCGTCAGTTTGAGCGGTGTTTGTACTGCTATCTCCGCTGCTGGTGCCGTTTCTGTCGCTGGGCTCCTCTTGGAGATCTGAGGGGTTCTGGTCGGACATCGTTGCAGCACTTCTCAGTTTGACCTTGAAGTTACACACGTGGTGGATTTTTAGGTGCTTGTGCTACTCGGTCTTCTTCAATTCACTCACCAAAACGTACTCAAGTTGAATTGAATTGAGGGTAAATATTCACGCTGACCCAACTTTTTTTTTCAATTCATTGATACAAGAGAGCAAGTACTGACGTGCTGAGCTGCAGCCATTATATAAATCTAATAACAATTACTCAGAGAGCCTAAAAGAGTCATGAATTCTTCAAACTTCGCCTGGATCGAGTTGACTTGGAAGTTCCAGTAATTACTCAAAGTTCTTGAGCAATTCATGAGTTCTCTTAACTTAAATCAAACAAAGACGGGTGATTGGTCTTACTGGAGCTTGGCTCAGTAGTCGCGTCCACACACATGTGCTTCCATAGCAGGTCGAATACACTACTATCTCTACCATATTTGAGGCTAGATTGAGGTGAACTAACCTTAAATTAAAAGTATCTGGGGCTGCACATCGTCGCTTGTGACCTGGCTGTTTAATAAACTGGAGGTTTATTAGTATGGATGGATGACGATCGATGAGACCAATCTTTCAAAGATCCCGCCCGCGTAAAGTGCTTAGGGAGCTTCTCACAATATTTTGCGTAGGTATAATAAAAGCATAGTCTTGACATCTTGGATACATGGAGTTTGATATAGGTGATGCCGCGGCCGAAAATGTTCCCTATCCGATTGAATTATAGTTGATCATAAGTAGCGCTAGAGGTCGGGTGTTTCAGTGGAGGAAGAAAACTGCTTTCGCACGCCAAAATCAAATTTGCTGTGTTGCGTACGCTATGCTACGGCCTTCTTCGATTCTTGTTAGTGTCAAAACAACGGCAGATTTTGATCTGCGAGCCGATGAGCGTAAAGATTGAATTACAGACGGCATTTTCCATGGCTACACGGAGATTGTTTTAGCTCAAAGGCTTCGACCGTGGAGTTACTGATAATACGGCTGTGGTGAGGATGGGAATATGGTTACTCTTGGCATACCCGATACGCTGCTCGCAGAAGAAGATGCAAATATCGAACCTTTATGGAATTCACGAGACTGTGCGAGCCAAAAGATAATTCTGTCCACTTGTCATTAGTCACGAAAGGTCGCGACTATTTGACAACAGTAGGCTTGAGGCTGTCTGGCCTACACCCTGTTCGTTGCTTTCACTTGCAATAAGTCTAAAGCAACAAGAATTGTGAAGTTTTGGAGTAATCAGTTGCTTAATTAAATGCAGCACTTTTGTCACCAGTCTTGTTTAGTCAAGTCCACTGTCTCGCACATGATGTTGAATCATAATCCCCTGAGTCCTCCTTCACCGACATTGTCAACTCATGTCAATAATTCTTCCCACCTGTATACCCCACGGCAATAGTCCCACCAGAAAGCTAACTGCTCAAGAACAGATGTATGTTGAACATACATAATCAACATTATTCTGGCATTCTGTAATTCCTTCGAAACAACTGACGTGTTTTTTGACTGGATCGCAGTGTCCAATGTTGACACCATTCCCACCCGCAATGTAAATGATCCACTGATCCCCTTGCTTGTAAACATTAAGGTCCTTGTCCGTACGACAGAAGCCGGCCTTAACTAAGTAGAATGGGTGGTTAGCAAGAGTTCTCAGGGTAAATATTGATACTTATGCTTCGATATGTCATCCCTATCACTTGGGTAGCTGAAATCTGATACAAGTTGGATAATTTGAGAGATGGGTGCCGTCAAAAATTCCAAGCGGCTACCGTAATTGCTCGACTTACTTTGAAAGAAATTGTGCTCATCCAAATATTCATTAAGAACCGTCCATCCTTTGACACCGTTTCCACCCATAATGGTACCGCAGTCTAAATGATGGGTATCAACAGCCTTTACTTGCTGCCAAGAACAGCCATTTGGTCCCCCAGGCGTTCCACACTCCACTGCACATTCCATTGAGACGATATCGAAGTCAGCGTGAACGACCAAACTTAGGAGTGCAAAGGTAATGGCGAAGAGGGGTATAAGTTGAGGAAACATTGCTGTGACTGTTGTGTTCGTGTGACGGGGGTGGTAAGAGGTGTTCAAGATGGGTTGAAAGCCAAGAACGCCTGAATGAGGAAGGCACTTTCACTCTTAAGTAGAGCTACAACGTGCTATTGTCTCATGCTAGTCAGGATTTCTTGGACGGTCTTGTAATCAACAGAGAAATCGGTGTAGAAGCGGAAACGTAATGCCTGCAAACTGAGACCAATAATAAGCCAGAAAACCCAGAACTTGCAGTTGATTATAGATGGATGCACATATCGCCCTATATAGGTTCCAATCGACTCGTATTTGAAATAGGTAGACAAGGCAGTCGTGATATTTTAAAGCAGACTTTGGATTTCTTGGTAAAAATTGTGTATTTCATTAATCCAACTATGAAAATTTAACGTCTTCCTCTATCCAAAAGCCGTAACCAAATTTAAAATCGCTCGAAGATCTATATAGGGGTGTTTGAGTACTATTTCGTGGGCCATAGCGTCATATAGAATAGTTATGTTCGGAAGACTAGTGTCGGAGATAATGCATTTATAAGGATCCCGATCGTGACCTTGATTTGGTTAGCAAGCGGGTCGGAATTAAGACGAGCATATCTTACAGTATTGTCTCGGTACATGCGGATCTTCTATTTCAAAACATTTGGGGTGTTGATCTTCAAATCGATGAGTTGGCTCGCGTTGAACAAAATGTGTGGCAGTCGAACCACAAAGTTTCCAAGGTTAGTCGGTGGTTCTGACTAATCGGAAGCCTTTGAAGTCTTGTTTGGGATTCTGCCGAAACCGAAAGCCTGTATCCGGCAGTAAACGGTATATATATGTGTTGTCGCATATCTCGGTCAACTCAAGGCTAGTTCCCAAGAGCCAAAGCGAAATTACTAGCTTCTATCTTCGGTTATTGATTTTCGGACACCATTGAAGAAGTAGCCATGATGGCTCGCAAGAGTCTGTGTTACTTGGCTTGCTCTCAGCTTTCAGAACTGTACGATCACTATGTATCTCGGGAATTTCGTGAGAAACGACGGTTAACTCAGCAAGATGGCCATAATGAATCCAGCCTTGCATGTCCGATGTCTTTGCTGATCTACGAGGGAGTGGTGGTAATATAGGCGGAAGTGACTCGAGTCCAATTGCTTTGACTCGTTCCAATGTCTTCATTGTGATCTCATCCGATGGGTTGAGCATGCTGTGGGCTTCTTTGAACAAAAGAAGCATAACTCGAAGGGTGAAATTAGCATCATTCCCGGCAACGTGGCACCCTTCTAGAATAAGACCCAGCTTTCTTGCAACATTGTTTAGGCGAAGTGAAGTTGCACCTGAACGTTTACTTTGTTTTGTTGGCTCGCCAAAGATTGCCTGTGCCACCAGGACAGTATCAATATAACCGATTATTGAAGTCTGAAAATCGAAACCGAGAGATCGTAAGACGTGACAGTCATTGCCGAGCCCATGACCAATTAAGACGATTTTGCGAGACCGATCAAGGAGTTTCTCCATGGAAGTCATAAGATCGGCAAGCTGATTGAGCCAGATTGTCTTGCCAAACAAAAATCTCCTATCGACCTTTTTCTTGCAGGATGGAGACCGCCCGATCGCGAAGTTGTGTGTTGATAGAACTGCTTTCGATGGAATTGAGGCAATATCCCACGAATCGAATATTGACATCCCACCCTGGGCAAACACTTTTCCGTTTGTCAAATCCCCTGACCTAGCAGAAGACTTTATTTCCTCGCCGTTCTCAAAGTCGAAACAAACAAATAAGGCATCCTTATATTGGTTCTCAACAGTATTATCGGAAATGTCGCCAGCACGGTCGAGGCTTACTACCAACAAGAATCAGCATAAGTGTAAGTGCAATCTTGTGATGATTGTCGAAAAAGAATAACAAGGGGTTACAATAAATTCAACATATGGGCTGCGACGTTCTAGAGGCAAATGGCTCCGATGAACGATTATTTCAAGTGTAGAGTGTTTAAAAACAGCCCGAAGAAAGTTGACTAAACAATTTTATAGATACAGTGATGAGTGCCCCAGTTTCAGTTGTAGAAACAATCATCTGGGGCCTGCTAAGATGTCCCCAACAATGATTAATTTCTTCGAGATTGACCTTCGAGGCGAGCGTTTCGTATACTCTACTGGAGCAGTAAATGTAGCTTAGGCTACATTGCAAGCTCGAAGAAAAGTTTCTTAGGGAACTTATAGATATATGCCGTTTCCCCCATAACATAACGTTAATCAAGCGTAGCAAAAGACCATTATGACAAACCAGAAGACAGAGGTAATGTTCTAGATAGAAGACTTACACGCTGCACTGAGGAGATCAACAAATGCCGAAGGGGAGTTGAACCTCTTCTTTGGATCCATCGTGGACACTCCAGTTCGATAACCAAATATGGGAAGGCTTTTCCGACAATTCTGATGTAACAAGGTTGATCATAGAGGGTTCTTTCCGGTGCCGTATGTATGAGGCTGCGTCGACGAGTGGTACACTATGTTATCCAAGAAGTGGTGAAGCGCGTACGGTAGCTGAGACCAAATTGCGAAATGTCGAGAGTGATTTGAACGAATGTTTAGGTGGAAGAATGTCGAGGGACACCCAAAGTCTGGGATGATAATATGTAGAAGGTGTTCAAAATTTTCTGCAGGGCTCGCTCTGAAGTCATTTGAACCAGCTGTAATAACAGTCTGATTTAGTCAAGTGGAGTGATGGGAGCCACCGTTGACTAAAGGCGCTATGAATGACGGGAGCCAGGAGTTATGACAGCATCGCCGTCATAATTTCATTCTATTTGACATGAAAGACCATATTGCCATTTCCCACAGATGAGAGGCGTCCCTATGTTGCATACGCCTGGACGTCTTGGATGCGATACAACCTGAATTCTTCAGCGTACCTCGGGTGCAGATAGGCACTGCAGACCTCAACGCACGTGACAAGGCCCCCTCATGAACAAAACCGGCATATATGTAGAGATAGGTCCTATCTGCGCCAACGAGCAACGAATAACTTCAGTCTGGATGGTGCAGTGGTATCATACTGAAGGGGTATACATGGCCAAATTAGCGAGAGCGTTGATTTATTTGTTTGTTGTTGAGTTGTCGATTTATATTATTAACAGGCATATGTACCCCTTCAGAGACGGGTGGTTCGATTCCCCCTCCAGACAAACATGGAACAATTCTTTTTTTGCCAATTTGAACTGTGTCTCCTCCGGTTCGTCTCTGGCAAGCCCTGGAGAGTCCTCTGCTCGCTACTGCTTGCAACGGAAGGAAGCTCTGCTGGTACGTATCGTGCCTGCTTCTTTTGGCTCAGCAAGTACCCCGCAACCCAAACATGTGTACGCAACTCCCGAGCTCGACCATTACTGAGAGAACAACGTGTTCAGTGAGTAATTTGCGCTTGTTCGTTGTCACGCAGCCAGTGCCAAAGTCGAACAGAAATGTTCGATTTGTTGTATGCGCGGCCAAGCTCAACTCGCAGCAAAGCGACTTCTCCAGGAGGCATCACTCGAAGAACCTGTAGCAGATACGGCTGCTTCGCTTCCTTGCAAAGAACGTGAAAGTCGAAGAAAGGCGCTCGGGTGGCTCGATTCGGGGGCAGCACGCCGCCTTGAAACATTTCAACCTTTCCGGAAGGTTTCGCTGGCCGATTTTTAGCAGATGCGACTGTTTCCTTGCAGAGTAAATTCGAAGGAAAGTACCCGATCAACTGACGGGTTCTGGCTTCTCCTTTGACAAATTGAGACTCTTGCTGACGAAGGTTCATCCAGCTTCATAGTGAATTCACGAAAGTGAGAACCAAAGAGTCAGATGTCTTAAGGCATTTGGCAGACGAGAATAACGACGAAGATCTCAAACATCAGAATCATCGATTCTTGTCCCTTCCAGTCATCCTCAAAATCCACCTAGAATTCGCTGTTCATCACTCTCCCCATATCTTCGAAGCCCATCCTTGTGACGCCACAATAAGAAACAACGAGCTCGGGCAATGGTCTGTCCTCCGCAGTAACCACCCTACATCAAAGTAGCTGGTCATCGTTCCAACGAGGGATGCATTTTATGCTACTACCACGAGTGGAAAAATCGTCCGGATTGATACTGCAAACATCCAGCAGAAGTCTTAAGCCACTGGACCAGACAACTGAATCAACGGCGTACCCTTCCAGCAGATTCGGGCGTTGAAGGGGTGCTAATTATCCTTACTGCATGGATTTGGTGAACAACCCATCCTGGGCTCGGTCGTAGGGGGCACTCAAAAGTTACAAATGCAACAGAAACTGGTACAAGTGAGAACCCTAATGAATGTCAATACAGATTGTGGAGAGATTCAAATTGAGAGTGCGATTTTGTCTCCAATTCATTTTCTTTCAGTCTTCTGTCCAGACTCTTATCCATGACACCCATTTCCAAAGCCTAGGAAGCGCATATTCATTCTGAAAAATGTGACTGCATTATGTAATGATTATAGATCTCGTTTCAGGATATCGACAAGCAATCATCTTCGAAAAGTCTCGCTGGCGCGGATGCGCCGCAAGGACGTTGTGAACTCGTGATGATGGCTGAGGACGGATGAGAAGGACATGAGAACTTGGCATGCAGACGATGGCTAGCGGTTGGCGCTAGGCAAAGAGTTTGGGTTCGAGTAGAAGGGTGAGAAGCAAAGTTGAAGTAGACAAGACACTTCGAGGTGAGGTTCCAGGAAGTTGTTTCGAGCCTTGAAATTGTTTGTGCTTAGTCATCACTCTCCCCCGCATGAATCCGGTCGACGGCAGATAGTCATGAAATAAACATATCAATAGCAATCACTCGTTTTAATATCCGCTCATGAACTTTACAACTTTCCATAATCTTACTTCACCAGCTTTTTAATATTATTGTACTGGCTGATCTACCTCTAACCAGAAACCTTTCCCGCTCATAATCGGCTCATTCGGCACATTCATCGCTCCATCAAGTCGGGAATAATAAAAAAAAGAATTCATAAATCATATCCTCAAAAGAGATTTTGCTTCATTACAGATTCCACGTTATTCAGCTCATACCCTATCCAATCCAAACCCCATTAACCTCCACATTTTACTTCCAATCTCTCCCTTCTATATCACACACCTCACAAGCTCACCCAATAACACCAGCATCCTTAACTCCCGCCCTCGCACCCTCCAATCTTAGCTCCGTAGCTTCCAAATCATTTTCCGCGGTCTCCAATTTCTTTTTTGCTAGAGCGACGGCTTCAACTGCGCGCTCGTATCTGCGCAAGGCTGTTTGTTGGACTGTTGTGTAGTCTGGGTTTTCGGAGGGGAGAGGTGGCATGGTTGTGATTTTGGGGGTCAATGAGTGAGTGGTTTGGCCGGGAACTGGGTTTTAAATTGGGTTTGGGGGGGGAAATGAGAGCTTTGGGGGAAAGAACCGAGGAAAGGAGTTTGGGTGTTGAAACTTCTTTGTTTGTTAGGAAAATTGATGGTTGCGGAGTGTGTTATTGGGAGGTTGATGGTTGATGGGGATAAAGAGGTTAAGTGTGGCTTTGTGTGGAATAATGGTTCACATTTGAGGAGTTTCGGGGGGTCTAGAATAATGTTCTAGAATGTATGGGGTTGCGACGTTATTCAGAATACTTTTAAAGCTTACGCTAAAATGAAGTAACTGATAGCTAGCGTATTTAGATAGCAATTGAACTCTCATTCGAGGACATGTAGGTATTATATCATATCTCAGTCTTTGACATACTCAAAAATAATTAAGCGAGAACCCCGTAGACGGCCAGTCCTGAAAATAATTATGAACAAAGCTTCGATTCAAGCCCTCGAAATAACCTTCTACCATCCTTTATTCCCTTTCAAAGCCATGATTCCCCGCCCATCTCCCCCCGTACCCTCCCAACTCTCCCTCTCCCCTTCCCTTATCCCTCTCTCACAAACACACACCCTTACCACCACCTATTACACACCCCATCGTACAACCCTTACACAACTCAAACCAACACACAAACCCCAAAATGTCATCTCTACAAGCAGCACAATCGCGTCTCGAGCACGGAAAGCGCAATCTCGAAGAAGCGCGCAAAGCCCTATCAGTCGCGCGAAACGATCCAAACAAGTCATTTGAGGATCATCAGCGGATGCAGGATGAAGTTGATCGATGGGTCGTCTATTATCGGGAGGCGGAGAAGGAGGTTCGGAAGTGTGAGAAGGGGAAGGGTTTTTGGGGGAAACTGAAACCGGGGAGTGGTTAGGTAGGGGAGATAAGGGGGAGGTTGAGGGGAGAGTTTTGAGGAGGATGGAGAGGGGAGAGGGGGTTAGAGGGGGTTAGAGGAGGAGTAATGGTATAGATGGGTGTGCTGGAATGTTAGTTGGTTGGAATGATTTTGGAAATTTGGAAGGGGTTTTGCTTGTTTAAATTGCTGTACATATAATACAGTTAAATCTTCTTAAACAATTCAACTTATCAAAAGACTTGATGCGTTGACAAATCCTCAAATTGTAGACAGGAAATATTGGCAAAGTAGCTTGCTGAGAATTGTAACATATTGCTAGATTTTCACTCACTAACGGACACACTTCAATAGTGGTTGTTCTTCTAGGTTAACTTTTCTTATTAAGCTTTTTAATGTTGTCTGTTGAGTCATCCATCCTTTAAAGTTGAGTAGTTAGATCGGTGAGTCAAGTCCATACCTGCTGTACCACATCAAACATGCTCATGCTTTAGTGATATTTCTTTCATCTTTCAACTCATGATTGAAGAACTAGGATATAACGTCTCGAAATCTTCAAACCCAACCTCTATGATAATCCAGCATTATCCATCCTGAACGCCAAACGCATGCAAAAGCCACGCTTCAAGCAGCCGAGATCACAGCCCCCGCAATCATCTTCTCCTTAACGCTCAAGTCATTGACCTGTTCCTCTAATATCTGTATATCCTTCTCCGTGTTTCCTTTTTCGATTTCCGCACTTGGTGTACCGAGCTGTAAATAATTCCAACAGACTAAACCACCATTAGCATTTTTGAACTCACAGAGGGAATGAAACTCACTCATAAACCCTAAATCATCATTAAAGAATACCTCCATGATATCCTCTCCGACCTTCGCTCCGTCTTCCACGCTGTAAGAAATAGCTTGTTTTCCACACGCAAGCGCAATCATAGCTGGAACTTCTGGGTACGTTAAATATGTAGGTTCTTTCTTGACACCGCGAGAAACCAGGATTTCTTGGTAGATGTTGTTTGCGGCGAGGAATCCCATGTGCATAGCTGCACCGCAACGTTTGATTCCGGACCATTGGACGAGATCGCCGATTGCAAAATGGTTTGTGGAGAATGGACCTGGGGCGTTAAAGTGTAATCTAAAAAGTAGTTAGTTTGTGATTTTGCGGAGAAAAGCCAACTTACGTGTCTTTGATCACTACCAGCCCGCTTTCTGAATTGTGGACTTCCTTTGGAAGATAGTCTGTACTGGGATGTTGTTTTGATATTGCCCAAATAACGAATCCAGCTGTCCGCTCGTTTCCATTGCTTAATCTCAGTTTGTACTTTCCTTCCTCGACTTCTACACTTGATTCCACACGTTGCCCGAGAACGACCTCGACACCCTGTTCGCGTAGCGAGGTAAGGCAAAGATTTGCGACCTCGATTGGTAGAGGCTCGGAGGAAAGAAGACGATCGTGGGAGTGAATTAAGGTTATGCGTTGGGTTGGATGAACGACTGCTAATTCTGAGGCCATCTCAATGCCTACGGCTCCTAGTTCTCGTATGTCAGCATGTATTCTCTTCACTTGCTTTTGGGGAACAAACCTCCACCAATAACAACAACACCCTTGCCATTCTTTACACCCTCACCCACACCCACAGCCGCAATTTGCTTCGCTGCCTCCACTAAGTATTTGTCTTTTGTTTTCTCTTGAGGCACGACCTGTTTCTCTCTTCTTAGCCCACTAGCTGCGACTAGAAAGTCGTACTTCTCCTCGTATTCTTTTCCCGACTTGCTGTCAAAAATTGTCGCCGTCTTTGTAGTAGCATTGATGTTGACGGCACTACCTTGGGCTACCGTAATTGAGGGATCACGAAGAGCTATAATTTCGTCGAATTTCGTCCAAAACTTCTCGGCATGGGGTGTTGAAGCAAGGCCCAGTGGGGAGCCAATCAGATGATCTATTTATGCCACAGTCAGTATGTGATGGCCTCAAGAGTTTAGTAAATTATCCAAAGCTCAAACTGGAGATCATTATTATGTAGTGTCAAAGCCGACGTGAAGAAAAAATGATTACCTACAATAGCCGTCTCTCTCATCCACAATTTTGATCTGTACAGGAACCCTTGATTCAGGTCCGGCTTTTGGATCATTTCCCACCTTCCCCGAGAATCTTGAATATTTGCCCTTGCTAAAATCCAGCAGGTTCAGTGCGGCGCCCAACCCTCCATAACTACCTCCTATGATGAGCACCTTCACCGGAGCCACGTTAGGTGCGACCGCAGATGGCATGTTCGTGGGATGACTAGAAGAAAGACGCCGAACAGACGAAGGGAAAAAGACTCTGTTGCTATGGAAAAGAGGAATATGAAAGATATTGAGAAGACGAGAAAGTAAAGACAAGGAGATCATGGCGCACAGAGACCTGCGCTTGTGGGAAAAGGGACATTATGTAGGAATGACAGCTAGACGCCTCGGTATGCGGAATCGGATGACAAGTGGGCGCAGGTTTGGATTTAGTAAGAAGTATATCCCAGTTGAATAAAGTAGCCAATTGCATGTGTATAAAGGGATAATTTCTTGCGGTCAAGTTTTCCGACTTGGGAGGAGCTTGCTCGCCAAGATTGACGGCGGGGTTGCCTGCATGATCTGATTAGATTTTCAAAAGTTTTCATCTTATCTGATCTAAATTTGACCCACTAACAGATGAGTCGACCATTCACATGCGGCCAGCTGAGGACAATCCACCTTCTCCCGATGTCGGGTCTTCGGCTTGTCGCGGGCGTTGTCGTGTGCTCCAATGTAATTGGCAAAACAGCAGGAAAGTATGGAGCTCCGAAAAAGCATTAAAGTTATCAGATCAAACTGCGGAAGCTAAGTGGATGCCGAGGGTAAACGTATGCAGTACGTTCTTGAGTGACATTTTAAAAAGGTATCGTGTCGGTAATTCCCACTCTGGCGTGATCAGTCCGCCATCTTACGTCCCAAGGATATTGGGTCTGTAGGGGAAACATCAGAGTAGCATAAGAAGTAATGACCGTGAGATAGAGGGGAGATTGATATTCTCTGCAAGATAACAGGCATAGCAGATATACCACAGTCCCAATAGGAAAGTTTGAAAACCCACGAGAAGTTGTCTGGACAAACCGGACGCGTCAGAGTCGCGTTTGAAGACGAATCGTCGAGATGAAACAAACTAGCGCACTGCCCATATGGAGTACAGATGGAGTACAGTGTATCGTGAAAAGTCATGAAAAATGGTGAAATTGGAAGAGGCCATGTTTGCGATGAATGATCGAGAGTGTGCACGTTGGAGTCAGGAAATGTTTACCTCCGTACAGTAAAATGAGATTAGAGGTGTGGGGTTAGAATATATCATTGCAATCTGGATCAAGGGTACCGCTTGACGAGAGGTTTTATCAATAAACTGACCTGATTTAAATGAGCAACTAATCCGAATGGAGCCGAAGTGGTGTTCCGCCGGTTTTGTTGCATGTCGAACAGGTTGCAGGAGCTCCTGAAGGTGGTCGGTGCGAAAGTCGTGTGTGCACAGTGATTCGTCAGTGAAATAAATGGTTGTAGAAGCTTGCTGTCATCAATTCAGTACGGAGGTAGAGCTGTAGAGAACAATATATGTATATGATTAAAAACATCCTAAAATTGAAAAATCATAGTTGAATGATTTCGAATGAAGTAAAAAATACCAACAAGTCGACACAGACTCCAGTCAGCAAGTAAAATAACAAGTACGCCTGCAAACCAGTCCGCAGCCAAAAAGTCAACGTCCAAAACTTGGAAGTCCGCTTAAAGTCTCAATAAATTGAGGAAAATAAAATCTGTGACACTGTTTCAGGGTTAACTATATATTTGATTCAACTGTAAGTTCGGCTTCCTGTTCTTTATAGTGTGAAAAATTATCTTTTAACTTAGGCAATTTCTTTAGTTACAACAAAGAGATCATGAGTAGGCGATTTTCATCTCAACAAAAACCGGCAGATTTATAAGAGGTAAACTTGATACACAAAGCATGCAATATTCTGTCCACTTGTTCGGAGACGTTATTTGCTGAAGCATGATGTCTGCAATACACGATTATCTTAACCGTTCGACATGTCCAAAGGATAATTAACTTAGCCAAATAGCTGTACTTGCCTTCCGCCCTCTATTCCAGCCCTGACTCTGATTGGAGAGTGATTGTGTCTCGAATTTCGTTGCATGTCGCAACAGGTCCGCGGTCCTCGAACGTAGACCGCAAGGTCCGCAAGGTCCGCAACGTGGAATACGTCCGCAGCCAACCTTCTTCGTCCGCGGAAACTGTCTTATTGACTCTAAAACAAAAGTATGAAATGTACAATACTTTCACAAGATGATAGAATCTATATATTGCTTCAAAAACCACTTATTTCGGCCACAACTTGAGAATTAGGTAGTGAAAGCGAACTTCGAGGGTGGGTTCAAAATATATGTTTAAAATCTAGCCATACTTTAGTGCTGCAGAAGTAAGTATATCGAACAACAGACTCTGTTTATTCTCACTTTCTTCAGAGAATCTATGTCCTGATTGGTGCACGTGACTACATTGAGTTTTTGTTGCATGTCGCAGCAGGTCCGCGATCTATACATTTTCTCAATCCGCGGCCCGCACACACCTCATTTTCGCAAAATGCGGACCGCAAAAGTCCGCAACAGATGCTACACGACGAGCTTACCTACCTTGTAGGTATCTAAGGTAGGTAGGTAACATGTGGTACTCTCATTTCTTCTTTCTCGAAGTCTCTGTCGATTTTGAGAAATGAAATCGTTCTTCGAACTATGAAACAAGAGGAATGACGTCGGGATTCTCGATCACCACGTATTATGCTACAAATCTCTATATTTATCAGCTAATCTCGAGTTTGGCCGATATAAGATTAGCAGAAAATGCTAAAACAAGCCAGTCCAATACTCCAATCGACAAATGATTCCCGCCAAGTATCACCATCCGGCAGTCGCCAGCTGAAATCCAAGTAACCAACCTTCAAGGAGCTGTCGGCCTCCAAATCCACCCAACCTCTTCAAGATCCCTTAGGATTAACTCTACCAACCCTCAACACATACCATCCATCCTTCCCGTACAAAATCACCCACCCCTGCCCCCACACATCCGCCTTGACCAAATACTCCCCCCTCAAATGCGCATCCACCTTCCCGTCCAACACCCGTCTCGAAACCGACACTTTATCACTCTGCTCCAACTCCCGCATATGCCAGAATCCCTCCATATGCTCCTTAACCGCGACTTTATAATCCGCAGACTGGGTTGTAGTCCGCTCGTCTACGTAGATAGTATCGCACATATGGTTATCCCGTTCATCGTAACAGTGCGGAAGCTCGTGAGCGCCGCCAGCACAATCTAATCCACCTTCACACTTGCCATCGATGGCGAATTGGCGACAGAGGCCAACGCCTAGGCAGTTGGAGCCTTGGGGACAGGGATAGCCTTTTTGGAAGGCGTAAGGACAAAGGCGTTTGTGTTGGGGAAGGAGGAAGTTTATGGCTTGGTTGGAGTTTTCGTTGAATGGTGGTGGACTGGTGATTTTAGTAGGAGATGGTGTAGATGGTGGCATGTTCCACTGGGTATCCTGGGATGACTGATCGTAAAGCTGGCAGTAAAAGTACAATTTTCCGTTGAGTGGTTCTGGTAGCTGAAAATGACTTCAAAACTGCGTCCAAAAATGTGAGTCTATAAGTTGCAAATGAGTTGTCTCATTATGAGCCCCTTCTCCTTCATAAAATAGTCCTGGTGGACAGAAGTGAATTAGGTTGAACAGAGTACATTCACACTCACTGGAGCCTTAGGAGTCGGCATTATACCAAAACCAGAACAGCAGCCAATCATCAAAAACCGCCATTTTACATATGTTCAGAAACACTCGAAATGACATTCAATACAAGCGTCTTATGAATTTATAGTGAATATCCAGTCAATTCAAATTCTAGATCCCGACTTCCACGTTACACAACCTAAGGATCAGATGTCATGCAGTTGTGTTCACAACCAACTCATTGTCAATCTTCAAGCTCGGGGTCCCAGACATCACTGTCTCAAACTCGTACTAAAGAAATTCTATTCTCTCACAGCTCTTCCAAACTCTCATTATTCTTTCTAGCGTATCTCCAGCGGACCATAAAATGGCTTTCCAACACACCTGCTTTAAAATATGCAATGAGCCAAACACACCTTGTGATATTCAAGGGCAAATGAAGTAATATACGTGACTTTAAGCACGAGATATGTTGTTAATTTATATCTCGATAACTTATTGTAAGGATGTGTCTTGTCAAACTCGCAACACACTAGGGCTAGTGGCCTGTCAATTTTAGGATTTCTTCGTGATAGAAAATAAATATCGGTTTCAAGTTGAAAGTACAATGCCAGCTATACAAATTCTGTAGAGAGTCTCTTAGAAAACTGCAATTCACGATCGTTAGTGTCCTCAACAGGTGATTCCAGAAATCAATCTCAAACTTAATCATACAAAAGTATACATCGTCGTTGTATTATTCAACTTAAATCATTCATACATATAGATTATCATGGCGGAAAGCAATCCCCGTCCAGACCAACTCCAATCAAAGACCATTACTCCTCATCAATCATAAAGTCCTAAATATTATCAACCCGTCATTTCAACATCCCCGTCATCGCTCAGTAAACTCTCAACCAGAGAGTCTCTAATGTTTTTTGCATCAACATCAGCGATGATCGTACCCGTACCATCGTCATCCTCCTCCTCCTCAACTTTGAGAAGTTCAGTCTTGTCGGCTAGACTCTCATCATCAGCATTGTCATCTGCCAAGACTGTCTTCTCATCTCCCTCCACACTCGGAGCAACACTACTTTTCCTGCTTTTTGGAGCAGACTTCTCCCGTTCTGTGAGATTGTTGACTATCTTGCCTAAGCTAACATGGATTTTGAAGAGCGCATTTCGGCCAGTTGCGTCGGGTATCAACTTGTCCTCGATAGCGGTTGATATCTCATCATACACTTCACGAATCAGAGATTCAGTCGAAGTGGGCGAGATGTAGAGTTTTGCCAGCAGTGGTGCCAGCGACTTCTTCTCTTCTCCTGCATAAACGTTAGCAAGTTCTTGGATCACGAATAAAGGCTGCTTACTGCTGATTCCTGATCCCAATCTCTCTAGCATGTCCCTTGCAAGTTCCAAATGAACATCACCGTTAACAGATTTCTTAGCTTCATCAGCAAGAGACAGTTGATTCCCGGGCACGTAGCACTTTCGTGGATCTGTCCAGTCTATCAGATGAGCGCCAATCGTGCTCATACTAATCATTTCAGTCTCTGCATCTCCGTCGTCGTCAAGTGTCTCCTGGATCTCGAAAAGTTTGTGCATCGCATCCAGCGCAACCCGCCCCATCCGGTCTTGGTTTTCCTTCCGACTGAAGCTGTATACTGGCAGAAAATATGACAAAGTCTGCCGAACAGCTTGATTGTGGGCTGAGCTAGGGTCGAAGTAGAGCACGACAAGTGTTTTGAGCAAGTCATCAATTGCAGTTGATGTGTCTCCGATAACCCTTCCTAGCATGAGTTTCGCAACTGCGACAGTAGCTGCGGCCTGAACCTCGGGTGCCTTGCTTCCTGACTTGAGTGCTTTCAAGTAAACTTTCAGAAGGAGTGGATTTGACTCTAGTAAGTGAGCACCATGCTTGTTGAGAATGTCGGTGAGAATCTGGAGAGCCGTAATCTGCAGTGCTGAATGTCCTTTACTATAGAAATGCATAAAGAGCGTAAGATTCTCCTCCGCCAGTGACTTGTCCAATAGGGCGCAGAGACCTAGGCAAAGGAGGCCGCGTTCTCTGACTGGAACCTCATGACTTCTTACCGCGGGGACGACGAGATTGTTCAAGCAAGCCACTAAATCCACATTCTGCTGCAGCGTACACTCCACATTCTCGAGCATACATTGAACGATATGTAAGCATTTCATGTTGACCATGATCTCGCGAATCGCTTTCTCTTGTGCTTCCTCTTCTGAAAGCACGCTCTTTTTCCCAGCTTTGCCGGACGCACCAGGAGCCTCGTCATCACTTACCTCTGATTTGGCGGAATGGAAACTCTCATCAGCATCCTCAGCCTCTGGCTCATCCATAATTGTGTCGTGCACATCTGCAACAGACTCAAGAACGACACTGATGAATTCACGTTCACCGGCAGCATCTGGCGCACATATGCCTCGTAGCGCTTCAATGGCAAGTTTTGTGACTTCTTCAGGCAGGTCCGGAATTGACAGTGATTGCCGAAGGAGGGCGAACATTTTCCGTCTTCCGACTTCGTCCGAATAGTCGACAGTTTGCGCAATCTGAAGCATTTGCTCCACGATGAATTCTTGCTCCACTGTATCCTCTTCCTCCACGTCCTCTGTTGGCTCCTGAGCTGCCACACGCTTTATCGCCTCGACAAGAACGGTGATGTAGCGCTGGAGATAGAAAGCTAATTTGGTGACCTCAGGCATTTTGTCCTCAAGCAACGATTCATATCTACCATTGCCCTCATTCAAGCAAAAGTCGTTGAAGCTTCTGGCCATGAACACAGATTCAGCGCTCAAAGTATCCCAGAAATAGTCGTCAAATGTGACTGCTTCACGATAATCCGGGCGACCTTCCCAGAAGCCCTTCATAGCCTCCAGAGCAACCCCGTTCTCCACGCCTGAGTTAACTACGTCAATTCGTTCTAGGAGTTCTAGCAATCCTTCAAAGCTTGGTGGTTTTTGTTCTTCTTTTGATGGGTCGGACCCTTCCTCTACGTCCGCAGTGCCAGCACAATCTTCAATCCAGCGCTCGCGGAACAACTTTCCAGCAGCTTTACGGACATTCTCGTCCCTGTCGCGGAGGCCCCATCGAAGTAGTTTCTCTCTCATTGACAAGGACAGATGTCGAAAATCTCCTAGGGAAGGAAGCAAACGCGAGTACAATGCTCGCCGTGTTGCCGCATCTTGATCTCTGGCACGCTCTAACAAAAATGGAAGCGTGTTAGGTAATATAGGAAGGTTGACAAGTAATGACCTTCGCACGTCTGCGCTTGGATCATTTTGCAGAACTTCCAGAAGTTTGTCAAGAAGTCCAGCTCCAGACTCATCGTCATCATCACTGTCATCCGCCTCTCCTTCGGCTTCGTTTCCTGCAAGCCGACCTAAACCTAGGACGGCCTGGACTCGCACCATCGCTTCCTTGTCGTGTATTCTTTTGAGAAGTCCATGTCGTAAAAGTTGAAAAAGGTCATCTTCGATAGCTTCCAAAGAGTTGATAATATGCGAAATGAGCTGCGTCGATCGATAGCGTACAAACTTTTCTTTGGCCGTCAATAGAGGGAGTATTTTTGTCATGAGTTGTGTTGTCAGTCGAGTACTAGGGGTTTCAATCATGACGCCCGTTTCATCGGCATCCTCTGGTACGAGATCGTTGTCCTTTTCACTTGCGTGCTTCAGGAAAAGCCCAATGAATCGAATCACCTTTTCTCCTACACTCTCGCTCTTTTTGACTGGCATAACCCTCAGCACGCATCTTATAAATTCATCCGTAAATTGCTCCTCGTCGAAATCCTCCGCGCCTGTCTTCTTGTTCTTCTCGCTAGTCGGTTCGTAACAGCACGCCTCCTGTAGTTTCCGCAGATTTATGACTAGTTTGCGATGTGAGGCTGTCGTTCGTTGGGCATCACGGAAAATGCTGGATACTTGACTTCGTAACTCGTTGTCTTCTGTCTCCTCCGGTACATCTATATGGGGGGTAGAGATTCTCGACGTCGTCGATGCTCGCGAGTTCAATGTTTGGGTTGACGATTTATGCGAGATGGCCGCAGAGGTCCTGGTGGACCGGGACGAGACTCGTCCTGGCATTTTGTCGTACTTTATTTTCGAATTCTAGCATACAATCAAGACGCCTCGATTTTTTTGATGATTGTGGCCTGGGTTGTTATTGTTGAAGTTTGGGCGCAAATTGTCGAGGTTGTGATGGTTTGAGATAAGTAAACAACATAGTAAACATCGCGACGCGGTCAGGACACGATGCACGTGATGTAGTTCCCCTCCAGTGGGGTCTCATACTTGTAATAATTGGAGACGTAACTCCTACTGCACGACCAATACAATTTCCTCAAATATCGTCATGTAATTGTTAGTTTCGATCTACCCAAGTATCCTATATATCCCATACACGCTTTGTTACCTACCTATGTACTTGGTAACTGTGGCATTTCGTACCGACGAGAATCGGGAAGTTCCTAGCACGACCCACTCATGCGAGTGGCAGCTCTCCGCATGATGTGATGCGAAAGTCGGATATAAAATTTGCCCCAGCAAACACTCACCACGAAATCTAATTGAGCGATGTTTAGACTAGGTGTACGGCGATTTGCGACTTCAGCCGTTAGAGCTGCTGAGACGGTTTCGCAGAAGGAAGCTGCCAGTGTCTATGGATTTAATGTTTCTTACGCGCAAGGTGTTGTAAAAGGACTTACTGGAGGTTAGAACGCCCCTCCATTTTGTCAGCAGCATGCTAACTTCAACAAGCAATTGGCAATACCCCATTGATACGTTTGAATCATATTTCCGATGCCACTGGTTGCGAGGTACTTGGGAAAGCAGAGTTTATGAACCCAGGAGGGTCAATTAAGGATCGAGCAGCACTCTATGTTGTGAAAGATGCCGAGGAGAAGGGATTATTGAAACCAGGTGGGACGGTTGTCGAAGGCACTGCTGGAAATACTGGAATTGGTCTGGCACATGTTTGCAGGTCTAAAGGATATCAATTGGTCATCTACATGCCCAATACACAGTCGCAGGGGAAGGTTGATCTGTTAAGGCTTCTGGGCGCGGAGGTCTACCCAGTCCCAGCTGTCGCATTCGACAATCCAGAGAACTACAACCATCAGGCTAAGCGACATGCGGACAGACTAGATAATGCTGTATGGACGAATCAATTCGACAACGTCGCGAATCGAAAAGCCCATATTGAGACGACAGGTCCCGAGATTTGGGCTCAGACAAAGGGAAAAGTTGACGCATTCACATGCGCGACTGGGACTGGTGGAACCCTCGCCGGAACAACGAGATACCTTAAGACTGTCTCCGATGGGAAGGTCAAATGCTTCCTTGCCGACCCTCCTGGCAGTGTTCTACACTCATATATTGAGTCCGGTGGAAAGCTCATTGAACGTTCGGGATCGAGCATTACGGAGGGAATTGGTCAAGGACGAATCACCGATAACCTTAAACCTGATTTAGACTTGTTGGATGGATCATTACACATTAGTGACGAGAAGAGTATTGAGATGGTGTATCGATGCCTAGATGAGGAAGGTCTCTATCTTGGGGCGAGTTCGTGCTTGAACGTGGCCGCTGCTAAAGAGGTTGCGGAACGACTTGGAAAGGGCCATACCGTCGTTACAATGCTATGCGATGGTGCTTATAGATATGCGGATCGACTGTTCTCGAAGAAATGGTTGATGGAGAAGAAACTCATAGGTGCTATACCTTCGCATCTACAGAAATACATAGTGCTTCCTTAAGCCCCAGAATAGTCTACAATAGATTTACATGTTGTACGCGCTTCTAACAGCCACCTTGATGCAACTCTGTTCATCAATCATCGGTCACGACTCGTCCCCGAATACTTCCTTATACTTCTGTATTCCTGTTCGAGTCTTTTCCTGTGCCCAGTCGGTGTCCTTCATTGAGTTATACATAGGTGTCATCTGCTCCTTTAATTTCGACGCCCATTTTGTCAGGCTGGCGCCAGTCTCTGACCCAGACCCCAGAACCTCGCCTGCGGAGTTTGCGGCCGTATAGAGACCAAGGGCGTTATCGTTCAGCCATATGTTCAGATATCCATAATCTTCCTTTGTTGGTTTTCTAGCGTTGGGCGATAGCGCCAGAAGTCTTTTTCCGTACTGTTCAACTTGCCCGATATCATTGGCGTCCCCCGTCTGCTTAGCCTTTATCGCAGTAAGTTCTACATGTGGAGCCACGACTTCTGGGAGAGTCCTAGGATCAGGTAGATCTGGGTATTCGCTGACGTGTTTCGGGTCCTCGAGAAGGTCTAGAGTCATTTCCGACCACTTGATAGCTTTCTTGAGAGCTTCTGCGGTGCCTTCAGATTTAGCCTTTGCAAGATAAGAACACATAAGATTTCTTGCGCAATCCTCGTTGCCCAGACGCAGTCCAGTGGCTTCAGCTTGCCGCACGCACTCTAGAAGAACATCTTCGCGATTGAACTTCGCAGCTCTAGTGATCACCATCCTTACTACAGCCGGTCTTGCTGTCACTTTTGGTTGAGACTTGTGTATGCCTTCTAAAAGGCCGGGGAGCATGTCCATATCTTTTTCCTGAAACTTCTCCAAAGCATTCAACAGAGCCTTTCTTGGACTAGGCCTGACGTGTTCCACATCAATGTATTCCAACCGAAACTTCTCGCCGGCGATATTCGCGGTAACTTCGTCGTTGATGAGCATCTTGCGGTGTTTGGGCTTGTATACCAGATCTTGTTGTGCTGGGGAAAGGTAGCCTGGCATGATGATCAAGTCGCGGATGGTTTTCAAAAGATCATCAAGCTCAGTCGAGGAGCTTTTGTTGAACGAAGGAACCACACCTGATACGTTAGAAATGTAATTGTAAGGACAGAGGCTTCTTACCAGCCTTTTGCCATGCTGGGGATGTTGAAAACGCTCGTCGCGGAATGGCTAAGCTCCTTGAGGATCTGGTCGCAATTCGACTCCACTGCGACAAGTTTATTGATTTCGCACCCATTTTGTATTTCTTGTGCGAATGGCTCAAGTTCAATGTGTCGGAGCCGTCTGGAGTGTCGTAGATTGGACATTGCCATCCGCGAGAATAATTATTACGGGTCCAGGAGCACTGGCCAATCAGGGCTTCCTGTGAATTTTGAGACGACCTCAGATGTCAACCTCCATCAACTAGGACTGTACAGCATTATGGCGACCACGACGCCAACATTACGGCCGCTGAGCTGCTGGAAAACTCTATTGCGACAGTCGTCTATGCAAAAGGTAGCAACGCGATCTTTAACGACATACTTCAAACCAAAACCTATCGATCCACCAAAAAGACGTATGCTTCAATGATATGTCAATACTTTACTTTGCTGACCATTGGTAGCTCACCACAAACTGAAAGTCTATCCACCTCCGCCCTCAGCCAAAGCTGCCTTCAAAGAGCCGATTAAAGAAGTAACAGCTTCTCAATTGGCTATCCTCGATCCCACCGGCGGCCGAACAACCCTTTTTTCGAAAGCCAACACAGAAGCGGCGAAGGTCGGCGACATTCTTCTTGTCCGTTTAAAAAATGGCGATCCCTTCGCAGGCGTATGCATAAACATTCGAAGACGCGGTGTCGATTCGGGGATTTTACTGAGGAATGAATTGACGAGGGTGGGAGTAGAGATGTGGTTCAAGATCTATAGCCCGAACGTGGAAGGAATTGAGGTCGTACAGAGGAAGGAGAAGAGAGCCAGAAGAGCGAGATTGACATACATGCGCAAGCCTAAGCATGATGTCGGTAGTGTGCAGAACATCGTGTTGGCGTACCAGAGGACGAGGGGCGCTCTTAGAGGAAACGTGGAAGGTGGACCAGTCGGTCATGAGAATAAAGGAGGCAAGAGGAAGATCAGGGCAAAGGGCAAGGGGAAGAAGTGATAATTCTTATGTACAACCTGTGGTTAATAGGGCGGCGTATCAAAGGAATGGATGCATTTCACTTGTACATTAAATGTCACATTATATGCTGTCAGAGTCGCACATGTCTCCTTGCTTTGCTCGACACAAGATGTGTGGTCATGTTGGAGGAAGCTGTGAATTGCTTACAGTATGAGGAAAAACTGTGCGTCCACCACCAGTCAAAGCCTGTGGACTATACTGTTGCCAGCATGTTTTGAGAAGGAGAAACTGATCAGATGCTGATGCTTAAGCACTCTCTCACTCGGCATGCTTGTTTATCTTTCTATCATTTTGCTACTGATCACTAACCTGAACCCGCTGTCTAGGTAATGTATTATTTTTATAGTAGTTATTACCACAACTCACAGGTCGGCTCCTTCACCTTACAATCAAACGCTTCCCTAAACGCTCTCGAGTTCCTAGTCGTTCCCAGAGCCCTCACCCACATGGGTGCATGGGAATCAGTGTAGATGCGCCGGACCGCTGTCTGTTTAGTTGACTTGCTACAGAACCAATTGGCAAAGCCGACAAAAAACAGCTGCTCATGCGAAAAGCTCTTTAACCCAGGAAGATCCATATTAGCCTCCTTAGGCTCTGTGCTGGCTCGTGACTTCCAGGCCTCAAAAGCAGCGTTAATTCCACCTGCGTCAGCGATATTTTCATTCAGCGTGCGTAGTCCGCTGACATTGAGATGCGAGTTAGGCTCCGTACCAGGGACAGCGAAGTGGGAGTATTGACTAGTGAAGCATGTAGCGCGAGAATTGAAGGCTTCTACTGCTTCAGGTGTCCACCACTCGGTATAGTTACCGCTTTCGTCAATATGGCGGCCTATTCCATCAAAGGCGTGCGAGAGCTCGTGTCCTACTAAGCTGCCAAATGCACCGTAGGAGAGATATTGAGGTAGTGTAGGGGAGAATATTGGCAGTTGAAGGAGGCCGGCGGGGAAATTTACTTCGTTCCCAGTCGGATCATACCCTATTATGGTTAGCAAATACTAGAGCGCTGAAAGTCATCAGTTCACGACAGCAGAGTTGAAGGAAACCTTCAGTAAGTACTTAGCGAGTATTGCGATGTGGTCAAGATTGGGGGTAATGGGTAATGAAATGAAAGATTGTAGGTGACTTACAAGCATTCACAGTTATGGCAGGTCTCATCCTACACTTTGGTCAGTATCGTAGTGTTGTATTTAGATTTGACCAACGACGCATACCAGGCATTCATATCTACTGGTTTACCAAGAGCTGACCATTCTGAACGTACACGGAAGTGATTCATAGAAACGACGTTGTCGAAATGGGAAAGAGTGCTTATGTTGACCGACTGGTAGTAATGTTGTAAATCCAATGGATCCGTTATATCTGGACTCTACATTTCAGAAGAGTTAGCTCATTATTACCAACCCAATTCATTTAGTCGATAGGAGTCTTTAATACGGAAACAGAGCGATGTGAAATTCAAAGATGTAACAACATTGGCAATTCTGAAAGATATGCTTACCTTAACCGGATATCCGACTTTTGCAACGATATTACGAGTTTTTTGTATGGCACGCGCTTTCACTTTGTCGTCCATCCAGTCAATCGTCTTCAGCTTAGCAATCCATTGTTCCTGAATATCAGAAACAATATCTTCTGCGAACTGTTTAGACTCTGAACTAAAAGACTTGCTGACGAATAATTTGCTGAGCATCCAACCAAGACCATCCTCGACATTCTGAAGACAAGTTCGCCATCTTTCCGGAATTGAAGTGGGCTCCTATCAGTCAGAATATATGTTAGTTATCTCCATTTCATATTTCAACAAATAGGGTTGGCATACCTTGCCGAGCAGTTCGTTGAGCAATTGCTTCCATGAATATAATGCATCAGATTCAATTGTTGAAGCGAAATGTTGAATAGCTTTCCATCGGAGATATGCTCTAACTGTAGGATCGGTTGTATTCGAAAGGACGCCATTAATTTCTTTCATCGATTCAGGGATCTCGAGGATGATTCGATCAATCTGAACCTCCGGATCGGATAATGCTTGAAGGAAATTGGGTAACTGCAACAGCGGTGCCAACTCATCTGCTTCCACGAGAGTCATCGGGTTGTAAGTTCTCTTCAAAAATAGATATCAGTTCTCGTTCTCAGAAATCAGTTTAGCAAATTTCTGACTTACCGTCAAATTTCCGTAGTCTTCCCTCTCTGGCAGAACAGCAGCAAGACTTCGCTCGAATCTAACGATATCCTGGGCGATGCTCCTGCAAGATGACTGCGGAACACGGCGAACGACTGGATTACAGAAAGTCTTTTCCACGACGTCAATGTACTTATTGAAGATACGGTCATCAAGGTAGAATTCCTTTGCCGGCAACCCAACAGTATTTGCAGGCCAAACAAAGACGACCATGTCACCTGAGTCTCGAAAATCTGGACCTACTCCGGCCGCCACCAAGGGAAATGCACCCAGTTCAGCAAGGTACGATAAAGCATCAGACAATGGCTTTTGCTCGAGCTCCGTTAATACTAGTATCAAAGGCTCGAGACCGACTTTCTCAACGGCAGATGTATCAAGACATGCATTATAGGCGTTTTTCAACTTCGAAAAGTTGTCTCTGTCGGCTTCCCTTGTGGACTCGACAAGCTTTGAGAATGGATCTTTAGATTCCTAATACAAACTCTGCCATTAATATTCAAGAGACCTCCGGTCTTCTCACTCTTTCAAAACTTACCAACTCTATGTCCGGATATTCCCCATCAAGAACGTGTCGCATCAATGATTGGGACCTGTCTTTCATCAAAGTTGCTGCGAAAGCCTCACTCTGATCTACCCTCAACTCATGATGCTCCCTAAAACCTTGACACACTGTGCCTTCAAAATCCCCGCAAAAGTCCCACTCCGTCTGGTCAGGGTTGAGATTGTAAAGAATTTCTGAGGCAGCGTGAACGCATTCCGGTGTAACACATAGCTTCCGATCTTCTTCTTTACCAGTTGTAGTATCGAAGTTGCTGATCTGGTCCAAAATTCCCTCTGTAAAAACACTGTTTTGTTGCATATTCCCACCATGATATTTGTTAAATATCAAGAACACAATGCCAATGGAAAAAGCTATATGGAAGATACATCTGCGACCAAGGGAGTTGAGCTTCGAATTCGAGCCACTATGAAAGTTTGCTGCTGGCAGCCGGAGCGTCTTCTCGAACATTGTATTGTTAAAGATAGATTTTTGAACATGTAGACAGAGCAAGTAAAGCTGTGATGTCGACAAGAATTGAGGAAATCAAATTTTCTTTTTAGGAACTTAATGCATCACAACACTCAGGGACTGAATTCTCCTCTGGATTATGACAATGAGCTCACTGGACTGCCAGAGTGAACGGAGAGGGGTGCCTGTGACGCTTTCGACTCAATTGACAGATATGAGAGCGCTAAAAGAAAGTCCCTCAATGGTCAGCGTATGTGATACCTTCAGCTCAGATACAGTATTGGAAATCTACTTTCTGAAAGCATGTTCATTGCTGTAGCGGGGTTATCTCCAAATGGAGCTACTAAGCAGCTGATCCCAATATTCCCATCTTTCTGATAGAGGTAACGAGTCTAATAATGAACAGCCCGAAGTGGCCAAGCAAAGCACATCGGCGAGGATGCTGGATGTGTTCAACATGTGCTGTCGTCTGTATGGTTATGTTCATGTGGTGAGATCAGTGTGTATTGGGGTCTGAAATCGTTCTTGGTTAGACTATTTGTGACTGCGTCGCGCATGAAAAACAGCACGGAAGTGACGATCGGATAGGACGATAGCTTTCCCATTACCTCGTTGAGTGTATTGATTAGGAAACACTTGGAGGAGCTAGCATGGAGAAAAGGCTTAAATTGTTCGAAAGAGGTAAGTCTGCGAGAAAATCTGTCGAGAATGGAGTTGAGAAGAGAGCCACGCGCGAAGAGGGGTCCCGTTATGGTTTAGCAGAGTGAATGAGGGGCAGCTGAAAGGTAGTATCGAGCCGCACGCAGCATGCGCTTGGGTGCGCCACTGCCGTCTAATAGAGTGGTAACGAGATAATAACGGGACCGTACATATCTTGAACAGTATCATTGAAGATCTGGGGGTTCAAAGTAGGAACCCAATGCAGGTATGACAGGGTGTGGGGAACAAGTAGAGCTCAACCGAGGCACGAGCTCACTCAGTGAGCTAGACGCACCCCTCAGTGTAATTTTAAAGTACTCCTGAGTATTTCTGTTAACTCGAATTATGACTGATAGAAGAGGGGTTTTTATTGTTTATTATCAATAAACTTCAACAATTTCTTAAGACCTTAAGTAGTTTTACTCCCAACAAGTAGTAAAATATTAACATTTTGCCGACTTGAGCGATTAACCGCCTTTCATCTTGTCCATTAATTAATGTGAGTGGAGAAGACTTCCTCAGCTTCTATCAAGACAACCTTGGTTGATTAACCTCGTTTGTGAAGCTCAATTCGGTCGTGACGGCTACGAAAGCTTACTGAACTGGCCCGAAATAACGGTCTAGGTAATCAATGATCTACAATACATCTACGGCACAGGTTGAAACTAATCACAGAGTAGTTCTCACAAATGACATGTATTGGGTACAGTAATGTGAGACAAGTCTTGACATCAACCGCATTATTTTTATCACATGGGTTATTTGCAATGAAGCAGAATTCATCAAACCACCGTGTATTTCTTCAACTACCACAAGAGTTCATAAATTTGACCACCAATCACACTCTAGACCACCCAGCTATCTGAAATCATCATGCATTTCCATCACACCACAGAATCTTTCAAATGAAAGCATACCACTGCCCAAGTTTGCGTCTATTTAGCGAGCCAGTGCTTAACGTAGACCCAGCCAAGGGTCCAGAAGTGACCTGGTTTCTGGGTCTTGTGATGCACCTTTTTGTGGCGTGCGGTTTCCTCGGCGAGGTCATCATTGTATCCCATAGTGTACAACTGTTTGACCTTGGGTTGTTCCTCAGCAAGATCATCGTTGTAGCCCATAGTGTATAGCTGTTTAGCCTTGGGAGCTTCTTCCGCAAGGTCATCGTTGTATCCCATAGTGTACAGCTGCTTCGCCTTGGGTTGCTCTTCAGCCAGGTCGTCGTTGTAGCCCATGGTATAGAGTTGCTTAGGATAATCTATCCATGTTTGTAAGCGGATGTTCACAATAAGATCTAATGCCACATACCTGGAATGGGAACACTCAGTGCCAAAGTTCCGAGATAGGCAACCACTAGGGCAGTTTGCTTGAGTTGCATGATGGCGGATTCTCCAAGTTTGGAGTGAAGGCTTTGGATTTGAGTTTTGAGATAAGTTCTTGAACGGGGTTGCTCAGAACTCTGCACACGAGTCTGCGTTTTATATAAGTCATTTGAAGTTGCCGAAGAGCTCCACGCAGATGACAATAACCTAACAGTCGCTACACCATGGGATTGCTCAAAAGAGTAAGGATTCGAAGATATTCTCAGTATCTCCGAGAATTGTCTTATTCGCAGATCACAGTGTGATATCTTTGTGAGACTGCAGCTAATCCCGCATTATTTTGCCAATTGGCTTTCAATAGCTTGCCACATTGGTAAGATGCCAGCTGATTTGCTGTCATGCGATCAGTAAGTCTACCCTAATATGGAAGCAAGCTGAAGATATACTCCCAGAATGGTAGTATCTACCGACGACTCCTCTTTATTGAAAATTATTACTACAATCATACCACACGAGACCCGTCTATCTTTATAGCTTTAGAGAATGCAAGATACGGAGAGCGGGAGAGTAAGACACTCACTTGATAAAGGTTTTGCTCGGTATACTTTAGCGGCTTGTGCCGGATGGTGGGAATATCAGATAGACATTATTGAAGACTCCTCGACTCAAGTCCTCCCTCCCTCAAACTATCCTTCTTTCTATCTTCTTTGCCTTACTTCAATCATGTTTTTACTGAAACCCTGGAAGAATCAATATGGGGAGGTTGCTGAGTTTGACGAAGATTCTTCAGAAGAGGATCTGTTGTTCAGACTCAAAGTCGAGAGCCAGCAACGGGAACGACGTTTACGAAACGTTACTCTAACGATCTTGAACACTACTATGTTTTTGTTCTCCTTTACCGTTCTCATCTCAAGAATTTCCGTCTCTGAAGGAAAGAATGCAGCCTTGAAACAATCGTCATTTTACTGTAAGTTTTCTATCACGAGAATCAGTCCCACTCAGAACTGACTTCGATAGCACCAATACTCAACGACATAACCATTCCAACTTTCCCATACACAATGAACGGGTCACTCTTCGCCGACAACAATCCTGGGCTCGCTCGCCAGGATCCAAGCCCAGAAGTTGACGACGTATGGAAAGAGTTCGACAAAACACGCACTCTGGTCATCAGCCGAGAAGACGTTGTAAAACTGGGCAAAGATCCAGAGCTGGTTGCCAAGTTCGAGGACGAGTACTGGGGCTTTGGCGACGACGCATACATGGCACAGATGGACGTGTTCCACCAGATACACTGCCTCAACACGCTTCGCAAGATCGCCTTCGAGGATTTCTACGGCCCGGTTGAGTCTCGTACGCACTCAAAGCTATGGTGGCACCATATCAAGCATTGTACGGATATCCTGTTGCAGAATATCATGTGCCAGGGTACCACGGACCTTATCACGATGAATTGGATGGAGACCCAAGACGGTCCGTTTCCCGACTTCAGTATCAACCATCAGTGCAGAGACTTCCAGACTTTGGTTGATTATCGACAGCAAAAATCTGTAGATTGGGATAAATGGATGAAGATGAAGAAGCCTAAAAGTGTAAAGGAGACTCCGGCGCCAAAGGAGTACTATGAACTATTTGGCTCCGAGACTGGAAACAGTCATGATATGCTTGAGCATGATGGCCACCACTAGTAATGATTATAGTACTGACGAGTTGGATATGATACACTTCAAAAATATTGTAACAGGCCAAGCGAATGTGAAAAGACATTTCCAAAGTTGGCCAAGGCATGTCAGAATTCATTTCCAGCCTCTCAACCAAAACAATATGTCAAGAGAATAGAATCTTTCATTACACTGTACCCATTCAAGTCGAGACAATGGAATTGGGGCGAGAATAAATCCTGACATCCCCTAATGGTTCAAACATTAATTCATTCTACATTATTTCGTCCGATACATACATCAACTGCTGCGTCCTAGACTACGTGGCCTTCTAATACAAGCCATCATATCGTGCCGACTATCTACAGTATATAACATCAACATGGTTACTATCTTTCCAAAACGCCATTTCAACCGTCCTCAGCCCAAGGCGTAGGACGTAGACAAACAACCGCCAAGACAGTGACGTTTTTAGCATCACACTTCCATGAGGGTCCAAATCAGTCGTTCGATGCTCGCGGTCTTCAGAACACTGTATCGGCAAGGGCTAGCAAGATAGTCTCGTGTCCAACACGACGATGCATTCTGACCCAAAGCTGTAAGGGCAGAACGGAAATCCTGTGTTCTATCCATAGGCTCGTATGCATCATTCGGCACAATTCAAAGGACCCGATTACATGACCTCTAACACGTCGCAAGTTCGATCACGTCCTCTTCCTCGGGCGACCACTTGGCGGTCCTTCATCGAGCGAGCATCAAGGCTTCGTGTGTTGAATCGGAGCTGTCACTATTGTGCGCCACAAGAAGATGTTCCTGATCCCTCTCGATGGGTGGTGTGAGACTTTTCTCCCATTCTTTCATGACGCTCGACATTGTCCTCCTTAAGTTTGTGGGAGTGAGCCTGTCAAGCGCTGGCCATTGGATTTCCTCGCGCTTGGAAGGAGTTGTAACCTCGTCCGAGAATTCAGCAATTCTGGCACATGTCAGCTCGAATGTACAGCGCTAATTATCTTTCTGCTTGTACTTACTTGACCGTACTATCGGCGGTACTATCGTGAGAAGGCGTAGCCGGATCAGAAGCAGCTGTACTACTACTCCATCTCGGACTTTTTGGTATTGGTGAATCCCAGCTAGGCCATTCGTCGTCTAAATCTGGGGCTGCTGAAGTTGAAGCTTTCGCCTCTGTTACCCCAGTTGTCTTCTTTGTTGGGCGTGGGGTATCTGAGTCCGATCCTGGTTCGACTGTATCCAAGGAAGGAGTTCCAGTCAGCGTTTCCCATGTTCGAGGCGACACTGATCTGGGAGACGGTACCTTCCGACCTTTGTCGCCTCGAAGACTACCTTTACTGACTTTCCTGGCTGGCGCTTTCGCAGAAAGGGTTTGTTGCTTTTTTATGGGATCATCAGAAGCCTCATCTCCAACTGTCGCCTGTCGCAAGTCTTCCATAAAAGTCCACAAACCAGCTTTGAAGTCCTCAGCGATCGTTTTCGCGCTTTGTGTCACACCACCGTGATAAGATATAGGCCTTGCACGCTGCGATGACACTCGCGTGATGCCCTGACTAGTATCCGGCATGGTACTAGTCCTCGGAATGGACTCGGAATGCCTCTCGCTGGTCGATTCATGGACTGGTGGAAATGGTCGGGAATAGTGTGATCTTTCGGGCGATAAGAGTGACAACGTTCGATGGTGACCCCCAGTTATAACTTTCCTTCTCGAATTATTTGGAATATGAATGTTACTAAGAAGCAGCTTTCTCCTGTCCATTTCTGCACTCTCTCTCACTGGAATTGCGGCTTCGTCCTTCGAGTTTGCAGTGGCAGAGACTGTCTGCAATGCCCGCATCGGCTCGGAATGTTTAATCTCGCCTCTTTTTCTGTGTGCTTCGTGATTTGCCCATTGCTTCTTCAATTTTGTGAGATCCTTTTCCGCTTTCGCAAGCTCCTCCTTCAGCTCTAGCACTTTTCGTTCTTGCCCAGCTAAAGCAACCAAGAACCCATTCGGATCGTTCGGTGAAGGTATTATCTCCACTGGTGTAGGTGGAAATGAGGGGCCTGTCGATGAAGTGGGTGTAGCTCTTATAGACTCAGTGCCATTCGTAGGTGTGGCAACCGGGAAACTCAGCGAAAGTCGATTCGGACGAATTCTGGGTGTATAAGATGATGCTCGAGAGTGTTGCCGTACGATTGGTAGTGGAGGAGGCGCCATAGGGAAATGAGTTCGACTTGGAGAATTGCCAACATGTGGGTTTGGAAGTGCAGCGGGTGGGCTCGACGTTCCCGACGACAAGATGGACTCGACCGAAGCTGGATCGATCGACAAAGGTCTAGGAGAATTGGCCATTGCGCATATCGTGTTATGATAAAACTGTGACTTCTCGTGCTGTAAGAATGGAAATAAAGTCGAGGTCTGTATGATCATTAATGTTGTTCGCAAGATGTCGAGGCGTGCTTTGTTGACAAAAACAATAGAATCCAAGAGCAACAGCAAGGCTATTTTGCGAGATCTCGTGCCAAAAGAAAAGGTAACAATTCAGACTGTCATGACTTTCGTGGTAGAGCACAGCAATAAAGGAATGAATTACTGTCCTGCCATGACGTTCACGCACACAATGTTGTCTGAGAACGGTGAGCGAGTTCTGAATTCTAGAAAAGGAGACTTGAGATAGATGCATGCGGTCAGGATAGCTGCATCCCTGCCTGAGGAATTCCACTTCCAATTTTAGAGATGGGGAAAGCGGCGTTTGGGAAATTGGAGCTGATGCTGCACCAATGTTGGCACGGGAATATAGCCCAGGTTCTTCAATTATTCCGACATAAACATTGTGCTCAGTTCTCAATTTTCCTGAGTTGATGGATTACTCCAAAATATCATATTCCAGATTTGTCTCCAGCGCCGCTTTATAACACTTCACATTACCTCTCGTATTAAACAAGATAAAGGAAGTGTCAGCAAATGGGTGCAAGTCGATAGGGATATAGTTACATCTAGACAAGCAGAGGATGTAGACAGAAGATATGACAATACGACTTTGTGATTTGTGCTTGGAGTACCAATTGTTCTGTGCCTAGGGCTGGACCTCCGATGATTCAAAATCGAGTCACATGAGTATGCAAGAGTCTTATTTATATCACGCGACCTCGCGTCTTCTTGGCATTGGTCGCGTCAAACAAACCTCGCTTCCACGTCAACATAACATCAATTGCCTGCTCACACTTTTTGAATGATTATCCATTATCAAGCATTACTACCACATTGCTCTAAACAATTTTGGTTCCGTTCTCGAAAGCACATTCATAAACTATCATGAATTGTGTTGGGGATGCCCTTTCCGTTCATATATGTGTGTGATCTGCTAGAAAAGTGTGAGCAACTCCTTCCTGATTCCCCTCCTACTCCTCACTTCGCATTATGCATCTTGCCACCCTCAAATGTCATTCTCGCTAGCTAGGAAACGATGGGCATTGGGCATAATCTTTCATATTCGACTCTGAGGCTGATTAATCGGTTCTGCAGTGGAGCGCCCATATCTTCGAGATGCTCCATATCTCCCCAACCATCTCAAGAAAATCGCACAAGATGAAACTCTCAAATGGTTCCAACGCCATAGAGATAAACTCAATGAGTTTGCGACTAGCAATGGGATGGTGACTGGGATGCTTCGTCCAGAAACCTGGAGCGACCGAGATTACGGGTGGGAGCCAGTGACCTTGGAGCCTCTCATAGCGAGACTGCTCAAACTCACAAGAAGTCAACTTCATGAATTACAGAAGTGGAAAACTCACCCTCACCTTGGAGACTTAGGTGCTCACGCATGCCGTATTCTGGAGAACATGAATCATGTAAGTCTGCAATCACTCTGCCCGAAACAGCAAGTAAGCTGATCACAATCATAGTCGGCCGCCGTATCAGTAGCTGCTAAGGTGACAGTAGAAGAAATCGACAGAATCCTAATTTTAATAGCGTCACGAAACCGCAACTCATCTAACTCACTTCAAGAACTGGCTGTCAAATGCAAGGACGACAGGCCCATTGCCGAGTTGCATGGAATTTTCAATCGACTGAGGCCTCGAGAGATCAAATGGCTTACGAGATTGTTACTGAAAAATACAGGCTTGGTGGCTGTTCCAGCCGACTTTGGCGTGTCCTCGTATCAGAGTCAACTTCCGAACTGTGTAACCGTTCGTATCGAAATACCTAAACCAACCATACCTGTCCTTAAGCTCGGAAGCACAGGCACATTTCGGCTGTCAAAGTCGAACCAGAAGCTACAGCTACTCTCAGGCAAGGCTATCGATGTTCCCCAGCAGTCATCAAATTCATCGACAAGCGCCCCATCGAGGAAAAACAAGGCTCACGCAAAATGGGAACGTCACAGCAAGCGAAATATAAAGAATGTGAAAAGAGATATTTCTAAGCATAGATCATTTTCCACTCTCATTGACGGGCCAGTCGTCTCAGCTACCTCGAGATCTACCGTCTTTGACGCAGCAGCTGCTATTGGGGAGACGCCTACTTGTCGGCCCAGAAAGAGCAGAGAAACAGCAAGACATGTTTCACCTAATGCTCTTGTATTTCAGCGAGGTATACTTCAATCCCTTGAGCCGAATTCGATCGCTAGCAACCTCTCTACTGGGACTAATTCTTGTTCGACGCATAGCCAGAAGTTAACCGTTTGTTCTCATCATGTAAGCTTTAGACAGGAAAATAGCATCGACTCTACCTTCTTGTCTTCAAGCGAAACGACCCAAAATACGAACGGATTGTCTTCCCGATACGATGTGTCATCGCTGCTTGAGCCATCGACTCTGAAGCCTCATGAGAAGGTCTCTCGGTCCTGTCAGTCAAAATGTTCTTTAATTCTTGACACAAATGATTATAGCCCGAAGGTCAAAAATGGACCACGTTTGAAGGAACCACATGTTGCGAGACCAATTTTACGTACACCGCCGGGTTCGGAATCCCAAACGTTGTCTTCGTCGAAGATTGATCAAATGTCCATTCCAACGAAGAGAGGAATATTGCAAACGCCACCGAATTCGCGAGTAAAACGACCGAAACGGGATTTCTCGCGTGATGGTGTGGTGCTACAGCCACGAGAGATTAATTCCATGCTATCCTCCATATCACCCGTCTCAGGACTTTCAAGACACACTCACACCGCGAAGCTAGCCGCACAGCCGAACGGCAGTCAGGTTTGCTCACCAAAGAAGGTCGTCGTCACAAAGCCGGTCACCCATCCACCACAGTCTACGAAGACTTCCGTAACAGCCTCTCCACTGATCAAAGCAGGGGGCGAGTCCTGTGCCCTTGGCACAGCCACTTGTCCCTTGATCAATTGTATTTTCTTAGTTCCTCCTTCACTGCCTTCCGGGGCCAAGAACCGGCTCATATCTAATCTACTCCCTCGGCACGCCTCTACCTATCTCACATCTATTCCCGAGCTTGCGGATCCCTCTCTTCCACGGCGATGTCCCGTCACTGGCAGAAAATACCGCAAGATTGTTCTCATTGAGCCTCGCGAAGTAGAAGAGTCGAAAAGAATATTGATCCAGGTTGAGGGGCTGAAGCTCACCAGAAGCCAGTATAGGAAGGTGTGGGTTGAATGTTGCGATTGGAGGCTACTTGATGGAATTGCCAAGAGTGAACAAGAACTCGAAGGCAGTAGTGCCAATTTGTGGAAACGGTACTGGATGTGCGCCGTTTGACTACGACTCTCTGGTGCGCTAGCCTATTCCAGGCTTCTATGAACAGACAGTTATGATGGAATAATATGATTGAATTTGCATTGGGTAGGAGCGAGCATTGAAATGGGCGTCTTGTCTTGTTTTCATGATTTAATAGAATAGAACCTTGGGATACACAGTATTCAAGTTTACACAACAGCGGTTAATCCACAGATTATACTGCGTTTTTGCCGAGATTTGCGTTGCTCTTGGATCTGAACACACTAACGAGAAGAAAGTTGCCTCGATATCGACATCTGAAAGGGGCTGTGTCAGTCCCCTCAAAACTCAAGGGGGAAAAAATTAAAGAAAACAGTATAATGCCAACAAGTCAACAAGTGCACTAAGAACCAAGACAACTCAAATATATGAGTTCACGATTCTTAGTAAGCCTAGGGACCCTTTCAATCACGAAATGTATCAGAAGACGACAGTCTCAAGCCATTCCAGAACTTTAATCGACTTCAGATGAGACGAAACAGTGCTACTAGCAAGCCATCCCGGTGACATGGAGCTGGAAACAAGAAGCGCTAAGTCAACTAACGACTGCCGGCTTTTTATGTCGTTATGCACTCTTGATGAGATGCTGCTGCGGACAAGTCCCATTTCTTGGCACCGGTTTTTACAACTGGCGTCGAGCTTAGGATATGGCTGTGCATGCGCTCTTAGCGAGCATCAAGTGTGAAAAGTAGATATACTCTTGGCTTTAAAAGCGTCGTGTACATTTGTATTTTTCGAGGCGTAGAGAAGAGTGTGATGCCGAGCCATTCCTGTGCTGGGATTTGTGAAGTCTAGATTCTACGTGGCCTTACCAAGGTACTGTGGCAAAGGTAATTGTCAGCAACATACTGTTTTAATTGGATTGTTAGGTTTCAAATAAACCTCGAGTTACCTCAAGGAGATATCTTGGAAGACATGAATACAAGATATCACGTCCCTTTACTCCACCAAACATGTAGTTTTGTGTCAATTTCATCGACTCGATATCGCGTCTCAATTATCATATATCTTATCCACTGCGAGCCGGATAAAGTATACGGCTTTTGTATATGTTGGCATTACTTTTCTTTGAAGTTCTGGGAATATTCCGGGGTGGGCTTGTGCCACCGTCGGTTGAGCTTGGACGTTGGCAGAAGATTAGGTTGACGATCATTGACGATTTGGTTTATTCTTTTGGATACCCCTGAATTAAATATCGAAACAATTGGCTTCAATGCTACCGTGATTGACGCATGGGCTCGATATTCGAGGCACCAAAAACACTTGTGGCATCTCCCGCACGTGGACAGTCGTAAGTCATCTCCTATTCTACCGCCAAGCATCGTCGTACTCAACGCCTCACAAAGTACGTCCCCATATACAAGGGACCAGACAGCTGTCAGCCCAGGATCCCATGTTGAACGTTACGAATCTCGGCTTCACGGAGTCGAGACTTGCCTGATTCACAATCATGAGGCAGTTTGAACAGTGTTGGCACTCTTCTATTAGAGTTCGAACTTGCACCATCGTGGCTTATACACTTTTCACAGAGTCAAGATACTTACATTATGGGTTGGTGGCAGCCTTTTGGGAGTCTTGGTATTTCTTACCGCCAAGATGTCGAGGGGTTGAAGGCGCAATGTGAGATTGCGAGACATTCATATCCTATTCGAGAAGCATGGCAAGGACGTTGTGAAAAGAGACGTGCGTAGTATATAATGAGTTCGTGTACCCGTCCATCATATTCTCTCCGCCAGCTTCACAGCGCTTGTCTTTCTTTAACCATTTTCTTTTATTTCTACTCATTTCGGACTTCAAGGCAATTAACAGAAATGCCAAAGATGTTTCAACTAGTTTTCGGTCTCTTTATGGCAGCATCTACAATTGCTTGTCCAGAACATGGCGCTGGCTGGGAAGCGAGTGCTCTTGGTCGACGAGCAACTGCTGAAAAGGATTGGACATACGATGCCTCCCACAAATGGGGTGATACCAACCCAAGTAAGTATCCTTTCATGAGTATCCTTTCATGTATATCAGGAAATCTCTAACATATTCACAGATTACACACTTTGTAAAACCGGGACTATGCAAGCTCCAATCAGCTTGAGAATGATAGATGGATTTGCCGAAACTCACACTCCAACCTTCAACTACACCACTCAACTGTCAGGGAACCTGTTCAACTGGAATTACGGTGCGGCATTTGATAGAGTTTCCAACGACACGATATCATCCTCCAACTCTTTCACGTTCGATGATGAAACCGTCTACCTGAAAGGTTGGCACATCCATGCTCCAGCTGATCATTCCGTCGACGGCATCAAATCCCGCGCAGAACTGCATCTCGTTCACGCCGACGCAACTGGGACAGAACGTGCAGTCCTAGCCATACGTATGGATCCTGGCACCTCCGACTCCCCCTTCGTAGCTCAGTTCGTGTCCGCCATCAACGATACTTCTCCTGATGTGACGAAAGTCCCGAACTTCGATTCCACGAATAGAGTGCCTGTTCAAACTATGGATGTCAGTCTTGCGTTGAAAGAAGTCGGTAATTTCAAGAACTATTGGACTTATAACGGTGGTTTGACTTCGCCCCCTTGTAGAGAGGGGATTCGATTTTTCGTTGCGGGTAAAGTCATGATGGTGGGTATGAAACAGATGCAGGAGATTTTACAGATCAGTGCCTTCTCCACAAGAGCTGAGCAGATGATATGGATGCACGAGGTCAACGTCTAGGCGGCTGTGTGCTTGTTGATCTTATGCTGGGTAGTGAGTTGTGTAAGAATTTAGGTTGAGGGTATTTAGAGGTTTCTGTATATAGTATTTAGATTAGAACGGTTCTCAAATTGGGAATCTATAAAAGTAGATTGATATGATGAGTATCAATGTGAGACTTGCTTGTCAAGGAGAGTGTTGAATAGAATATGTGTTTTTTTGTAGAATTCCTCCCCTTTCTTGACCTCAGAAAATTCGGAGTATTACTTGACGTGCAAAATACATTGTATTATGTGCTGTGACAATCGTACAAGAAATAAATACTGATAGTCACGTTTCAACACGTGGTAATATCTCCAAACTTGGGCGAACGCGTGTTTCTGCCTTCGAGTATGGGCCGATTCTTGTGGCCAAGAATGCCGTCATGCAAATAATTTCCTCCGATCAAGCACACCACCTTGTGAATTAGGATCTGTATACTAGGTATTTACCTCCACGTCCTCTTCCTGGACTCAGTAGGATGTTTTCTATAAAGTATATTCGTACGTACTGATGGCTGTCGGCGATAAAATGCACTTAACAACCCCGAAGCCGACCGACCGGAGCGTCAGTTCCTACCCCACCATTACATAGCCAGCGCATCTACGTGTGTATTGGTAAGTGATATGGCGAATTGCTCGTCGTTGATTAGTTTTGCTTCCCTTTCTACTTTTCATTGATCGCACATTTATATCTCATTTTCATTTACGTTCGCCCGGCGAAATACTGCTTGAGCATAGGCATATCCACAAAATCACGAAACACGATCTCTAAACCTTACGCAACTATGCCCGGTCAACCAGACCTCCCCGATCCAGCACATGCCGACGTCGACTCAATGCTTTCTCGAAAATTCGGCCGTGAAGTAGCCAATTACTTCTCGGGCTCCCCTCTAAATCGCGTCTCGTTCCTGCGCGCAGACCACGGTTTTATCTCCAAAGCTATCACTCACCCTTCGACTTCCTTCCTCCTCCTCAATGACCTAGCTCCGCTCACGAGCGATCCCTCACATCTGGCGTACGCGAATCACGACGATGTGCGAAAGCTCATTGGCAATAATCCATTCGAAAAGACGGAGCAAGAAATGATCAGCGCATACAATAGCAGTATCACCCTGCCGTTGGTACTGTTTTTAGGACTGGACGAAACAAAGAAGGACGGTTTCGAACATGGGATATATTCTGGTACACCTTTTTTTGCCATCGATGTCACTCCAAAAGGGTCGGTAGAGAAAGAGGCACAAAGTGTTATAGAGGAAATGAAAAAAAGGGGATTGGCATTTGCGGAAGGACGTTTAAATATGACTTTAAACGCCCCAGAAGGTACTTTCGCGTTTCCCATGGAGTATCATCAATGAATTCTAATAGAAAACAGCTGCCATTTTTGCCCAGGCAAGGGCTTTAACGGATTGGAACGCACGAAATCCATTCTGTGGAGGCTGCGGTCAACCCACCCTATCTATCAATGCAGGCACTAAACGTGTTTGCCCGCCTACGGATATTGCTTCTCTCCCAACAGTTCAAGGCGGCGCAACGACTACTGAAGCTACTCCCCGGCAACGAGAAGCATGCGTGACAAGAAAAGGCATTTCCAATCTTTCATTCCCACGGACAGATCCTACCGTCATTATGGCCGTAGTGTCTCATGACGGAAAACGTGTACTTCTAGGTCGTCAAAAGCGCTGGCCTCCTCATTGGTACTCTACATTGGCTGGATTCTGTGAGCCCGCTGAATCGGTGGAGGAAGCGGTTCGTCGCGAAGTGTGGGAGGAGTCAGGTGTGCTGCTCGGGCGAGTAGTGATCCATTCCACGCAGCCATGGCCATACCCAGCGAACCTTATGATCGGAGCAATCGGGCAAGCGCTGCCAGACGGAGAGAAAATTCATCTGGAGCATGACCCGGAGTTAGAGGATGCGAAGTGGGTAGAGATTGATGAGATCGAGGAGGCTTTGAGAGTGGGAACCAGTGGGTTGGGAGAGGCTGCTGGATCTGAGTACAAAGAAGGCGGGTTGAGACTGCCACCTGCTACGGCTATTGCTAATCAGCTTCTCCGGGCTGTTGTTGGGGGTTTCTTGGATGCTGGTGAGACGAGTAAGATATAGGCAGCTAGCAGCTATTTAGATCTTTACGCTGTTTAGATGAGTAGATTGTTGTATATCAAGATAGCTGTGGATAAAACATATACAATAACCTCATAATCTCCTAGTAAACACTGGTGTAAGTATGATTAAAGCTCATGACTTTACATAAAAAAAGACTACTTATCTTTTCCATGGCGAGCCGCGCCAGTGATTCCATTTGAATTAACTTTATACACACCTCTTTGTGTCATGATCACGACAAAATTCTGCCTCCCAAGCTATTATAACGCATTTTGGTTGAGTAAATTGTTACTCTATCTGCTTCATTCGCTCAAATGGTAGATGAAATCTAGTAGATTGTGTTAATTATAGTGATTATCCATTGAATTCTTCAGTTTATTGACGAAAACGAGATATTTCGTAAGCTTGATCAGCTGAAAGTCGATAGTTTGCAGGGATCATGAAACACAAAGTTTCGTAAATTTGGTCGATTACATATACTGTTTCGACAACCACTTCACTCTGCTTGAGGTATTGGCAGGCAGGCGTGACGGTGTAGAGATAATTCTCTTAATAGATTCGTATATGAGAAAAGAGGTAACACAGGGAGAAGTACTTTTCGGCACGTTAAGATAGAAATATCTGCGTTGAATATGAACTGTTTCAACTCCTTGTCGGGGAAACGAGATGTAAGAGTAAATAACTATAGGCTAAAAGAAATCCTTGACGTCTTTTGGAAGTTGGTGGTCTATGGCAGTCACTGTCTTGCAAGTCTTGATTTTGAAATCAAAGTAGATTTTGATATTGTACATTTACCAATTTTGATTGTACAGATCTAGCATAATAAATAAACTCCAGCATTGGTATACATTTAAAAGCAAAAACACAAAATGATATCCTCCAAGTACACACAGACCAAAACATCTTCGTCCTTTGTATCCTACTCCTGCAGATCGTATCCAAAGCGACTCTCTAACATAAATGATTGAAAGTAGATATTCGAAACGACATCCTCCACATATATCCAGGCCTAAACATCTTCGTCCTCTGTATCCTGCTTCTTAAGTTCTTTTCTGAAGCGACTCTCCCTCGCACTTTTTACAGCGCCCCAGTTATAATTCGAAGGAAAGTTCACGGCTGCGAAGAGACCATCCCCTTCACGCTCGATAGCCTCCCGATAGCAGTACAGCATCGCTAGCAATAAGTGAAGGTCTATGAACGCGTTTGCTTCTGACAGAGTCCGTTTCTCAGATGCATGAACATAGGTCAACTCAAGGTTGCGAATATGGCGAAAGTCCGGCCTTTGAGAAGTTCGCCACCAAGACTCGAAGATCTTTGCCCTAGGATGACAGTGTTTGAGAGGTAAATCGTTGGACCCTCGATTCGATATTGGTCCCTCCACATCCAGATCCAAATCGACTGGTACAAATCTTCTTGTTTTCGTCGGGGCATGTGTCGAACAATTTCGAGGGCGGCGCAATACATTGAGCAAAGGAGTGGCTTTGCTAGGTGTCCAGGCATTCCGTAGATGTGCATCCCGTGCTCTCATGATTCTCAATTCCATGAACCGTGAATATTGAGATCTGATTGTTGGAAGCTGAATGCGTTCGTGGAGATATTGGGCCTCCGCGACAACAATGATCTTGTTCAGATTACACCGCTCGGATTGGCTAAACCAAGATCTTTGATTCTCTATAATTAGATGTGACGAACCTCTTTTTGGCCGCCATATTGCGCAGGATCTGAACTTGGATATAACTCCAAGCGTTTTCTCGTCGAGTGCCATCATGGTCCTATTGCACGGGAGAAAGTATACGTCCCTCGCTGGGTCGACATAAATGACAGAGTCCTGGTGCACACCACTTTTGAACTCAACGATAAACATCTTGGAATATATGCGATTGATCTCCTCATTAGATTCGACGCAAGTTCTTGCAAGCGAGGCAAGTCTATAGTTGCTCTCTTTTGTAAGTGTGAACCAGTCATTATCGTCTCTGAATTTTCCATTGAAGCCGTTATAGTTGTGACACCAGTCATGAGTGCAATAGGTGTCATTGCGTTCCCGACACTCACTCCCGCGCGGCCTATCACACCTCGTATGTACATTGATCAGCCGAGGGCCTGGAACTGCCAGCTTCCAGATTTTGGCACGCAGCTCCGCCGGTAGTCTTTTGAAGCAAGTAAAGCTTTTTGTGTCCCCCTGGACAAGCTTCACTCTCTGACTCAACTTCGATACTCTTTGTACAGCTTCTGGGCCGCCATGAAAATCGACTACTAAGTCTCTAAGGAAGACTGCTAGGTAGTCTGCTTTGATGTCGAAGCAGAAGCGTTTCGACTCGGCGAACATCGAATCTGTCATTCCCTCTCCGCAAAGGGTTTTGTGTATAACGGCTGAAAGCTTGGACAGTGGCATTGTGGGCAGCTCACGAACAATATCGACATGCCCAGGGGGTTGCTTTTTACGCCATGCAAATAACGCTCTCCGCAGCTCCTCAATAGTGCGCCTTGGACCACTATTATGTATCTTGGGCTTGGCCTTGTCCATAGCGATAAGTTGCCCTAGTACCGAATCAGCGTTACTCACTCAACAAATGCTGGAACAGTCGGGCGTTGATACTAGCTGAGTGATCCGTCATTTTTATAAGTCAAAGTTGATCAGCTCCCGGGGTGTCGTATTCAGTTGTTGGTGTAGGGTGTCCGGAAATACTGCAGTCATTAACGAAAGTATAAGGTTTAAATTGCAACAGGATGTTTGAGAAAAAAGGAATGAGGTTACAAGATTGAGTAGGGCGAGATCCAGGCAGCTTCAAGGGTTTTCTTGGAACTACTGTCTGATCAGAGCGGCCGACTAGAATTTCAAGCCAATTGCAAAGGTGAAAACCACTCGATGTTTAGACTGATCAGAATTTGTGTTATGATGTCAGCCGCACCGAATGAAGAGACGAAAGATCAAAAATCATATGAATCGTGCCTACTAATTAGTTAGGCTTTGCAGTGGACGCGACAAGTGGCAGTAGCTTCTGACTAACCTGTTAAACCAGACTTAACTTAAGAGTTGGTGGGCACTTATAGTCTCAACATGTTTCGAATAAATCTGAGATTGTCATATTACTAAAAAAGAAAGACGAAATATGGGTATTATGACATCGGATCGATAAATATCTTCGCCTGCCACTAACCTAACTTTTGTTCATCTTACGCTGCCAATATGAGCACTACCTAGATGACTCATCAAGCTTATTGATTGTATCGCGATCTTGCGCCAGCCAGAGACTAGTAGTAATGTATGCAAAGCCACTATCACGGGAAGAGGGAGGGTCGTTGGAGATGTAAGGGCATATCAAAACTCATCCATCGAGTTCACTTGTTGCAACGAAGCAAAAGAGGTCCCAGGACTGTATCAGTTCCAGAACCAACCAGGCTTTGATTTTTGGTCTTCTGGTTCCGATACATTTTGCGCGGCACTCTCCTGTGCAGAGGTCGCGGGCGGATCCTCGAAGTGGCTAGTAGTGGTACATGACTCTCTGCCATCTGCGAAACGCTTCCATACGGTCACTGTGGTCTCTATTGATCCATCTTCGTTAGTATGGTGCTCAGAGGTCGTGCTTGACGAGACCACTCGACTAGAATCCTGCACTAGTTTGGAAGTTCCACTTGGAGTATTCTCCTGCACTTTTGTCCTTGATTCGGGTTCAGTTTCATTTTTGTCAGTGGCTTCAGTCGATGCAGTGACAAAAGCCTCTCGAAACTGCCGTACGTCTTTCATGATAGAAGAGACATTCTCTTTGATAGCTCTTCCGGTCTCGTCCGAATCTAGATCCTGGAACAGTCTTCGTATCAATGCTTCACCTTCCTTAAGAATAGCCGCGAAAACGTCATCTACTGGCATCCCGGACTGGCCAGTGGCGGATGAGAGTGAGTTCAGAAAGCGCTCATACATCTCGACTTCAGTATTGGCCTCCTCGCGTGAGTCTTCCTGTGGCCAAATGGGGCGAGGAAAACTTCGCCATGAGGCTCTCTCTTGCAATTCTATCGAGGTCTTTTGTTGTAGAAGACCAATATTATAAAGTTTCTGGATCCAACTCATTCCGTCCTGAGAACTTTTGGGATTCCCACTGAAATTCCGATGAACACCTGAGTAGTGCGACCATGATGGTGCTTGCGGTTGCCCAGATGCTGTCTTGATAAGATCTTCAAAAGCAGCACAATAGTCGAATGTGTCCAGATGGGGCATTGAGGGTGTTTGCGACTCCATTGATAATTTCAATGGAGAATAATCGGAGAAGAGCAGGTATGGGAGCAATGAGTATTCAGCGCGGAACATGGGTTCGCAATTGAGCTCGTTGTAGGCTAGGTATCGTATTGTTTTCATCATATCCGTTGAATCCTGGTCGCTTCTTAATTTGAAAGGCCAGTATTCAGGACGAAGGAACGATTGGCGACTAAGGGAACTGATGAAATTCGATGGCTTCCAATCCGGCTCGCTATCTCCTCGCTCTGCCAACCGATTGAACAATGACTTGTATACAGGAGAATATAATGGAAGGTCCTCGGTAATGCGGCTTTCCAGCTCCCGCTTCTCATCTCCATGTGGTGGTATATCTGGTCCTTCTCTTTGCCTAGCCCATTGCTCCTTCGAATCTCGGCCTAGCCCCAGATTCCGATCCCCACTATCTGCATCTCTCAAATGCTGCTGCTGTGCCTGGAGCTCGTCTCGCCGTCGAAGATCTTCATCGAAGTCTGCCCATCTGGCGTTGAGGCCTGGGTTTTTCGAGAACGCTGACGGCAAACCAACGATACCTTGAAGAAGTGAGCCGATGTGCGAGTCTGCAAACTGGCGAAATTTGATGAACGGATTATCCTGCTTCGATTGGCCTTTGTCTTCACTCGAATTGTTGCCGCGGTCCGCATTGGAAGCCATAATGGCCATCTGATATTAAGTGTGTTGTTTCTGCAGATTCGATGCCGTGCCTGTGCGTGTTGAGTTAAGGTTCATCGACGGGCGGTTGAGAGCAAGGAAGGAGCTTGGACGCCATTGGCAAACGCGGGGTGCGAGTGTGAATAGCGGCATGGACACCATCAAGTCGGGTTTGCTTCGCCTGCGATGGACATTATCCTGGTCGCTTTCTTATGTGCACTCGATATAATGATATTCGCACTGGTACGACTCGACGAACGGGCGGCTCGACACTTCATCGCGCATGATTTCCAAAAGTGCTTCGAGTCAACCCACACATCCGCGTTGTCGACCCGCAAACCTGCAATTGCTTCTCAACAAAACACAGAGGCAATGTCTTCTTACCTCCCATAAGCTCCACAAAAAACATGGCAACGGAAGATGCTCCAACTGGAACCACCTCCAAAGCGCTGCCAGCAATCGAGTCGACCCCGCATCAACAGCAAACCCCCCAGTCCTACCACCCGTCAACCCCCAATTCAAAGAGAAGACACTCTCTCCCCTTGCATTTCCTTCCTCCAACACTTTGGAATTTCAACTCCTCCGCGACGAGCCTCGTAGTAGAGTCAGAAGAAGCCGCTCAGGGAGAGCACATTCTAGACGAGGCTACTATTGCTCACCGAATCGGGGCACTTCGCCAGCTCAATGGTGCAACGCGATCTGGCCATCGATATGCAAAGTCAACCGGAGCCAAAAACAGTACCTTTAGTCAACCTGTGATAGTTCGAACATATTCAGGAGCAACAAGACCGACTTCCCAGCAAAGAGATCTCGTCACTGTTAAGGAAGCAAATGGGCACTCGAAAATGAGTTCTGCAAAGATTGATTTGAAGCTCCCCCCGGTTGAGGCTTTTAGTTTCAAAGGAATAATGGAAGAGATCAGGAATGGGGTATCAGATGATTTAGAGAGAATTGCCGAGATATGTGCCAGGAGCAAGTACAGCTTGAGCAATCAGTACGAGGTCCACATGCCACCTCATGGACGCGGAGAATCCTTCCTACCAAGCGGTCGTCCTCCCGTATCGAGTACGAACAATGTAGGACCTACGCTACAGGCGGTCGGATCGGATGATGAGCATGGTAGGCAAGCAGGACGAGGATCCAGAGGCGGTAGAAGAGCGAAATCGGCAGCATATGGCACGTTGGAGACGATTATGTCTTCGTCAAGATCATCTGACGAAGATAATTCTAAAAAGATGTCTGCAGCAGTACTTGCAGAAGAGGTCCGTGGCCGAGCCACAATGAAGGGGGTGGGTACGGATACACCATCGAACGTGAAAGAGCTCGCTGGAATCGGGTCGTCCACGCAACGACCGGGCCATGCTCGATCCAAATCAGCCACCTTTGCCTCGGTCGTTATTGACAGTGCTCAAGGGTCCAAGAATGATTCTTCTACATCTCAAGTGCTCTCACCAAGCTCACTGATCAGTGAGCCCGCTCGGCCGAAAACTTCAATACCGGCAGACCTTGTTAGCAAGCCGGTCTTCGGTGATACTCCAGCAACGCCTACTTTGCAAAGCCTTATGTCATTGAAGCCTGCTATGATCGAGAATCAGTCTCGGGCATCAGCACACAAGTCTGAGTCCACTCCTAAGCCGTCCATCCTCGGGGGCTTGAGTTCTTGGTTGCCCTGGAACAAGCCTCAGCAGGCCAGCTTTCCTGGCACACGTAGAAGTGCATCGCATGCTGAAGGCAGTCTCAGGGAATTACTGAAAGCGACTGATGTCGATCCTAAAGGGAAAAGGGTTGATCGTTTCGGTTAGGGCCGTGTTTCCTCTCAATCTTTCTACACAGTTGGCTTCCTCGACCTCATTTCCCTTCCGTCATCTGTACGAACCAGGGACCTACCAGGAGACCCTTTACGGAATTACTGCGCCTGTGGGGTCCTAAGCAACCCCTTCAAACCCAGCTACGACGATGCACGTAGCTTGTACGGCAATCGTCAATCACCGCAAACAACTTCCACAATATGACTCCGAGCGAATTCGAAAGTTGATGCCATAGACTACTTGCTTTGTTCTATATGAACGCGCTCTTTCGTCTGAAGGGAGTTTATGACAGCGATTCGACATCTGAGATGTTGCACGATTGTTTCTGCACAAATATGAGGTTAGTTTGTGTTGAAACCTGATTGCTGCCTTTCATTTTTCCCTACTGAAATTTCTTTATTTAAGGCGCTGGCTAACAAGTTGTCTTGAGGCCGTTATCAAAAGAGGGATTAGTACCTAAAATGTCAAAAGAACCTGGAAGCCGCCAACTCCAATCGCTCATAATCCAACCACTCACCACAAAACCCACACCATTATACATTCACCTCGTTCTGACAATGACGGACTGTTCCTCAGAAGTCTGGCCTGTCAAGTAAAGATGCCGTCTCACAGCGTCTATGCAATTGCTTGAAGGTCAATGGAGCATCGTATCGCCCTAATATATTTGAAGTTCACAACGCCGACCTTGCTGTGTTTCGCGTATAGGCTCGTTTATACCTAGCTCGTAATACCTGGTTGGGATAGGGTTGTAGGATATTGAGTATGAACAGACAATGGAGCCATCAGTCTGCATGGGTTGGACGGCTGCTCTGTTAGTTACATGGCAGGCTTCTGACTCGTGTTGTGGAGATTATAAAGATGCCTGATACAGTAGGGCGAGAAACCCAGCTCATCCACGTCGAAGACCTTCCATGTTGTGATGCCTCTGCAACGTGTATGAGAATCTTCCAGACCTGGAAGAGCTGATGCGCTTGTACTGGAGCGTCGATCGACAGGTGATGCAATTTCATTGAGAAGGATAATTGCAACATACTCGGTGGAAGGATGTCTATGTATTTTTGAAATTTAAAATTGATAGACCCAAGTTCTTCAGGTAATATTGTATAATATCAGCCAATAACCTTAACCATTAGACCTGCAGTTGCCGAGGTAGAGTTCCGTAAATTTTCAACCAATTAAATTATCCTCAAAATTTGATCTCTTTGACGCTTGCTAAATTTCTTACTCGGGACTCAATATCCTTTGATTCAGTTGAGTAATTGACGCAGTATCTCGCAGTTGGCGAGGTTTTCTTCCGCACGATTTTGGGCAATAAATACAGAGGATGCACAATCGATTTCGAATTTGAACTGTTCACCGCGAGTACAATTCCCACAGTTCTATCATTTCCCATTCCACTGTATCTAAAGTAAGCGAAAACTCTTTTCAAGACCACTTTCTTTATCCGACTTACCACTGTAGGACCAGGAACAGTATAGTTCTTGAAATTGTTATAGATATTAACGGTGTATCCAGGATCTGATGAACTGAACGCCCCTGGAATGGATACTAGTGGTCCTGGGGTTCCAGCTCCACCGTTCGTAACGGTGACTTGTGTACAGCTTATGTAAAATTGGGGGATTCCTGCGGGCCAACTACAAGAGCGCCCGTCAGTGATAACTCTCGGACAGAAAGAATGAACTTACGGATTGTGGATTGCCAGTTGCTGTGTTCGGAGGAGATAGTCACCGCTTGGTAAACCGGCTGGAAATTTGGATGTATAGGTTTGAGAGAGTTGCCATGCGGCATTGCCAGACGCATCGAAGGTTGGGCCAATGTCTTGGATCTTGAACCACACCTTTCCAGAACCATCAAAGGCGGCAGCTGTTGAGCCACTAGGGACTTTGGCCATGTAGAGTGAGACTGGTCCTTGGTGATAGACGGCAATGTCTGCGTTTATCGAAAAGGCATCACCTGCTTTCACGCTGATGGTCTTGGTGCCGGTTCCGGTACCTCCGCCAACATTGCAGCTAGCTGTGGTGTCAGCTTGTGTAGATGACTTGGCAAAGGAAATTCCAAGCATACCGTAAGTCATTGGAAGCTAGATCCGTAACAGGGCTATTGTTATTGGTGTTTGGACGAATGTATTGATAGACTGGATAAAGAGTCCCGCCGTACGTCAACTTTTGGAAAATGTCTTGCTTGTATTAGCAATTGATACCAACATAACTCACATCAATGAAGATACTTACAATGACCCGAAGATTGGCTTATCAAAGTCGAGAGACCTAATGCTAGAGCAGTGAATGACTTCATCTTGAAAAGTTTCTGACTTTTGACTGCTAGTAAATCTATACTTCCAGGAGAACACCCAATCCGCAGGTCAGAGAGATACTCTCTTATATGTCCCGGCGAGACATTCCCGGAAGTTCCTAGCATGAACAAATTTACCCCGGAAATGTCATCACACGCTTGTATGGACCGATTTGCCGTTTAAAATCCAAGGAACTGAGTCTAGTGATCTTTCAAATGTCTCGAGAATACTTGACTCAAGGGTTTTCTCTCCGTGGCCTGCGCTTCTGCAATAGGCAGGACTAACTATTAAGAGCGCGGGGAAGAGATATGTCACAGCAAGCTTACTGGAACGGTTAAAGGTGAGTTGGGGACTATACCTTGGCAATTTAAGCTGTTTTGTTCAAACATATTTGTAAAAAAGACTGACAACAAGTACATCCGTCAAACACTTCTACTTGAGTGCATTTAGTTGAACAAAATAACCCTTGAATCCGTCTTACCCTTCTGAATATATTCCACCTGAACTCTCTACAGGAAATAAATTGTTAATAAACTGAGGTGATGTTAGAACAAGGTTGCTTTGATCCACCAGCACTCTCATGGCTATCTGGAAGAATACAACTCAGATTCAGCCGGCACGGTAAAGCGCACGAATCGTGGAGAGGAACTTGGCGTCTCGTGGCATCTTGCATAAATACAACGGAGCAATAAAGCCGTGATTGAAAATTAATTGCGAGATCATTTATATTCGGAACCTGTCACGCCACTAGACTGGGTGTTGCGGGCTTGAGAGCTGGGGTAATCGGAAGCACGCATTCCGCCAGAGTTGATATTCTCTGTGATATCGAGAGTCATGATGCACATCTTTTTGTAAGCCTAGATATAAAGCTGTGGATTCGGTTGAAATAATGGGAGGCTTTGGGTCGTGCTTCTAGAATGGATCATTTGCCTAACGTTTTGGCACCTAGCACTCGCCAGACAGGTACCTAGGTAGGTAGTTCACTATTGGGTTTGTAGTTTGGCAAACTACGCAGCGCTTCACCCATTTTCCATGGCCCAGAAATACGAAACCAGGTATTGAAAGGAAGAAGTGTATTTTCCCAGGTATTGTGTATCGGCCTTATGCCGAGTAGTGGAAGGGACTACATCGGTGTGGTAAGAATGATCACTGATTCTGGGTACAGAGGTTACTGAAAATTGCATCAGGATATACGTCTTCTATACAAAGTAAAGTGTCTTGGGTTAATTTATGGAATTAAGAATTAACCCACTGTAAAGTAGCATGACTTCATGCATCACTAAGTTTACCCCCACCGCATAAAGATGTCCCAAACGCCAAAACGCCACGCTAAGTCAAAGATAAAGTACAAATTTGTGTGACCTTGAGATGCCCATTATAATTTCATGCAGCCTTACCATTTCTGTGATCCCGCAAAACCCCATCCGAGGTTGACACTCATTCAGCAAATGCCTTCCTTCGCTTCTCATTTTCGCGTTTAATTTTATTGAAGAACGCACTACCCTTGCCGCTCTTCAATTCCTTACTTTTAGATTTATTCTGTTCAACATAAGCCATGTCCTGACCTCCTGCAAGATCACTAAGAGCGCCCGCCGTGCGCCTCGCATTGGCCTTCTTCTTCTTTTTCATAGCTTGACTCTTTCCATCATTGGTATGGAATAGATCGTCACCCCGGTCGTCGAGTTCCAGATCAGCATCGTTTGCCAGAAGGATCGTTTGAAGGAGTTCGCGACGCTCAGCAGGAGTATTGAAAGCCAGATCTGGGAGATCATCAATCCCTTGGAGATGTGTGATTACCTTGAAAGCGTATCCCTGATCAACAAGGAACGCTTGGCGTTTGGATGAGTAGAACATCTCTTGTGTGTCTTTTGAGACTAGAGAATAGAAGAACGCGTTGAAGCCTTCGTCATTACGACGTTTGGCCCGGAGAATACGCCCTAAACGTTGGGCTTCCTGTCTTCGAGAGCCATAGTGAGACGAAATTTGAATGAGGCACGTGGCTTCAGGAAGATCAAGCGACGTATCTCCAATCTTAGATAGGAAAAGAGTGTTGATCTTGTCATTGTGTTGAAAGTTCTCCAAAATCCGCATTCGTTCTGCATTGCCGGTATCACCATAAATAAAAGCCTTGTTGAGTTTTGTAGCATAGGCTTTGAGTGCAAATATGTTGTCTGCGAAAACGATAATCTTATCGCCACGCTTTTCGTGATAGTCAATCAAAAATTGAGCAGCCTGAAACTTTCGCGGATTCATGGTCCACATCAACGGCTTCTTTTTGCTCGGCAGCTTGAGATATTCCGAGTAGAATTCTGTTGTCATGGGACACCACACTTCTGCACACTGTACTCTTGCGATGTGACCATCTTCAGCCAGTTCCATCCAGTTTGCTTCATAAAGCTTAGGACCGATGAGAAAGTTCAAGTCGCTAATCTTATCGTCCTCGCGAAGCAAGGTTGCCGTGAGACCGAGTTTCGAATGTGTCTTGATAGTGGAGGTAACCTTTCTGAACACATTCGCAGGCGCGACATGGACCTCATCCAAAATCATTAGCCCCCATTCTCTTTTAGTAATGAACTCCATCATTTTGTTGGCTTCGTACGATCGTTTACCAGTCTGCGCTACCATAGAATACGATGTGACGATAATTCCAGTACTACCAGAAAATTTGCCCTTGTTGTCCGAGGTGAACACCGCAATGTCGTTCGGATTGATATTCGACCACTTCAGGAACTCAGAGCGCCATTGGTGGACTGACATTGAGCTCGTGCAGAGGATGATAACACCCTTCTTGATTGTGCAAGCGGCAGTGATACCCACCAAAGTTTTACCGGCACCACATGGCAGTACTATAAGACCACTCTTGGCTCTGCCGTTACCAAACATCTTACTTAAACTCTTTTCTTGGTATGTTCGGATCTGCGCGCTAGGTTTTAAATCGATTTCTAAACTCGGATTTGCTTTGTCATTATGGAAATCGTATTCTTCGAGAACGGGTAACCCGAGTTCCAAACACCGCTTTTGTACGATCTCGACACAGTCATCTTGGATTTCGAAAGAGTGCACAGCTTCTACACTTTCTTCTTCCTCGTCGTCCTCATTAAGAATATTAACAATATCCTCTTGCGCTGGCGTTTCATTTGCGGCTTCTGCTACTCTTTCTTTACCCCTCAAATCTGTGGCTTGCTGGACCCCGGCAAAATTCTTGGTACCTGGAATAACGAGGCCTGCCAATTTAGGTGCTATTGTCGTGATGATTTCCTCGGTTCCTTGCACTCTTAGAGGACCGATAACTTCATCCTGAAGTAGTTTTTGCAATTGTTGAGGGTCAGGGCTCTCTATGTAGTGCTTGGTATTTTTCAACACAAGTTTGACCTTGCCATAACTGTGGGTGCAGCTCAAAATGAACTCTCGAATGTTTTCGGGCATCGGAGTCTTAGACATCATGTCGAGGTTACCTATGATTTCCTCCGGCGTCAAGCCGACTGATACAGCCGCATACAGACTATGCGGAGTGAGAGCAAATTCAAAGATGTGCTTGGGTCGGGACAAAGGTTCAGCAACTGTCGTCAGGAAATCCAGCGCCTGCTCTTTATATTTCGCGAAACTTTCGACAATAATTCGGCCTTTTTTGGGATCTATCCACATCGGCCGATTGGCATGATCTGGCTTCAGATTCATCCATGTGAAGTCGTTGTTCCCAAACAGATGGGAGGCTGAGTCTTGTTTTCGTTGCTGACCAGTATCCCTCCTCGCGGCGTATGCCTCCATGGAGAATTTGGCCACATTTTCCTCAACTAATTCCTTCTCGCCCTCACTAGCAGAGGAGTACTCATCACTGCTGCCCAGACTTCTTGGTGTATTGGGGCCTGGAGTAGACACAACAGAGTCCCGTCCAGCTTTAGTCCCTCCTCGAACATCTAAAAGCACCGGTTAGCGATCTGAAAGTGGTAAAGCAAATTCAATACAAGTTGAAAGCCCATACTCGATGTAGCTTTTCTCTTAGGCGGCATTTTCGATGTTGGTCGATGGGTGTTCTGCCTTTGACGTTGTAAGCAAGAAAGAAAGGACGTCTCGTAGTTGTAGTCACCGGAGGCGAAGGCTGTGATTACAAGGATGTCCGTGAATCTGGCCTAGGCAGCACAAGGCTGACAATTTGGCAGGGGCCTGGAAAGTTCTACCAATTCGCGTCGCATGGTTTTTTGGAGGGGCAGCCTCCACGACGTTAACACCAAGGTACAAGAAGTTCCAAAATCTTGAGCGGCACCTGGTAACATTTTCGTCTCAAATAAAATTGACATGTGGTAGGGAATACGCCTTCATGTTTCAGTTCTCATTTGAATCTAATGTTTCTCTAGTAAACACATCCTCAACGCTCAAGTCTCTATTAGAGCGCCTTGTTGTATGGAATTCAATCCACGTACATGACTTCAGTTGCTCACTACATAGGCCGAAAATGGTTCGATTGTGCGGAGTGCCATTTGGAATCTGAATCGCATCCGTTGAAGCAACAAACAGAAATGGTCCAGTAACATAAATAACCCGTCGGGGGTTCAGACTAATCCTTTTCCAGACCTTCGCATGCAAGAAGTGTAAGAAAGCATTCCGGAAGGATGCAGACCAATATGAAGAAAGCGACGAGTACTGCCCTCATTGCGATAACCATTACGTTCTCGAAGCCGTGACTGCGAAACCAATGCTCCAAGTAGAGGGCGAGGATGCAAGAGTCGACAGTAGGATGATCAAGGACGAGCGAGTCCGAGGCGAGGAACAGCGCACGATATTCGATGTCAAAGAGGCTCCAAACAAACTCGGATAAGTGGCTGGAGACGGGGCAATTTGATATTTTGATTTAGCGGCATGGCGCAGGTTTTGAAGAACGTCGTATTAAAAGGAGCAAACACTTTCGGGCGTTACGTTATTGGAATGAACCGGATGCGCTACACGTCACAATAGAATGAAATTATTCTACGGGGAGTTTGGAGTATTTCGCAGATACTCTTATTACCCTGGCTCAACGCCGAACGCTAGTATACACATGGCCCTATGGGTTGAATCCCGAGATCATCCAGAGGTAGGAATTTTGGGGTGAAGCTATACAGATCCCTACGCATCCGGGCCTCTTGATAAAATTGCCGCACTTCCAGTACCCGGCGTTCGCCCTGGCTTCTTCTTTGCTGCCTCCTCTACCTTCTCCTGCTCAATGTTCTTTACATATGCTTCAATGTCTTCTACTGGCAGCATCTCGATCAACTTGCCGGGTGCCATAATAGCAATCTCAATATTCTTTGCCCCAGTCTGTACAACCTCCAATAATGACTTGATTGTCAATTTGATTGTCGCTTCTCGGTCCATGTCATCCTTGTGATTTCGCTCGAGGAATTCGCGAACGGTTTTGCTTGATCTGCCAATTGCATTCGCTTTCCTACTCAATATTAATCACGCTGTTTGCAATACTTGGCAGGACTCCAACTCACCATGCAGAATAGATTCCAGATGGCTCAGTTTGGTACAAGCGCGGAACTTTGTCATTGTTGTCAAACCCAACGATCAAGGTGCTGATACCAAAGGGTCTCACACCACCGCTCTGTGTATATCTCTGTTGTACACCAGCAACATATTTCGTGATGTATTCTATTGTAACAGGATCTTCGACGGTCAAGCGATGGGATTGGGCTTCTAATCTGGCTTTGTCCACTAGGATTCGGGCATCGGCGTTCAATCCAGCAAAAGCGAGGCACACATGGGTATCGACTAGACCAATTTTCGAAGGTGTGATACGGGTATCTTGTAATTTCATCGCGGAACGCTTTTCGCAACCAAGAACAACGATGTCAGCTCCCTTAACACCCACGGCGCAAGTTCCTAGGTGACAATTAGCTCTGAGCTATTTGCTGTAACTCGCCAGCCCGTCATACCTCTTTTCACAGCTTCTAGAGCATATTCAACCTGGAAGACGTGTCCATCAGGACTTCGAGTTTGTCAGCGTATTATACAGCCTGGACGATACCTATAGAACAAACCTGAAAACTGTAATGGATTAGCTTGCTTCCAGGACCTGTGATAAATGCAGCTTACCGGAAAGAGCTCGATCATATCCAGAAGCCATGATTTTTTAGGACGAAGATGTCGAATCTGAATTGGGAGCTCTAGATACAGGTGGGAAAGATTGTTGACTTCTTATGAGAATTGGAGGTAGCGGTAGACGTAACTCGTTATGGTTGTTCTAGAGAGCTCGCGACTTCGTACGCGGTGCAGCCTGCCTACAGCTGTAGAACTAGCGCCTCAGGCACGGACAAGGCTGTGGCAGTCATCGGGGAATATTTCGGGTCCCACTTTCACCATGAACATTTCACATTTCGGCCATCGATCGTCGAGACTTTGTAATTGTACGTTTATTTAAAATGAGCAGTCGTTCTAGAGTTGCTTCAACTCTGCGCAGAGCTAAAGTTAATTTTGGAAATTTTACGAGACCAATTCCGTATTTCGCCCAACCCCGATGGCAAAGTACTGCAAGTACCGAGGATGCTGAAGGTGTTGCAAAAGGCACAACGGGATCCTCAAAGACTATAAAATTCACATCGGAAACGTATCCCAGTATCAAGCGCGATTCGAGGTTTGCTGAAATCACCGAAGAGCATGTCAACCATTTCAGAAGCTTGCTCGGCACGGAGTCGGCGATTATAGACGGGGTCACTCGAGATGCCACGGACGACATCGAGCCTTTCAACGGCGATTGGATGCGGAAGTATCGAGGGCATACAAAGCTTGTTCTGAAGCCCGCGTCGACAGAGGAAGTCAGTCAGGTGCTGAAATACTGCAATGATAATATGCTTGCTGTCGTGCCTCAAGGTGGTAATTCAGGCCTTGTTGGTGGCTCCGTACCCGTCTTTGACGAAATCGTAATCAGTATGAGCAGGATGAACCAAATCCGGTCTTTTGACGAGGTATCGGGGACTCTTGTTGTTGATGCGGGTTGCATCCTAGAGGTAGCTGATGGATACCTGGGAGAGCGAGGGCACATCTTCCCATTGGATCTCGGGGCAAAAGGATCTTGTCATATTGGAGGTAATGTTGCTACCAATGCCGGAGGTCTACGTCTCTTACGCTATGGGAGCTTACATGGTAGCGTCTTGGGAATCGAGGCTGTATTGCCTGATGGTACCGTTGTTGATGATCTATCAAAATTGAGAAAAAATAATACTGGCTATGATTTGAAACAATTGTTTATTGGAGCAGAGGGAACGATTGGTATCATCACAAAGGTCTCAATCATTTGCCCACAACGATCAAAGGCCATAAACGTCGCATTTTTCGGCCTCGAATCTTATGAGAAGGTCCAGGAGGCTTTCCGAGAAGCTAAGGGGCAGTTGTCGGAAATTCTCTCAGCATTTGAGCTTATGGATCGCCAGAGCCAGGATCTCGTTCATAGAGTGACCAAGAACAAGCGGCCCTTAGAAAGTGAATATCCCTTCTACTGTTTGATCGAGACCAGCGGATCCAACACCGAGCACGACAGTGAAAAGTTAGAAAAGTTTCTAGAGTACGTTATGGAGAAGGAGATTGTTTTGGACGGAGTTGTAGCTCAAGATACAACCCAGGTCAAGGCATTATGGGGTTGGAGAGAAGGGGTCCCTGAATGCCTCGGTCATTGGGGTGGTACCTATAAGTACGACCTTTCAATTCCAATCTCAGAGCTATATTCGCTTGTCGAAGAAACAAGGGCGAAGATCACGGATGCCGGACTTCTTGGTGAAGATGAAGAACATCCGGTCGTTGATGTCGTTGGTTACGGCCATATGGGTGACTCCAATCTGCATTTGAACGTCGCTACGCGTCGTTATGATAAAGAGGTGGAGAAGATCCTCGAGCCCTTCGTCTACGAATGGATCTCAAAGAGGAGTGGGAGTATCAGTGCAGAACATGGCCTTGGCTTAGCCAAAAAGAACTACATTGGCTACAGCAGGAGTGACACGATGATCAGGTTGATGAAACAAATCAAAGATCTATACGACCCTGTAAGTGGAATCCATCTACTCTAATTTACACTCTTTTAACAGCTATTTAGAAAGGCATCATGAACCCATATAAATATATATAGTAGTCGGCACATTACAATCGAAATCGATATACCAGTTAATTCAGGAATGAACCTTGCGTGGCCAATTTGGTTTACACACCAGCATAGCTGTCCGTGAAAATTGCTAACAATGATGGATAGTTATAGCAATCCAATCGAAGTGCTACGCTTCTGCGATCTGCAAATCTGCTCATAGTGGCCGGCTGATCTAACAGTCTTCGATGCGGCAAGGCCGGCATCAGTTGTCGTTGAACGAGCTAGTCCCTTTCTCTTCGATTGATCACCTCATCATTGCCATTGTGCCCTCCAGGTCCCAAGTCCCAGGCCTACATTCCCGGATCATCTCCAATGACGAGTGCTATTATCTGCGAAGCATTCATGTTCGAGTTTATTGTAGTTAGGCCAGAGTTTTGCCATAGAAACTAAACTCTAGACTTGGAGCAGGGCAGCCAATCAAGTACAATACGGCCTCAAATCAGAAGTTATAACAAATGAGGCTAGGTATCCGGAGTGATCCGTGAGACCGCAAGGAAAGTTCGGACGTCCACCTAGAAATGGCTTCTTTCAACCCTACCATTTCGTACGCCGGATTTTCTAATTCCAGATTGATATGATTTTGGATAGGGACGTGCGGTTGGTAATGTTGGAAATATAGCCGTGCCGCAATGGGTTGCCACGCTGTCGGCCGCAATATGTACGTTGGTGATTGTATTCACCCTGCTAGTACCAGGTTTGTCGTCCCCAGCAATCTGATTCGCTTTGGCAAGAATCTATGCTGACACTGCCTGGCAGATTTTCATTAGCCGATCTGGCGCAGTTGCATGTTTTTTTCGATTTGAGCTTATTTTACGCGAAATGTTTCACTGCCTCGATAATTCGCTAGACTCATGTTATACTACGTATGGGTGGATGTTACCTAGTTGATACTGTGGTGACCGCGTTGTTTCTCTCAAAACACTTCTGTAAATTTTATTTTTTGCCTTTTTTTCTAACCTGAAGGTATGCTATTTAGTAAGTAAACCTTTTATTTCTATACTGTGTTACAAACCTATGTTATTTGTTTGGTAGAGAAAATTCATAATCTACATAAGCGTCCAATTCATGGGCCTCGCTAACCTTCAAGGTGAAGTGAATATAAGATTACAATCTTTGAAGCACTGCCACCACGCCTCTCTTCTGTTGATTCATTCGGCTCTAAACCGGCTGTTTCTCTTTCCGCGCCAATCGAGGCGATAATAATCATCGAATTTTAAGTATTTAACCAGCCGTGGCTGCTCATAGGATAGTTTCTCATCTCCAACACTACAACATCAACCTCCAACATCAGCACCAGCCCTCTTTCAACGTGGCAATTCCAACACTGAATCTCACCTTACCTTGAAAATCTTAGCGGCACCGAGTTGGCTCTCTCTCAATTACCCGGGACATCCTCGCGAGCTTTATCGCATAAAGTCTACCTCACACTCCTCTACAAAACCAAAAGCTTTACTCTCATCGCTCTACGTCGGTAATCTTCTCATCTTCTCTAGAAATTACTTGGGTATCCATTATGTTTTCTTCATTATCTTCCATCGTCTTACTGGGCATCACATACTTTTCGATTATTGTTTCTGCGGTTCCTGTCTTTACCTATGAGAACAATCCTCTCGGCAACAGCTTCCCAAATCCGTCACCGGATCAACTGAAGGACATACAAGTACAAGCACATGGAAGCTTATCAAACGGCAAACCACCACCAAAAGTCGACCCTGATACACTTACATCGTTACGATTTGTCGCCTTCAATGAACTGTTTGAAGTTGCGTTTTTCACATCCTTGCTCAACAACATCACCAACAAGATTGAACATTATGAAGCCCATGATGGCGTCGATGACGAGTTATTTCGAACAAACCTCATCAAAGTCTTCACAGCGATTCAAGCCCAGGAAGAACTACACGCTCTCAACGCCAACAACGCCTTGAAGAACTTTGGTGCTGAACCCATAAAACCATGCAAATACGACTTCTCAGTTGTTTACTTGGAGGATGCTATTGCTGTAGCGAAAACCTTCACAGACCTAGTCATGGGGACTCTTCAAGACGTGGCGCAGAACATGGCAATCAAAGGTGATCCCGGTTTTATCCGAGGTGTTCTGTCTTCACTCGGACAAGAGGGTGAACAAAATGGGTTCTTCAGATCCTTTCAAGGGAGAATACCGAGTGCCCTTCCCTTCCTGACTACGAGCACACGCGAAATTGCTTTCTCGGCTGTGAACCAGTTCTTCGTCGTTCCAGGCTCATGCCCTAATGCGAATACAATTGATCTGCCCGTATTTCCACCATTGGCCATCAGCACTCAGGACACTTTGGATCTAGCTCGTAATCCTCGTCCTCGCAATCTGGGATTCTCGTTCGATCTCCCTGAGGGTGGTGCAAAACCAGAATGGAAATCCGACTGGACTGGCCTGAAACTTGCATATATCAACATGCAGAATGTACCTCGTGCAATGGATCTCCTTGATGTCCGTGTCGAACACAACAAAGTCAATTTCAACGTCCTCTTTCCATTCGATCAGGGTACCTTTGGAAATTCGATGACTATTGCCCTCATCGTTTCTGCTGATGCCAATTTCACCAACGCTGTCACGCTCATGAAGGCACCAACGATCATTGGCCCTGCTTTGATCCAGGTTAACTAAGTTTGTCAGATTACATGGTGCCGAAAGAGTTATGGGAATTTAGAGAAATGTATTTAATGGCACAGAATTTGGGAATAGATAATTGATGATGGTTGGAGGGCTGAGCTGCTAAGTATTGAGGCTCGTGGGAAAGGTCTTTTCATAAGACGCTAAGTAGTCATGAATGAATGACCAATAATGAATTATAGACAATTGTTACTGTGATTATGCCGCTCTAGATATGCGCTTCGGGTATCTACTAGAGACCGTCCAGGTTTCCTATCTTTTGAAAACGTCTTCATTTGCCACCTTGCACCGGCGACGTTGTCTTGGGACTTGTTTATTTATTTTAAACAATGTGAGCAGAAGCTGTGGGCTTCTACCTTACGGTCGGAATGTCTTTTTCTTTCCTGGAAATAGACAAGATAACGATATTATTTCAATCGCATCAAAATCATGCCACGCTCCGACTGCCACTCATTTATCCACCGCGAGCCAATGTGATGGTCGTTGTTCCTAATCCTCGGAGACATGTCGTCAATGTTAAGTTTGTTGTACTACTGTATCAAACGCTATTCGTAGCACGAAACGCGTTCCCCACAACCATCCTTCCCCACACCCACGATCCTGCCCCCCACTCCGCATTAAGCTTCCCCAAACCGAACACCTCGGTGCGACGGCACAACTGATGGAACCACGAACCACGCCAATGGTGATATTAGACGGTTGCTATCTTCATGATGATGGAATGTATATTCAACACTGACTGGAAGACTTGAGAACCGGCAAGGTTAAGCTACAAAATGTCTGCTCCGCCATTGACTGGTCTACGCGTTTTGGAATTTGCTGGTCTTGCGCCTGGTAAGTCAGGGTTTTCTTTACACGGAAACGCCATCTAACGCGATATATATAGGTCCTTTCGCCGGCCTGCTACTGGCAGACAATGGTGCTTCAGTTCTACGCATTGATCGCTCTGTTCCGAACCTGACGCATTCCGGCCATCCAGATAGACGACCACCGCCAACCGCGGATCTCCTTACCAGACATAAAGCCTCAATAGCTGTAGACCTCAAATCTCCTCTAGGCGTAGACTTCATAAAGTCTCTGGTCCAGTACTCCGATATCATTATTGACCCGTTTCGTCCCGGTGTACTTGAAAAGCTGGGCTTAGGTCCAGATGTCCTGCTGAATCTGAATCCTAGGGTGATAGTGGGGCGCATGACAGGCTTTCGACGAGATGGCAAGTATAAAGATATGGCCGGTCATGACATAAATTATATTGCTGTTTCTGGGGCTTTGGCCATGTTGGGAAGGAAGGGTGAGAAACCACTACCACCGGCGAATATTCTAGGGGATTTTGCAGGAGGTGGCGCAACGCTGTTCCAAGGTATCTTACTTGCGTTGCTCGCGCGAAATACTTCGGGCAAAGGCCAAGTCGTCGAAGCTAATATGGTCGATGGAAGTGCATATTTGGCTACCTTTCCAAGGATGCTGACCAAAACGCCAATGTGGTCTCGGCCCAGAGGGGAAAATACTTTGGACAGTGGATGTCCATATTACGACGCTTACGAAACGAAAGACGGCAAATATATGGCCGTCGGTGCTCTTGAGCCACAGTTTTTTGCTTTGTTGTTGAAAGGATTGGGTCTAAGTGGTAAAGGTATTGAAAAAACCAGAGAAGATAGGAATACCTGGCCGGAACTGCGGGAATCTTTTACTGCGATATTTTTGAGGAAGACTCGATCAGACTGGGAAAAAGTGTTTGATAGGACCGATGCATGTTGTACACCGGTCCTCGACTACAAGGAACTCGAATCCGATACCAGTAGAGAAGGAGATCAAAGGCCGGCAGTCACACTTCGTGAAACTCCTAGCTTCGCCTTGTCCCCGAGTTCATCACCTCGTGACCCTTCTACCGGGCAAGGCAATGGTGTCGAAGGTGGAAGCTATACTGGAGCAGTGCTCTACCCGGGTGAGGGTGGAGAGAAACTCTTGTCGCAATGGCTTGGCTGGAAACGCGGTAAGGATTTCGATGTAAAAGACGGAGGAATGGTGAGGAAAGACACGTCAAAGTTATGATTCACTAAAATTAGAGCTGGATTATCTGTCGTCCGTTGTTTCCTTCGCAGACGTTGCTTATTCCAAGTGCCCAAACGCCTATATCCCAAGTCTAAACCTGCGCAAGTAGAACAGTTCTGTATATTCATTTCGAATTTCCGCACACTTTGTTTCAGCACTTTAGTCAGATTCCGCCACACTGCTGCAATCCGGTCGAAGACGATATGTGTATTGTTCGAATATGTGGTCTAGGAGCAGATGTTGGAATATCTGGTAGTCAATTAGCTGGGGAAGATTATATGCAAAACCATGTAGCATTTTCACATACCATGCATAATCTGTATCTTCGGGATCCGCAGCACCCATTGAGGGGCTTGGTGGCGGATTAGGAGGAGGCGATGGAGGGTCGCCTCTGGACATGTTGCAGAGCCGATCGAGAGGCGGAATGGGACGGTAAGAGCTCGGATTTTGAATGTTGAGATTTTTCAGTCGACCTCCAGTCTCAGTAATCAAAGAATTCTTTCTCGATAATCCCATTTTAGAGTCTCCTCGGCAGTATAGACTTGTCCACAGTCTTCACAATCGTACTCCAGGGGTCGAAAATATCTCCTTGAAATTTCCAGAAGCCAGAAATCTCCGGCGCAATATTTTTAGATGAAGCAGTCTCGCTTGTGATGGAGCAAAAAGCAATTGTAAGGCAAAGACACACTCACGGTTCGAAAATTGAAGACGATAGTTGATAATATTTCTGTAGGCTGAAACGATGGTTCTCCGACCTTCTATAGATAGGACTGGATTTCATGAATTATTGGCCTGCTTCGACTGGAATCTTCACCGCCATGCCATCATGGTGCTTCTCTCTGGAGGGATAGAGTTTTGTACCACTGGAACAGTTGTCAATGATAGTAACTATCCACAACGGCTCAACACATCATCCGGGAGAAGCCTCATTAACACATTCAAGCACTTTATTCGCCATTCCTTCAGTTGGTAGTTGTAAGGCGCCCGCCTTATTGCATTCTGATACAATGTAGTTTGTCGTTGCTCCAAATCCAAGTGGCTCCGCCTTAAGCGAGAAGCCGAGATGCAGGCAGTGCTCACCGTTTTAAACTTCTCACAGTTCTCTCTTCCTCGAATTGTTGAGGCTTCTAGTCCCCGAGTCTCTTCCAGGTTCTCGTTATCTGTGTTACGCCACTAAGAAGCCTTCTCTTTAGAGTCGCCCTTGGAGCTTCGAAGTTTCATGCCACTGAGCTTGTTTGTTCCATGATTGGCTACCGCATATGGCTGCTTTTTCAAGAGCGCAGAGGGAGTTCATGTTGAAGTTCGCCGATATAGGCCCAAGAGGCGGTGGGTATGTCGAACTGCTAGTGGCTGTAGCAGGCGGTGCGCTACTTATAGAGGCTAATCGTTCGCATACATGCGCACACGCAGATGTGGACATACGGAAGAATCGGGACGAGTGGTGTAAGACATACATATCGAAGCTAAGAAAAGCTAGATTGTCTTATCTACTCCTTCTCGAGTAACATTTCGTCCAGTAGGTCTTGCGATCATCTCTCCGTGCGGCCATCACCAACAGATCTAATACCCTACCCAGTAATATCGAACTAGACCTTTTGAAATTACCGGTTACGTGACAGCCTTATCATTCCACTGGATCATCTTCAAGCATACCATCTCACATATCGATTTTTGCAAGTTTTTGCATCTAGCTGACTTCATAACTTTCGGTCATCGTGTATTGCTGAACTATGTAAGTCATCGATCGAAGGTTACAGTGAGGGTCAAACTGTGGCATATATACTGAAAACTACTACCAGTGGCTCGCAAGGCTGCTAGCCTCAGTTGTCTGCTCCTGGCCTCCAAAAGAGCCATTCAAATGGAACGGACAATGGACTTCGGTGGGATGTCTCTGAGCACACGCAGCATGAAATTCTCGTGGTCACTAAACCAGAGTTCTATCAATTCTCAACACAATTTCAAAGTCTAGATTCTATACCGCCCTCGGCTTGATTCCTGTCGGTCGTGTTTCGTTACTCACTTCGGACGATAGTTCCGATCCCCCCAAGATGCTTTGCAAGTGCTCATGGCTTACGAGTTCCAAATTACAACATCAGTTACACCCCAACGGCTTTTTGTGCAATAACGATTAGCGAGATCGCTTGATTGTCGCTCACGCCGTGGCCAGAACACAATAAATGTTGACGGGTATCTGTATCTAGCTATCACATATTTCCAGACCCTAATATTCAAAAGTGTACCAAGGTACGTATCTATTTGAAGGACTCGTGACTGTCAACTTCTTACAGATCAGTCCCTCTTCAGCATTCTGTTAAAACACATCGTTATTATAGTTGATATCTGGCAAGCCAGACATATCATTAAAGCAAAGTGGGTGGATGGATGACTGGCTGAACCCTCTAAGCTCAGAGCGCAATGATCAAGTATCCGAAGAAACAGCCAAGCAAACATCTCAAAGTTGCGGCCGAAAGGTACATTTCAATGTACCACCCCGTCAATTTTTCCCCTTCGTCACAAGTCGTGTAATACCACTGCACTCCAAACCATCCTGTACTTATCCAAAACCTCAATGAACCTCCGCCTTCGCCTTCCAGATTTGATTGCCTACCGCCTCTCTGCCATACAAGGCGAACAATCTGTATCACTTCCGCCGCCACCCGTACCCATGGACCTCTACGCAAACCCGTACCCGGAACTGCCACAATATAAAATATCTCTCAAGTAACACGACTCCGTAGGGCAAACTCATATCACAAATCTGAAGTGCATGAAAACCTTTCGATGTTCATGTATGCTCAAGCCTCAAAAGACGCCCCGATCTATTCTGATGTAGCACCCATCGATTCGGTGTAACAATTGCTTGCATTGTGCTCTTTACATTGCGGAGAATAACGTTTTCAGGTTGTGTTTTTCATTTGCCGCCGTCCTACTTGGATGTGTTTGGGATTGTGATGTGACACAGCTGAGGCATGTCGCGTGCTATGTGACGGGGTAGTGCTACGCGCCTTGAGAAAGGGCAGTATAAGCCGAAGTCCAAGAGTGGATGAAATGTCGTGGTTAGTCTTACAAGAAAAGCCAAATATTTCTTCTGCGGTGGTACACAATGCTGTATCAGAATAGGAGTGAGCGAGGATGAGGGGTATATGATTACAATAGGTTGAGTTAAAATCTCATGCTAGAATTCTCTAAACAGCGTCTCGTAAGATACAATCTTAGACGCTAGAACGAAACTTCACAGATTGAAAGGAAGCAGCATTACTAAAGTCTCCCACACTCCATTGATTTCATCTCGCCCTTGATGCATATATCACTACCAAAAAATCTGTCGACATATCTTGCTCGCTAATGCGCCACCCCTGAATTTCATCGCTACATTCATACCCACTACCTCTCTCAATTGCAAGCCGACAAGGTGGATATCATTTTCAAGAAGACTCTTGAAGAAGAAAATGTTTGTTTAGGGTGCTAGCATATCATGAAATGATTTATGCCGGTTGATAGCACTTCGGTATGCCAGGCAAATGCCTGAAGCCGACTCACGAGCGAGACCGGCCTTTCACTGTTGTCGATGTGGTGTCGACATCCGATTACTGTACTTGTGCAACAATCTCATTTGCACGCGATAGAGATTCCACCATCTGCTGGCATTCTTTTCTTCGGCGCACAGTGTAATCACTTTCCTTAAGCAGGTCTTCAAGAGAGTCGGTCCTGTACATGTTCTCGAGGAGCTCTCTCTGCATCTCATCCTTTGTAAATCTTCATGGTGTTAGTAAAAGGCCAAAACTTCCAACGCGGCTCGTTAACTTACTGGACAAGTGTCAACATGATAGCTTTTGGTACCATATCGATCAAGGTCTTCTTGACAATACTGAAATATGAGTTGATGAGAAGTTCTGGATCATTGTTAGTGATTGACCCAAATAAAGGAGTTGTAACTTACTGATTATTTCAACTTCAACACCTTCTCTTTCGGAAAGAGTTCCCGAAGCTTTCAAAGATGGTGGAGGTGCGTCCATCGCAGCCATCTTCTTCTTGTTCCGGCCGGCAAAGAAACTTCCAAAAAAGCCTCCATTGCCGTCATTCATGACATCGAGGACTGGACTTGCGGCTCTTGCGGGTGTAGATGAGGCAAGCGGCTTGCCAGTTTTTGGGTCGACCTGCACTGGTTTTGATGGAGAATGTTTCTCGTTCACAATAGCCATTGCCTAGCAAAGTTAGTGATTTCCTTGCAACTGTTATGATAAACCTACTCGGTGACCATTAAGGAAATCTGGGTGTCCAGTGTTGATATAACATGACTCCATCGATACCAAATCCTTGACAAGCTTGTTGGTTGGGTCCATGGCCTTTTTGAAGAAATTGATTACAACAGCATGGAATTTTTCCTTGAGTTGTGGGTAGCGACGGAAAAACTGCTTTCCCAGCAGCTGAGTTAAGATGCGAACAAGTTCGTCATAGACCAGAGACACACACTTCAAACTAGGATCTTCTAGACGCTTGATTTGTTGTTTGACAATAAGCTCGAACGCAGTTGTACCGACGAAAAGGGCGGGCGAAGATCCCGAAGAATTGTACAGGATCGTTCTGATATCAACGTCTTTGACTTGGTCGAATGGATCAACGGCCTTGACACCGTTGGAATATAATTCGTGGAAAACAAAACTGATTCTGGCACCTCCCGAAAGCTCCACACTTGAGAGCTCCGTGTTGTTACCCTCGAGGACTGTTCTCCATTCGTTCGTAAATTCTGTGATAATGTTGAGCACGATATTCGCGCTGTTTCCAAGCATCGAATCTCCAAGACCCGCAAGTTCTGCAGTATATTTCTGCAAAGATGCCGAGATACGGGCCTTGATATCTGGTAAGGTCTGTTTGATGTGCATCATCAAAATCAGATTGAGCTTCCGCGCCAAGTAGGGGGTTCCGCAGTACGAGCTCTTATTCCTGTATGCCTTGTGATTCTCAAAAAAGTTCTTCTCATTCTCGAGAGCAGCCGTAATCGCCTTTCTGTTATCGATATCCCTTTGCCCACGGTTCACTACTGGCACGTATCCTAATCTCAATGGGATGATTCGGCCAGCAAGAATGTCCACTACATCTGTTCCGTCGTCCATTAAGTCGACCTTCGTAAGAACACCGATTGTTCGCTGACCCTCTGGATCCACTTCTCGTGCAAGTTTGAGACCGTCAGAGTTGGCCAAATCGGTATTCGCTCCTGTAACAGCCAAAATAATGGCATTTGGCTTACTGATCTGCTTCAGTACCATTTCCTTGATTTGTCTCTCGATATCTCTAGGCTGGTCGCCAACAGGGACCTTCGTGAGACCCGGTAGATCGACGAGGGTAAGGGTGAGGACGTTCGGCGAATATATCCGCAGGTTGATGGGCGCGGGTGAGATTCCAGCATTGCGACCAGTTTTCGCCTCTGTCTCCTTCACGATCTCGTCTCGAATCTTGTGAAAATCGTAGAACTTCTGACCGGGAATGTGAAGGAACTCTCCCCACTCATCCACATTTGCCTCCTTATCAAGACCTACAGATATGTCCTCCTCCTTGACTCCATTTGGCTTTCCTCCACCAGGCGCTCGATTAATGAGTTGAAGAACAAGCGGCCGTCTCGTCACAATACCGGTTCCACGGGGCAAACTGAAATACAAAAGTTAGTTATGGCATTGCCAGAGGAGATGTGGCAGTCGTACAAGTCTCTGCCCACTATGTTTTCTAGTACCGAACTCTTTCCACTCGACTGACTTCCAACCACTACTATCTGCGGTAGATCGATAGGATTCTGTACTCCAACTGTCGTGAAAACATCTTGGAGCTTGTTCACCAGTCTGCAAAGTCTGTTAGCTGACGGGCGCATAGCAGAGCTTCCAAGGGGATCCGAACGTTATAAGCCCTGGGTCTGCAATTCCGCCTTGCGCGGCAACCGACATGATGGCGGTTTTCTTGGTTTGTAGAAAGGTCGTATCTATTATTCTCAGGCGAGGAGTTGCGAGCTAAATACGTGTTAAAGTTGTGACGTGTTGTTTGGTCGAAGGAGCGTCTCTTGTATTTCTTGAGGGATGTGTTGATTGTGCAGCCACGAATGGGACGCACACGCAGCTCGGAGAGGCTTGGCGTTCGCGACTCGTAGATTGTCTCAGAGTCCAAGTGACGTTTGAACAACAGCAACAACTCTGATTCACGTCTTGAAAATTCGCACCTCAAGCCAACGACTTCCATATTATTCAGTAAGTATTACTTAATCTCACTTCTGTTCTGTTTCTTGCCCGCAAATCAATTTCTGAGATATTCCTGTCACAAAATTCCCAGAAAATCCTGCCATCGTATTCCTATGGTCCTTTGGTCCTTCAGCTTACGAGAAGCCCGAAGCCCTTCCTTGCACTATTTTGTATGAGAGAATACGCAAGAACGAGTGCACTCGCCTCAAAAGGGTACATGTACTCAAGGCATCCTCTTTGTCTACTATTTGGGCAGCTACGGCGGCGATTTAAAGCCTGCTTACGACCCGAAGCCGCGTGGGCGTCGTTGGGTTTTCAAGGCTACAGGTTCAAAGTAGCACGTGAATGTCTCGTTGCTATTTGCAAAAACTCTCTCAGTATGAGAACTTCGAAATTAAGCCAAAAAGTGCTGGTTCAAGAGTTATCACATCATATACGATTGTGAGAAGCTGCTACGCTCAATCATTTTGATTTCCCATGATGTCGAAGGATGTATTTCAAGTGTCCTACCCCAACTCACTCGTTGTGATTTCATTCCCAGTCATTGTTGTGCCGATTTTATATCTTATTAAATCTGCAACTTTATGCTTCTACTGTAGTTAGTTGGAAGTCATGCCATACCTTCGTGAATAAGTTAGATTATAATAGAAGTAGTTCACTTCTTTCCGTTGCTCCTCTAGCCGCTCTCGCTTATTGCCTGTTACTTGTTTTTATAAAGCATCACCTACCTATGTACATACCATTTATCACAGTGATAGACCAAGCTCGGGAAGTATGCTTCACCTCTCGTAAAGTGCAGGACATACCCAGTATTGAGATTTGTAGCACCGAACGTGATCAGCTTCTGTACAATTTCCTAATTTATTCTTAGCTCTAGAGTGGACGGCTTGTCTTTAGATACCTTCCCCAGATATCGCATCAACACTTCGCCATGTCCTCCAAAACGATCACAATAATCGGCTCTCTCAATGTCGATCTCGTTACCGTCACGCCTCGCGTTCCTTCCGGCGGTGAGACTCTAACGGCATCTTCATTCTCAACAGGACCAGGCGGCAAAGGTGCAAACCAAGCCGTAGCCTGCGCACGACTCTCTCGTTCAAGGCCGACATCCACCTCGCCGCCAACCTCAAACATTGCAATCAAGATGTTAGGCGCCGCTGGAGCCGATGAATTTGGCCCTCCTCTCCTCGCGGGCATGGCAGCCGACGGCATCGACATCTCCAGCGTGAGCGTAGTGAAGGGTCAAACCACCGGCGTAGCTGTAATTCTAGTTGAAGAAAGCAGCGGGGAAAACAGAATCCTACTCAACCCAGGAGCAAACCACACTCTCCAACCCGAAGATTTCACATCTGCCGCCTCATTAGGAACCCCAACTCCAGATCTCATAATCATGCAGCTTGAAATCCCAATCCCAACCGTCCTCCAAATCCTAAAAACAGCAAAAGAAGCAAAAGTCCAAGTTCTACTAAACCCAGCTCCCGCGGTAAAGCTACCCGAAGAGGTATATCCAGGCATAACCCACCTCATCGTCAACGAAACCGAAGCCGCCCTCCTCACAAACCGATCCGTTGAGGAAGTCGAAGCGCCGGATTACGACTGGTCCACCATCATCAACGAGTTCCTTTGCAAAGGGGTTACTAATGTGATCATCACACTAGGATCTAAGGGTGCTGTTTTCGCTCATTCTGGGATGGACAAACCGGGATTCGTGCCAGCCGAGAAGGTTGCGAAGGTAGTAGACACTACAGCGGCGGGGGATACGTTTGTCGGCGCTTATGCTGTCAACGTGGTTAGAAAAGGAGGGAATGGCGTAGTAGGAGAGGAAGATATCAAGTTGGCATGTAAAGCTGCGGGGAGGACGGTAGAAAAACAAGGGGCACAGAGTGCAATTCCTTGGGCTGATGAGATTTGATTTGATAGCGAATTACTGATTGCTTGGTGAATTTAAGAGTTTATTGATAATGATAAACTGTTATGTCTCACAAAGATATTACAAATTCCGTGGCTGTCCATTACAAATGAAAGTTACAAAACGAGCCACTACTGAAAGATAGGTTATTGACAAAATCATGTAATAATGAAGGCTGCGGTTCCGATATATCAACCAAAACAGCAACGATTTAAGTTGTTTAGCATTCGAATAAATAAGGGTAAGTAGGGTAAGCCTTTCAATTCCCATTCCTTAGATCATGCCTAATCAAACGGCATTTGACAGCAACTCAATCCTCTCTGGCCCAGGGTGGTCTATCGAACTTGATCGTAACTCTAAGCAGACATAGCACTGGAAGGGACTTTCGAACTCCGGGAAGTAGATACGGTACGCCTTTGCGCATGATAAAGAGACCCAAACGCCGCGGCCTCAAAATTGCCTCATAGGTCAATCAGATGGTACCTTAGATAGCAAAAGCCGATATGCAGATCCATAATGCCAGACGCACACTGTGTGAGACCCCGAGACGCCGTAGAATGAATGCAGTGCGGTTATCAATAATTTCGTTACCACCCATTGGACTCTTGATGTGATCCATTTAGTTGCCGCGGCTCTTTGGGTGACCTAGACCTTGGTTCCTCGTTTGACCATCTGTTGTAGTTAGCGTCTATATTATATACAAGATTGAATGTACTTACATCCGGACTTTACAGTCATCACCCGCCGAGGCAAACATGCATGGATTTGTTGGATTCCAAGAGACTGCGCTGCAGCATCCCTTTTCATGGCCCTCGAGCTTTTCGATCAGTTGGCCATTCTCCTTATGCCAAATGTAAACGTAGCCCTCTTGTTATTGTTAGAGTTGTCATCAGAAATCAGTAGATCAACATACCTTCACTCCCAGTAACCACGAAGCTCTCGTTGGCACCACCAAAGCCCGCACGGATCACGAACTGACCTCCTCGGTCTGCAGATTGGAAGAACTTTGGAGATTCCCGAGTCTCCAGATCAAATAACCGAGCTTGGCCGTCCTTTTTGTTGATCAAAAGGTATCGATTGTTTTGACTTATACTGATGGAGCTCAGATGGACCTTCAGGTCCATTTCATACTCCAATTCGCGGGTAATGAAGTTGTACACATGAATGTGCTTTTCATTATCCATTGCAACTAAACGATGGCCATTCGGTGACACCGCGAGATCTTGTATTCGATGTGATTGGTGCCAGTCATAGATTAAGTCGCCGCTAATGTTATATTGGCACAAGTTTCGAGTTTTGTCCAAACATCCAGTCACAAAAGAATGGCCATCAGGCGCCCAGACACAGCTGCTGACCGGTTCGCCAAATCGATTGAGCACACGTTTGATCTCACCGGTCTGGGTACACGTTAGCAATATACTTTGGACCAGCATTGTGTATAACACTCACATGGGCATTCCAGAGTCGAGCACGCTTGTCTTGCGAACACGTGACAATCATGGAGTCATCTGGACTCCATGCGACTGACCCTACGCCGTCTTCGTGATCCGCGAGAGTGTGTAGAATCTTGAACGACGGAACTTCGTATATGATAACGGTACCGTCTCCTCCACAGCTTGCAAGACGTGTTCCGTCATGAGAAAATTGAACATACCAAACCTCGCCAGAATGGTCTTCAAGTTCCAAGATCGTTCTCACAGGAAAATTGTTTCGGTCGCATGAATGGTCCTGATAGAGCGATGGCGATGTGGCGGTGTTGTGGTACAGGCAGTTTGCTATCTGGTTATGCTTGACTTGTTGTAAAAGTATAGCTAGACGATGTTCTGGCAACATAACTGACGGAGATATACATTCTATTTCCTTGTTAGCGAGTGGAGTAAACATCGCTTGGAACACTTGCGTGAAAGTTCGGAAAGTAGATGGTGTCGTGAGCCACCATCAGCTCCATCCCAGTCGGCTTTGGCCTTCAAGTCATCCGCGGACTGGCACATCAATAAACTAGTTCATTAAATTAGTATAGCCTATAGGACAGGATAGCGTTGTAAATACCTTGATAAAAAGTGTAGCTTAGCTGTGTCTTGATATAAAGGCGTCAATTCGAGACGGAGTACCATTAAAGCCCGACCAGTATCTCTCTGCTCCAATAACTCTAGGAATTTCTGTTGTCGTAGCCAGAAGCGCATGACATCCTTGTCCACCCCATCTTGTAGAACAAGTCCAGTAGGATGTTCACTGATGCTCACTCCCCCTTCGCCAGTAAGCGTGTCGAACAGCAATTCCTCAGCCTCGGCCCATTCGCCTTGTAACACAGCATTTCGAAATGCTGCAACAACAGGACTTTCTAGCTCATAGCCGCTTTCCTGACTGAGCCCTGCTGCAGCTCCATTGTATCCCAGATCCGTCAAAGCCTGTATGAGGATCCTCGTCACCTCCCCACGATCGTGCCCAAAATAGGATTGGCGATTCTTACTCCCATGGCCATTTGTGCCGGACGCTCCGTTTGTGGCTACAGGAGACTTTCGAGTACCGTTAGTTGAGTTCGAAATTGCAGCCTTGTGCAAAGGAGATGCGGAAGAGCCATTTGAGAATGGCCTCGATGTGCCATTGGAACTGCTTGTCTCTCCTTCTGCTCTCATTCTAAGATCTTGACGTCTACGCTTTGATCGGTGTTCAATATCAGCACTCTGTTCACCCACAGAGCCGCCTGGACCCTGGCGAACGTCTAACTCGTTTTCGGAGTCCTGGAGGTTTGCTCGGCGTCTTCGTCCAAGAATACTAGAGGATGAGGGTAAATGCTGTTGGGCCTGGCCCGGTAAGGATACTGTGCTTGCTTCCGAGGTACTGTTCGCTGCGGACGCTTGTATGTTTATAATTACAGGTTGGGTTGGTGCTGAGATTGTTGTGCTAGTAGATGTCGGGGGAGTTGTCGGGGTGGATGGGTAGTCGGAAATGGATGGGGATAATGTATTAGGTTGGCGGTCGTCGGCCAGGACGACTTTTGCGGGAGTGCCGCTCTTGAATGGGGGCTCTCAATAGAGGGTGCCGTTGCCGACGATATTGAGGTCTGATATGGTATCGCAGAGATGTGTGGTTAAATGGAGTTGGGAGGTCGAGCGTAGACGGAAAGTGGTGATCGAGAGGGTGTCTGAGCGGTGATGTAGTGTCGTTGTCTCCTCGCCAGACAAGTGGACGACGACGTATGATGTGTTGTAGTTGTTTGTTTACGGAATGATGAAACTAGTCTTTTGGATCGTAAGTGTCAAGCAAGATAGTAAGAAGTCCTCTTGCTTTGGAGGTGGATCTGGGTCTGGTCATTCTCTCCGTTTGCTAGTCGTGCAATCAAGTGTCGTGACGAAATACTGATAGAGGAGACCTCCACTGGCAGCCGCAGCTATCTCTGAGGTCCGGCGGTTGAGCGCGCTGTCCGGAACCAGACCAGCTGGCGCAAGGGTGTCGTGATTGGCTGGCACTGACTCAGCGAGCGGGTCATCCGCGACGATAACGAACCTTGGACTTGTAATGTTCAGCACTTGAGTTCTATGTTGATTAAAGCTTAGAAGGCAAAATACTATGTATTTGGCTGTCATGAACACCGTGAAACTGATATTTCTAGAGATAATGATTATTGATATAAACAACACTGTCTCAAACCCTCTGCGTGGCTGGAGTGCTGTGGTGGGGTGTCCTCAATACACCCTGCACCTGCCTTTTCTCGCTTGACAGTGGAAGCTCTTGGATCCCGCTTCACTTCAGTTGCAGCTTGATCGAGCTAAGCCTGCCACCACCAATTGATAGACTAGTTCCTGTCTACTCTAACTTTTTGAATGAATGTTGGCTTTCGACCGCGTCTGAAAGCTCGACCGTCACTCTACGATCTCGTTCGCAATCACAAAATCAGTCCATCCTCCCGTAGCCACTCGAACAGCCTCTCCCAAGAGCTGCCCCCAGAGCTGCCTGCGCTGCCCCCGTCGCCTTTCGCATCTCCACCTTCAACACCTTCTACAGAAGTCTTCAACAACATCGAATCACCCCTACAGCCACCTGTACCTATCAAGATGGCACCAAAGAAGAGGGAAGTTGTCAAGGACGAGGATGGAGAGGATCAATATGGTAAGCTGGGTCAATTTAAACTTGCACAAGAGATGATGCTAATGATGTTTTAAGGCTCTATTTACTCCGTCTCAGGGTACGTAGTATTATCAACAGCACGATAAGCCGTCCTCCGAGTGCTGTGCTAATATTTTCAGACCTGTCGTGGTGGCTGAGAACATGATTGGTGTTGCCATGTACGAGTTGGTGGGTTTCCAGTGCTGTATCTGACATCGACAACAGCTCACATGAATCCATAGGTACGAGTCGGACATGATAACCTTGTGGGAGAGGTTATTAGAATCGAGGCAGATAGGGCTACGATTCAGGTTTATGAGGAAACCGGTATGGGCTGGATTCGCGTCTGGAAAAGCGGTGGCTAATTTTACGTAGCTGGTGTTACAGTTGGAGATCCTGTCCTCCGAACTGGAAAGCCATTATCTGTCGAATTAGGTCCTGGTCTGATGGAAACGATTTATGACGGTATTCAACGTCCTCTTAAAGCTATCGCCGAGTCATCGAACAGTATCTATATCCCACGTGGAATCGCAGCTCCCGCGCTGAACAGGGAGAAGGACTGGGATTTCAAGCCATTGATGAAGGTTGGAGATCACATAACGGGCGGAGATATCTGGGGTACGGTCTATGAAAACTCTTTGCTAGACGACCACAAAATCTTGCTTCCTCCAAGAGCCAAGGGAACAATCACCCGGATTGCAGAGAAGGGAAGCTACAAAGTGGACCAAAAGATTCTGGAAGTTGAGTTTGATGGAAAGAAGACCGAGTACAGCATGATGCACACATGGCCCGTTCGTGTACCTCGGCCAACAACCGAGAAGCTCGCTGCCGACCAGCCATTCATTGTTGGACAGAGAGTGCTCGATGCTCTCTTCCCTAGTGTACAGGGTGGAACGGTGGCTATTCCAGGAGCATTCGGTTGTGGAAAGACTGTCATCAGTCAGTCTGTGTCCAAGTTCTCCAACAGTGATATCATTGTCTATGTTGGATGCGGTGAACGAGGAAACGAGATGGCTGAAGTCTTGATGGATTTCCCAGAACTCTCCATTGAAGTTGACGGCCGAAAGGAGCCCATCATGAAGCGTACCACTCTCATCGCTAACACATCGAACATGCCTGTCGCCGCTCGTGAGGCTTCAATCTACACCGGTAGTAAGTGAACATCCACATTTCAAATTTTTGATGAACAACCTTCCACGCAACATTAGCTAACGGAATTTAAAGTTACTGTGGCAGAATATTTTCGCGATCAAGGAAAAGACGTTGCCATGATGGCTGATTCAACTTCTCGTTGGGCTGAGGCTCTTCGTGAAATTTCTGGTCGTTTGGGTGAAATGCCTGCAGATCAAGGTTTCCCAGCTTACTTGGGTGCCAAGCTTGCTAGTTTCTACGAACGTGCTGGAAAGGTTTCAGCTCTTGGTAGTCCAGATCGTGAGGGTAGTGTCAGTATCGTTGGTGCCGTCAGTCCGCCAGGTGGTGATTTCTCGGATCCAGTTACTTCTAGTACTTTGGGTATCGTGCAGGTCTTTTGGGGTCTTGACAAGAAGCTTGCCCAGCGGAAACATTTCCCTTCCATCAACGTATCGCTCAGTTACAGCAAGTATACAAACACTTTGGACAAGTTCTATGAGAAGGATCATCCCGAGTTCCCTCGCCTCCGAGAGCGTATCAAGCAGTTGCTTTCTGATTCCGATGAATTGGACCAGGTGGTGCAGCTGGTTGGAAAGTCAGCTCTCTCCGACCCTGATAAGATCACTTTGGATGTCGCTGGTTTGATCAAGGAAGATTTCCTCCAACAAAACGGTTACAGTGACTATGATCAATTCTGTCCTCTCTGGAAAACTCAGTATATGATGAAGGCCATGATGGGTTTCCACGACGAGTCCCAAAAGGCTATTGCACAAGGCGCCTCATGGAACAAGGTTCGTGAGGCAACTAGCGATCTTCAATCGCAATTACGAAGCATGAAGTTTGAGGTTCCTAGCGAGGGAGAGGAAGCAATCTCAAAGAAGGTATGTTGAAAATTTCCATCTATTTTTGAAAATGTAGACTAATAAATTGTAGTATGAGGATCTTCTACAAGCTATGACCGACAAATTTGCCTCTGTTACCGACGAGTAAAATGATAGCGCTGTGTTTAAGGGAAATGAAGAAGTTGTTAGCGGTCGCATTGATGGGTGCGGTGTGATTTGAGACGCATCACGGATGATGCAAGTATGTAGTGTACATTTCTTAGAATGCCAGTGTCCTCAAATCCAGTTTCTTCGTCCTTGGTAGTAGATGGATTTAGATAGAAGGTGGTGAGTTAGCAACGACGACGTTTCTGTTTAACCGTGGCTGTGAAATTCCACTATCGTGTCGTTGTAAATCGAAGTTGAGGTTTGAATCCTGGCCTCATATATCAAGATGCTTTTACCTTTCCGCGAGAATGTACTATTTCATAGTCGAGTCCCTCGTTAGAACGTCAAACTGTAACATTGGTTCAGCCACCAAAGAGGGAAGATAGATCAAAACTCGCGGGTTGTTATGTCTTGAGTGAGTTGATTCACAAATTATCTCTGGCGCCGGGGATTCAGATGAGGGGGAATTTTCATATCGTGAAAACGACTATAATCATAATGAACGTACTGAGAAAACGTAGGAAAAGGCACTATATCATGACTATCCTTATTTCTTTGATCATTTATATTTTCCTCAGCACGAAGGTCAGGCGTATCTAATTCATAATTGAGCTAGTCAAGGGTTGAATTCTAGCCCCACTACCATCATACCCACCCTCACTCAAGCTTACTGAACAGCATCACTATGATTGATCACACACTTAATAAGTCCTGTACGACCTGACAACAAAGAAGTCATAGGTAACACCTCGGACAAGCTTTCCAAGATATGTGAAGAAGATTCAACGATCGCACAATTCTTCAATTGGTTATTTTCTCCTTGCCGATGGTACAGTATCAAGTTTGTTTCAGGAAGCTCGAACACCAAATATGCGGCTCCTTTGTATCTTCGCGATGCGCTGAGCTACACAATTTTTCCTTATTCAACATCTTTCTCTGTCAAACTATTTCACTTCTTCACTGCTGCGCAGTCCCATTTTTAATAACTCTAGATTAACCAAAAGACCGCAAGATGCTCAATTTGTAAGCTCCCCCCTCCATTCTCAACCGCCCTCCTAACCAAACAACCAGACCCCCAGGCTTCATAACCACCTTCCTCCGGTCCCAACTCTTCACCAAACTCCCCTACCCAGACACCTCCTTCTCAGGCCAAACAATCCTCATAACAGGCGCCAACACGGGTCTCGGTCTCGAAGCCGCGCGCCACTTCGTCCGTCTCAATGCCACCCGCGTAATCCTAGGCTGTCGCTCCATCTCCAAAGGCGAGTCCGCGCTGACGGAAATCGAATCGTCATGTGCGCGGAAAGGCGTGGTCGAGGTGTGGGAACTCGATATGTCGAGTTATAAATCTGTCAAGGCGTTCTGTGCGCGCGCGAATGGGGAAGGGAGGATTGATGTTGTGGTGTTGAATGCGGGGATTGCGGTGCCTAAATACGAAGAGGTGGAGGGCATGGAGAGTACGATTGCGATTAATGTTGTTGCTACATTTTTGTTGGTGGTGCTTTTGGTGCCGGTGTTGAGGAGAGGAGCGGAGAAGTTTGGGATTTTGCCTAGATTGGTGGTTGTGGCTAGTGATGCTCATGAACAGGTTTGTATTCCTTTCTGCTGTTCATTTTATGGAGAGTTTGCTAATGAATGATATAGGCAGCGTTTAAAGAACAAAACTCTCCTCCCGGAGAAATCTTGAACACCCTCGCCCAAAACAAACCAGACCTCCAACCAGATCGTTACAACGTCTCCAAACTCCTCGAAATCCTCCTTGTCCGCGAACTCGGTCCTCTGATATCACCCACTCCTCCCTCTGCCTCCACCGATTCCCCCAAGCCAATCATCCTCAACACCCTAACTCCCGGTCTCTGCCACTCTTCCCTAATGCGTCATGCCATCTTCCCTCTGAACATCATAGCACGGCTTGGAAAAGCTCTGGTAGCTAGAACCACGGAAGTAGGATCGAGGACTTTAGTAGCAGCCGCGGCGGCGGAGTGGGAGACGAATGGCTGTTATATGGCTGATTGTGCGGTGAGGGAACCGAGTGCTTGGGTGAGGAGCGAGAAGGGGTTGGAGACGCAAAAGAGGGTTTGGGAGGAGTTGAGAGAGATTTTGGAGGGGATTGAGGAGGGTTGTACAGGGTGTGTTGGCGAAAGGAGAGAGCTAGGTGATCCGAGGAATGGGAGGATGTGCTAGTATCTACGACATATACCTGATATTCACATAGTATGGTGAATATGTATTGCGGTAGAATATAGCGCTCATATTTATGTACGGGGCATTGTATATTAAACTGCTTCGATTTGGCATATCAAGATACCCCAAAAAACCACTTTATGAGAAACAAAGCATACAACCACTTATCTATGTAAACCTACTTTTCATCAGCCAACGAACAGCTCTATATTTTCTCATCACTTCCTGCCACGTATTTCATGTGCTCAGTCCTGGCCACTTCTGTATTTACGTTCCTGCATATATAGCATCATTATCAAAACCCTTCAAACAAACACCTAAATTGCTAGAATAGAGCGATATGTTCACCATCAAGGGATGTCAGGAGTCTGTCATCTTTACCGTCTATGTATTAATGAGAATGGAAACTTGGAATATACCATAGAGCAGATAGTGTTCTGTCAAATTATAAGTGAAGAGATACCACAGGAACTGAAATTTTGTAGCTGGCATCAGACCATGAATAGTTTAACAATCTAGACGGCTTGAGGACGAGCTTTCGTGTTGTTCTCGTTGTAGTGTGTTTTCTATTTCATAGTGTTAGCAACTCCGGAGGGTGGGAGATGAGCTTGATTTTTGAATTTATTTTCCGGCTACCCTTTCAAATGCTGGAATCGCAGATTCCTAGATTACTCACTATTCATCGAAAGCAGGTTTGGTCATATGTGAACGGCAGGGCTCACATAACGTATAGGTAGACAGCCTTACCTGAGAGTAAAGATTTGTACAAACTTGATGACTCTGGCTGGTTGCTTTCTGAAAACTAATGTACTGTTGAAGCTAAGGCGTTTATTTCTTTTAGCTTGTTAAGTGTAGCTTTTTACATTTCATTTATAAAGTTGGCACTATCACAAATTCGCACGTTCGCTGAAGTCGTTCGGATGTTGCTCGAATATGATTGTCATGCATATGTAGCTCACTGTAACCGATACCTTCTAGTATTCTTTTCACCAGCAGCTCCTAGACTATCTACAGTAACCGACGCTAACTTTAAGCCAAAGCGCCTTTTCACACCAAAACTCACCGCGTACACTTTAAAGTAATTAACGACCACGTTATAAATAGAAAGTAAGTTCTTAGGACCTTAATATTTCGAACATTTCTAAGATATCTACTTATTAGCTTTTCTAATTAGAAGCGTTGTCGTCCCGATGCACCTCTAGGAAGGGACCCTAAGTCGGAAATCGCGACTTTTACCGCAAAAAAACGTCAAAAACCCGACTTTTTTCGGTACCTCGACTTTAAGACTATACCTTAAGATAGTGCCTTAATAGATTTAATAGCCCTTAAGGTATATATAATAAGGCCTTCGAAATTATAATTCAGAATTAAAATTAGTATAATTCGATTGTTGGGTCAAAAGTTATATGTGTTTATAAACTATGAGAAATGGCTATTTTTGGTGGGGTTTTCGGAAATGGCTCAAAGTTACCGTCTAGTACTGTATCTAAATGTATGGCTACTCAGGTATGATTATGAAACATAATTGATTTCATTTCCCACACGATGTTCATGAAGTTGATAGCTTTGACTGGCTTGCTTTGAAGCTAGCTTCTGGTATTCTAAAAGTCTCTTGGTATAAATCTGAATTGTCTCACCTAGGGTGTTGTCTTCACATGGGAACTAGGCAGTTCCCTTGCTAGACTGTGGTTCACCATTGTATATAGAAATGAAGCATGGACCTATGTGGCTTGGTAGTTTCTTAAGGCTTCTGAGTTCACGATTGTATTCAGGATGAATCATCTGTCTATATGGTTAGGACAGAGCTCAGGACATTGTCAGTATTATAAGCGAGCTTGGCCGAAAATGGAAAAGGGAGGTTGCAGATGATTCTTGACTTTCCAGGTCTTGGAGTCAGATGACAAGTTGAAGGTTGAGAATACGGATACGAAGGATAGTAGACTTTGGATTGCAAGAAGATTGTTCACCATTTTCGTGGTTGAAATGGTGATCTTAAGTCTGTTCAGTCTTGTAAGCGAGAGACCGTGGACAGGAGAGGTGGCCGATGCTTCCTCAGAATCCTAATATGAAGAGTTAGATGACAATCTGAAAGTACAGAAAATATGGGATACAACAGATTGCGTGAAAATTGTTCACGAACTTCGTCTTTGGACTGATCTTGTCCACAGTTGCAGTCTGCGGTGTGAAGCTTATGTACGCCTTCCCAAAACGCTACCACATCACCGCTTTTGGAAATGTTTCAGTATGTAAAAAAGATATTGTTGGATTGTACTCAGGACGTTTTGACAAAGAATTACATGTATCTCGCATCGCAAAAGCCGAAATTTTCTGAAGAATAGTGGAAGGCTGATCCAAGATCATCCGCAGAAGCCGAGTCGAGATAATGATTCTAGTTTATCAAGAGTAGAGAGCATATTCAGTACTCACTTGCCACACTCTTACATATGTGCTCTAAAGAAATGATTGACAGCTGACGAGGTTTCTCTTTGTGCCACTGTGGTCGCGGCTAGAGAATCGGTCTTCCCTCTCAAGGTGCACAACTGAGCGTCGTGATCGCAGCAGAGGCCAAGTCAACAGAAATGTCAAAAGATCAAGGCAATCCAAAAATCCAAAAAACCAACGTTAATCATCAATCGATGCAAAACGTGATTCTCATCGATCTCTCATACCCATCTCACATCAGCTGATGACATCAAAGAAGCTCACGATTGCCAGCGTTTCCCCGCAGTTACTTCGTATCTGGGAAGATGGGATTTGTCTTTGCGATGCAACCGGGAAGACGAACAGAGCGGTGCAGCAAGCGGCCAGCGACCAGGGAAAAGCGGGGTTGGAGCTGTGAACAATGCATTTCCTTGGTCAGTCGCTGCGTCTTCCCTGTTAGATATTCGCGCCGCAGATCGATCGACGAATTTTCCTAGGCAGAGGACAGGCAGACACGGAGACACGAGCGAGGTACGGTGTAACGAATTGAAGAGGGGAGAAGTGAATGGAAATTGGTTTCTGTAAATTCTGTGGTGAAATAGAATACATGTGTTACGAGTACGAGGATTTACACCCGGAGAGGAGGAGAAGAGGAGAGATGTGAGGAGTCGTGAGAGTGCAAGCGATGAGAGGAAAAGTACTGGTGGACGATCCCGATGCGAGCTTCTCACCAGCCACGCGCACCCTGCCAGCTCGCAGCCTCACTCGATTTGAGTCAAAGTCTACCAGGATGAAGCTTCTTGAAACGGACTCAACAGCACTCGCTTAAGCACTGTGGCTCATCGTCCCCGCACCAACAAGGCTTGGCATGATGTCGAAGACATGACGACCGTCCACCGTTGGTTTCTGCTGGTTCTGTAGGAGGAGGAATGACGACAACCGCTATAGCGCCAATTACCGCAAAATAACATTCCTGAGGCTGAGGAGCAGTGATATGGATCGAATTGATAGAATTGATACGGAGAATCGAAGAGAGTAATCATGATACAAGTGTGGAAGGATTGTCTTTAATTACAGCGGTGGTGGTAATTAATCAAACGCGGTTACACCAAAATAACTGCATGAGGAAACATGAAATGGTACGAGACAAAGACTTTTAATATCTCCCCCTCGAGTACATGTCTACAACAGGTCGATTGCATTACGGTAATTGCATTTTCTTGCAAAGATACCTACCAGGGAGCCACCTTTCATTCGCCTTTGTGTAGGGGACCAGTTGGTGGCCGTCTGCACCTTGATGCATCCCAGAAAAGACATGCCATTAGTCAAAGAAAGGAAAAGCGACGTGAGGCAAAAAGGCAGTCGAGAGAACTCCTCAATGCACCACGTACGACCAGGTGGAGTGAACCGATCAGATGATTGGATGCGGAGCTGAAGGAGTTTAGGTCGATGGACCAGAAAGAGGGGTGGATCCCTCATCGAGTGGGCTCGACTGCTCTTTTCCCTGCTCACTTCGCTCCAGGACCAAGCTCTCTCTCCTGTGCATTCACCTACCGCGTCATCCTCGCTACCTCTGCCTTGCTAGACTAACACCACAAGCTCCCCTCTTCTCCCAGTTCGAGCTTCTTCCTCCTTCTTAAACAAACAACATCCACCACAGCTGCTTGTTGTACATACTTTCTTCTCATCCATCCACCAAACTTTAGCTTAGGAAGAATTCATAAGACATCTACCGTCAACATGATTCAACCAGATCAGGTCGTCGAGGCCTTCAAGAAGCACACTCCTGCGCTTTCTTCCCTCCTCCCAACCTCCACCTCCGTGGCACCAATTCCAACCGTGGTACCAAACAAGCCTCACTATGAGAGTGTTGGATCTACCGGAACCAAGACTCTATGGGTAAGAATCATTCAATACATTCGTGAAGCAAAACTAACAATCTCAGGTCGTCTGGGTTATCATGCTGTTGTCCACCTTGACATTTGCATTCATGGCATTCAGAGTTCCAGTCGTAAGTTTACTCGCTTCTCGCTTCACCTTACCAGCTAACCATCTCCAGCAAAAACGTCTCTTCCATGTCATCACTGCTTTCGTCACCCTCTTCGCGACCATCTCTTACTTCGCCATGGCCACCGGTGATGGAAACTCATACGCCGAGATTGTCATCAAGGAGACCCACAAGCACACCCCAGATACCATCGAGTATGTCTACAGACAAGTCTTCTGGGCTCGTTACGTCGACTGGAGTGTAACCACTCCTCTCCTCCTCCTCGATCTTGCTTTCCTCGCTGGAATGTCCGGTGCCAACATCCTTGTTGCCATCGTTGCTGATATCCTTATGGTCCTCCTTGGTCTCTTTGCCGCTTTCGGTAAGACTGATGGACAGAAATGGGGATACTACGCCATGGCCTGTGCTGCCATGCTTGTCATCTTCTACCAACTTGTCGTCCCAGGCCGAAAGGCTGTCAACGCCAAGGATGGTTCCACCGCCAAGCTCTTCACCAGCGTTGGACTCTTCACCATTGTCCTCTGGACCTTGTACCCAGTCGTCTGGGGTATCGGAGATGGATCCCGACACTTGTCTGTTGATGCTGAGATCATCTGCTACGCCATCCTTGATGTCCTTGCCAAGCCAGTCTTCGGTTTCTGGCTCCTCTTTGCTCACCGATCTGCTCCATCAGTTGAGGGATGGTGGGCCAATGGTCTTGGGTCTGAGGGATCCGTTCGTCTTGATGATGACGGAGCTTAAATCAATCGTTCCTTGGAATAGGACGAACAATATGATGAGATGCTGGTCATGATTCTCATCAATTATCAAGAAGTGGGGATGAAGTACGTCGAAAGGCGTGAGATTAGGATTGTGATGTAGTAGCATGAGGTTGCTATTGCTGAGCGAGTGAACGGGTTAGGACGGACCTTTCCTTTCTGGCATAAGTGTACTATACTGGGTTTATACGATGGGGTTTTGGACCGTCGGATGACCTTTGACTTCTGTGTTACACGGAAAGGCGTGCATTTAGTAATAATGAGAACGAGATTTTTCGTGAAGCAATTTTTTGATGTGATGTGCCCGCTTTTGAAGTGACTGTGATGTTCAAGTGAAACGCCGTCATAACATTGCACATTTAAGTATACTTAACTTGACCTCTTGATTGTTAGACTTTGAACATTTGCTATTTAGTGTGTTGACTCTCTCATCCGCATCCAGGTCACATGTTCCCATTGAACGTGAGCGAATCCCAAAATGCACCTACTTATCACTGAAATTGATTTACAGATATAGAGAATTACATCACCTCAATTACAGCATCACAGTATCAAATCATAGCATCCATCCGTCAAAGGAGCATCTATTCCTATCGAACGTTGAATCATAGCAGGCAACATAGTATCACATCAGGTGTTGAAATGATATCAGCGCCAAATTCTCGTATTGAATCATATCCACCGCCCGGATTTTATTTTCGAAAACTCCAGATTGTGGTGTATCAGCGCTGGGTTGGTTATTGTGTGTGTCTGTCTGAGATGTGGGTAGAGAGGTTTGTGCGGGTGGTTGTGAGGGATGGGATTGTGGGATTTGGGGGTTGGAGATGGATGGATGGATGGATGGGTGTGAAGGTGAAGGAGTTTTGGTTTATTAATGAATGGTCTTATGAGGTTGTGGCTGGCTCGGTGATTGGTAGGTTGAGGTGAAGGAAGGGTGGGAGGATGGAATTTGGAGGTTGATAGGCCTTTTTGGGGAGGGTTTGTGAGTGAAGGGGACGGAGCTTAGGGGGTGATAGTGAAGGTTGAGGAAGGTTGTGAGGGGGCAGAGTGATTTTCAGTGCATATAGCGGTGGGTTTTTACGTTGAGTTGGGTTGGGTTGGCTAAGGCTTATGTGTTGTGTCAGCTTTTGGCGAGTCGAACTCTTTCGTATATAGATTAATTGGCTTAAGTTATTTTTTCTCTCTCTCACCTTTCCCTTAGCACTGGAGTATAAACCAGGAGTGCTCTGTCTGCCTGTAGGAGGCGTAGCCTAATGGTCACTACATATAGGAAGAGATACTGTTGTAAGGGCGATAGGTCGTAATGAAGCGACAAGAGGTACATCTGATCTCTAGTTATATCACTCTAATAAAAACTGAAGGACGATAAGAGGAATACAGAAAAGAGTTGAATTCTTTGAATGTTGTGTATGTCCCAGGTGATGGGGAATGAGATGCTCGTTTCTTGAGTTTACCATGTAGTTTGACTTTATTATAAACCTCTGCCCTCTCTAACATTTCATCGTGGAGCTTTTTTCCTTGGAAGGTACGGCAGGTAGCTGCAGACTGAGTGGGTGATCGGAGACAGTTTGTCGGTAGTTGGAAGTGGTCAAAGTTGGGTTAAATTAAGTGATGTAACTAGTTTACGATAAGTTCTATCCTCGTTAAACTCCATGATGGCGTGAGCCATGCATGTTTCTAGGATCCAAGTAATCTTCTGGAAGTTTTCGGAGTACAAGATAGCTCAACAGACTAACCCCCCCTCACACCCTCCTTAACCCGCGAAGACTCGAATTGAGAGACCTGGGTCTTGGCCTAAGATCTTCTCGGGATGAAGCAAACACATGAGACGGGGCATTGTGTAAAGAGGACATCGTATAGTTTGATTAGATGCTGGTATTGACTGCTTTGAGATATCGAGTGAGTTTAGTAAAATTGACTGATTTCATTCGGGATTGATATTCTCAGCGTTAACGGAGAGACGGAGGTTCTCCCTAGTAATAAAATGAGAGTTTATGGCTTAGATGGAATTTTCTTATTTAGTAACATTGTAGTGTTCGATGGAACAGTGATGAGGGGGGTCAGTGAGAGGTTGAACTTGGTGAAGAAAGCTATGTAAAAGGGGGGTACCATCATAGATTTTCACAGGTAGAGGTACTGTTGTCTGATGTTGATGACTTTATGATATGTTCGAATTTGATATATGTTACAGGCTCTTCCCATCAGGCATATTTTATATGTATATGCATGTATGTACTCCGTCAATGCACATCCAAACTCGCTTCGTGAGCTCCCCCTCCCCTCTTCTGATTCATAGACTCAAATCCAAACTCCGATAACAACATGCAAACACAGATACCAATCCTGGCTATACAAAAACAAAAGAACTCCATGCATTTTTACTCCCTGAGCGCCTTCCGTGGTGACCTAATCCCTAAGCGCAATATGATAATGCCAAATGCGCCGATGCAACCTTCCTGATTTTTGTGATAACCACTTCCAATGCGATGGTGGTATTTTCCCCTTGTATGTGGTGGTATGTGAATATATGATAGTGATATATATGAGCGATGCTGGTATGTATGCACCGCTTTTGAGTTTTTGAGAATCCATCTTCCGACTGACGAACAACGCCAACAGGCCAGTGGACAAAATGGAAGAACAAGCCCACCGAACGCCAATCAGATGATAATTTCAGTATTCTGGTCGTAACCCAGATGCAAAACACCAAGCGATATGTTCGCATATGCTCAATAGAGCATTTGCTAGCTCTATGCCACGACGAAGACTTATTCAGTCTTCACCAGAAGAGGAGCAAGCACGTCAAGCGCTCTGACACTGCCTTCAGCACTCAAAACAACCGCACCAGCACGAGCAGTACTAAGATAGCTCAACTCTCCCTCTCCTTGTTCCACATTGCCATTCTGTTGATTCGTGCCATTTCCATTCAACACATCGTCTCTCCTCATCTCATCGACCAGCTTGCCAGCCACGCCGCAGACGATCCCAGTGCTTCCCTCAGGTAAACCGCCTAGATCGAGGAATATAGGTACGAGATCGCAATCTGTGTCCCCAACGATGCTACTTCCGAACAGCCAGAGTAGATTCTTGTCGACTAGTAAACTTGGAGCGTCGTCTTGTGCGAGTGTGACGGAGAGAAATTTAGGTTGTTGAGCTAATGCCGAGACGAGACCAATATAAAGTTTGGGATCCATACTGTCGAGCCATGAAGAAGGAGTATTGTTGAGATGTGATGCTCCGTACTGTGGTGACGGAGGCAGGATTTCCCGACCTGAACATTGGATGAGAGTAAGATTCGGCTCGACAAATGGGATAACGTTCCGTTTTCTAAGGTGGTTGAAAGTTCGAGCTTGGAGTTCGGCGACATTTGTTGGTGGCGGCGTATTGGGTGGAGGTTTGTCTGAATAATTTGATGAATTCCGAACATGGCTTACAGTCGTGGGTGCAACATATGCAGAATCATTCTCCGAAAATTCGAAACCTCGATCTAACAGTGCTGTCCCGACAGTTTGTCGATCTTTTGATGGAACGAGAATGAAGTCGGTATAATATGTGGTGATGAAAAATATTGGAATACCGGCCATGGCGAGGGGTGCGGTAAGATCTATCACTCGTTGCCCAGCCTCCATACCAGCAGAGGAAACGGAAAAGACAATGTATGTATCTTTTGAGATATTAACCCGTGCCTGCGACTCTTTCGGAAGTTTCTTGATCACCGGCTCGAACACGTTTGTCGCCCATGATGTATGACACACAATGCTGCATTCGATCGGGGTCACAGAGATGTTCAGAAAACCATGCTTGTTGTCAAGAGAGAGTCCTTCCAGAAGTCCTTCTGGCTCCTCGCTTCCAGTTGGTCCGCCATGTGGTAACAGAACCCGGAGGATTGGCTGAAGAAGCGCGGAATATAACGGTAATGGAATATGGATAAGGCTGAATTGTCCTTCCTGGTCACCATTAGTACCTGCATAGGTGATAGGCTTGACGAGTATGCTTGAGAACATAGATCTGTGTGCCACAGATCTATGGGACGAACGGGAACGAGAGTTTCGCGAAACAAAATACTTGGAATTAGGTGCTATGGCCATGATAGATCGCAAATATATAGCAGATATCAATGTGACGAAATTCGTCAAGTGAGTCCCAAACCATTGTTTGCTCAAATGACTGAAGCAAAGCGGAAACTTGCAGTCAATACATTGACCTAAGACAAGATCTCAATGTATACGACATGATAAAATGAATTGACTTACTATGAAAGAGATTTGAGCATTCATGATGCTTCTATAACAAAGTATTGGTTGGGATGGCCACTAAATCGACCAGGGTTCTCATGCAGCCTGGCCTTCTTCAAAGTAGTGCCTTGCAGCCACCCGATCTGTAACAGCCACAATCCAATCGACCGAGAAGATGATACGGATCTTGATAGGGTGTGTTTAGGGCGGGATGTTGGGAAAATAGTTGTGTCGTAATACTGTCGTAGGCGTGTGGTGCCTCACGAACCGGTGCTTTCGGTGGTGACACACGCAATTACCATCGATAGCTGGATGTAGGTGGGGGAGGATGGGATTGATGTAGAGGTGTTGGTGAGATTTTGATGACGATGGTTGGATGAGAGGGAATAGCTTGCGAGCTGGAAGCAAGATTTGACAAGCGAATGATCGGAGGAGGGCGAGATAGAGCGGATCGAGTGAGAAGAAGGGCAGAGGATAAGAGTTGGAGGTGTGATGTTTGTTCAGCTGATCCACCGCTCTAAGATAAATTCCTAAGCTGTCTCTTGGTAGGTCGACGAGATCCCCACGCAAGTGACCAAAAGAGCCGACTTGTCTCAACTCAGCTTATCATTAACGTTGGAAACGGTCCGCTTGTGTCAAAATCCGGATTGCTGGCGCAGAGCGTGGGTTGTCAGATGGAAGGGTTGCCACGGCTTTTTATTCTTTCTCCTGTGAGTACGATGATGGAAACGAACGAGGTGTACGACCGTTCCAGGTCTCAAGGGTTTCCCAGAAATGTGTCTAGCCGGATGCTGTGCGTGGTGCATAAGATGGGGATTGTCCTCCAGAGTTTGAGCAACAGGAGCGAATTAAGATGATGGAGCGACGCCACGTTCACGCAGGTTGAAGCACCTTTGGGATGAGAGCTGTATTGTTGGCGCGAATTGAGGGCTGGTCGATGTCAATAGAGCTGTGGTGTGGCTCGTCGCTAGCTCAGTCTACGCAGGTGCTCGACAGCTTCTAGTGCAATAATGGTAGGCTATCCGGATGTATTGTGTGGGGGTTTGAAAGCTCTTCTAGGCGGAAGACGCATTCATCGCTTCACGGGGTGGATGCAAAGGTGTTTCGAGGATTGATTTGACGGATGCTGGTCGCGGGGAGACGTGGACTTGCTTCTGATGGCGGGGTCGACGACAACAGGGTCTGCGGGGAGCACGGCCAGACGTCGTTCAGGTACAGCAGACAGGGGCGCGAGAATGACGGGCACCGGTTAAGTTGGGCGCGATGAGGGTGGTGAGTGCGCGGGCGTTGGGAAGAGAGTGAAGGCATTCAGAAAGAAAGAAGCGCGGGAGAAGGGGAAAAGTTGCGATCAAAGAAAAAATATTTGGGTTCATGTGTGTGGAGCAGAGCCCGATAAAGGAGACGAAGAGGAGGAACCTGGAATGGGCTGGCTGGCATCGCTAACAGCGGGAGAACCCGCTCCCCAACTGTGACCTTCCTCGTTCCAGGTTGGTTGATGGTGTTTATGCCACTATCGTGAGAAAGTGACAGCTCGCCACTCGCCACTTTGCTCTCTCCTCTCCACCTCCTCTCCACCTCTCTCGGCCAGACAATCGTCATCCAGGGTCCAGCTACAAAAGGGGCCTAGAATAATGGAGAATTACCACCACTGGCAAGCTCGGATCTCCAGCTGCAGTGGGGGACGCGACGGACGCATCTCATCACCGGCGTAAACTCGCCATTTGGGATGGAAACATATCTTGGCACGAGCACTCACTTCAGCGCCATCCAGCCCAGCGTCGGGCGTGGTGCTCGCTGGCAAAGTGTCAATGGCAGAGTGGAAGCGGAAAGGAGATCCAGCGGGGGGAGTGGGATACCGTGATGCGATGCAACGATACACTTTGCACTTTTGGATATGCCGCTCTCACGCTCTGTTGTCCTCTCTGTCGGCGTCGGCGTCCAACTGGTAAAGTGTGGAAGTGGGGGGCGAGGCATAGAGGAGGGGTAAACGAGGCAAGACGGCGAATTCAATACTCTCTCGATGCTGATTCAGGGTGCAATCAACGGGACCGCAAGGGGTCGGGGTTGAGATGAGACTCCAGATAATGCAGGATGATGTTATCGTGGAGAGGAGAGACAGAACGATCATGTGTTACAACCGCCTTCTGCTGCTTCTGTTATTGCGCTTAACGTATAATCTGGAAGATCGTGAGATTCCGTCAGGTTACCGGATGACGTCCAGATAGGCGTGGGTGCATTGCATTGTTGGTGAGACGGGGACGGAGGTAGGATGTTTGTAACTTGTCGCCTAGATACTCGATCCTGTTGCTACACAAAATACATCATCAGCACATGGCAATTGATGTTGTAAACTCACGATGGACCTCCCTTGCATTCTTCGAAGGATCAATACTCGAGTATTCCGCCGCAAATACATAACCGACATTTGATCGCAACTCCTCATCCAACAGACGACCCGTGCTCGACTCAGTCTCCCGTCCCCTTGGTTCTTGGAGAAAGACACACGATAAGGTTATGAACACGAGCCATCTGGCGACCGAAGCTCTCTTACTTCGAGCTTGCACGACGAGCGGTTGTTTTCGCCTGTGCGGTGCTGGCTGTGCTGTGCCTCTGCTTAAATTCAACATCCATTTGCGACTTCGTAAACTCCCCAATTCCAACGTCTGCAGATGCGCCAACGAACAGCATGGTCACACTTTCGAAATGCATATATACATATTGACCAATATATCCTCACCGAGTCTCCGTTTGGAACGTGGGGAACGAGCCGTTAAGCCACCAACAGATTTTCCCCTGGGGCCGGAGCACGTGTGATCGCTCTGATTTTCTGACCGTTGTACTTTAATTGAAATGGGGAGTACTGATGTTGGGTGAGGTTGGTATCTTACTCCCGGTGGCAGAGTTGAGTAAACTTTCTCGGATTTCAGCGTCTCTTGATCATCTATCTAGATCATGAACTCTCCTCCCCTAAATTTCGCCTTTTGCTCACCGCAAATGAGCTCAGAAAAGAAACAAGCAATGATCAACGATTGACGAACTCAGTCTTTAGATTCAGTTTCGCTATGTGGTCTACCGCCAGAAGTCTTGATGACATAGTCCAAGTACGACCCAAAGTCCATTCTACCGGATCAAGCTACCTGGAGGTACGGAGGTAGACACACAGGAAGTAAGTCACATCAGGCAGACGCCATATCCTGTCAGCATCTCCACCGCAGAGTAAGCAGTAGCTCGTATTTCCCATTATCCAACAAGCTGAGACTGGTATCTAAACCCAGTTGGAGACGGGAAAGGTCATATGAGATGCCGAAATGTCAGCAAGATCAGAATTCCATCCCGCGCTCATTCATACAATTCCGTGCTACCTAGACCCGAGTCTTACCTGAGAATCGGCGGATGGCATGAATAAGATCAAAAGATTTCTGGATAGGAAATCTCGGACTTCCACATGCCTCTTTCGTTTCAACTCGGTGTCGTCGCAGGTCTGAAGTCTCGGATCTGAGAGCCGCGATGGCCGCGAGAATCAAGGCCACGATAAGTTTGGTTTCTTAGAATAGATATAGTGGGTTTTTATCTTGATCAACTAAATCTTATACCCTTTCAATTGGGGTGTCGTCGTTCATGAGAGCCATCACTCATCACCTAAACAAAATCACCTCCTATTTCTCAAAGTCCCATCTCACTATTAATCCCCATCATCAGAATCTAAACTCTCCACACCCCCAATCCATCAACCATCCCCCTAAATCCAGAACCCCCCTCCACAACGCCCAAACTCACTTACAAGTACTTACCCCTTACATACCCCACACCAACAACCAACCCCGCGTTACCCTTCCATCCCGCTCCTACATACACCGCACATATCTCCAACCAAACCTTCACCCCACACTTTCAACTTCACCTTGCATACTCTCACGCCTCAAATCCAGACTCTATCGTCACGTCCATACCGTCTTAAGTTTTAACGGTACAATTTAAATACCGCAACGCAGATTCAAGGTTGAGCAAGCCGAATCTTCGAACGTCGGCAGCGAGGGCGTAAAAACGGCGTGGGTAGAAAGGGGGATGGAGAATTAGGAAACATGTACCCTGGCCCAACGGTTCCAAGGGAGGAGTTGGTTTGGTAGGTCTAGGATGTGAACAAGTCAATGAAATTAATGATGCTAGATTTTGAACCTGGTCAAGACTGACCTTACCATTTATCAAAACCTGGACTCATATTGAAACTACACATTCAAGAGAGCTCCGTGGTGTAAGAAAGTAATTCCAACCAACATGAAGCTTCAAGACACAGTCCACTTCACAGAAACTTCAACCTTCAACCCCATATCCACCCCTCCTGCTCCCCTCCCCAGCCGACTTCCCCAATCCAGTATCCCGCCAACCCCCAGCTCATCCCCACGCCCACCCCCACGTTTCCCCTTCCCAGCGTCGCATTTCCCCAAGCACATTTCATCTCCAACCCTGTAACCAGCCGGATACCCCGAACCAGACTTCCGATACTATGGGGGACAGGGAGGGGAGGGGAGGGGACGTCATGTATACATGCGTATGTACTGTCTGCATGTATGTGGTTGATTGGGGCGCGAGAGAAGAAGTTAATGAGGGAGGTTTGGAGGGGAGGGTTGTATGGAGAATGGTTTGGGTGGAGAGAGTGAATGGTTTAGGTATGAGAGATGTTATGATGAAATTTCAAGATGTTATGTAGTGTACATAGTGCAATATAGCAAATGCTCGTTACAGAACCATTAGATATCACCAACCCCGTCCCCCACCACGATAACCACCCCCTCTATTTCCATTTCCTCCTCTTTGATTCCAACCCCCATTACCTTGATTCCCATTCCCATTCCAACCCCTTCCATCACCTTGTTGATTTCCATACCCCTGCCAGCCACCAGCTGGATTTCCAGGAAAGCTTCCGGGAACAGGTGGGTAGTTACCTGGAGGACCGTTTTGTGGATATGGACTCTGTTGTGGAGGTGGGTAATTCCCTGGAGGAAAGCCTCCTTGTTGGAAAGTCATACCAGGGGGTGGGTTGCCGGGCGGTGGAGGTGGGATGGGCCATGGTGCTTGTTGATTGAAATGCATTGGGGGTGGAGGAGGAGGCCATTGACCTGGAAAGTTGGGCGGTGGGGGTGGAGGGCCGTTGTTAAAGTTTGGAGGAGGTGGAGGACCGTTGTTGTAGTTGTGCTGTGGGGGAAACGCGGGATTGAAGCCGGGTTGAAAAGGTAAAGGTGGAGGGGGAGGTTGATTCATGGGTGGTCCACGAGGTGGTGGAGGTTCTGATGGATATGATTCTGGCCTCCTGGGAGATAGTGATCGGGGAGGGGATTTGGAGTATGAACGATTCCTCGATCCTGGCCGAGAATGTCCATTCCGTGCTACTGGTGATGGTGATTGGGAGGAACTATAAGAACGACGTCGTCGTGTAGGCCTGCGTGGCTCGGGACTCGAAGATGCGGAATCATTATAGCGTCGTTTTCTCCCTGGAGTTGAACTGCGACTCCTACTCCTATCCCGATTTTCACGAGCAAGGGGTAAATCAAGCCCTTTCTTTCGTCTTTTCATTTTCTCGCAAAATCCTCTCGACCAGCCATAATATCCTTCGCCTTCTAATATCTCCCCCGTAATTTCGTCCAGTATAATGGGCTGTCCAAGTTCATCAATATCCCAATCCGCCTTATTATCATTTTCCAATTCCGCCCCATATATCACTTTGACATCATCCAACAAAGATTTGACTGCATTTACCAAGTCCTCACTTGCTGGCCCAGCCACAAATTGCATTGGCTTTATCATTTTCGGATTGATTGGTCGGGTTGAATTTGGTTCGATGACTGGCATCAGATTTCCCGCAGGTAAATCGTACCATGGAGTTGAGGGGTCTCCATGCATAGCTGGCATAACAAAGGGCGTTGATTTTGCAAGCTTGGCTGTAGATACTTGATCGACAGCTGAAGCATCAATTCCATCTTTCGTGAGATCTCCAATTTCTGACCCATTCTTTACAGCTTCTCTGAGTTTGGCAACATAGTCTTTCGAGTAAAAGTTGTTCTCTTCCCAAAAGTCGAGCAGATTCGTTATCTTCTTTTGATGCTTGGGGCAGTCCTTGAAGGATCCTACACTTGCGAATAGGTTGACCAGAGCGGGTTGAACTTTGGTGCAAATTGAAGCGTCGCGTGTTCGAAAATTCGCATGGTAGAGTAGATCATTGATCAGATACAATAGATGGAGGCGTTTTCTTTTCGCAGAAGGTTCTCGTTGTGATGTTCCATTTTTGTGACTGGCCTTGTCGAAAGAGTTGGCCAGAGCTACCATGTATTTCCCCAAGGCCGTGAACCTTGCTGGGGATTGAACATTTTCCAGTATCCAGTACTTGCAATTCTATTCTCATGGATCATTTAGTCATCGCGTCGGTATTTCCTTAAGAGTGTTTGATCAAACCTGGACATTTTGAGATGTGCATTGTACGACTACCGAGTTCAGTAGGGTGTGGAAGTGAGCAATGTCATCTCTTGACAGTGAGGTGGGATCCGGTCGTAAAAGTCCCGCGGAAAATGAAGCTTTAGCAATCGCGACCTGATGCGATGCCATGATATCTTTGCTGCCTCGCTCCGGAATGGGAGAAGAGCATTTATGAAGGCAGTGAGAATTGCAGATGGTAGATGCGGAGGACGCGACAGAGCTCGAGCTTGGGGAATGGGTAACCTTATTTGCAGCCTCGGCGGTCACCATCATGTGATCTTTCTCCCCTGCACCCCGCAATTGAACCTATTACTTGTGCTAAGTACCTCATGTACGTATCTCTTGTGCATCAGGTTGAATAGCTTGAATAGCAAATACGATTATTGAGCTTCAATACAGAATCAGGGTCTATTGCGCAGTCAGTGATCAATGGCAAAAGCACGTAGTGAAATTCCAGGGGTACATGTTCTGCACTTATTCTGATCCACAAGGTATCGTACGACATCGTACGACACTTAGTAAAAAGCACTTAGCACTTAGCAAACGGCCAAATTGTATCACGAGTGTCACCAGTGATCCTTCAATTCCTTACTGAAGTGTAGCAGGCTAAGCTAATGAAAACAATCCAAACGCCAGAAGGGGGGATATTCATCAATGTACATGCAATATAATTCCGTCTGTATCAAACTAAAGGATGTTCCACTCATGATTCCGTCACCAATAATTGACGATCCGAACACAACCGTTTTTCAACTACTGGCCCTCAACTAAACCTATCACCCTTCCTCGCTCTAAAAGGTTCTGATGCTTCGTATTTGCTCTTCTCTCGTACTCGCTGGCCTTCACTCTCCGGGGCGTGTCTCGTAGGTGCCGGATCAAGAGTTGCCTCTTGACTTGGCGATCCAGAATGATCAGATCTTGGTGCTGATTCGGACGCTGGGTTTATTTTGGCTGCTTGTTGACTGGAGTACTCAAGATCCGCCTGTCTCTGCCTCCGGCGTCGGTCGGCATCGAATCGTGCTGCTCGGTCTTCGTTGATGGATTTCTTTGCGAAGTAGTATGCGCCGCCACCGGCTAGAAGCTATCAGCAATTGAGTCTATGTTGTAATTGACAAATTACATACCAACACAGAGCGCTCCCCATCCTACCCTATAGCAGCAGCATTAATACCGGATTCCTCATATTGAAATGCCATTCCTTACCAGAATGATTTGACCTAGGAGGGGTTAGCTCAGAAAACGATGGCGACTGGGGGCTAGCAAACCGTATTCATTGCGAAACTATGACTGATTGAGCAATGATCTCTGAAGGTCGACCGAGTAACTTCCTGTGGATGCTCGTGGTGAGAAGGTAATTTGTTGAAGAGCGTTGATTTTCGATGACAAGAAGCAAGCTTGACAGCTCCAAGCTCCCGAATTCTAGTCGAGTTCGCCGTAGCGGCCGCATGGCCCGACGGCAGTGGGCCTCATCCCTGCCCACCAAACCAAAAATAACCCTTGAATGGCCGCCGAGACGTGACACCTAAACAACCCCCAATTCAACACTCACCAGCAAGATGTGCATCTGCCACATGTACGCAGAGCTACACCCATACACTTATCTCGAACAATGACACCGCAAGAATATCAATCTTCTCGACACACTGGCACATCAATAAGAAAGAGAGCCTGCGTGGCTCCCGACCGTACAAACATATTCATCTCAAACATCCGGCATATTCTCACTCTCACCCCTCTACAACCTTGAGGCTCCGCCCCCTCATGTGCCCATATACGAGTAAATACACGTCACTTTAGGACAGCGTTTTGGTATCTATTTCCAACCGACCACATTTCTATGGTTCTGCGTTTATATTCCAGATGGGCACGAAATCCCTCAACCTGAAATTTCGCTGTGGCCTGAGTTCGCCATGGAAGAATCGCAGGAGAGCCTCGATGGCAGTTCGATTGTAGGTCGCCAGAGAAAACATGATACTTTATATAAAGCTAAATTATATCGCAGAAACCAGTCTCGTCCTTACGCTCTCACTTTGAACAAATGACAACAACGAAGCCCGCTGCCAACAGCTCTACCCCTCGCGCTGTCTCTCCGAAACCAAGCCATTTATCATCTGTCGGACTGGGGGAGAGTGCAAAAGGTCTTGCTGCTAGGCAAGAGATTTCGAAGCCATTCGCAGAAGAGGCACACGGGTTACGAGGTAGACAAATAGACCCCAAGGATTTAGGACTTAGACCCTTTCGAATTGCATCCAACAACCCCTCTCCATCCCCTACAAGAGCTCTCAGCGTTCGAACGACATCTACGGCTCCAGCGCCTCCTGCTGTTACTGTCCAATCACCACAATCACCTCCAAAGAATAGAGCTCCGAATTTGAGCTTGGCAGGCGCATCCACATACTTATCTACCGATGCTTCTTTCTCCCCAAGTCCAGGAGGTACTTCTCCTAGACATTTCCGCATTCCTAGTCGACCCAACACACCTCTCGAGGCTGGCAGGTCACCTTCGTTGTCCGCGTCTAGGCCTCCGTCTCCGCCTCCACCGCGAAGATCTGGTGAAGTGCGTCGCGAATCTGTGTTCAAACCTTTACCACCTCCTGTCAATAGAGCCGAAAAACCAAAAATTGGGGCCAAGCCTATATCGCTTGGATTGAAGCCAGAATTAGCCGCGTTGGCTCCCGTATCGCCATATAAGAAAGAACGAAGTTCGCCATTTACAACTCCTCCAAGTGGCAACAGCAGCCCCGAACACGATTTACAACTAGCAAGACCTCGTAGAACCATGACCGAGAGTGCCACCCTTCAATCGACCCAAAAGGCGTTTGACCCACCTCCAGTTCATCATGCTGTTGTTAACAAAAGGAAAGATCAAGAGTCGAATGGAATTGGACGAGGGTTGATTTCACCGCAGGTCACTGGGGAACAGCGGCCAGCACTACCAAACCGGCCTACCATAATCGCTGAAACGTCAAGCCCTCGACATTTACCTCCCCCAAGCTCTATGATGCCACCTCCACCACGGCCTTCTATCGATCGATCTCGACCAGCAATGTCTACCACGCCCTCAGATGACCTCAAGACATTTGCCACTCCCCCAAAACGAGTATTTTCTACCCCTACTTCGCAGCAGTTGCAAACACCTCCCAGGTCCCACGGTCGGTCTATGACTGTCGATCGGACTTCTGACAGAACGCCCGCGGAGTTTCGAACTCCGCCTGTGACGAAATTTGAACCGCGTCAATCTCTGGATATTGTTCCTTCTTCTACATTACACAGCAGTCAGACACCGCCAAGCATCATAGAGTATCCAGACTCAACCAACTCCAACAGACGGCCACCTCATTTCAAGCAAGGTGCCCATGAAATATCTACAAAATATGACACTCGTTTGATTGACGTCTGTGGTGAGTTTGTTTGTACATCTGGGCATTTGACTAGAGTTTGGAGCATACTGGATGGGGAGATTGTCTGTAGTCTGGCACACACGGAAGGCTTGAAAATTGTTTCTGTATCTTTCAAGCCAACAGTCGATGTGAAGGACGAGGGTACACGACTTTGGCTCGGAAATAACGTTGGGGAGCTAATGGAGGTGGACGTGAGAACTCAAAGCGTGGTTTCCTCCAAGGCGAGCGCCCATACACGCCGTGAGGTGATCAAAATATTTCGTCATCGTAACGAGATGTGGACTTTGGATGATGGCGGGACATTGCATGTATGGGGACCAGACAGTACCGGAATTCCACAGCTGAGCAACCCAGTTCAGAGCTATAGGGTCCCCAAGGGTCATACGTTCTCGATGGTTGTCGAAGACGAGTATTGGCATGCAGCCGGCAAGGATATTCGGATCTTCATGCCAACTGTAGATGGGTGTGTCCAATTTCAAGTGCTTGCTAGGCCGCTGAATCAGCCGAATACAGGAGACATAACATCTGGCGCTGCCATCCATTCACAACCTGACAGAGTGTATTTTGGCCATACTGACGGAAAGGTTAGCATATATTCACGTCACGACTTTGCTTGTTTGGGTGTCGTAAATGTGAGTGTCTATAAGATCACAACACTTGCTGGGGAAGGAGACAAACTCTGGGTTGGGTTCAGTACTGGTATGGTGTATATCTACGACACAACCACAACTCCGTGGCAAATCAAGAAGGAATGGAAAGCTCACAGTGATCCTGTTATCAAATTGATCGCCGACAGCAGCAGTTTCTTCTTCTTAGACCGAGCTCAGGTAGTCTCACTTGGCCAGGACAACACGGTGCGAATTTGGGATGGATTGTTACAAGATGACTGGATGGGTAAGTTCAAACGTCAGTACATCTGCATGTATATGCTGATTTGCTCTCAGAGTCTCAAATGCAGGCTCAGGAAGCCAGCTACTGTGAATTTAATCACCTCAAAGCCTTGGTTATGACTTGGAATGCAGGAGCCTCTACGCCTTTCCATCTTCAACATTCTGATCAAGACTCGACTTTTTTCCGCAATCTTCTTCAGGGCAGCGATTCGCCCGATATTCTCGTATTTGGGTTTCAGGAGCTGGTAGATCTTGAAGACAAGACTAGAACTGCTAGTAGGTTTGATGTGATAATTATCATGAGGTGTAAATGCTAAGCTGTCTGCAGAAAGCTTCTTCAAGTCGAAGAAAAAAGATCCACATACAGAGCAGGAACATATGAGCCATCAGTACCGGGATTGGCGCGATTTCCTCACTCGCTGCATTGATGACTACATGCCAAGAAGCGAGCTTTACCATCTTGTTCACACTTCTCATCTTGTCGGGCTTTTCACCTGTATCTTTGTAAAGGCTCCCCTTAGAGACCGCATCCGTAGCGTTTGCGGAGCCGAGGTCAAGCGCGGCATGGGAGGCTTGCATGGTAACAAAGTGAGTTTAATTTCATGTGGAATAACGAGCGTCTCTAATGCATGTCAGGGTGCTCTTATTGTCAGATTTGTTCTGGATGATACATCTCTATGTTTCATCAACTGCCATTTAGCAGCAGGTCAATCACAAACTAAAGACCGCAACAATGACATAACTTCAATTCTTGAAAGTTACATCTTACCAGTCGAGAGAGATCGAGAAATCCGACAGGATAGTTATACTGGAGGTGGCGACGGGAGCATGATACTGGACCATGAGATATGTATTCTCAATGGTGACCTGAATTATCGTATCGATACGATGGGGCGAGACACGGTTGTGAGCGCAGTGAGGACCAGCAACCTCGCCAAGCTTCTTGAACGAGATCAATTGCTCGCGTCGAGGAGGAAGAATCCGTGGTTCAAGCTGCGCGCTTTCGACGAACGTCCTATAACTTTTGCACCAACCTACAAGTATGATGTTGGTACTGATAACTATGATACCAGCGAGAAAAAGCGGTCACCTGCATGGTGTGACCGAATTCTCTGTAGGGGCCAGAATCGCATACAGCAAATTGACTATCGTCGTCACGAGGTTCGAGTTTCTGACCACAGACCAGTGACTGGTCAATTTAATCTGATTACAAAGACAATATCTCCAAAGAAAAGGGCAATGAAGTGGGATGATTGCCAACGTCAGTGGTTGGAAATGAAGGATGAGCGAGGAAATGCTTCCAAGTCCGTGCACTAAACACTCGCATTTAACGTCTTACTAACTGTTTGCAGGCTCATCTATTTAACCAATGTGCTGGGGTTTGACGAAGTCACAAGTAAAAAAATGATTCAGAAATCTAAAAGAGCGCATTGATACTGCGCAGAGCTTGTTGACTAGAGCAGTAAAAACATTCAGCGACACAATGAAACGTGCTTCCAAGTGAAGAACTATGCATGTCAACAAAGAACCTCCTGGTCAATCACAATTTGCCTTGCCACAACTTTCGAATGCCTGAAAGGGACCAACAAGTTTTCGTTCGGGGAGGCAAGACGCAAGACAGAGGACGGGTTACTTTAAAGACGCCATGCCACCTCGAGATGTAGGTGCTGGAGGGATGGAACCTCCTGCTGGAAACTTTGTGTGACAAGCGCTGAAAGCGCTGTACTTGTTAGAACGATCCCCTAGATTACTGGTATAGGATACCCAAGATTAGAGGATATCATAATGGAATATGCTCAATGTTAGCATTCGCCAGTTACTAACTTACCACAAATTACAAAACGTAACAGGTCTGATGGAGGACTTGTACTGGGGCTCGACAAAACTGTGAACAAACAATAGCTGAGTGTACTATCGTTTTACAAATACCCAGACAACTTCGAGGTCTAGGCCAGGCAGTCCATCTCCATAAAAATGCATCACGTGTTTTCGCGTATCTGAACGATCGGAGCGTGACTAGCGTGATGTCAGTTGAATTGTAAACGTCACTACTCAGGTACATCTGGTACATGAACGGCAGGAACGCGACTCTCAGGGCATCAAACTCCTAGTTGAATTGCCTAAATAGGTATGGTTTGGTGTTGCTCATTGACTTTTCCCCACGCGGGGAGAAAGTCCCGGAGGGTTGTCCCACAGTGACGATTTGATTCAGAGTGCATCATCCCAATTGCGGCACGACTTGTGAGAAATTTTATGCTTTTATAACAATTGTCTCTTCACCTTTTCCTCATGTTTCATAGAATCGCTTTTACGACTCGAAGTCGACTACCTTCGATTATCCTTAGAGTATCATCCCAAGTTCCAGCTACAGCAAGACTCAATTTCAACCGTTCGTACATTAAACCCACGATCCCAAAGATGTCTCCAACTTCAGACGAAAAGGCGAAAGCCCATTCTAGCACACAAAACAAAGAGGATTTGGAGGGTGAACACAATGAATGGAAGTTCAGGGTTCCCTACAAAGTACACGAGAACGACAAGAATTTCAAAGCCCTGTACGAGGGAAGTTGCCATTGTGGACGAGTGCAGTATCAGTTGAGCAGGGAAAAGCCATTGGATGCTAAGTTCTGCCATTGTTCGACATGTCAAACTTTACATGGTATGTATCTGATGTTCAAGGCACCACGAAGCTACACTTGAGGCAATGAGAAACTAACAAGTTCTCAGGAGCACCTTTTCAGTGGGCAGCTATTTTCCATAAAGAAGATATCAACTTCACACACGGCCACCATGATCTCGGCTGGTACGATCCTGGAGAAAAGACTACGAAGCACAAATTGCCCTGCAAAGTATCGTGTTCATATTGTCGATCACCCATTATGGATGAAGGGAGAAATATGATCTTGCTGTTTCCTAGTTTGATCAAGTTTAAGGACAAAAAGGAAAAGCACAACTTTGATCCTACGTAAGTCTCTCTTAGACAACTCGTCGAAACGTGACGCTTTAGGATACTATAACTATTACATATGAAAATTTTCTGACAACCTCTAGATGTCATATGTTTTATGGAAAGAGATTATACGATTTCCCTGATGGATTACCAAAATGGAGTGGGCTGAGTGGAGATAGTGATTTGATTGAAGACAGCCCTCCGGAGGCTATCAAGAAGCGCAAGAGAGAGGTTGAGGAGAAGGAGAAGGAGGATGAGGAGGGTAAATCCGAAAAGAAGTAGTTTGGCATTAGTATAACTTGAGAGACAAATTTTAAGAGTTTGCATATTTGTTTATCGTTACGATATGCAACATTCGGTGGTCGGTCTCTTTCACAAATCACGACGACTGCTCCTTCCACTAAAAATTGCCTGAATTCTTCTGACGAAATTTGAGGCAAGTGCCTTCCACCTATCCAACTTTTCTTTGAACCACCTTCTTCTCTCATATTTGGCCAAGCGTTAATCTGTTTTGTATCATACATCGCAAACATTGTCATTCGTTAAGTCATTCGTTAAAATACTGTGGCTCATCACATACTCCTGAAGCCACAGTGGCATTATTTCCCCATACATCTCATAACCAACTATCAAAACACGCACGCACTTGTTCCAACAACCCAATCTCTGATAAGATGTGCCAACGCAAGCGACAGCGAGGCTATATCTTCGCCGATGAGATCGATCAGACCAGAGATTTTAATCTCCCTGCCATAGTCAACGGCCTGAACAACATCAATGTCCCTTCGACAACCGAACCCCCCCGGTTCCAAACTCAGTCCACGTCTGATGATGCTGCACATCAACTTCAGCCAACGATTTGGTTGCCTGAAACCTGCCCCTCCGATGAATACTGCCAGTTGCTAGACGATAAGGGGAATAGGCTTGAGAATTGCTCGAAACCAGCTAGACCACCCCTAAAACGAGGGCAACGATATCCTTGCTTTGTGGATGTGCCGCGGAAAAGAAAGACGATGCGAAAGTTTGCTAGTGCTGGTGTGACGGAATCCGGGACACCACCAAGAGAAATTTGTTGTCGAGAGCGCAGCTCAGAACATCACGCACAGTCTTGCGTGGGATCAAACGATCTAGGGGACCATAACAAAGAACCTCAATCGACCAAATTCACGATCAACTTAGAGAAGCCTTCACTTTCTCAAGATCCAACTGACGCTACTTGCGCTACGCAACAAGATGCTGAAATGTTAGACTGTTGGTCAGATCTGAGATCCCAGGAACAGGAAGTACCACCCGAAGAGCAATGTCCTGTCTGCCTCGAAGATTACGAATTGAAGATTAGGCTCATACCCTGCGGTCACACAATGTGTTTGGAGTGCTTTAGTGCTTGGATGGCTCATCGCGTTTCCCTCGGACATGACTGCAGTTGTCCTGTATGCAGAACAACCATACAAGGTGTTAATTACTCCTAGATACGTCGTTTGTATTGTCAATTTTGAAACAAAAAGATGGAATTGGCATGGTAAATAGAAAGGGTGGATACCTATTATGAGTCTTGTATATTACTAGCGTCAGCGATAAATCGATGGCTAAGGGCCGACAGCGAAATGAAAAAGAATATCTATTGCTCAAAATCAATTTACCTCTTACATGCGGGTGGCGTTATGTCACTTTGAATTCTGGCTTTCGGAAAGAGAAAGACGTGAATTGGCTTACAAGCGGCAGCAATTATATTCACAAGTCGATATGAGCAAGATTGTCTGAATTCAATTGGTTCTATATAGCTAAATATCGAATAGCACATTGCCAGAAAATATCCTGCGGGCAGTCCGTGAAAGCGAAACACTTTCCACATTCGCACCTAAGATATCTTTCCGAACTACGGCATCAATGTTGCCACTAGCATGCTGAATCTTGACTTTTTTGTCCTCGAACAAACTCTCCTCTGGTGAAAAGAAAGACTCATGGAGCTCCTGCTCGTATGGCGGGGTCGTAGCTGGGGTTAGAACAGTATCAAGTTTTGATAGCTGATGAGGTATCGTTCCTGGTGTAGAGATAGCTGAAGCCAGACACACCGCTCCAGTAAGCTGAAGCGTTGGATGCGGCTTGCCCATACTAAATGACTGCACTTTTATATCGGGACCTGCTCCTGTGAGATCAAATGGAGGTGCAGACACAACTGCAATCTTCGGTGTTCCTCCAATTAGTCCAGCGGATATGGGATCAGTAGCAAGGCCCATTTTGACTGCACCCGCACATCTTATCGCCTCGACCAATGCTAATGAACTCGATGCTGCAGGTCCCTCAGTATGGTAGCTCAGAGGCAAACTTCTCGAGTCGACGAACACGAACGGATTCGCTGCGTCGATCAAAGTAACTTGCACACACATATTCTCTAGTGGAGGAACATTGCCAATCGCTAATGTTTCGCTTCGCTCCCCCGTAGGAAACAGCTCACCAGTCATGCTTCCTGCCGGCTTGACAAACTGGACTTTGATCTCGCTACCAGCGGCTTTGACACCACCGATATGGCAATCTCCGAATTCCCAGAAGTGGCCTTCATCATCTACTTGTACATTCTCTATAAGAAGTTTACGTGTATTAGTGTTGTATATACGGATGTCAACCTGGAAGTAATTAGCGCTATCTTGACAGACTTTGCTGCTCGATAACTCACTTACTTCAGTCTGTCCAGGTAAAACCTTCACTAATCCCTCGTCTAACGCAAATGGTCCCACACCTGAAGCCATGTTTCCACAGTTTCCTGAGAAGTCGACTTTTTCCTGTCCTACAGCTACCTGGGCAAACGTGTAATCTACATCCGCATCTTCTCTTTCAGATTTCGACACCACTGCTACTTTTGAAGTCGTGGATGTCGCTCCTCCTATCCCATCTATCTGTTTCTTGTCACCATACCGAGACCCCATCACAGATAAGAGCACTTTCGCCCACTCTTCTTGATCCCGAGGGAGGTCTTTTCGGTGTAAGAAAAGGCCTTTGGAAGTACCGGATCGCATCATTACGGCTGGGAGTTGATGTCTGACTCTGTGACGGGTCCGAGAGACGCTTGGAACTGCCATAGTGTACAGAAGTGGAATAAAAGGTGGTGAGGTGTAATTTGGAATGGGGATTTTAACGGAGTTGAGAACTTGTGATAGAACTCGAGTCTGAGTGAACATTACTCTGAATGACGAGGAGATGACATGGAAGTAGACTGCCTCGTAGCAAACACAGGAGTCAAACTCAAAAGAATACTTTTATAAATATCTCCATTCTGCTTCAATATTGGCGGCCCAGTTTTTCGCTAAATAGAAAAACTCCATGAAATCCAAATTCCGTTCTGAAGTCCCGTATCTTGCGGCACGGAAAATAAAGCCGCCATGATGTGAGATAACAATATATGGATTGCAAATCGCAAGATGGTGCACGGGAGTGAAGACGGAAGAGCCTTTGAGATCCCGCGGGAAGAGTGATGGGTTTGCCCCTTTAGTTTCATAAGCGAGACGGAATAGAATTACCGTTGGCGTATCCGGAAACGGCAATTTACGTTAGAAACCTAAATCAATGGGCAAATCAGGAGTCCTTCCAAAATTACGGCACAAGCGTTAGTCTACATCCTTGTTTTCACATATGTACGCTCCAAAGTTTGCCCGATGAAGATGACTGAGAAATTCGCAGGCCTTCGATGTAGATAGAGGTCGGAGGTCTCTCAAAAGTTCTTCGGACTGCGATACAGTGTATTAGCAGGATTGGTTCTCGTGAGATCGTTCGAGATTTCTATACAAGCAAATACCAAATAATGTGAATAGAATACTCTCAAAATGAGGTCTGTTAAGTGGCGTTAGACTCCATAATCGCTGTAACCCCACATCCCCAGAACCCCACGATTCCGGAGCTCCAGATCCTGTCAAAATCTTCTTGGCTTCTTGGTACTCTTGGTATTCTATTCGTTGGGAACTCTCAGTTGACGGTTTTCATCCCGCTATACACGAGAATGGAAATCATAAATATACCACACTCCTCCATGATGGATTGAGAAATCAGTCTCCATCTGCAATTCGCATTTTCAAAGAATTCAGTAAATTGCAAAGAAATCGAGATTAGATATCAAAACACTATCACATTCAGCACAGCTGCGAAAATGACTACTGAAAAAGCTCCCATCACTACCGGAGAACATAAAGTCGAATTCGAGGAACATGAAGAGATCAAGGTGGATTCGATCAACAACTATGCCGTCTCTCCCTTAGAAATCCAAGGACGCTTCGATACGTTGCGCGACTTGAGTGCGACTCAGATGACAGCATTGAACAAGCGAGTCTTGAGGAAGATGGACTGGCGAATGATGCCAACCATCACCATCATGTTTCTGATGTCGTAAGTACTATCTTCGCCACTCCTTTGATTTGATACAATTGCTCTAACAACTTCCAGGTACTTGGACCGAATCAACGTTTCAAACGCAAGACTTGCCGGACTTCAAGAAGATCTTCATATGTCTGATACAGTATGGAGTGCAGGCATATCAGCATTTTATGTCGGATACCTTCTGGGACAACTGCCGGGCAATCTTTGGCTAGCCAAAGCCAAACCAAGTGTAGTGCTTCCTACTATGATGCTTGCTTGGAGCGCATGCACTATCTGTATGCCTGCAATGACTTCGTAAGTGCCAATTATAGCTTTGCGAGATTCATTGACTGACAATGAATTAGGGGAGCTGGTTTCGTCGTTTGTCGATTCATGATCGGGTTAACTGAAGCCCCTTTCTTTCCTGGTATCACTCTCTGTAAGTTACACTCTCTCTGGTCAAGGCTTACAATGCTGACTGTGACAGTGACTTCCTCGTGGTATACACGAGAGGAGAACCCGATGCGCATGGCGGTATGGCACGCTGGAAACACCATCTCAAACATCATATCGGGTTTCCTCGCCGCTGGTATTCTCGAGCACATGGGCGGACTTGCAGGACTCGCTTCGTGGCAATGGTTCTTCATAATCGAGGGCGGGGCCTCTATTCTAGTGGCTATTGTTGCATTTTATACACTTCCCAATTGGCCAACCAATACCAAGTGGCTTAATCAGGAAGAGAGTGAAATGGCACAATACCGGATACTGCTTTCCAATGGCGGAAAAGACGAGGCAGTTGGCGGTACCTGGGATGGAGTGAAAGATGCCGTCAGAGATCCCTTCACGTGGCTTTTCTGCGGTATCCACTTCTCACTGGTCAACGCTCAAAGTTTCAAAGACTTCTTTCCGTCGGTATGTCAGAACTTTGTTCGCTGAAAGATGTCAAAGATCTATCACTAACGTCTCGCAGATTGTCAAAACCTTTGGATTCGATAAAATGACCACTTACCTGGTCCAAGCACCACCTTATGCAATCGCCTATATCACAGCTTGTCTTGTCGCCTACACATCGGGTCGGTTTGGCGAATCAACATATCATATCATTATCCCCATTGTCGCAAGTGCTATTGGTACAGCAATCATGATTTCGGTTGAAAATGTGGGAGCGCGATACCTAGGAGTAACCTTGCTCATCAGCGGAACCTATTCGGGTCTCAATCTCCAGCTTTCCTGGGAAACCAATCTCGTTCCCTCTCCAAGAAGCAAGAAAGCGGCATTGATTGCTATAGCCAATTGTGTTAGTCAAGTCAGTCACTGGTACAGCCCGTATTTTTTCCCGACCTCTCAAGAGCCATTCTACAGACTTGGCGGTGGGTTGATTCTATTTGGTTGCTTGTCAACAGTCCTCCTGTGTTGGGCTATCAAGTGGCGTGCTGTCAAATTGAACAAACAACTAGACGAAGCAGAAGGCTGGTCGGAGCATTCGGGCAATGAGAGAGGATGGCGGTATGTGTACTAAGGAGGCTGAATTAATCGCGGGAGCTTGGGAGGGTAGAGTAAGTGAAGTCAAAGTCTTTATTATAGAAATGAATTTTATAATAAGCCTTGTGCTTCAAATGATCCAGCATATCGAATACTGTGGTTGTACCGAGTTATTTGCATGCTGCATCTTACACTTCGTCCTCCACAATTGACGCCTTAGAAGTTCATCTCACAGCCCACTTCTTTGCGATTCATGAGTATCATGGAGATCAGGCAAAGCTGTGGTGCCACTTAACTATTGACGTATCAAAAATCACTTCTTTCGATGTCCCGCAGAAAGAAGATGTGAAACCCGGTGTAAGTTGAGAATGTGATTCCATATTACCAATTATTATGTCGGCCGCGGCTAGATCAGAGTGATAAAGGGAAGCGGATCGGCACCTTTGTTCCTGGACAGACGGGGCTGGTAAGTGGGCTTCATTCATCCGTGGGAACTTCATTCCGTCTGATTGATTTTGTCCCGCTATAGCTCGCCACCGTAATTGTAAGGCAGACCAATGCATCACATACCCCAGATTCAAAGCTGTGAAATGCTTAACGTGGGGTAGACAATACTCATTCAAGAACTCGTTGACTGCATATATCAATCCCATGCCTGTCCAAGACTTATGGAGCACGCAAGCTTTCTGGGCATTTTAATAAAGCATTGGCAAAATCTTGCTCGTCTTTTGTTAGCTACACTTGAGAACTCTGCCTCCATTCTCTCCGGTCCAACATGCAGGGAACCATTACTCAGAGTGACTTCTTAGTCGCAGTACCAAAGGAGATATACAACTATCGGGTTTATGTTCTCGCGGTAGTTGCCTCGATGGGTGCTATTCTATTTGGTTACGATCTTGCTTTTATTGGAACTGCAATAACATTGAAGCCATTCAAGAAGTACGTCTCAGTTGTTTGTATTTCCCACGACTGAATAGTCCCGTCTCGTGGTTTCTACTAGCGAATTTTACTCATGCTCGAAACAACAGGGATTTTGACTTAATCGGCGCGTCTCAATCGAACCTAGACTCCTTCTCGGCAAACATCGTCTCGCTCTTGCAAGCAGGATGTTTCTTTGGATCATTGGCCGCAGCTCCACTCGGCGATCGGTTTGGTCGAAGGAAAACACTGATAATGACCGGAATGATATTCATCGTTGGTTCGATAATGCAAGTCGTATCCAGTGGTAGCGTATCCGTAATGTATGCTGGGAGAGCGGTGGGCGGTTTGGTAATTAACCGTTTTCTTCCATGTTGGTTGAGCTAACGGGCATCCAATATATAGGGGGTTGGAGCAGCAAGTATGTTGGTGCCACTTTATATTGCCGAAATGTCTCCACCTTGCATAAGAGGAAGGCTGGTGGGAATCTATGAGATTGGAGTACAAGCAGGAACATGTACCGGCTTCTGGATCAATTATGGAGTTAGCAAGAACGTAGCGCCCACATCGGCGCAATGGCAGATTCCGTTTGCAATCCAACTGGTTCCAGGAGTCATGTTGACTATTGGCATGTTCTTTCTACCGGAATCACCTCGATGGAGCGCAAAATCGAAAGGACGAGAGGTTGCAGTTACCCAGCTTGCAAATCTTCGCAATCTTCCTATTAACCATGAATATATCAATGAAGAAATGTTCAGAATAATGGAGCAAATCGAGCAGGAGAGAGCAGCTGTATCAGGCAAAGGCTTAGTGGCCGAATTCAAAGAACTCGCAATTCCAGGAAACAGACGGCGAATTGTGATCGGAATTCTCATATTCGTGTTCATGCAGTTTGCAGGAAGTAACGCCATCAATGTAGGAGCATTCTGAGTCCATTACGTATTTCGACATGAAGCATACTAATAACGCCAAAAGTATTACTCCCCACGCATTTTTGCGTCCATCGGATTGCAAGGCTCCAAGGCAACCCTAGTCTCGACGGGGGTATATGGAATTGTTCGATTTGTTGCAATTTGTGTTGCAATGTATTGGGCCGTTGACAAGTTCGGTCGAGTAAATCTATTGATTTGCGGTAGTGTTGTAGCAGTAAGTAGCAAATGCTCATTAAAAACGTTTTTGTGCAGCTAACATAACACAGGCATTTGCAATGTGGTTCATTGGAGCGTACATCAAGATCTGCCCTCCAGCAACATCGGCTCATATCAGCGCTGGAGGCTATGCTGCTGCGACCATGATATATGTCTTTGCCATAGCTTTCTGCTTCTCATGGGCTGGCATACCGTGGATCTACTGTTCCGAGATATTTCCGTACGTATAAATATGGGAGTAACATCCTATCCTATACTCGTTACCTCGCTAACAAAATACCATAGGCTTCGTATTCGCAGCATGTGCGTCGCGATATGTGCGGCTACGCACTGGCTCATGAATTTCGTTATTGCCCGAAGCGTTCCTTATATGATTACATCAATCGGCTTTGGGACGTACTTCATTTTCGGTGCAATGTTGACTTTGTCAATTCCCTTCGTGTATTTCTTCGTCCCGGAGACGAAAGGGCGATCACTTGAAGATATGGATGCGCTGTTCGGGGTGCCGTCGTTTCTCGATGACGATATTGAGAAGTCTGTAGCGATGACGGAACACCTAGAAACGAAGCAAGGGTAATGTTTCGAGTATGTTCACACGTTCCCATCTAGGCCCGGCCCGTTAAAACCAAATAACATGTCTTCCATCATGTTGCCATCGGTAAAATGGGTCGGAAGAGCAAGATCATCATAACCAATGTCGTAAGAAGGTTGTGCAGATTTGTCTAATACTCCTGAATCGTGTCCATAGTGCGCTTGTCCAGTTGCACTCGATATATGGAAAGCATTATACATGCCGTTTTGCTGATCATGGATGAAGCTCTGTATGATAGCGTCAATATCTAATTCCGGCGAAGCCGGCTGCGCACTATCAGTTGAAATGGCTCCACTCGTGTTTATGTGGGACGTAGCCGTCTGATGCGGAACGTTTAGAGATGACATATTGTTGGGTCCGATTGCAGAGTTGTTCAAGTCCCTTTCTGGGATATTGATAGGACTAACAGTGGGGCTTGTCGCTAGAGAAACATTCATTCTTTTCATAAGTGTCTGAATGACAGTCATTGCGCGACGCACAGCCCAATTAGTCTCCTGATTTTTCTTGAACACAGCTAGACATGTAGACAGACTGATTTGAGCGGCGGAGCCTGGACCGCGTTGCGAGGCAATTCGGACATGTATGGTCGCTGCAACATATGTCGCATATGACATGAGATAGGGAGCGTGCTGTATCGAAAATGCATGGTCATAAAGCTTAAGAATGTCCACGATCTGAGTTGCAGCCTTCGTGCATAAAACGAATGAGTTGGCGGGTATCGAAGGAGTAGCGGAATGGAGGTGGCCTTCGGAAACAAAGGGTCGATGAAGGAGTATTATAAGTACTTTATGCATAGCTCTGTTTGAATTAGTCGGGTCCCTCAAGGAAAAGCTGAACGTGACATACTGAAGAGATAGAACATGAGGAGGGGGAATGGATGCAGGATCTATAATATTTTCAAGTTTAAGATGCGTCGGAAGCGAAGCTTCCCAGCTTTCCAAATCTCTCTGCAAGTCCTTAAGATCTTCCGCTAGTGTTTCGCAGCCTCTTTTCTCACTCTTCTCAGTATACAATTTGTTCAAGATATCATTCATGATAACGCTCAATTTGCAAAGTTGACTGAAAGTGGAAACACTGTAGGCCGGAGATCCGGAGTAATGTTTCGTGTCGGAGTATGCGAAAGGCATCCAATATTCCAACTCCTCGTACGTATCATGAAACACGATAGGGACTCTTGTATCTGCTTCTTGGAGACTAATAGGTCGGCCTTGGTACAAAGATTGTATCTTATCCACGACTGTACACGTTTAGTTTTTCAATGTAAACCACTACATTTTTGTAGGCTTACCAAATGCACCCCAAAAGACCCTACGTCTGACTTCTATGTCTTCATCACTCAGTCGTCTTGTGAAAGATCGGGAAAGATGGTCAACATGCATCCCTAAATCGATGATCATTCTGAATGCTGTACCAGCATATAGCCAAGCGGCACTCCTCTCGTCTCCTAGTGCGAATAGGGAAGAGGTCATTATGAGTAATGCCTGTATTGTTGTAATCTCGCTTCGATCTAGAGCCCCGCCTAGAAGCTCACGAACCCGTTGGCGGAATTGTAGACCAACTGACTTCAAGTTTTCACGATTGTTTCGAAATTCTGGGCGTGGACTGAACTTTGAAGCGCCAAAATAGATCGCATTAAGAAGTAGTTTTGAGAAATATGGGCCTTGACATGCCATGTCACGCATGAAGACTGGCCGATAAGTAATAAGAAACGAATGGTGTTGCCGATTCCAGTGCAGGTTGAGTAAATGCATTCCAAGCTCTGGATCTAAGCCGTCAAAGTCTAAGCGTCCGGCATTGTAATTTAGTAGCTCCAGTTGCCCTATACATGGTCAAAGGCTTCTCAAATAAATAAATCCGAAGGAGCGCTCACTCTGCTTGGACGCCTCTCCCATGAGTTGCAGCTCAGACTTTTCTGAGAAACCAGCAAGTTTCTGAGAATTTCTTTGTTGAGAATGAGTATCTTCGAAAAGAGCGCTAGTTCTCCCATAATAGCCCGGTTGATCGACAGAAAGTTGGGTGAGAGAGCTGTGGCGGCGATCAGTCTCTACATCAGCTGAAGGTTCTCGAGCATCATAATGCGGACTCGATGCTTGTGGACCTGGGACCGGTAGTTGTGCGGAAGTATTATTAGCAGCGGGGGTGTTGTAAGAGACTTGTGTAGCATTCTCAGCTGGTGATATTATGGAAGCAGAATTACTTGAGCCGGCATTCGACGACTGCAAACGTTCCTTGAGTGCGATGTTTTCAGCTTCTAACGAGGATATCCTAGCTTTCGAAGATCTTTTGGACATCAACAAAGTGGCTTATGCAATTAGCGCGGCTTGAATTATGAACAAACCTTGACTTCTGTCGCTCCTCGTACTGACAGTCCTTGCCATAGTTTTTACAATTCCAACATCTAGGCTGCTCATTTCCACATCGCATCTGTTTCAATATCCAAATTAGTCATGGCCCACATTCTCAAATGTTATACATCACTCAACTTTCTTCCTCGACAAAAGTCACATGCTCTGGCTGCTCGCCGCCGCTTCGTGCTTCCTCTGGCATTCTCCGGCAATGGCTCCGTTGAATCCATGTTGGAAATGCCGTTCTGCTCGCGGATGTCGAAATACCGCATTCAATTGAGGCAAAACAGGGATATGGAAGGAGATTCGATGCCATGGATGTCCAGCTTTGCAAACTGGCTTCTTCCTCGGGATGGAATGATGAGGGGAAGACAGAAGGGAGAAAGATGCCGGCACGGACATACATGCGCTATTCCGTCTTGGCACTCAGGCCTCATGAGGGCTTTCCGCGGTTCAAATGATCGTCGTGTTCCGTCAACAAAGATTGGAGTTCATTATCACTAAATCACAGATTTAAATTCTGAGTATCTTAGAGCCTTCAACTGATCCGAGATGTTTGAAATGACTTTGTTAACTTTTTCGCGATGGATGTCAAACTAACACAACCTGTTCCGCTCATACCTCCTCCTCCTCGCTTAGAGAGGATCGGAGATAAGCGCAAGGTCCAGAAAAAGGGGGTAAATCCTTTGCTTTCACTGTTTGCGGGAAGTATCGCTGGTGGCGTTGAAGCTGCGGTAACGGTATTTGCTGAATAGAGATCCACATGTGGTCGAAATTGAGGCTGACAATTCCATAAGTATCCCTTCGAGTTTGCGAAAACACGTTCGCAGCTACACAGTAAGGCTCCTGGTCAGCAAGGGATAGTTCAACTTGTGAGAGATGTGATAAAGTCGGAAGGTTACACTGGGCTGTACACCGGATGCTCAACACTTGTGGTGGTATGTGTTATCCCACAAATTCAACGTGAAGGTTGCTAATCATGGTTCCAGGGAACTGCATTCAAAGCCGGGGTACGGTTTTTAACATTTGACTCTATTAAGAATGCGCTAGCATCAGAAGATGGTAAACTTTCGCCGCTGAGAGGGCTTCTTGCTGGTATGGTGGCTGGTGCTGTAGAGAGTATTGTTGCTGTAACGCCAACTGAGCGGATCAAAACAGCTTTGTGAGTTCAATGCCAAACCCACGTATCTTCCAAAGCTGATGGAGTATAGAATTGATGATGCTAAAGAAGCGCGGCAGTTCAAGGGTACTATTGATGCAACGAAGTCCTTGATCAGAACAGGTGGATTGCAGAATCTATATAAGGGCCTAGCTTCCACAACTATGAAGCAATCCGCAACCTCTGCGGTCAGAATGGGCTCCTATAATGTTTTGCGAGAGAAGTGTAAGACCTACGGAATGAAGCAGAATACAGCAACCACATTCGCGACTGGTGCCTTGGCTGGTACAATCACAGTCTATGCTACCCAGCCATTCGACACAATTAAGACACGCTCACAGAGTGCAGCTGGAGCTTCTACGTTGCAAGCATTCAGAAGTGTTATCAAAGACTCGGGAGCCATGGGCTTCTGGAGGGGAAGTACAATGCGTTTAGGTCGTCTAGTACTCAGTGGAGGCATTGTGTTTACAGTGTACGAACAGATTGTTTCAATAGTTACTGCAGCAAGGCAAAAAGAGGCAACGAAGAAGTTTTAAACGTCAAATCGTGTTCGTGCATACTTTAAATTATTCATCTGAAAGTATATTTGGGCTTTTAGCATTTAGCAAGACAACTGGAGCTCCCCATCGGTCTCAACTGCCCTTAGTTCCTACCAAACGACTTCTCAACCAGGCACTGTCACCTCTCCAAGTGATGGGTAAACTCAATACAAAATATACTTCTCTCATCCGCCGTAGTTGCATCAAAGCGTAATGAGTATTTAGCTACACTTCATTAGCACTGTATTAAACCATCGTGTTATCAAACACGTACCAGCCTCTGCGCCCTGATCTATCTGCAAAATCGGCATTCCAATTCTTGCATAGCCCTCTTTGATTCCTGGCCTACAGCTCCGATGCCACTCCGTACCGCGGTCATTTTTGAACTGCATATATTGGAAAACTTCAAGATCGCACAGCGGACCTTCGCCACGAATCCCATCCGGGGAAACAGGTACATCGTTGACTGCCATTCCCAAGGTGAACCATGGTAAGTCACCTGTGTCTTCTTTGAAACGCCCAGAAACTGCGACTTCAAAGAAATCACCACTAAATTCTTGCAGTCAGTAAGTGACTTATGAAGAATCGTGTGCAATAGTCAGAGTGGGATTGTGTGTTTGAACTAACATTTTAGGAGCACGTGGGTATACTTCCATGTACGATAACTCGAATATATCTGTGGCAGGATCAGAGCAATTTGAGTACTGTACTCTCTCAAACACCTCGACCTCCTTCCTCTGATCGTTACTGGCAGTCTGGCGATTCAACATCAAAATATTCTGAGAAACCGATCGAGGCAGTAAACATTGGGCCGTACTTGTTAATACGAACAAGAAATACCATCGTAATTTCGTCATTACGGTCATTTTGAAAAGTTTTTCTTGCAAAGGCTTGGGATCAAGTCTATTGCAAAAGAAAAACGAGCAGTTAGAACGGGTTGGTAATGAGTATGCCTTACGAGTGCGAACCCAGTTAAATTTAATCGGGCTTCAGTGATGAAGCCACATTTTGGGTTGACGTAAAGTTGGTGTCGTACAGCCCAGCAGTTTCGAATCCTCATTAGCGATTGGAAGTTCCAATTTTACAACAACTCCAACTTCAATCCTGGCAGCGGCTGACATCTCTATTGGTGCAGTGTGATGACAGTGCTAGCACCGCCTCCTCTGCCTCGCCAATTGTGTACTCGGCTAGACATTTCAAAAACACTATAATGCCGTCGAAATGTAGAACTTGATTATGCGCAAAGCCATCAGAAATATGAAGATCATACCGATATCTAAAAGATTGAACCAGCTCTCGTGGAGTGATTATATCAGAGTTACACAATCGGTTGATTGAGTTGAACAAGAAAAAAGGGTTAAACAGAGAACTCTCCTTTCAGCATGACTCTACTCGGCGGTATGACTAAAAACCATGAAACCTCTTGCATCTGGGGACAAAAACAAATGAAATATGCCATACATGAAAAATGTGCTCAATTCGAGGCCGTCTAACAAATGGTCTTCCCAGTACGCCAATTCCCTGCCACTACCTCAACTGTCTTCCCAGAACTATTTGCCTCCTTTTCCGTTCTTCGCATTCTTTGCGCTTCCACTCGCCTCAGCAACAGCTGGCGCCTTGCTCATACTAGCAAATTCATCCGTAGGTGTGTCAAGCTTTGGATGTTTTGACTGTTTGTGTCACTAATCAGTAATGACACCCCCACCCATATTTTCTAGAGCGCTCGAAGCAGAAGCTTGGAAACTTAAATACTCACAGTCCAGTGAGTCTTCATGTTACTTAAACTGTCAATCTCTTGTTTGCATGTCACCTAAATCATATTAGTTGTATTCTTTGGCTTAAGATTAATCGCCATCTGTCTCTGGATTGAAGAATGATGAACATACACACTGATATTTCATGCCTTTGTCGCTCTTGAGAGTCGAGTGGCCACCTTTGTTTTTGGCCGCATTGGCTTTGGCTTGCGCTTCGATCTATCTTAACGTTAGGATTGATACAAGCCCCCACGTGGCAGGGAGGTTGATGTATTTCCTGCTGTTGCCAACAAAAGGCAAGGTGGCCTCTTGTATGGGACAAAGTGTGAATGTTGAAGTACCTTTTGAAGTCCTCGCGCCATGATGGTAATGCGAGCTTAGTTCGTAAGTCTTAGGAAGTTAGACAAGTTTTTAGCAGGATAGAAATCAGATCTGACAGCTACGGAAGATCTGATGCAAGTGCGATCGATAAGAACCGGGCCGTGCGGGTCTAGATTTTGAAAACTTCATGGTAAATGTTGATTGGCTGAGAACACAAAAACCGGGTGATAGTCAGGTGACCGTTTTCGTTCTGGAGGAATAGGAACTGAGTCACGTGGCTTAACTATGTCTTTTTTCATAACCACACCGGAAGCATTGACATACTCCATTTCATAATCCCATTTCGTCGAAATATTTTCCAAAACCTGAAATAACGAGGGATCTTGACAAATTGCCAGTCATAGGGGAGACGTCGATCTGTCGATTTGAGGTTGTACAATCTGCAAACGCAAGAAGAATCATTACATCCGATTCGGCTTAGTGATCTATGTACATCGACGTAAATGCAGCTATCAATCATGAGGACTGCTTTATATGACCGAGTTTTAATCAATGGCAAAAGTCTAACTTTGGAAGGAATGGAGCTTTTCGCTGTTAGAGAAAATATCTGGAAGGGGGTGTTTGATCCGAGAAACGTCACCCATCAAGCTTGGAGTATCGAGGTACCTGGTTCTACTAGCTAGGGTCAAATGACTTATTATTTCAAAGTCATCACCAATAGGTTCAAACCGAAGAAAACATATTTGTAAGTAGTTAATTCCAGATGGAATCGCAGTAGATCCAGTTTGCAACCCAGTTTCCAGACTTCTCACATCGATGAACAGAATTTCATTTCGAGATCGCCGGTTGATTTTAGCCTTTGAAAACTGCCATGAATATCAGTAGGTTTGAGGACTAAGAGTTGGGTTTGGCTGTCGCCTGATAGCGGAATGGTTGATATGATTTTTAAAGTAAACCGATATCACAACTGGCAACGATTCCATAAGATTTAAATCCATCGCAAGTAAAACCACGCAAAGTTCTCACCACGAAATCTCATCCTCAAACCACTTCCCCACCGAAAATCAATACCATCCCTCACCTTCCTTGCTAACCCACCAGCCACTCCTAACACCCCTTCAAAATAACATTATACTGATCAGTATCAAACTCCTGTCCACAAACCTGCCACGCAAAAATAGCATGCGAAACCTCCTTATAGACCGAGCATTGTCTGATAATGTCCTCTGCATACGAAGCAATATATAGACGATCTGGCGCGATCCAGTTCCGTTGCTGTATCAAACAGTCAGCAATCTTCACCTTCAATATTTATCACTTCATCACACAGTAGATAGAATATTAAGTAAGAACATACATCATTGCAAATCAAAATCTGAGCTCCACCGCGACATGGTTCGAGACTTTTGCAAGCAGCGGGGCCGGGAGTGAGTTGGATGTTGTGGTCGTTTCCGAAGTAGTAGTCTTTGAGATCGTGGATGAGGGGTTCGAATTTTTTGACGGGGACGTATTTCCAACCGCGGCCGTTGTTGTCACAGCAGTGCACGCCGTCCTGGTGAAGATGAGTTAGATTGAAAGTTAGTTGAGGTGAGGTGAGGTGATGACTTACCTTGTTGCGGGGAGCAAGGGAGGAGGTGCCGTTAAATATGTCGGGAATTGGTGGTAGAGTTGGGAATGCCAGGGAGAGAGTTGATGTGAGGAGGAGAAGGAGGGCGATGAGGAGCTTCATGATTTGGTTTGTGTGTTAAAGCTGTTTGGTGATAGTGATGTATTAAAGTTAGAGCTGAAGATTGTCTTCAGGTTGGGTGGTTGTGGAGAATGAATCGTTGGTGAAAAAAGAGAATAAGAAGAAGGGTTGGAGTGAACGAGATGGTGATTAAATACTGAGGCTCCCTTATATTTGAAACCGAACGAGTGACTCCTTATCATAACCGTTCATAATCCACACTCTCTGGATTATAGTTGCTGAGTTACAGCCAGAATTAACTTTCTATCTGGATGTTACCATTTTGATGTTTTAACAACATAAACCACGCATGCTTGTCTGTTCTGGTAAGTGAGAGTGGCCTACTATCCCTTTGCATGAAAATACAGCTCTTTTTGGTGTTCCTGTGATACTCAGAAATGTTCGCGACCTACGCTACCAGGTAATGGCAACTCTCCAGAGACCTGGAACATGTCGAAAGTTTCAATGAAGAACTGTATGGCACAATGGGCAAAGAGCACAGTCTCATATATTTTTATCACGGAAAGAGTATTAGCAATGATGTGTATGTCGTTGTATGTAATTTTCTATGTATGCGTGTATATGCTAATGTACTATAATCGAGGCGTCTATCTCCCAAAATGAAGCCACCCATCATCAGCAAGTATGCCGGCCCAGCCATCTAACCCCACGAACACCGCGTGTGAAGACCTTCTTCTATCTCAAGCCAATATAGCTATAGCTAAAGGCGAGTTCCCATGAACATGAACTCCGTGCCTTGAGGCAAATTAAAACGTACCCATAATATATAAGCCAAACTCCCAGCAAAATGTTCAAACAGGGTATCCTCTAATATTTACAATGCAATGATCTTTCTCCGATCATTGCGCATCTGGTGCGGGAGCTGGGTTGACGCCGTCTTTGAAGAAACTCCTGCGTCCTTCTGTTCGGCCACGGCTCTCTGCACCGTCACCGCCTAATGCCATACCCATTGCGTGATTCTCCCGTGCCATGATTCCTGTTGCCGTAGGGCTGATGCTCCTAGACAAACCTCTTCGCATTGGAGTCGTAGCAATGCTGTGTCTACGTTCTCGCACAGGTCTGGTCCGTATGGCACCGAGATTGTTGTTTGGGATCGTAGGACCCGGATGCAGGAGGCCGCTAAAAAAGTTCTGGCCACCCCTACTCGAAGTTGCTCGACTCGCCGTTCGGTCAAGCTTCGTGCCTCTCGTGTTCACCTGTGTGAGATCTGAATTGCGTCTGGCTCGAGCAGCAGCGTCCGCTTCTCTCTTAGCCAATTGTTCGCTAGGCAGAAGGATAGCCCTATCGAGCTCGTATGGTAATCCACGATGACGACCACGAATCTGCATAGCAATGATCACGAGCTTCGCTATGACTCCGAATTCTGCCGAGAAAGACGCATTGATATTGGTGTAGCCCAGAGACAAGCCAACAGTACCGTACGCGCTCACGATCTCGAAAAGCACGCTAAACATCGAAAATCCTGGATCGCCACTCTGGAGGCGGCTACCTTCCGAGATGGTGATGATGAAGAAGCCCAGGAAAATGTACCATAAATCGAACGACAACTGACGTCTCAAATGTGCGCCAATGTACGATGGCTCTGCTGCATCGGAATTCTCTTCTTCAGAACTGCCATAGACGCCCAAAGAATCTTCTTCGTAGACGTTGGTCCTTCGGACGGACATGGCTATGGGCAAAACGGAAATGTACATCATGATCAAGTAGGAAACTTGTATCGCAGGGTGCAGAAGAGCAAGATTGACTACGGCGAAACCAGCAGTTCGAGTAGAAGCAGCTTGAAACCAGCCATCTAGGAAGCGAATGTGAACTGGAAGCTGTGTAACTACGGAATTGCCGAACTACAGAAAGTTAGTATTGGTTGGCAAATGAAAATTGAACACAAACTTACGTCAAGTATGATGAAGAACAACAGATCCAGTCCGTTCAAGCCGCAGAGAATCAGAAACAATACCCAAGTAGCTCCAGCAGGAAACAAGAGAGTAAAGCATCGACGAGGATGGTCAAGAAGAAATTTCAGCTCCTCCCAGATTCCACTATTCTTAGGCACAACTTTAGCCAGGACCCAGATGATAATGCGAAGCATGATTGGAAACCCAGTATTGCCGATTATGATCAGATATGTCATGATCAGTAGCGGCCATACTGCTGTTTGAAAGGATATCATGCTATCAGGCGTAAGTGTGAAACCTAAATCTGTGAATGCTGAGTTGGCTGTAAATATACCCCACCAAGTTTTTCCCTGGCCAGCATTGCTGACAACAGAACCGTAGGTATCAGTTTCAAGGATCCATGGCAGCAAGCTTACAATTCCCAGCAGACTGAACCCTACAAAGTAGCAGAGCAGAATTGCTGCGAGAGACTTGAGCGACCTATACTCTATGCCACCTAGCTCTTCTCGCTGATCCTCGGTAAGATCAACGAATGCGGAGTTTCGCCCAACTGTTGGTTCCCAACTCAAGTAAGGTGCACCCTCGTCTTTTGAGCTAGTCAGAGCACTTTTTATTGCTTGGAAAGTGCCAGTTCTGGTTGCCGGCGTGGTGCTAGACGCTTCATCATCCTTCTCCGTTGTGTATCTTGAAAGTCGACTTCGTCGAAATCTAAGCCCGGCGTTGCTATGCTTCGCACCACTAGTGTCCTTCGTGGCACGTTCACCCGCTGGTTCTTTTTCGGGCTCAGCGATGGTGATATTGCGAGGCTTTGCGGCTTCGTTATCAAACGTAGGATGGTCATCTCCGTTAAGAGCTACTGCGTCTGTGTCCGCAGTATGCGATTGCAGTGTAGACGCCCTCCTGGACATCGTTCTGCTGATAACATCAGAATCATCTACTGCTTGTGGAGCAACTCCAGCGTCCGCATCTCTAGGCCCTGGGATACGTAAAACGGCGCCATCATCTTGTTTGCGCTGACGTTCGAGGATTGCGATATGTTCTTCGGGAGAACGATGCGATGGTCTGCGTTCTTCCTCGTCGACGATACCATTGTTGAGCTCACCATAAGCAATGGTTTTCTCACTGGGCTTATGTTGGTCTGCAAACTTGATACCGGTAGAGGGTCGATCGGCGGCCCCAGGAGACTTCGAACGAGCTCCATTTGCTGAAGGCTGTCTCTTTGTACCATCAGAATCATTCGAAGATCTTGCGGGTTCTTCCTCAATGGCGTTGATTTTTTCCATGTGGTGCGCAAACTCCTCGGTTCTACTTCGATCAGTACTCATGCCGTTGGAAGCAGTCATATTGTGCATGACAACAATGCTTCGACCACGCACACCCATCTCTTCACTGTCAATATTCTGCTCGGTAGTCCTGGATCGAGAGAAGGTCTTAGCCATACTTCGACGATTCTTCTTTGACTCTGCCGCTATCTTCTTGAACCGCTTCTCGAAAAGAACCAATCGAAATACTACAACGAGCGAGTTTATCGTGATCGGATTCGTAAGCATTGGAACGATATAGAGAACCACTTGTTGCCATGTAGTGAGCAGATTTATGTCGATAGTATTGAGGCCGCTCTGTGTGGCTGCACCACTGCCGAGAAAGAGGGCGTCGATATAATGTATTCCGCCATTCGCAAATATACATATGGACCCGGTGAGTGCCCAGCCCATAATCCAGAAGTCTGCGGCTTGTCAGCACCTACTCCAATTGATGTTATCAGTCGTGGCCAGACTTACAGTGTATGTTAATGAAATTGAAATGGGGGTTTTTGGAGATGAAGGCGGGCTTCAGGGACTTGATCTGGTTCCATATGCCCATGACGATGGATGAGAAGTTCATCATGGCTGCGACTGGGAATGAAGAAGATGGAGATGATCAGAAGTGGTTATGGAGTCGTTGGATTCCTCTCCCCCAAGCATACGCAAGAGTAGAAGCTTGGCTGGCTTTTAGCAGTCAAGTCCGCCTCTTGGATGGATGGCTCTTGGTCGGGTCAAATGCATGGTCGCGATGTCATTCGGGGCAGACGCGGGTAGGTCAAAGAGGGCGATGGTTCACAGCCGGCGGGAATCTGGTACTGGTCGTTTTAATGGAATGGATTGCTGTTCGAATTGAAGTACAGGTATCGAAGACGTGAATGGTGTGCAACGTTGGTATCTATCGAACGGTGGCTCGAGGGGTATCGGGCGATATTCTTCTTCGCAGAGGGTGAATGTGTTGTGGGGCCCCCGAGTGATTATTGTGGCTGAGGGACTGGATTTTCTTTGTTCCTAGAACAATTTCGCCTCGGTGAAGCAGTACCTAACTTTCGAGAAAGGAAAGAAGTGATAAAGTAAATAAAGAGAAGCAGAAGAGGTAGCTGGAAGGATGCGAGATTGGACACCTTTTTTTGAACGTCAACAAGGTTGGTTGTCGGTTTGAAGTGGACTGCGCGTCAATCTTTCGACAGGGGGAGGATAACTTCCTTGCACATGCCACGCTCTTGCTCCAATCTGCCGCTCACTCCCCAATCTCCCTCCTTGGCAGACTGACAGGACGGAGGACGACCCACAAGTCCCTGCATTGTTACTCCAAAGTCGAGAGTCCGTGTTGACGTTCAACCACGATGTCTTTGCGCGTGGGTCATGATGCTCGCGTTATCATGATACTGGTGTCCATGATGTCTATCTCACGTGAATGACTGTCGCCTGTGAGCTCATTTGTCGACATCGCCAAAAACATATAAAAGGCAATCTCTGTCCCCTTCCAATCGAGATCCAACCGACATCCAACCGGGACACAATTGTTCTAACACATCGTGGATCCGTTCAATTGGCCCAGCTGTCTTATCTTTCATTTTTACTCGCACTTGGCATAAGCGATAACCTACGGAGGCTGATTTGCCAATTGACAACATCTGTGCCTCCCAGCAATTTGATGTCAATTAGAGCCCAGAATAAGATCTCGCGCTGAGGCTCAAGCGATCCTCAAGGAGCCACATTTCTGACCTTCGTGGCTATTTTGACAACTCTCTTTGCACATGTATGCCACTGTCAGAACACCAGTCCACTAGTCGCGAGGTTCGACTTGTCGCATTTAGCTGGTTGCACAGCATTGATTGCCTTGGGATCTCAACGGTCATCTGAGTCGCTCAACCTCGTATAATCAATGAAGCCGATTTCTTTTGTTTGCTAGCATTCTTGGCGCACCAGTTATTCCTATTCCTATTATTCAGAGTGTCAAGACTACGCCTAGAAATCTTTCTGGGCCTATCGTGGGACAGCCCGTATCGTCGGGTTGGCTTTCCTTTCATTCGGAGTACAGCATGAAAAAAGACCACGAGATCAAACAAACTCCCGAGAATCTTGACATATGTTAGCAGCAACTGTGTCGTCTTGGGTGGCTCACATGTAGCTGTAAGCAGCTTCGTTGAAACTGTCCGGTCCTAGGCAACACCTCGAATGATCACAGATTTGTCTGTCATCAATCTGATCAGGGAAGGGTTAGAATAAGACTATTTTCATTTTTCGATTCATTCTTCGGCTCACACATTATCTGAGCAATATCCAGGAGATTAAAGGGAATAGCGAACACTAGTCAAATGTTGAATTATTGTTGTTCTGATCATCTCTTATAGGCTGTGAAAAAGCTCGCAGATACAGCAGCTTGGTCCCAGCTTAGCTCAAGATTGCGTCTTACGGTTGATTTTCTGCTTCCATGCTTCAACAAATAGCAAATTTCACATCTTGTATTGAAATTCAATTCCGGATTGCTGGTAAAACAAAAGAAGGCAGGGGGAAAGGCACAGTAAGAAGAAAATACCACTAAAGAAAGTTTCCACTATCAAATTGAGAACCAACACAAGTACTATGTTGATGAAGATTGTTGGTTACAGAGGTGTTGCTATTTTGTTTGCCGCCCTGTTTCTTACCAATCACATGTTTACAAATTTTCCATAATTTGTTGGTACTTAAAAAATTGTTCAGCGTTTTGATTTAATGTCAAAACTGCTCCAATTTTGTTGTATGCTTGGTCTTCAGAAGGCAGATTGCGCTTGTGTTTGAAAAGAAATGTGCTCAAGGAGGAGGGTAGAAGATTTCTATATTTCTATGACTCTTCCTCGGATTATTCCTACAGCGTGGGATTCATTGTATAAGTACCATTCCTTCATCTCCCTCGAGCTTAGAACAGGCATCTTCAACAGTTGCTTATTTAGCCCGTGTAGCAAAAGCACTTCCAAAAACGTTCTGAATTCGCAGCAAAGCATATTTCATCATACTTCGCAATAAGCATACACATATTACACTATCGACATCATGAGCTCATATAGACTCAACAAATTGTCAAATCAGTCAGCAGCAACAAAGATCCGAGAAAACTTTTCACGAGTCCTCAATGAAGAATACAATATTCCGCTTGAATTAGCCAAAGAGTTCAGCGCAAATTGGAAGTACGGTTATGAACACGAAGTTCATGCCTTTTCGGAATCTGTTTATATTGGAATATTCGGAGCTGAGATTGGTGCGATTCTATATGCCAACATGCGTGACACTGAGAGTCCTGCTTGGAAGCAATCAAGAATTGAAACGTCCATAAAATGTAAGTCTATCAATTTCCTTACTGATGTTCTCACCCTTTTATTGATAGATGTTTCAGGAGAAATTGGCTAATCTTATGTGTGATATAAAACTACTTGCAGTGTTTATGTCTGGCACATCTGCTTTGCTGTCGTGCTTATTTATGGACTACATCCTGCAAAATACATTAAAAAAGCACTTGCATTAATTGACTCTACGTTCTTCTTTCTAACTGACGTTCTGGGGTTTTTGATGGTATAGGATGAAAGAAGAAGTTGAGCTTGATTGCCTTTCATACCTTGGGGTCTTTCGACAGGAGTGTCAGGAGATTTGGGATCATGAAGTCGTGATGTCATTAAAGTTCCATTTACATGAGGGTTTAGTTGGTTTCCCAACTGGAATATAAATTGGCGGAGAATTTCAGGATTTTGTCTCTAGTTTATTTGTTATGAAGGCATGTGTGATAGAAGGAGAAAATCCATCACTCATATTAGTTCCATTTGAAAGAATGATTCACATGAGATATGTTTAAAACTAGTATGGGAATCAGACATTCTAGCGCACACTTTGAAGACCTATCTATGACGCACTGTGCACAGACATGTGAAGCTATGTATTGATATAGCAAATTTATTAATATATTACTCATATAATATTCTAGCTTGGGTATCTTCCGAATCTTCCTCGCAAACGCTCGACATACTCCAATAACTAATAATAGGGCAGCCCGACATAGTGAATTAAAAATGAAATGATCAGGGGCGGCCCCGAGATGAACGAGTTGTCTCAAAAGCGACCACAGTGTCAGGACTTTCAACTTCTAGCTGCATACCATGCCCATCTTCATCGGGGGTAGCCACTTCATGGACGGTCTTAGGGACGACAGCTTCTTCTAACGGTGAGACCACTATTCTCGGATCGAACCTCTTTATCTCCATAGCCAGTCCTCGAATACCAGCCACCACTACATCTATCCTCTCAAATGGAACCAACCCAGGCTTCCCAGGTATTCTTTGAGTAAACACCACATCGTGTCTATTGAAAGTCCAAGCCGGACAGAGATAACCACGTGAATCAAGTCCATCCACACCAAACACTGTAATTGCAACCCGTGTTCTGGACGCAGACTTCTTTACTTCGTTCGCCGCTTCTTTCACTGCTGTCGACCAGAATCTTGCGCCAGCTTCTACACCCGGTAACCAGGCAAGCTGTGTAAGATCGATGATCTGTGTGTCACTCAGCTGATGCGATGGACTTCTTTTCCTGAGCGTACTGCAAACAACACTCAACAGTCCCACAGGTGAGTCGCATAGAGCATATGATAAGGTGTTAGGCTCCCGCAGGCCAAGCGCACTCATAACGCCATATCCTTTGACTTCTCGTCTTCGCTTCGAAGGAAGTCGATCGGCTCCATTCGTCGATTTGGCGGCTCTTGCCTTCGCTTCGTATGTTTTCAGAGCTTTCCAATCCTCTCCAGTATAACCGAAAGCATTTGCGTGAAAGAATTTCGCGACATTCCATTTCGCCCATAAGACAGGTTCTTTCGCAACCCTTGGTACTTCGGCGACAGGGTCGAGCAAGTGCGCGCCTAAACATCTTTCTGGAAATGTTTCTGCGATAATTCGGGGCAGGTGATAATCTACAGCTGCAGCACTTGATATTCCGCTTCCGGTTGCTGTAACTAGATAAAATTCGTATCCAAGTCGATTCATCAGTGCATCGAACAGACCTGCGGTATGCCTCATCACGTCCTTTTCCGCTTCTGGAACGGAAAATGGGTCGCTGAAACCTAGCCCAGGTATCGAAGGGACAACAATATGGAATGGTTGCTCGCTTCTAGGATTTGGAGGGTTCGTCAGAGGCTCAAATATTTGCGTGAGACTGAGGTTCGTAACTGGAAAGCTAGGAACGACGAGTAACGGGACGGAGTTACTGTGTTGGGATTTGAGGTGAACGAAATGAACGCGAAGTGGTGGACTTGAGCTCGCTGGTAAAGGCAGAGCAACACGAAACTGAGGCACTCTGATGTTCAGATATGCTTCTTGCTCTCGCCATGAATATGTTTCTGTCCTGTCGAGAAATTAGAAAACGCGATAAACACTTGAGTATTGTACTGACCAAAAATCTATTAGTGGTTCTATTTCACTCTTGGGAACACCGTATTCCCTCTCCCTCTCTTTTGGAACCAGCAATTCATGAGGCAGTCTTGTCAACTCCAACTTCTTGTGAGTAAGAGTAAGGTATTTGCTCGAAACCTTAAAGTTCAAATCAGCTCAAACGAAGTGACCTTCTTCAATGACGCCAAATACTTACATGAATTTTATACGGCTTGACTTCCCATTCCTGATCCTGCTCCCCTCCCTCTCTAGCTTCTCCACTTGAACCTATTCCACTTCCTGGCGAAATGATCATCTCTGGTTCAACCATCCTCTCCTTCCCTTTCCCTTTGCTTGTAGTACCAAGAGAACCCATTTTTACACCCTTGCCAAGAAAAGGCAATGCTGATGAAAGCCCTACTCGACGACCTTGCGCCTGGGCTCAATATTCTTACTTCGCAAATTACGCGCCCAAGATTGTATTTTTCCCTCTCCCTCCAATCCTTCGGCTGGTTTGATTTCAAAGTCGGTAATGATACTATCGCCCTCTCCACAGTCAGGGCTTTCTCACAACTCAAACTACAAAGCCAAAACTCGCGACATGAGCCCGAAAAATACAAAATTCATAACAAACCACAAAATCTGCACAGAAAAGAAAGTGGCTGCTTGAAACAATTTGTATTACAGTCACCCATGCCCACAACCCCTGTCGCGAAGTGTGGCGCACCATACAAATTCTGACGCCACACCATCAAATCAGGCCATTCCATCGCTGGAAAAAACCCACCTTCCGCCAGAAAACCCCGGTGAAACAAGCACTCTAGCCACACGTGTGCTGCAGGGCCGAAACGAGATGTGGCTGTGCAGAGCTTTTTGAAGATCTTATATCTTCCTGGATGGTGACTCTAACCTGACATGCAAAGACCGAGGAGATTCTGGGAAGTTGATGGGAGAAAGGTGATGTGTTCCTGTGGTCTAGACTTATGTATACGTGTGCGCTTTTTGCCACGGCGGGAAACTGGGAACGATGGACAATGAGAAGTCGAAACCACAATATTTGGTAGACTACTTTTTACACTATCACCTTTTCATTCAGATCTTGAATGGTGAGAACTTGTTGCTCATGTTCCGCAGGTTTTGCCTCTAAGTAACATTTACGATTATTATATATGTCGATATTAGGTATAATACTCGCTATCGCGAGGTGGAAAATGGATTTGAAGCCGAAAACCATGGTGACAGGACAGGTTAGGGAGGTGAAGGATAACCACGAAACGCTGACTGTTGGGCAGTATTTTCCACTCGCCATAATTAAATTGATTGATTCATGCAAAGTAACCCATGAAATCCCATGCCTTCCCCGCTTCGTCGCGCATGATATCGAGGATCAATCCCATCACTATATCGTTTCACTAATCTAATCTTATACATTTCGTCTGATTAGATAGTCCTACCAACTCCAAGCCCAGTTCCAGTCCCGCTACCCGTGCCCGTTCTACTAATATTCTCCCCTTGATCCCCACCCGTACTACCCACACCCCTAAGATTCATACTCCCAATTCTAGATACGATAGTACTACCTACAGCATCCACTGCACCGCGTGGGGAACTTAGAGTTGGGCCTGAAGATGCTACAGCCTCTACCCTGAATAGTCGAATACCAGTTCCGTTCCAAACACCTACCGTGCCTTTGGCGACTTGCATCTCGGCAGTGAAAACGAAACTCCACAGTAGTGATTCGTACCACCCCAGAGAGAGCGGTGACCACTCAAAGTATTGGATTTTTATGGGTGAGGGCTCCACTGTGAAGGGTGATTTGAGTATAGTGCGGAGGATCTGAGGGGTTGGTGTGTCTGTAGGTGATTGACCGGGAACAAGATGTGAAAGATGAGTGAGGAGAGTTAGCAAGGTATGAAGTGGAAGTTCCGGAAGCCAAGATTCTATCCAAGCTGGCGTCGGTTCGAAGGCGCCGGTTGCTGAGTACCCTGCTGTTGTGTAGGATGCGAGAGATGTGGTACTATTCTGGCGGGAAAATGTGGGCATACCAGCTGAAATATTGTCAGTGAATGTAGCAGCAATAGGTAATGTACGCAGATAACTTACCCGGCATTTTACCACGTGCCTTCTCCGACATCCCTCGTAATTGTTGAGGTACTTCGTCGATTCCGGATGACACAGATGAAGCTCGCGAGGGTTGCTCTGTAGGTGTAGACTCTGCTGGAGTAGATTGATGGTCGTCATCCTCCTCATCGTCTTCATCGTCTCCAATTGCAAACGTACCGTCTTCTTCAGGGACGTCACTTAAAGCCGGTATTCGAGGACGGCTCGAAGACGGACTTCTAATGCTATCAGCAGAGCCTCGACGGCCATGGGTTTCGCTCAGATCTGACGGGTCAGAAGCCCGCTCTTTTCTACGCTTATTTCTTCTTTCAATTTCTTCTTGGCCACTCTCTAATGTAAACGATCGTAACGCTAGGATCAGTTAGTGAAAAGAAACGACTACGACCACAACAAAAGAATGCTACACACCTTCGAATCGCTTCTTATTCCGTAAAATAGCATATACAAAATTTGGGTTCTCTATTCGGATAATCAGCTTTATATCTGGTGTTGATTCCATTGAAACTTACTAGAGTATTTATGCTCAACAATGGAGCTCATACTCTCAAGCAGAGAGTGAAGGAGATCGTGATTGCTGTCATTGCCTAGGAGAAAGCCGGGCGATGACATGGAAGAAAATAGTTGTAGTAATTTGGAGGATGCTGAAGCACTCAGGTTCTCCAGGTGTGGAGAAACGTTGTTGATAACAGCTAGCAGAGCCGGGTATATGGCAGTGAGTTTCCCCTGGCTCGTTGTGATTATGTTGTAAATAGACTGGCTCTTGTTAGTATGATGTCTTGTGGGAATTGCCTAGCGGTCATACATGGATGAGGAAGTCCGCATAAGAACCATTGAAGTTCTGTAGCCGAATAGTGACAGGTAGTGTTTCCTGATTTTCAAACTTCTTATTTAAACTCAAGCCGAAGTTTTTCTCGACACTGAGTGTTTGTAGTATGAAAACACACATCCGCACAATACCTTGTTTCGATGCATCGAGTTTGTAATCGATCGCGTAGTAGAGCAATAAGACTAGAAAGTCGTGAGATCGGTTCGTATCAATGATATAAGATCGAAATCTTTTGTTGCACTGGGTCATCTCCCAAAATAACATTATCATCTCAGAAGTAAGCTTGTTGTTAGTCTGCTGGTTTCCAGGAATATAAGAGGTGCTAGCATGGAGCGGATAGTTGAGCACTCTCGTGATGCCCTCAGTGATAAACTGGAAGTCTTGCGGCCGATGCAACCTTCCAAGGAAGTGACGGAAGTAGTCTATCATATGTCAGTATCTGCCGAGCAAACAAACAGAAGGGTTTCTTTACTCTTCTTGGTGTGGTTTGGGTCTGATTCTGGTATTGGGTAAAGCACAACAACGAGCATGAACTGCCATGGTCATGTTAGGGGAACCGCCTCACAGTTGGTAGCGTTAACACTTACCTGTAGTGCGTATGTAACAAATATTAGTTTAGGATCTTTGAAGACCTGAACATTGTATGGTATTTTCCATGAGGCTGGATTATACTTCAAGGACTAGAGGGTGGTTAGCAGCGCCAAAACAGGCTATGAAAACTAAACTTACAGTGTTCAACAAGGAGCACAAAGTCGACAAGACCACCTGCTTATCTGGGCAGGTAACAATGTACGATATGGCCTTCACTCCCGTCACTGGCAAAAGATTTGCGGACATATACATGCTCTGACTTGTCATAGTCAATAGTAAACGAAGTATTTCCGTCCTATTGCTTTCGTACTCCCTGCTCGTCGCCACGGGAGTATTGCATCCCACTCCACTAGACCATATCGCATAGGTGACTTTGTTTTTAACGTTCGGTGCCTTGGGAAGGGTGAAATCGCTGAAAAAGAGCAAATCAATCAGGGTATCTATCAACTCCTCCGCCAAAGGCTTGACCTCCTCAAACTCTTCCCCGGCCGCTTCAAGCTTTGCTAACTCTTCCTGTGATTCATCGAATAGTACGTTTCGGGCCAATGATGCTTGCCTGGCTCATTGTCAGTTGAAGCGCATGGCTATCTCCTCGCCCTTCCTACCGTGTTCGTTTCCTCCTCACGCCCCAGAAGAACTTATCTTCCCATGGTTGCAATTGATCGGCCTCGTATAGATAGGGAAGTATTCGTGTGAGAACCCTGACGCAATTAAGAGCGTCCTTCTCTGGTGCGATCTCTGGGTCGGGAAACGATGGGTGGTGTCGCAAGATGAACAGGCGGCTCGTAACAGCGAGGATGAGCGTTTCTAGGTTTCCCAATGCGGTGTCTCTGGTCCTCCGTATATCTGCTGGCGAAAATAAACTGAAAATATCCTCTGTTGTCTCTGGGAGCTCCCAGAACTGCAATCATGCTGTTAGTTCTGATGCGCATAATGGCTTCAAGGTTCCTTCTTACAGACGCCCAATAGGGATCGTCGGCAGCAATATCTTTTTCCTCCGAGAGCTTGAAAATGCCCTGCTTAAACGTGAGCTTCGAGTCGGATGCCCCCATCGCGATGTGTGTCTTGCATCGGTCGGGTTGATGTAAATTACGCTGGGTGCTTGTGTAGTCGTTAGTTTAGGTTGTCGATGAGCCCTGGCCTGGCCAGCCTCGGAAGTATGATGTCGCAGAAGGCTAAGGTTGACTGGGCATATTTTAGATTCACAACTTTGAAGCGGAGCGGTATTGAAATTTAGTGGAGAATTTAGATCAAAGCCGCTGCTTAATTTTAGCAGATATTACACTCATGGATTCATGAGTTCGTGTTTCGTGCGCGAGGTAAGCAGGGCCCGAGGGGTATATAATTTTGACAGCAACTATTCATACAGCATAACTACGTATACAATCGCGCACTTCCCGAATTTCTTCTTTCTTTGTCGTATAGCCACTTGCTGTTCAATCCTACTGAGGGATTCTTTGCTCCAGAAGGGCTGGGTGTACCTGGCACATCGGGCGCACCACCAAACCTAGATCCACCAGGTCCTAATGGGCTGCCGGATCCGTATGAATGTCTTCTCGACCCTCCCAGACCCGCTCCAATACCGCCTCCCATAGCTTTTTGCAACAGCGGACTGGCGCCTGGCGAGAACTGTGAACCAAAACTCTCTCCAAGTGGACTATCCTTTCCCTTTCCAGATAACGGCGAATTCGGGAAGCTTCCTTTACTTCCTGGGGAATTGTTTAATGTAGGAGTTCTTTTATATCTAGGCGGCGTAGAGTATCTCGCATCAGGTGTAGCCGCTTTAGTGCTTGGTGGCAGTCCAAACAGTTTTCTTTGCGCCGGTGTGAGAGGGATATCTTCCATATTATCTTGAGTACGAACGAGTGGCGCGCATGCTGTCGAAATATTATAGATAAACAACGCATGTAGTAGGAAATATCCCCATGTCGCATATGGCTGCAAGATCGAATTGGGAGAAAAGAGACTTGGAAGGCTGCTCTTTGTTAGTTATCATCACGCCGGTAAGGGGAACCGCCTACTTCGTCCATAGTGCTCTGCCGATAAACCATACAACAAGCAGACCCCCCAGATTATATGCGATTATTCTGATGCTTCGGTCGGAGAAAGTTGAGGCATTCTGGCGTTTGATAATCTCATCCAGTCGGGGATGCTTCCATGATCCAGTGACTGGGGTCGAAGGCGCTGTGGGAGCTCTTGACACAGGTGTGGATGGTCGAGAAGGAGTCATTGATTGGGACATTGCGATATTCCAGGGTGGTTGTCTAGGTTGTAATCTAGGCAAGGTGTGAGTGTGATGTTGAATGTCAACAAACAGCAGAAAAGGAATAATGCCATACCTTGTTTCCAGCAATCTCAGTCTCCTCCAAACCCTCAGATGATGAGAAGGAATACCTATATGTTAGTAGTGAGCGTAGCTCGTGGGCGGGACCTATGTTAGCATGATGTTGACCGTGAACTGTCTCTGGGGGAGTTGTAATGTTTTCATTCGCGAATGGTACCTGGAAAATGCGGCAGATAGTCCAACAACCCCTGTCGCTACACTATTGGTACTTCAATTTGTCCCACCAAACCCGAAGTCCTCCCGACGTTCTCTCGCAGGAGTGAGACCAACATGCAAATGTGAACACTTCAACAACCAAAGCAATTCGCAATGTTCGACAATTTGATGTTGAAGCTCGATGAGGTAGTCACTGGGATACTTGGAGAATGGGATATTCTAACCACCCTGATTCTTGGGTCTATCATTTGTTTCTTCATTTACAATGTGCTAAGCAGCCGCGACCCGGATGCTCATCCTATGCTTCTAGCACGACAGGCACAGGCATCGCCAGTTAGGCAAGAGGGAGAGTCCGCTGTTTTCCGGTCGCAGTCAGCACCCCATGGCATGCCTCTCAACTCTGGACTTAATGTCAAAGACCCTGGCGATTCGAAATGGAGTAGAGGAAGAGATGGTGATTTGCGAGACGTCTGGCGCAGGGTTGTGACTGGGAAGTTAGACAAGGACGGTAAAGAGACGGGCGAGAAGGGAAAGATCTTTACAATTCTCGGATCTGAAAAAGTCATCGAGCATGAACTAGGTAGCGTGAATTCCTTGCCCGTGTATTGTCACAAACTCACGTATACTAGCCGATATCAACCGGCAAATTAATCTCATCGGTCAAAGCATAAAGCAAAATGGCGGAAAGAACGTTGCTGTATATCTTCCTAATTCGGTGGAGCTTTTGGCAACATTGTTCGCTTGCGCCTTTTACGATCTTACTGCTATACTTGTTCCATACGACCTGCCTATCAAAAAGATTATCTCGCTACTCCATGAGTCCAAAGCCGATACTGTCGTTGCGGCTGTTGGCTCCTTTCCTTTCGGCGTTATGACCAAGAGTTATCCGGCTCTGAAACAACTGATATGGGTAGTAGACGAGGGTAGCAAGCACATGGATTGGAATGAGGTGCCCAAAGGAACTGGCGGCCCTGTCAATGTTTCTACATGGCAGGAAATCGTTCAGGACGCAGCGCCATCAGCTGGAACGGATCTACCGGTAATCAACAGAAATGTTCCTCTTACAAAGGTCTTGGCATTTTCGCCGTCCAGCAAGCTGGTGGAATATTCGCAGGCGAACATAATTGCTGGGACCGCAGGCCAGCTTTCTTCAGTTCCGACTTCCCAACGGTTCACTCCAGCGGATTTGTTCTTACCAGTTGACTCATTGACCAACATATATGCCTTGGTATTGACACTTGCAGCGCTCTATTCAAATTCTTCAGTCGCTCTTAACTCTGTGGCCGGAAAGAGCCCTGATCTAGTGCTGGCTACGAAGGGCGTCGCTCCTACTGTCATTGTGACCTCTCCGGAGGTGCTCTCGAAAGTGCTATCAGAGGCCAAGGCCAGAATGGCCTCTCCCATTTACAAGATTGTTCATTGGTTCCAGACGCGAGCGCTCATTGAGGATGGCTCTATGCCAAACTCAACCATTTTCTCTCGGCCGTTCGATTCCTTACGTCCCAAATTGGGGAGCGGCATCAGCAAACTGCGCACCATTTATATCTCTGAGCAAATTGAGGAGCAATCCACGCATCTCAGTGCGCAAAACCTTTCCGATCTACGAATATATACAGGGGCAAGAATAATCTACGCTTTAGCTTCACCTCTGGTAGCCGGAGCCGTCACACAAACAAGCGTCTTCGATTATAGAGTTGACCAAATGGAAAAGCGATCTCATCTAGGGGCTCCAACTACCTGCGTTGAGCTCTTCTTTAAAGACAAAGGCCAGTACACAACTACAGAAATTGCATCACAAGGGGAGGTAAGATTTTAGTCCCATCGCATCTATATCTCAAATCATTAATTCAATTACAGATTTACGCAAGAGGTCCCGCAGTGGTTGGAGAAGAGGCTGACTTGGGTATAATTGGTAAGATGAAGGAAGATTTCACGCTTTCAGTGCAGCCATTTTGATATGAAACAATTGTCAGAAGGACCGTTACGCAATTTAGCTATCACTTATCAATGTTATACCGGGATATTGTCATCAGCCATTCCCCAGCAAGTGATTTGGTTCCATGTGGCTAGGCTAGCTTGTGATAGTGGAGACAGCCTGCCGTAGCCTCATTCTGAAGGGTGGAAACGCCCGTGCTCCGTCATCCCCGGGTTTTAGACTGGTGAGCACAGGCCATTGGCTGGTCTGACAAGCAAGCCCAATGACGAAACGCGGATTTCCCTTAACAACCTTGGAAGAACTGGAGCTCATTCTCGCGCGCATCACTTCTTTCCTTTCCACTCTCCACAAACATACAGCGCGTCTACATGATATTGAACTTCTAAGTTCCCGGCTGTCACTATGTCGACCTTACAGGATAAGACGACAATTGCGAGCAGCATTGCTCTACGGCTTGCGGCGTTTGCTTTCTTGAGAATTATCCCCAGTGGTGTAAGTAATCGCGTTATCTGCGACCACAGCTTAAGAGGTCAAGAGCTTACCTCTCACATAGCACCTGATACCCATCATCTATTCTGCATTCGCATTATACGTCCCATCCTTCATATCGAGTTTCTTCACTCAATCACCTTATACTGTTCTAGAAGACGAAGTAGACATCACGGTTACGGAGACGGAATATGAAGATCAACCTCCAGAGTTCGCTTCCACAGCGGCGCATTCTCAGAACCTCCCAGAGAGTCAAAAACCCGCACATACTGAAGAGGAGGTCGAAATTGAAGAGACGATAGTTCTCGAAGAGAAATCGGCGCGACCATGGAGGACGCTCCTGACCGGTCTGCCAAGTCCTACTTCCACATTGCTGTCGCTAGCAACGTTCTTGTTGAATAGTTTGTTGGTGTTGGCTGCAACAGATTTAATATACCGAGGAAAGACATTCTATCCCAGCCATGATCTCTCGTTTGCGCGGATGGGATATGTTTCCCCTACCGAAGCGAACTTGCTGGTTAGGGAGCCAGACACGTCGAAACTTCCTATTTTCGTCTCTTACAGACTAGCAGATACGCCTGCGTCATACGAAACTCCTGCCTGGCAATCTGCTGGAAAAATTCTAGCTTTAAGTAACGATACCGACTTCACTGCACCCGTCACCTTTCCTATTCCAAGCCACGCGGATCGTACCTATCAATGGATTACTTCAAACAACCATACAGGTTTTTTCACGGTCCCCCCCAAGCCAGGTAACACTGGAAAATATGGATCTTTCACGTTCCTAACGTCCAGCTGCATCAAGCCGCGATTTCCCTACAACCCCCTGCATCATCCATTGGCTATCCCTGGATTCAGATATATGCGCGAAGTTATCGACTCAATACCTGGTGGACCCCAGTTCATGCTCTTCCTCGGCGACTTCATCTACATTGATGTTCCAAAACGTTTTGGTGTTACAACTGAGGATTACAGAAGAGAGTATCGCCAAGTCTATTCTTCGCCAGACTGGCCGCTTGTTGGCCAGAACCTTAGCTGGATCCATGTCATTGATGACCATGAAATTGCCAATGACTGGGATGGAAACATCACTGGAGTATACACCGCAGCTACAGACCCTTGGCATAACTATCAGACGTCTGTCAATCCACCAAAGGCTCATCAGGCTGGCAGATTTAACACCCTCCGAGAAGATGCGACTTACTTTGAATTCACCCAGGGGCCCGCAACCTTCTTCATGATGGATACGCGGACGTATCGAGACCCCTCCAATGAGCTACCAGTCGATAGTCCTGACAAGTCCATGATGGGAGCAGATCAATTAGCTGACCTTCTGGCCTTCTTAGCGAAGCCCGAACCAAAGGGTGTCAAATGGAAGATTGTTGTCTCTAGCATACCGTTCACCAAGAATTGGCGTGTAAATAGTGTAGATACTTGGGCAGGATACCTTCACGAACGACGAATCATTTTGGAAGCCATGTGGGATGTTGGTCTCCGAGGTGGTGTCGGGGTCGTTGTCTTATCAGGAGATCGACATGAGTTCGCCGCAACAGCATTTCCACCGCCAGCTGGAGGTAGGTGGCCTATTAGTGCTACCGTCAATGAGTTCTCGACAAGTCCACTCAGCCAGTTTTATTTGCCTACTCCTACCTATCGTCAGACAGATGAAGAAGACGTGATGGTCAAGTAGGTCCTCCTCTAGCGCCTACTCATTCATCGATCGCTAATTTATTTTAGATACATTCCTAACGGAAACTCAAAACTTGGAGCGGTCACTATTGAAAATGCCGCAAGTGATCAAAGCATTTTCAAGTTTAAATTATATGTAGATGGAGTTGAGGCATGGTCCTCAATTTTACTGTCCCCTCCAGTTGTTTCTGGAAAATCGCGCGGCAAAGATGCGCTATGGGGATAGTTGTACTATTTATCTGGGGGGATTTAGAGGCGCAAAGGAATTGGGATTGTGTTGAAACACCGCTGAGCTCTTCATTTAGTTCCGTCATATGTATTGGTATTGGGATATAAGCAATCATCGTAGCGAATAACTATGCTGTCTAAGTTTTACACCCACTATCTTTAGGCATAAAGCTAATCATTTTCTTGTTGAAAATTTAATCGGAAGTGATTTGCAAATAAACTGAGATATATAATGAATGGGAGTTTCTATAGTTATATAATTTTCTAAGCGTATCCATCAAGAATGTCATTTTCATCAACCCTCCTGCCTTTCAAAAACTTCACGAATTCAACATCTAAATATGCATCAGCAGCTATCATTGACATATCCTAGCTATTGATGCAGACAACCCTGAAATCGCCCAAATGTTCATAGAGAAAAAGGTGAGACTTACAACTGATCTTATCATCACCATCAATATTACCCATCAAATCGTCGACCTCCTTATCACTCACATTCTCCCCCAAGGAACCCAGCAGCTGCCGCAACTGTGACCCAGTGATTGATGATTTTAGACTTGGATCGTACTCTTTCCACGCCTTAGCTAGATCTGCGTCAGAGTCATCTTCCTCTGCCGCTGCTGTAGGCGCTGGATGGCGCGAGCGGCCGCCAGTCATCATGGAGATGAATTCTGGGATAGTGTAAGTATAGATTTATGAGCCCAAATATAACCAAAAATCGTTTGCCATAAGTGATAAAAACGGGATAATTACCATCGAAGCTAATGGTTCCGTCTCCGTCCAGATCTACCTCGTCGATGATTTGCTGAACTTCTGCTTCTGTGGGGTTCTGTCCAGTTGACTTCATTACTTTGGCGAACTCTTCGACACTGATTGTTCCTATTCGGGTACTTAGTACCTTGATTTGACTAATTACCGATCTGGAATCATGATTGATAGATACAGAGGTCATCGTAACCCCCTGAATCTTCTAGTTTCCATCCCTGTACAGAACTACAAAAGAAACCAGGTATACTAACCAGTTTTATCATCATCCTAAAATCCTATCAGCAAAACATCCATCTCAACACATAATCCCACACCTACATAAGCATCAAAAGCCTCTTTCAAAATCGCAACCTCCTCAGGAGATACTGGTTTCGCCTAAAAAGTCCCCGCCATCAATACCCACTCTTCCCCACAAACACCGTGAACAGGCTCACCATAGCATCGACTTGCGCCTCGGACTTGCTGGGATGAAGTTGCATAAGTAAGAATGTTGGGTTTTGTGATATTTGTGATGGGAAATGCTGTAGGGGATGCTTGGGAGGTTTTTAAAGACACGGTGGTTGGTGGACGGACGATTGGGTAGGTGTCTTGAAACACGCCCCTGAAGATCAATGTCACGCGAGTGTGCGATGGTTAAGGTGGGTCCTACGAACTTAATTGTGTTTCGCTTCAGCTGTGGCGATGCAATTGAAAATTGGGGCGGGCTTTAGGAGTCGAAAAGGGATGTATGTGTATAAAGCGAGGTTATATTCTGGTATCCCACGGTCGTTTCCTTCTCTTCCGCGCGCAATGCACCATCCGCTGGGAGATGTTGACTAGATTTACTCTCAATAATTCATCGGGGTTTGCGCATAAAATCCTATTATACAGACAAAATCTAACAAGTTTAACTCCTCAAGCTGCCGCTAAGCGACTCTAATGCTCAGATTCTAGTACGTCAACCAAAAAAATAACAAAGGAAATGGGGATTGTACAGCCGAAATCTAGGAATCTCCTATACATAGGGACTCATAAGTTCGTAAAGATCAATGCCTCGATGAGCACCTTGGGAGGAGCATTTCTCCTCGTATAATCAATCCTTCTCATCGCCAATTTCGCTGTTCCGACTAGACTGTTGCGGCGTAAATTGTGCTGCCGGAGTCGAATATGCACTCGTAGAAGGAGTGAACATTTCGGCGGCAATAGCAAATTGCATGAGATCTTCTGTCATGGTTGTAGACATGTTATCCTCCTCATCGAGCAAAATACGTTCTTTCTCCTCTTGGCTCTCATCCTCGATTACACGTCCGGAAATTCGCGCCATTAGACGAGTGAGAGCATGCCTTTTCGAAGCTCGTCGGAACGCACGACGTCGATGACGCTCTTTACGACGGGCTTGCCTGTCTGCTCTTCGCTGTGGGGTACAGATTCTTCGGTGGACTGCAACAATAAGGAAGGCGAATAGTGATACAATGGTGGAATATTTTATGAATGTGATTACCCATGGTCGTCTGTGGGGAGGACCGCTTTGAAAGCTCTTGTGGTGAGACCAAGGTTGCGAAGCTAGGCGGTCTTTTGGAAGAGGGTTTTTATGTTGGTGGAAAGATCGTGTTCGTCATCCCTTTGAGTGGAAAGTTCTCCGGAAGGTGGCAGTGGGTGATGATGGCCGTCAAGATCGTGAGCTGAGTGGTGATCATTCTCATTGCAAGGCCCCTTTGCCTTGGAACAAGGATGAGGGCGGTCTGATTGGGGCCAGGAGTCATCCTCTTCGTCTGTCGAACGGCCGTCTTGAAGACGTTCCGGTATATGCGAGATAGAGTTGCAGCCGGGAGAAAGCCTACCGCGGCGACCCTGACATGAGTTTGGATCCCGCCGAGGCTGCGTTTCACGGCAAAGACTCTTTCGTCGATGTTTCGGTGCCCCATGATGCATACCGTTTGCTGACCATATATCATCTCCCTTGGCCTTGGTAGATAATCTGCGAGCAGCAGTCCTCGCTTTGTGAATCACAGCTTCTGCCACACATTTCAAGCTGTCGCAACCCTGAATGTTCACTTCAGGAGGCGGAGCTCTATTGCGGGACAAGTGCTGCTCTTTCTTCCAGATAAGGTGCTTTAACTCGCGAAGCTGAGTTCGCAAACAATGAAGTTCGTTGAAATCGTTCTTCCACTCGGTTTGGGGAATTGGTGGCCCTTCTCCAAGGGGTTGTAATCCATTTGGGTTTGGATTTGCTATGACTGTGTCGGGAATGGACAGATCAGTCTCGATTCTGAGGATTTCGGTACTCCCCGTTTGTCTGAAAAGAGTAGTAAATCCAACGATATTCTTTTCATTGCCGTCTATGGTGTTGACAACGAATCTCAGCAGCCTCGAATCAGGGACTCCGTTGACTTTAACACAATGAAACTCCCAGCTCGTTACCAACTCTCTTTCTGTCTTGGCTTGAAGCTGTCCTTTTCCAGTCATCGCACCCCCTTCTGCTACCTGCAGTAGTCGTTGACCGTCAATGGTCACCTTTCCCTGGTCACAAACATCTGCCGAAGGGAACACCTCCAAATGAAGTTCAAATGCTTCGCTGGACCAGTCATGGGATGGGCCCCAGTTGGTAGGTATATTGAGGCTAATTACAGCAGATGAGTGGTCTATCAAATTCAGTTGTAAGTGAATAGTTCTTTCGGTATCGAAATTGCTTACCAGCTACTGATACGCCATATTTGAGGTCGTTCAAATTGCTCTTTCCTGAGAGAACCGATGCTAAAGTCAGTGCAGGTGACAATAAGAGCACAGCTCTGATAAAGTTGCGCATTATGAATTGCAGACAATCGGAGTAAATAAGTGTTGGGCGAGGAACAAATGTAGCATGAGACACGATCAACATTAGGTTGTTAACATGAAGTGTCACAACAACAGATCATATCAAGCAGATCAAAAATAAAGGTAGAGAATACTCGACAGTACCCATGATAGTTTCACTATCGTAGAGGAGTTGCAAGACGGTGGAACTTAATTCAAAAATGTACCTATCTTACCTGATGATGCGGCTGAGTACGTATGTCCGCTTGAAAAGCTGCCAAAAGATTGGATGATAGCCTGGGAGGTTCAATAAGGGGGACGTGGCCGGCGGGGCCTGTGACGACTTTCGCGGGATTGATCCAATGAGAAGCCGCAGCAGCGCCGCAAGTCGGCTCCATCGGTGAAGATATATGTCCGATCAAGAATAGATGAGCTAATGACAATCGACAAAGCGTAAAGTGACAATAAATTCCATCAAAGACGATTATTTCTACAAGCAATCGTAGAAACATGAACATAGAGAAACGGCTAGTCTCAAACCATTTACTATCGCGTTGTGAAATGGGCTACCAGCACGCATACATCATCCCTGACGATTTATTTGCGAGTTGGAAGAAAACATAACTAGATAGTAAAAAGAACATCAACCTGGTGATTCAGTGGTGAGCGGATATCTACGTTCTACTATTAGCCAGTCTAGTTACCAGAATACATGTGATCTCTGCGAGTTTGGATCTAGTTAATCTCCTTCCTTCTCATAATATTGGGTAAATCAGATATCCCATCCAGATAGCCATGTTTCGTTCTAGCTATGGGTTGCTGTTGTTTCTTTACTTTTATAGTCTTGAGTGCGGCGTAAAATAAACCCTGCTTCACTGTTTAGGGATCACCTCAGGGGAGCCCCCTTTTCGTCGCTTATACGTTAAGCGAGACGATTGGCATTTACTAGGGATGTAGGTACCTTACCTAAATGTATAGATTCTGGTGCATCCTGCATGTTTACGAACTTCTACGGTCCTCGAACTGCAGTACCCGGACAGGATTAAATAACTGGATGTTCTATAAATTATTTGCCGGTGGTAGGAACTGTAAGATCCTCTTTTCTGGATATGTAGAGACGAAGTTACGGCGGAAAAGCGCAATAGGTTCATGGATGAAGACATCAACTAAGTGGGGAATAAGAATACTCCACGGAGGGTACACTGGTTTGTCCATGGAATATTGCTTAAAATTAATATATGGTAAGCATTGGGACTACATGCTAGGGACTGACCAAGTGATGCTCACCATTCCGAGTCGGGTCACGTGAGATTATCCAACGGTCACCGCGACCGACCATTTATGCACCATGAGCTCAGAACAGGGATCTGCGAGCACTCCAAAATCTAATGAAGACCACACCATCACCTGCCAACTTCCAGTTCCATCATGGTAAGCAGAACCTCGCAGATTGAACTTAGGATCGCGAAATATCAGCGCACAATTTTTCAATAATAACAGCCTGCTAACTACATAATAGCTTCCTCTCGGCCTCCTTACAGCGGCGCAGGGCCACCCAATGCTGGTAGAGCTCAAAAATGGCGAGACGCTCAATGGCCATTTGGTCACTTGTGATACATGGATGAATCTTACGTTAAAGGAAGTTGTCCAGACAAGCCCGGTATGAACATCAGACACAGCATTGCTAGGGAGGGGCGTTCGCGCTTGGTTGTTGAATTGAGACTTATTCTGTGGCAGGACGGCGACAAATTCTACAGATTACCGGAAGTATACGTAAAAGGGAACAACGTAGGTCTCGAATCGCACACGCCATGTTAACTCTGTGGCTGATATTTTGGCAGATCAAATATCTGAGGGTACCTGACGAGATTATTGATTTAGTCAAGGAGCAACAGCAAGGACAGCAGAACAGTGGATACCGAGGAGGCCGAGGAGGGCAGAGAGGAGACTATGGTGGTAGAGGTGGAGACAGAGGACGAGGTGGGAGAGGTGGAGGCCGGGGAAGGGGCAGAGGAAGAGGTTCTTGAGGGTTGATAATGGTGTGAATAAGGCCTATAGCGCCTAATCGCATGAAACATACGGTCCCGAAAGGAACTTCAAAAAGAGCAAATCTCACGGGCTCCGAGGACTCAAAAACGTCGATTTAGCAGCGTTGAGCTTGGCCTAGAGTGTATTAACGGAGGGTATTGGAGAAAGCCTGACCCGATTCCGTGGACGTGGTTCGAGCCACAAAAGACAATGAACGTTTACATGCCAAAGCAATATGTCCCATCTGATAAAATCTATGCCGCTTCATTCTTGATACGTCTCATGTGGTGTTTTGAGCTTAGGTATGAAGTAAAGAGCCAATTGCGGGGTCCAAGTCCAGACATTGCACGTGATTCTGAATTATTTTACTGTAGCTTCAAATGGCACGTCTACTGGATCGCGTCTCCAAGATGCGCCAGAAGACCAATGCCACCATTCCAAGTGCCAATTGACGGATTATGGCGTTGTTTATGCCCATCGATAGACGCTATAGCACTTTCGTGCCATAGGTCTCCAATACGCGCTGCTGCAAGGCCAATAGTTCGCATCTGTCGCAACAATAGATTCGATCCCAATCCCCAACCTCGACGTTTTCACAGCTCCGATCGAACAAGATGGCAAATCAGCCCAGAGCGTGGGTCAACTCAGAACTCAGGAACATCAGCCAGACCTGATTCCACCACCTCTCTGCTAGTAGACATTGGGCAAGATGCGTCACGATGGGCGAACCCAGGCAGGAGAGGGAAGGGATCTATACATGACAAACTTGCAAACCTCGAAATGGTGCCCAGCAACTTAATTTATGATCGCCTGCGCGCTTGGTGGGGGAGAGAAGGAGCTTTTCACGACATACTAGGTTTAGTAGAGTATTTGGTTCTTGTTAGAGGCGAGAAGCCAGGTTTGATTCATTATGAATCTCTCATAATTGCTAATTCAGATGCGCAATATGGTAGCGTTGAAGCGGTGAAAATTCTGCTCGATGAAATGAAGGAGGAGGGTATCAACGGAAATTCTAGTCTATACCACTCTGTTCTGCAGGCAAGTTCAACTCGCGCTAGGAAGGGATATCATTTACTGACCAAGTAATACAGGTCTTGGCCATTCACCCAGACTATCTCCTTCGCAACGAAATATTGCAAGAAATGAAGGAACGATGGCTCGGCCTCTCGCCCGATGGTTGGCACAATCTGGTTGTAGGCTTGCTACGGGATCGGCAGATTGAAATTGCGGTAGATAAACTGGAACAGATGCAGATGGACCAAATAACTATCCAACCGTGGCTATATGAGATTACATTATACAAGCTTTGTGAGGTTGGAGAACTTGACCAAGCTCTTCAAATACTTGTTCATTGTTTCCAACATGACAGAAAGAGAATATCTCAAGCAGTGTGGTACTTTCTCTTGGACAAATTTAGTGGCGCGTTTCATGTAAGTTCAAATTGTGTTATAGCCTATCTAGACATGAATTGCTAACGCACATGAAGTACGAGGGCACGAATTATATCTGGAAGCTTCGGGTCATCCACAATCACTTATATCCTTCCGATGGCATATGTGCGAATGTCATAAATCTTGCAGCACGTTTTGGAGATTCTGCACTCGCAACATCAGCGACGGGCATCCTGTCTTCACGTCGCACCGCTCTTACACCCCTCCACTACGAATCTCTTCTAGCATCTTATGCCAAGGCGGGTGACCTTAATACTGCCTTTCGCGTGCTAGGTATCATGGCCGCCGCCGGCTTTCGACCAGACTCTGGGAATACTCGTCCTCTCTTTGAGTATCTTTCTGGTTCCATTTCGAGACCTCCTGAGGCCTGGGAAGTTCTAAAAGGCCATTTCGAGGATGGCCACACTATCCAGGTAGCAGGCATCAACGTCATTATAGAAGCACATATTGCACAACAGCAATTTGAGCAGGCTTTAGAAGTTTACAAGCAACTTCACATCATTTGTGAAACCGGCCCCAATATCGAGACCTTCAACATACTCTTGCAGGGAGCTGAAAGATCAAAGCTGAAAGAATCGGCCATGTTTCTAGCTTCCGAATTGGTGGCACTCGGTATCAAGCCAGACCACCTGACGTACGATCGCCTTATTATGGTATGCCTAAATGAGAAAGACTATGAAGATGCTTTTAATTATCTGGAAGAGATGGTTGAGGTTGGAAAAGATAAATTTGAGGACAGTGGACGCAAAGGTTGGTGGATGAGGAAAGGCACGGCGCTCGCGATGGCCCAGCAGTGTGCAACACACAACGATATGCGCGGCAAACAAATATTGGAACAGGCGGTGGAGAGAAACTTAATTGATGACTGGTACGCAAATAAACTGTACGAAGAACTTTACGGCGACGTTAGGCCACATAAATGGGACTTCGCAGAGACCTCCCCAACACCAACATCCGAAGTCAACGTTCAACGTGCGTACGAAGCGAGAGACGCTGCCTAGCCGGCTGCTCAATTTGTGTACTCTAGCAAGTTAGATTCGTAGATATGTAATAATCTTAGTCTCCAAAAAAAAATATACTGGGTTTATCTCTTGAATATGGCTTTTTTGGGGCTTGAATTCGATGAATAAGTTTCAGCTTTTATTCGTGACCTCAATTCTTTGCTTTGGCAGACTCCTCTATCATCATCGCCGACCCTATCTTATATCACGGGTTCTCCGATCTCATCCATGCGAACCCTAGTTGTCACAAAGTCCACTGTCACCTGAGTCTATTCTAAGCCATTCATCTTCGGGTTTTGGTCACGTTTATTTATATATTTCTCACTCTTGCTTTTATTTTACGAGAACGATTAACAATTACTCGATGTCAGAATACCTGGCTTGAAACCATTGATGTTTTTGTGCAAGAACATGATTTCAAGAGTGCATTAGGGACTTGGAACTTGTTCATGTTGTCACGATTTGTGTACAAGTTATCTAAGGCGGCTCACTGAGGCGTCACACACCTTAAAGGACTTATCCCTAAGGCTTATACACCTTAAAGTGTACTTTATCTTCTTTCAAATTTGGTTTAGCCAATTAATAGAGGCATTTCTCGAAGTTCTCGTTTTAAAGACATCCTCGTAAGGGACGAAATGAGGCTGAAGACCACTCTGACCGAGAACCATAAAATTATGGCTGCCCAAGCACCTATCGATTGGCTCGTTACCACTTTAAGGCACAACGAGGCGATCTCAGAGAATTTTTCGGGCATCCAGGCGTAAACAGGGCTAAACAAGGTAGAGAAACACACCTTCTCGTCCGCCTTGTGTTGATATCGTTCTTATTTAAAGACGACGTACCTTCTCCGCTTGATGTCTCCCCCGTCCATCCTCGACCTGCAATTAGCATCAAAGGCTAGCTGTTTTTTACCTGTACATCATTCATTTAGAGACCGCAGAAAGTCCAAAGCTACCCCTGCGAAAAGCAATAAGGATGGCAAATGAATTGTTGGAACCGGCGTCGTGAGTGCTGTAATATTTCCACCGAGAGAACGGCATTAACGGTTCGCCTCTCATGATAGAATTGGTATATCAGAACCGAGACCACTCCCGCAAGGGAATGTACCCGACTATGAGGCCGAGTATGTGGACACCAGAGTGCCCAGCCCTTCGACCCAATCTGCCTTGCCCCGTGATGATAGGTAGGTGCCGAAACAAACACCAATATTATCATGGAGAACAATCAGCAAATTGGCTTCCGAGGACGATCAGGACGCCCGAGATCCCTCTCTTCACGGTTGTCTCCGCTGGCTGCAGCCTTTCAGATGTCAGCCAAAAGATTGCCCAGCAACTGCTGGAAACTCGTGTTCCTCACATCGTGCAGTGAAAGGTTCCTGGATTCACAGGAAGTGGAACACCGGATGACCCCATATGAACCAGGACTATAATCCAGAACTCCTACTTAATTGCCTCATGGCGGGATTGCCGCTCTGGACCGTACTACATATTGATCTCCAATGGACGGAAGCCCAAAGCCGGGCCGGTAGGACCTACCCCACCAAATATGTATGTACATCCGGACTCCTAGACTCTTCCTACCGCCTACCTTTCCCCAGACGTCGGAGCGTGAGACTGGCTTTGGCTTCGGTTTTGGTAGTTTTTGGGGAAACGCAAGCTGATACTTGCGTGACAGGAGTGCCCTCTGGTTACTTCCACAAGCACAATCAGGTGAGAGTCTCTTCTTCAGGCGGTTGCTGTTAAAACCTCTATTCTGATGTAGACATGCAAGACATAGACCCCTGGAGTATCCGACAGATGGCCTTTAACCAAACAACAAGCATTGTTGATGGTAAGTCGAGAGTATTGACTGACCGTGTTTTGATACTGAGACTGATATCAGGCTTCTTCGAACAAGAGCCCCTTGGTCTCGCAGCAATGTTCGGTGGCACCGCTGAGGATCCTCTTCTCAGTTGGTATGCAGCCCTTTCCCCGAAGCCTGGTGACCGAACTTGGCCGTCCCACATGGCCAGGATGGACCGATGAAATATTGAATCTTGACTAACACCTCACTAGGGTCTCCGAGCCGCTAGAAACCTGGGAAGCGACCAGCAAAGAACCGACGAACTTCACTCCACAGGCATGCGAGCATCTAGGGTGCAATGAAACTCAAAAGTTCACATGTAGATCAGCACTCAAGTAAGAATTTCGCTTCACATCAGAAGACCCCAGCTCAATGTGTTGTAGAAGACATATGGAGAACAAACACCTCCGTCGACATAAGTGTACTATCGAGAACTGTAACAGTAAAGGATTTGGGAACGCAGGTGACCTGAAACGCCACCAGTCAACGGTACACAAACAGAACAGTCGAAAGCATATCTGTCCACACGCCGCCTGCAAACGACACAGACATGGATTCGTGAGGAAAGACAATCTTTCTGAGCATCTTAGGCGGGTTCATCGCTCGCAAGCAGACAACAACGCTGTGTACCCGAACGAACAAGGTGATCGGGAAGTTGATGACGACTATGATGAGGATCTCGAACTACGAGATGAAGGTTGTTTGAGCTCTGTGAGCACAGAACGTCCACCTAACAGTCAAACTTCCCCAGACAAGAGTCTTTTGATGGCAAAGCTCCAGGAGCTTGAGGATCTTGAAGCAAAAATTGAGAAGACTAGGGCACATGTACAGGGGGACATTGTGGCTTTGAAAAGAGTTCTTGCTATCTTTTGAAGCACCCAGAAAGAAATATGACGGCATGGTCATGAAATACTGGTTCAAATCTTTCTAGGAAGACCTGGGCGTTCGACTCCCTGGCAATGAATAATTGCTCTGTTCAGTTTATACTCAAGATCTTGGTGTCTTTGTGCCTTCCTCATTTAACAGCTTTTGCATTGTAGTTTATTGTCATTCCGGACCAGTATTGAAATAATCTAGCGACTGCTGAATGACAGCATCACGCCAGAGGAGTTAGGTGTATTGAAAGTGAGGGAAACAGTCAATTCCATAAAAGACTCCGTATACACAAATCCCATATAACGCCTCGGTTACTGGAGGCTGCCATTCTACTAGTATAATACATTGAATCTTACACATAACCAGTCGCACCTGAGCAGTTCCGAATGATTATGCTTTTGCATCTTTTGCTGTCGGCTTCGCTGCCTCTTCTAAGGGCCATTTCGCAACCATCGGCCGTCCCGCAAACCTCACAATATTCGGTTTGTATGGGTGAGCGTCTCCCTCAAAAGCCTTCAGCCGGTTTAATCGATCATCTCGTAGTCTATTCTTCGGTAACATGCCGCTGACAGCTTTCCGCAAAACCTCCGCTCCACCCAGCTTTCCCATCAGCGAATCCATACTGATTGACTTCAAGTTTCCAGGCCTGGTATTGTGTCTGTAATATAACTTCTGCCACCGCTTCTTTCCTGTCGTATGAAGATGAGAGCAATTGGTAACCACCACATAGTCGCCGCAGTCGGTTGAAGGATCAAAAATTGGCTTGTTTTTACCCATCAGGAGAACTGCAATCCGCGATGCTAGACGGCCGAGGGGTGGAGGTGTAATGTTGGGGTCTGTGAGAGCTGGAATGGGTCGGATGGTACTCATGCCATGATGAGGAGTGTTCGCTGAGATGTGGTGCCATGTTCGCGAGTAGGCTAGTTTCGTCTACATCCTGTTTAGCATCATTGCGCAATTGAATGGGAAACAGAGCCTCATACTATGCCCTTGGTTTGCGACATGATCACGGCAAGCCCAGGCGCCGAATGTTACGTCGCGTCGTGTGGGTTGATAGCCTTCACAGTCGTGATAATTCTCAGGTGAGGTCGTGGTAGGTCTTGGCATACAATTTCTTAGCTTCAAAACAATTGCCGAAGAGGGACCGGAGCGCATTCCGAAGCTCGGTATGATTTCAAATGCTCCCATTTTCAATTACAGCTGTGAAGAGAACTTCGTCTTTGAAAGAGAAGCAAGCAACTTATGATCGAATCTATTCCCCTTGTCTCTATCAAATTTTGACTGAAGAGTCTAACTTACAGAAACTTCAATGGCTATTACAACGCCTTTCAATGTATGTGCTATTCCAGCCAATGTCGTCACGTGTTATGTCCTAACAGTTTTGTAGACACTTTTCGCAGTGCCTATGACCTGTGAGGCATGCATTGCAGACATCTCAGGGTCATTAAAGAAGCTTTCTGGTATCCAGAGAGTGGAAGCAAATCTTAAAGATCAACTCGTGAGTATCGAGGGCACTGGTTCGTACGACCTTTCCTTGAAAAGTTTCATGCCACCCAACCAAAAGCACCTTGCTAAGTTGCACTTGCAGCTGCACCTTCTGCTATAGTATCTGCGATTCAAGCGACTGGTCGTGATGCGATTTTACGTGGTTCTGGGGGTTCAAACAGTAAGTGATGATGCCAGCAATAGGCGCCACATGATTCTGTGCCAGATGGGTAACAGCTAGCAGATGCCGCAGTATGTATTCTCGAGACACATGCAACTTCAGTATCAGATAGAGTGAAAGGTCTGGCTCGTATGGTGCAGGTGTCTCCTAACCTGACTCTCATTGACCTTACGATACGTGGACTATCACCAGGAAGTTATTGGGCGACGATTAGAGAAACAGGTGATATATCTGATGGGGCAGTATCAACAAGGGGTATCTGGAGTGACCCCAAGGAGGGAGCACTCAAACCCAGAGGTTTCCTTGGTTCTGTACAAGTGGGTAAGGATGGAGAAGGCAGTGTTTTTATCGACAAGCCAATTAAGATATGGGAAATGATAGGAAGGGGAATGGTTGTCTCAAAACAGCATGAAGGGGAAGCCAAATTTGAAAAAAACGACAATGATACGCTTGTTGGGGTTATTGCTAGGAGTGCTGGCGTTTGGGAAAACGACAAGACCGTCTGTTCCTGTTCAGGAAAGACGTTGTGGGAGGAGAGAAAGGATGAGGTGAAGAAGGGTATGCTGTAATAATATATGAGACGATAAATGGCCTTGGACTTATCGTCTGATGCTTGGCCGCCTGTTCCCAAATAAGAGCATACAGAGCAATCCGAACTTCGAGCCCAAGCCGATAGTGGAGATTTTAACCGTTAAGCTTTCATGCACGTGTGATTTGCAGAACGTGGACGTCTCGAGTCCTCCTTGGTGGTCGCCTTCAAATTGCTTGTTTGTGATTCAAAAAGCCCTTGAAGACAATCAGAGCAGGTTTCCAAAATTCAAGGAGCAGCCATCATGTTCTGAATCATTTACGATCCACTTGCCGATTGATATCCGTATTCGCTATGAAGATCTTCAAGATGAGACGAAATCGGCAAGCTTGTGCTGTTCGGATCTGGCGTTGTAGCCTTACGGAGTCTGAACGTACCAATAAGGTGCATGTAAATATTTCTTGTCGACGGGAATGCACCTCCAGAGAGTCTTGGGTAAAGATTGGCGTTTATTGAGCGTCTGTCCAAAAACCAAACACATGGGATTCACACTTTTGCATTGAACGCTCAAACAAAGTTGAAGCGCAAGCGAGTTTCGTCAAGGCTGGTCAACCTCTTCTGACACCCGCCAAGCGTTTTGCGTACCGGTTATGATTATCGATAAGGCTATTAAGTGGATTATCACGATCTCGATTTGGGTTCAAAATTAATCCCCCGGGCATGCGTACTGTAGGTGTATATTGTAATTCGGCTGCGTACGTACTACGTTACGATTCGGGTCATGACTCCATGTCGCTAGTTTCTATGATCGAATTGTACACGACTATCACGAACCAAGATCGTATTGCTCAAGAAGACTATCAAGACTGCACCTTCAACGGTTTCTTGTACAAGTACAGAGCTCGACTCAAATAGTTACCGTCATCATATGGTACACATATTGTCCAACCATCATGAAAGTCTTGTCCCGTCACGAGCACAATCAGAGTAGGATCATGTTCAACGTAAGACAAACTGTATGATTGCAATCGATGCTTTGAGTACAGTAATTAAGGCCCTTAGCCAACAGATGTTCTTAAAGGATGGCTGAAGATATGTGATGTAAGGGCGGGTAGTTGTTGGTTGATTACTTTATCGACCCGAGGATCAAAGAGGCTTGCGCTAGGCGCCTGTCAAGAGAAGCGCAATGTAAGAACTTCCAATCACTCCCTTGGATGAACCAATAATTGGGGCGGCTGGTTGTCTCTCTGGATTTCTTGCCCTTCAATAGTGCTATTGATGACTAGATCCTACAGGGCTAAATCTAGGTGCAGAATGAGCATGTGGCCTTCATGGGTTCCATATCCAACTTTGGCTGGTGTTGTAACCCGCTTACACTTTCTGGGGAAGAAGGCTAGAAGAAACTTTAGAATCCAGAATGTGTTCCCTGCATCACACGAAATGAGATACTGCGGTACGTAGTATTGATGATATGGCCATGTTGCTGACAATGGGTGGCAAGTGTTCCTGATTCTACCTCCTACAAGTATCCTACAATGATAATTGTTGCGATGTGATACTTGCCGGATAAACCTGCGACTTGGCCCTGCGTGATCTTCTTTTGGCACATCCGCCCTATTGGCTTCATCCTAGGATCACTGCAATTAGACCCAAAGAGTTTGATACTGTAAACTTGGTCAATCGATCGTCACGGACCAGCCCGGGAAAACAATTACCTGGGAGCAGCGACGTCTAGCCTACACCAGCTGCATCCTCATCTCATCCACGGTGTCTTTGCCCTGTCGATGAAGACTTCGCGTTCCAACATGAAAAACAAATGCCCAAGACGGCCATGAACAATCCAGTCATCCACTCGGCGTCGCTATCACACAATAGTTCGTAAGGTGATCCGAAGATAGAAGCTCGGCGCCGCATGGGCAGATGAATGACCCTCAGTTCTCCTCTCCCCTCTCTGCTCGAGCCGCCAGTATTGTCTGAGTGCCCCAAGACTACGTCTTTGATGCAACTGGCTCCTGTCCCCTGGCCGCATGAAGCACCCACCCGCGACAGCTTGGACCAGGTCCCGCAAACGCATGGAAGCGTGCCTCACATTCTGACTTGTCTGAGGCTGGAGGGCCATTTGTTAGCCCTCCGACTCTTGAGGAGTAGGCCACCCGGCCTTGGGAACACGCTAAATTAGCATCATCTAGGTAGGCAATTCAATATCGTGTTACGCGCTGCTCTTCCTAGCCGAATCCGTCCCCTCGACTCGAACTCTGCTTCCCGCCCACTCATTTTCTTCCTCCCCCTCCCACACTCACACTTGAGACTGTACCAACCCAACACCTGCGAGCGGCGGAAATCCTTCTGGTACCTTGCCTTACATCTGAGATCCTCCCTCGTTGCACATCTTCAATCTTTAACATCTCGCACTTCAACGTCAAACTTTGACGTTTCCCCGGGACATCTCGCCAACGCTCCCCTTAAACCCCTCGATTGCCCACCTCGGCAGCAACCGCTGAACTAATCGATAAACCACAACTAAACTAATAGCGACAGACCTTGCGGACCGCTCGACATTATACTAGACGCTTTCGAACATTCAACTTTGTAAATATTGTAGGGAAGAAGGGATCGCAAAGCTGGGTTGAACAAAACGAGGACATCTGGGCTGGATTCTGGAACTCACACCGCCAGCGAAGAGAATTAAGGAGGAGCTTGCAACACTATTTCGGGCTTTCAAAAGACTTCAGCTGGTCGCTCCGACAGCGACCAGCGATTAAACAGGAATTAGTACAGTAGGAAAATCGCTGTCGAACAATCGCGATGTCTCTTAAACAGGTAAGAGTTTTAAGCGCCCAAGAGTCGCGTTGAACTCCATGCTGATTCTCAATTCAGGAAATCGAAACTTGGGTAAAGGCGCTTGGCCATTATGATGGAAATGAGTTCGACGAGGCTCTGAAGGAGTTTGATGGGATATCGGATACCTCCAAAATTCTTTTCAATTGTGGTGTAATCCATGCCACCCTTGGTGAACATGAAAAGGCTGTATGTTCCATGCTGTGTTGAAATACTCGAACGCCAGCTAAATGATATCTAGGTGGAATGCTACCAGCGAGCAGTACGATTGGACCAATACCTCGCTGTCGCATATTTCCAACAAGGTGTATCGAATTTTTTGGTGGGCGATTTCGAGGAGGCATTAGCGAATTTCAACGACACGCTGCTCTACCTTCGAGGTAATAACATGATTGACTACGCACAGCTCGGCCTCATGTTTAAACTCTACTCTTGCGAAGTGCTCTTCAATCGCGGATTGTGTTATATATACTTGCAACAAAAGGAAGCTGGCATGCAGGATTTCTCTTTCGCTGTGAAAGAGAAGGTGGTGGAAGACCACAATGTTATCGACGAGGCAATCAAAGAAGAGGCAGAGGTACGCAGCTTGAACAATTTGTCCCGTTCTAGACTAATATTTTAAGGGCTATACCGTCTTCTCGATCCCCGTGGGAGTTGTCTACAGACCTAATCAGGCCAAGGTGAAGAACCTGAAGACAAAAGATTACTTGGGTAAGGCAAGGTTGGTAGCTGCATCAGATAGAGCAAACGCGTTCACAGGTTTCGCTGGGTCCGAAATCAAGAATGTATGTGTACCTAGAAGAACACTCCAGCATTTACTGATTATTTAGGCTGGCAAAGCTGATGTCAAGGACGATCGACCAACCGAGAATATTTCTTACGCAGCCTCGAATCTCGTCAAGCCCGGACTTCAGAGCAAGCGGCAGCAATCAGAGCCTCCCGTGAGCCGCAATGTGTTCCCGCCTACGCCACCGCCAGAGTCGGAGAAAGGAAGTACTACTTCATCAAGCAGCGGAATGAGCCGCGGTGCTTCTGTGCGAAATGGACCAAAGCCAATGCCTGCAAAACTCAACATTGAGAAAGCTCGACCGAATGAGCGATATGAGATACGTGACGACGGAAGATCACCTCAAGGACAACAAAAGGAAAGGCTTGGGACGACACGAACAGCTTCGGAACCCCGGGGTCCTCCTGCGAGACAAATGTCATCTCGCCAGCGTCCACAACGAAGGCAGTCTGAAGAAGATGAAGATGGGTACCCTGAGGAGCTTTACGACATGTATTCGAGCTCGCGTAACAGTAGGAACCCGCCACGAAAGCAGCCAAAATACATCGAGGAAGAAGATGAAGACGCCAGCGACTATGATGACGGATCTTTCGACGAGAACGACTTTGAGATGGTCTCTAGCCGCCCTCCCCCACGACGCGCTCCGTCAAGTGTTGGTGGTGGTAGTGGTCGTGGTGCCTCGAGGCGACCCGATATTCGAAAAATTCGCGTCAAGGTGCATTCGGAAGATGTCCGTTATATTATGATCGGAGCCGCTGTGGAATTCCCAGATTTAGTTGATAGGATACGAGACAAGTTTGGTCTCCGCAAAAGATTTAAGATCAAGGTCCGTGACGACGACCAGCCAGACGGAGACATGATCACTCTCGGTGACCAAGATGACCTGGATATGATTATTATGTCGGTGAAGAGCAATGCAAAGAAGGAGCGCCAGGATATGGGCAAGATGGAGGTAAGATATATTACTCCTTACTCAGTTCTGGGATATTGACTGACTTGAATTAGCTCTGGGTACAAGAAGTTTGAATAACGATCAACATGATGGAATTTGCTTTTCTTTTGGGGACCTATGGACCCAGCCTGTTTTGCATCAAAATTTATACCAGCGAGCGATCTTCGCATATCTAGAGAGGGACCGGAGTTTGTTTTCTTATATATATCCTTACATACATAATTTGTATCAACCGCACGTCTGAGACGTTGAGTTTGCGTTGGTGCTATGGTCTGCTTAGCAGTCAGGGGATAATCAATTCGAGCACATGAAGTTGTGCTCAATCTTAACCAAAAAAAATCTCAAAGTGACTCGTAATTTGACCCTCTCGATGTTGCTACTGCCTTTATGTTCATCGTTTCCTACATGCCCTGTGGTGAATTTATTATTCATGGGCCAAATATGATATAACCCTCTCTTGACAGAAGAAACATGTAAACAATATTTTCTACCAAGCCTATCTAAACTAGCTATTTGTGACTGCCCACTTGAGGTAGATAGGTAATGGGTAGCCGTCTTAGAACGTTTGTGACTGAGTAAGATTCTGAGAAATTGTCCACGTGATAGGAGACTCTGATGCCTCCCCCCGGCTGCTCCCGGCTCCCGCTTCGGAATCTTACCTAGTAGAATTATGATAAAGCTTTTGGTCAGCCAGAAAGACCTACAACAAGCGACTAAGAACCACTAAGAGGGGCTCTATAGTCTATGTCTGCGTCGCATTTCCTGTACTTGTTTTCTTCTATCCTTTTATTTGTCTTTCTCTCTCTCCTTCCTTTTCATTTTCTGCTTATCTAGATGCGAAGGTCCTTGACAGACGTTGTCAAGTCTACATTCTCACGCGCCAGTGCGCCTGCGTTCAGTCCGTTTGCTACTCGTACATTCAGTCACGCAAAAGCTTTGGGCATAATGGCAGACTTGCCTGACGAGTGCGAAATTTTGCAGAAGAATGAGGTGAGGGAAGAGGCAATAAAGAATATAGATACGGCGAAGAAGGAAGAGCCGAAGAAAGATGATGCTTCGGAGACGAAGAAATTACCTAAATTAAGCGCCGCAGAGTTTCGAGCGTACAACAGTATGGCGGAACATATGGAGTATTTCGTAAGTTCTTATTCCTCGTTTGCGTACATTGCTACATCTGCTGATGGCCCAATAATAGCACAACCACTTTCGACAAACTTGGACTACGCTCCACACAGCCTGTCAAAACGGTCGTCGCCCCCCGAATACCTCCCTCAAACAGTTTCTCTCTATGGCGTCGCAGTTTACGTCACATCTCTCTACCCACCATGCGATCGAAGAGCAGCACATTTTCCCTGTCCTGGCGCGCAAGATGCCCCAGTTTCGAAATACGGCGCATTTATTAGAACAGCATAAGAAAATTCATGAAGGCATGGATGTCTTTGAGAAATATATCGATGAGGTGAGGAGTGGGGAGCGGGAACTAGAGTTGAAGGAGTTGGCAAAGAAGATGGAGTGGGGTGATGTTCTGTGGGCGCATCTTGCCGATGAGGTGAAAACGCTTGGGGCAGAAAATATGCGGCAATATTGGACGGTGGATGAGATGAGGCGGATGCCTATGTAAAGTGTGGAAGAGAGAAAACGTTTTCAAGAAATGTATTCTATGACCCTTCGACTGTCATCAAAGGGTTTGGCGTTTTGATAGACTTTATTAGTTGTAGCCAAGACAGGCCGGTCTAAAGATTCGATATGAGAGATCACGTCAATTCGGTTTAGAACGTTGGATTTAGCACTAGATTATGCATAATTCTGTATCAGAGAAAACCTCTTATTGATATAAAGTGTTGCATTTTTCCTGAAGCTGCTTCATTTTAGGTAATGAGACTGACTGTCCACTAATTGCTGCAACATCGACAAGAGATCAATACCTCACGTCTATACTTCTATGTGGCAAATTGGAACTAAATGTTTATTTAACAATTTTGGCAAATGCCATCCTCACATGGAAATTTATCACGTGCCTGAGCACACGGTTATAACAAGCCCAAAAGCCAAAGCTTGTGACGACTGATATTCAAAAACAACAAACGAATTTTGTGTCACAGATCACGCCCCGAACACTACAGTTTCCACCATGGAGTACGACTCTAACGGACCAAACTTGAAGCCACTACTGCTCATCAATGTAGCATCACCCAGCGACGATATCACAGGGGACTTTCGGGTCCTTCAAAATGGACAGCCTGCATTCGAACTTGCGCTCGGCACGCTTCATGATGTACTACCTAATGCCGATACAATCTACATATGTGTACAAAATCAGCTTCAAGTAGATGCTATCGAGGAGCGGCTGAGCCAGCCAGATTCCATCAAGAATAAGTCGTCAGCTCTAGACCACGAACAAGACCATCCACCGCTACCCTTCCCCAAAATTCATCCCATCTTCCTCGAGGCAGACCACAATTATAATAGCAATGGACTCTTAGCGGCAGCAAGGGAATTCCCACAAGTCAACTGGCTAGTCTTAGTCTGCGATTATCCAATTTTGCCTCCGCCAGCGTTGCAACAGCTAATACTAGATTTCGAGCAACCAGTAACATGTTTTGTCACTCCAAAGGGCTCAGTTGAACCCTTCGTTGGGATCTGGACTCCTGCGGCGCTAAGACGGATGGTGCAACAGGTCGCATTCTCATCGAGCTTCGTTGAAATCTTTGAGGATTTAGGTGGCCGAAAGATCTCGCCATTACGGCTTGAGTGGCTCGCGCACAGTGAGAGTATCTAAAGAGAATATTGGACGTGCCCGGCAGCTCTCAGCTTTTAAAATCTTTACTCGAAATTGTAACATCTGCAGCTGGGACATCCAAAATGAGGCAATGGGATTCATATCTTTTGATCTATTTCGTACACATCTACCTCGTCCCCATCTTCAACATGATCTTTTCCTGCGGGGATGCTGACCCACGAGTTTGCCTCTAGCAAAGGTCGAATTCTACTCGTATCTTGGTCCGCCGATATTCTTACTGTCCGTCTTTCTGGATCTAATTTCGCATGCCAAAAGACATGCAGATTTGAAGATTTTTGGATCCTCTTTGGAATTGTCACGTTCGGCATGAACTCGTCGACGCACTTCAGCTTTGCAACACTTTTACTCGCAAGCTGCTTTTGTGAGTGAATTGCTCGGATGTAAGGGATAACAAGAAATCTGGTGCAAATTGCCAGAGCTACGGGAGCCATTGGAAGACTAAATACTGCAATTCTTGAGCCGTCAGCGCTTGAGAATTCCGGCATGGGAGAGACTGGTGGGGTAATTTCTTTCGGCGCAGGCTTCTCTCTCATAGAGAGACTTGGCATACTCGCAAATAAGGTAGAATCTTCCGGTACCATTTTACCCTTTGAAAAAGCTTAGCTCCTCCCGTCTTCTCAATCAGACTGTCAACAAACTCGTGAGCACTATGGGAATGTCGTTTGATGATGAGAACGATGTCACATTGCCTCTCAATCAGTGTGCGTTTGAAAGTCTCAACATCTACCACTCGTCTCATCTTGACGATGTCGGCCAGTGGAGATAAAGTAGCACTGATGTACAGAGTGCTTGTATCCTGAGTTTCCATTGTATTCAAATTACCGTTGTTAGTATACAACGAATGTTCCGGCTCAGGCAACAGGATTCCAATCTTCGGCTTTCGATAGGCTTCGACTTCTCTTATGCCAATAACGAGCAAGCCAGCATATGGTGTGTTTCGACTTTTGTTCCTTCTTGGATTATGATATCGCCGGTCCGAAAGTCGCTTCCCGCAAACTTCCTCTTTTCGAAACGCTCTACCCGTCTACTTATTTGTATGTATCTTTCATTCGCCCTAGGGCCAGATGCAAAAGTGATGCTTTCTGTCTGTACACAAGCATCATACTCTATGCTGTCGTCCTGGTCAGGAAAGCAGGACCCCATCTCTATTTCGACACATGTTGGACTCGGATCTTGACTGAGAGAATGCCGATCGTGGCTATCTGTTGCAGAGTCTATGATACGAAGGATGACAGGCTTTTTGTCCAATGACAGTTGAGTGTATCCAGAGTTGATTGCGAACCCACGTGCCGTAGATGTATCGAATGCAGGGGTCTTTGTCGAGCTAGTATATCTTCGCCGGCATATCCTTCCAACGGCTTGAGATATTGGAAGACTCTCTCCATTTTGCGCAAAGGATGAAGAGATTTCAGCAGCCTCTTTCTCTATCAAGTTTATGGCTTCGAGATACGAGACCGCCATCTTAAGGATACTGCGAACGGCAGTCGCTTTTCGCTTCGTGCTAATGCTTCCAAGGGAGTGGTTACTAGGAGATTCACGAGCAACGGTTAGTGCTCATAAAACACTTTCTGTGATTCTTGCAGAACCCGCTCGTATTTAGATGCGCTGGCTTGACGTGACGTCGATGGACTGGCTCCGAACGTTAATTGTAGTTAAGGGAGCATCCGCCGAGTCACTTGAAATCTAAGGGTAGAGAACATAGAATGTAGAAAGGTTGTATTATCTAGAACTATAGAAATTAAGCCCTTTAATTAGAGCCTCTAATAGTCTGTAAATTATAGTCTGTGAATCATAGCCTGTAAATTATACCTATCTATTACTTACTAGAATCTATTCATTCACTTCTAGAATATATAGGACTCTCTAGAATCCAACAGAGTCTGACAATCACATCTTCATGACAACAATTCGGATCAAACAATTATCTCGTTGTCGATTGTTACCTTCAGGTTCCAGATATGGGTGATGTTCATTGACTTGCTTAGACAATACAAGCAAACTGTAATCTGGTACACTATTGTCCTAACATCCACACTACTTGGTGACGGCACTAAGACAACACTTGCTGTCAAGAGTATCGGCGCATTTGAGATATTCATAAGCTTTGAGGAAGAGGCCTTTTGTACAGTTGCTTCGTTTCGGACCTTATTCAGAGGAAAAATACACAGCGAAGGATTTGCGGAGTTTACAATTAAAGAATAAATAGGTACATTTTGTCTCGACTGGTTACGAGATCTAACTCTTGACTAGTATTCCTAATTCTGAACCATATGTTTTGATTCTCACTCACTCAAGCTAATCCTCACTTGATCTTCCAAAGCCATTCCTCGGTCTCGCTCAAGGGGTCTTTCAAGGGAAGTCGACTAGAGGGCCAGCTAGCACGGACTTCGTGCCCTTTTTCCTCAGACCAATCTCGACAAAGTTCGTTCACCTCAGCCGTCTCGTTTCCCTCTCCGAACAGGGCGCGAGTATAGTCGTACCATAACCGACCGAACTCCATCATTTGAGGTGTGCACGATGTGCCTTGGATAGCCATGATCTTCGTTGCATTGCGATAGACCCTCCGTTGTGTACCACCTCCCAGATCTCCTGAAATGAGAAAAAACAGGAGATCTTTCAACTTGTTAAGGTAAGCTTGTCGGTCTGCAAGAATAACTTCCCGGGCATTGAATCGACTATGTTCAACAAGTGAGTCGATCTCAGCAAACTTTGCTATCTGTTCGGTCAATGCAGTTCCAGTTACTTTACATAAGCGGCATGTACAGTCGAATTTAAACCGCTGTTTTAGGATTTGCTTGCGGTCTTCACCGAACATATCTTCCCCAAGATAGCTGATCGTAATTTCTTTATCGATTTCGATTTCTTTGTTCGCGTATACTCTCATTTCGCTTGTTTCTTGGACATAAGATTGGGTGCAATTGGGCGCGCAGCTGTGGCTGATCATCGAAAAGGAGTCGTAGATCGCTGTAACCTTAAACGGGATGTCTGGTGTGTCTTTGACTTTTTTTTCAATATCGTTTCCATTCGTCAACACGCGACCGTGGTAAGTAGCCCCTATATTTTCTTCATCATGAAAACAATTATACAGCCCCTTAAATTTTGCCCATTTCTCAGCTGTCATTCCTTGCTTGTCTCCTTCTGCCTTGATGAAATCGTCTGTCCATGGCTGTTCCTCTGTTTCTGCCGGTAATAGAAAGAAGGGGGGCTCGTAAAAGAGTTTGGTTCCTCGAGGAATCTTTTTGATTGCGAAGACCGCTCGGCCCTTTTCCTCAGTCACGCGGATTTCCACAAATTGAGCTTGCATGTTGTTGAGTCCTGATTTGGCTTGGATGGTTGGTTTTGAAAAATATCTCATGGGAAGAATCATAGTTGATATAGCACCAAGTATATCAAACAGCATCTTCGAAACCTTTGGTTACGTTTGTTACCACCTAGTTTGAACGTTACTGGCGTATTCCTTTGACAAGATAGACCTTGAGAATCAAAGCTCTTGGAGAGAAATTCATTTCTGTAAATGCTGTAGATAAAAAGTAGTCATTCTATGAATTCTGTTAGAATGCATGATCTCTTCTTCATGTGTAGAGTTCTTTTATGAGTACTCTCAGAAACCCTTTAGTGTCTTTAATGCATTCATTGCATCTCAAAGAGTTCCTAGTAGCCCTGTAACCACCAACTTTTGTTTGGTCATTATAGAGTAGATAAAAGGGTCAGACTACAATGGATGTTTTCTTGGTCCATAAATTTTGTTTATATCAAAAAAGTAGTTACACAGGTTAAAAGGATGTAAATTACATGGTATTTCGCTTGTTTGATGACCTGAAAGAACCACCAACAAAGCACAATGACGCTCATGCATACCTAGCTAGCAAATTGCCTATGTCTCACAACTACCTGTTAAAAACTAGTATGTTGATTGCCTTGAAAGAACAGCGCCTAGTGTCATATTTTCACGTCCTTCATTCAAGTGACAATGGCAAGCCAAAAACATCCGGGCTTTAAGAAAGTTATTAGATGATCCACTAAGACCGCTTAAAGAGACAAACATGTAAGTTGCTTGCCATAATTCGTAATTCGTAACCCACTGAAATTTCCAAACTTCAAGTATCATCAAACAAATATAACATTTTTTACATACTATCCTCCACACGCATGTCAAGACATCATCCGCGTCTTCGCCTTCTTCCCCTGCAAATTCCTCAAATTATATCTCGATCCAGAATCGTTCCTCAACTGCGGCTCACTCATTCTACTCTCCAAATTACTGATCGCCGCACCATTAAACCATTTCCTCCATGTCCTATACCCAAACCCACCATTACGACTCCTATGCGTCCAATTTGAACTCTTATAAGCCTGTCTGGGCTTCGGCCGACCATGGTAGCAAATACCCTTATGACCCCATTTCCTGCGCGTGAACATGTCACAATCGCGACAGTATTTGAGAACTCGGGGCATCCAACTGCGGAGACGAGAGTGTAGTTTTGAGCGACGGTCGAAACATTCGCAGTGGTCGCTCTGCCGGCCGGTTCGACATTTGGGTTTCTCAGGAGGTAGGCTTGCTTGGTTTGCTTCGGCTTGCTTTTTCAGATGTTCGTAGGTGAGTTTATGACAGGTTTGTCGATGAAAGCAGTGGTTTGAAAGAGCGGATCTGAAATTCGTGCTGTTTTCAGATGGGTCGGTGCAACAGGAGATGTCGCGGTCTGTATGGGAAAGTCGATGTTTGAGTTTGATGGGTGAGTAGTGGTATAGTGTTTTGCTTGGGGTTGGTTAGTCACCAAATTTGAGAATGGCAATCATTTGATCCTCACTTACCAAGTTAAGCGAAGACAAATAAGGTCGTTTGGCAAGCAGTGTGTCATGACCAGTAACTGGATCTCTCCAGGAAGAAAAATAAACTGCGGAAACGAAATGATTGATGAATCCATTAGAGAGTCCTTTTAAAAGATGACGGTTGAATGGTTAAACAAGGCCTAGCTCTTCGACTTGTTCGAAAAATGAAGTACATTTGCTCCAACAATTTGAACTCCAGGAGCCATCCCAATAGATATATCCTTTCAATTTCTGCTTCCTTCCCTGTTAACCCAGCGCGTCCAATTTATCTTCTCCCCCATGATTTCGACGCGAAGGCTCTATATTTAGAAACCTAATGTTGGATTTGACACGTTATCACGGGATTTGTTAGGCAGGGTCGTGATGTTGCCTTGATTAAGGGGGGCGATACCTCGCTTACGCCTTGGCTCTTCAGGCACACCGTCACGTGTGATTCTAAGGGAAAAGAGATGGCTGGAAATCGCGATGAGTTGTGTTGTAGAAAGAACATGTCGGTTATGATGCTTTATTTCGATGGGGACAATTATCGACCTAGTAATGTCTCCTCCTGTATGGGCAGATTTGCCTTGGAAAATGGGTGATGAGCTTCCAATATTCCTCGCTTCTCAATGTTCTCCAGTGACACTTCAACGTCGACAGGCGAGCTGCATTCTCATGCACTTCATTCGAGATCAGTGGCGACTAAGGTTTTACTTCTTCTCCGAATAAAATCCTCACTTGATTCGAATTCGTTTCTTTTCAAATTCGCCATTTTCAACACCTTTCATGACTTCACCATCCATGATCCCATGAACGTAACTGAACACATGCTATCGGTGAGTGCTTTGTAACATAAAGTGTGGAGGAAGAATTCAGAAAACGTACCATTCTCCTATCAGCAAGAAAAGGCCATCGCCAGCCGGTCTAAGAACTAACGGCACCTCACCCCCCATCACCACAGCGACAATATCGCCTTCTTTAACAGTGTCATAACCGAGGCCCATGTAACCCTTCTTGGTCATGAAAAATACACGAATTTTTCGAACAACAGCTGTCTTAGATAGTACTTTGTGAAAATTGGTCCAGTCTTCATCCTCCATCTCCTTGTTCGACAATCTACGCATTTGGTGCCGGTGTCTTATGCCTTCGTGGTAACCCTGTAGCGTCTGGTCCTTCAGATATGTCCTCCAAAACGCCTGTTTGATAGGCTCACTAGAGCCCACGTACTTCGACAAGTTTGATGGACGCCAAAGGTCGATTCGTTTGTTGAGTCTCTCAGGTGGCGTCATATAGAGGTTGAAATTTCCACTGTATGAGTTGATATCTTCGATCGTATCGACTTCTACTCCTATTAAGTTCAATATGCAATTTTCATTTTCAAAGCTGGAGGCGGTGATATGTGGAGCAGAGGATGGCTGCTGAGAGCCAGAAGCGTGATATAGAAGTGCGTATTTTGGCCGACGTTTTGCTCTGCTGATCCATCTAGTCGAGAACCTGCCCTTGATAGTTCTATTTTGGAAATCCGGCACCCAAGTTGGAAAAGTCTCGTTTTTGTAGTGAAGACTATTGTTATATCTGAGCCAAGACAAATAAGTCAGGTCGCCCTCATTGATTAACCAGGATTTGAAGACGGACGTATAGAGCACCTCCATAGAAAGGTTGTAGTCTGGTTGTATCCCACTTTTCAAATCCATCTGAACTATTCCAAGTAGGGCATATATATGGTCTCTAGGATCTGACGCTAAATAGCGGGTGTGTATCATCATGTCCATCAATTTCGCCAGGGTTGTAGTGAGTCCTTTCTCCTTCCACTTTCTATGGCTTAATATGACTCTCAAAGGGTCAAAAATTATATTATCTAACAGTTTAAGTATTGGGCGATAGGGGAATTCTCGGGCCCATGCTCGGTCCAGCTGCGAAGTGAGTAGCTGATGGGATGTCGGTAAATGCATGTATACTCGATGAAGATCGCAGATCCCTTGCCATGAAAGCACCTGGGAACCACAAAGAAGCATGGCTTCTTTCGCGACAACGATTTCTTGCAGAACCCATACTCTTTTCCACCAAGGACGAGAACCAAGTCTGTTAAGCGAATACAGATCCTTTAACAAATCCTCAGCCGATGATCCTTCAGATTCTGCATTTTGTACCACATAATTCCAGGTTTCAGTCTTGTCAAGTTTGGCTAGAATTGGGATCAATTTAAAAGCAGGAGCTGTGGATCCATCATCGTCCTCTTCACCGAGCCAGATGACAACCTGATCAGCTCCGGCAAAGATATCTCTCATTATTGAGACTTGACTGCCGCGCTCGGGAATATTAAGTTGGTCGATACAAATAGCATCTACCCACAACAAGTGAGCCCTGTCAGATCTCCTTAATCGTCGCAATCCATCTTGTAGGTTTTGGCGAATAGAAAAACCCAAGTTGTTCAGTGTCAGAGAACAGTTCGCTGGATCAATGCCCCACGTATAGGATAGACACTCATATGGTGGTGTGTTCGCTAGTTCGTACGTGGTGAGCTTTCCTTCAAGTCCTGCTTGAAGATCTTGGGCTTCGGAGAGCTGAAGTAGTCGAATGTGCTGTCCGGACGGAAGTGGCCGGTAAATATAAGGTTGAAGTATGGCTGCCATCTTCTAACAGAGATTCCTATAAAGCTTTCAGCTAGCTGCCCCTGGCCCGTTGCGATGATGCATTATCACATACTCAATCCACTGAGATGCCCGGCTAATCTACCTTCAACGGGGAAACGCTCACGTGAAATTGAAGGCAAGATATGGCGTAGCCTCGTCAGAGGTGTAGATATGCTCTGTGAGAGCGTTTTGAGATGATAAGAAGTTCGATACAGCATCGAACGATACTAGATGCGATTTCAGGATGCTGATTGTGTTCGCGGGATTTGAACGTTTTTTTACAATATCATATACTTTGTGAGGAAGGGCGCATGTCTGGGAAACTGGGAAATGGGGCTGAGCTTTCCTATAATGTACTCGACAGCAGGTCATCTCACACGTGATCAGCCTCCTTTACAAATCCGGTCGTGGAAAATAAACTCAAACAGGCTCAGGTAAGTAAGAGAAAATTGATTTCAAAAGCCGCGCTATTGACTTGGTATATGAACGCACCCTTATATACAAATCCGTGTATTTCCAATTTGATGTCATGTCTCGTAAAGGAACGCCTCCCAAATCAACGCCGGTAACCTTGTATATAATGTACAGAAAAGGGGGGTCCATTATAGCTTGGAAGCTTGAGAACGAGCGACGGTGACCTCGATGAGTCCGTTAGGACCAGACTGGGGTGCGTAGACTTCTGCGTCTTTTCCCGTGTTCTTGATACCCTTGTGCCAAGAGAGGTCGATTTCGAAACTGCATTTTTGTTAGCCACATCCATCTCTTTTAGTTCTTTCATAGCAGGGTAATACATACTAATGCTTGTTTGGAAGTTTGTAATTGACGGTGTCGAGTTCTGGAACCAGCTCCAGGATGGACTCACACATCTTGTACATGGTGTTTTGTACAGATGGACTATTTTCCTCGGCGAATGTCTTCATGGTAATGCTTCTCGCGCCTTCCCAAGCTCTGTTGAATTTAGGAGTAGCTTCCTCCACCGCAGACATGCTTGTGAATGTCTTCCATGCCCATCCGCAATCCACATCGGTGCTCAAGATTCTGTCCCAGACCTCCGGAAGGGTGGTGAATTCGTCTCGTACGAAACCGTGGAACTGGGAGCCGGTGCTCTTCAACACCAAGAGGCCATTGATCCCACTACGAATGGCAATGTTGTTCTTCGAGATCTTGGCTTCGACTGTGCGAACTTCTGAACCGTCGCGGTAAAAGGAATGTGGGTGTGGCTTTCCGTCAATTGTCATTCTGGTCCATCTGTGTGTGATGACGCTGACGTTTGCGGTGTGGATGTGTGCATATTTCTCGACGAAGTGAGTTCCCAGGTAGGCGGCATAGAGCTCAGGAGGGGTCACTGGGTGCTCTTTGGCCTTGATGTATATTGTGTTCTTGATTGAATCGGTGGCCACGACGGGGCTGTTGTCGGCTTTGGTGTAGCTATAGAGGGGGTTAGGCGGGGTCCGAAATTGAGGTACTTGCAGGCCACTTACGAGACGTCAATTTCACCTTCGAGCAAGACACAGACGGTCATCTCAGTCACGATTTGCGTGCCATCAGCTTGTCTCTCGACCTTGTAGACTCGGACATTGTCCTTGCCGTAACGAGCTGCAGCTATAGAAGGCATTGTTGCACAGGACTGGAGCGAAAAGAGCTATTGAGGTGTGGTCGGTTTTAGGTAGGAACACGAGAATGAATTGAGACAATTGAGCACGGACGACTGTAAGGTCGCTTGGGTAAGTAAGATGCAATGTAGATAAGTTTGCTTGTGTATCAAGAGCACATTGTGGGAGCTCTGGTTACTCTTATACATCTGGTTCTTATCACCACCCTACGAGTTGCTTGCCCCTGTACAGTGGTAGAGCTTCAATGCGGGTAACCCGTCGAGCCCGCCGATTGAAAAATGGGTAGGAAATCCTGGTCCTTCGGAGCTTGCCCCCCCAATGAACTGACTTGATGAATCCAACAGATCGGCCGCATTCCTATCCCTGCGCGGGGTTGTGCTGCTGATCCAGTTGGGGACGGAGCCCTCCGAAGCCTCAAGATCCAACCTTCGAGCATCGCGGGAGACGGCTATCGGGCCATAAAACCTACAATTTTTGCATTGGCTAGAATTAACGTGACAGAACAATTGACCTTTTAGCTGGCCAAAGAAGTTTTGTTGTAAAATTCTCGTGTCTTGAGATTTCCTGCAACTTTCGGTGTGGAGATATGGAAGGAGATAAATGTTCAATTCAGGACCGCGGCAGGCTCATATCTTTGGCCGGTTTGGGCCGTGAGAAAACAAAGTATGGGACGGCAACGAATGGCTCTATGAGCTTCCCTCGATAAGAGTGCACGACAGGCTAGTACAAGTAGGACTGTAGTAGTATTTACATGACCTAAGCCACTTGAATTTCAACGCAGTGAGATAGAAGCGATTATTTTGTGTATTTATTACTGGAGACCGTGCTCTGAGGATAGTCTGAAAGTAGGAAAAGAAGGAAGTCATCGATGTCTTCAATTAGAGGTACCTTGACGTGCTAGCGTACAAATCCCTCTAGCATTTCATAGCTCCATAGCTCATGTAAATGTCGTTATCGCTACATCTGGCAACATACTCGTATAAGCTACTAGCTTCCTATTTCGATGGGCACCTTGAGCCAACCAAGAAAAACGTATGCTCACTCTCACCTATTATCAACCCACAAGTCAGCTCAGACAAGCTTTATGCCACCTAACATAGGTACATTGGCTGTGCTGGAAGACCTCAGTCGCGGTTGGTCATGCTTGTTGGTCCGGATTTTGGGATTCTTCTGCCTCCCACAAGTAACAGCCTTCCTCCATTCCCATTTATACATTTTGTTATATGGCTCATTGACGGGTGTAGGATGAGTGTGGCACCAGGGGCTTCCAGCTTGAGGCCCATTTGAGGGACACTTTTAGCGAAGTTGGTCTGTGCTTGGCTTGTCACCCTGGCGCGACATTGGAGCAAGGCAAGATCTCTAGAATTGAAACCGTAATGTACCCAGGTATACACTACTACACCAGAATTTGTGCCAATCTCTCTATACTTGTTCTCTTTAAGGGATGCTACATTGAGCCCGCTTGATTCTGATCGCAAACCCATAACTCGAGCATACTCAGCATTTACCTATCGTCCATACAGCCGCTCACCCCCAAAGCTATAGCACTCTTTACAACTACCAGCGAAAGGCACTGCTGCGAAACCGCTTTCGGATGCGCCTACAATCTACCACACTCCCCTCGATCGTCTCGATGTGTACTTGGTAGAGTCGATACCTATGTTACCTCCGGCAGAAGCTCGTTGACGCTCCCCCGCCCATGGACAAATGGTTGGACCACCGAGCATTCTGAGCTCGTCCGCGACGCCAACTCAGAAGTCAATATACTCTACGAATCTACGAACGAGCTCCGATCGCGATCGTGATGGATTGCAACCTTCAGGAGGGGGCAATGGCGCCCGGGCGTTGGGTGCCTCTGCCCTTTCCTATGCGCCTAGAGGCTCTTCCCTGAACCCTTCTCCAGCTCCTGGAAGCTTCAGCTCGAATCTTCGAAGTCAACTTGCCCCTTCGCGGACGGGATCGAACCAGGATATGAATTACTCTACGACGAACTTGGACAGGCTGGATGAGGATGTAGGGGTGGGACCGGAACAATTCATCACTGCCTTGAGGGATCGGTTGAACCGGGAAATGAAAATAAAGGAGGGCAGTGAAAATATGTTGGAGGCATTAAATACGAAGAAAGCAAAACAGACAAAAGAGCAGAGACAGAAGGTGGAAGCAGAGCTAAATTCATCCAACCTAAAGATCAAGGAATTAAGGAACCAGATATCTGAGTTACAAAGACCAAAACCACCTTCGACACCCACGAAGTCGCGGATGGACACACTGTTTCAGAGTAATGGCCTGCGGTCTCCTCCAAGCGCTACCAAGAGCCAAGGCTCAGATTTCGACGAGCCCACAGAATCGCCTACATATGCGTTGGCGGAGATACTACAGGCACTGGAAGTAGAGGGTCTAACTCCAGACTACTATGTTGGCCACGCGAATAACCTTGTAGAGCTTTTCAAGAGGTATCCCACATTGAAGTACGACCTAGTGTGGTCAATATTTGGGTTAAGAATGCAGGTCATGTTATTGAGCGAAAGCAGGGAAGTAGTGGCTGCCGGATACAGAATGACAAGATATGCGATATCGGATATCAACTCCATCCAGAAAATACGGACATTGAACACGGATTACTTGGTTGTACTGTCAGTTTATCATCCCGTGCTTCAATCATTGGATACACCTCGCTAAAATATGAACAGTTCCCTGACGAAAAAATCTAACGCAGACGTAGAACGTGAGCAAGCACTGAAATTTGTGCGAGCGTTCCTGGATGTTAAAGATGGTGTCCAAGAAGTTTCAAGAGCTGTGGTCAGAACGATTGCTTCCGTTGCTGAGCATATTGAAGACCGCTTGAGGTCCATATGTCTAGAAACGCTTGGTGAAGTGATGGTCCGTAGCCCGGCGCTTCTTCTTTCTTCAGGGGGTCTTAGACCTTTGGCAGATGCCCTAGGCGAGGGAACATACCAGGCATCTGAAAGTCTTACAGCTGCGTTTCTGTTTCTTATGGATGCGCCGCAGCGAAGAAGATTTCTGAGATCTGGCTATGAACTCGAGGTTATGTTCACACCCTTTACGGATTCTATGTTTGCCCAAGAATCTGTGTTGAAGCAGAATTCTAGGTCGATAGCCTATGCATTGAAATCATGGCCAGGGCTCATGTCACTTTCTATGTATAATTTCAGGGCGATTCGCTCCCTGATTTCTAGCCTGATGTTTCAAAACAACACTATTCGCGAAACGGTTATCGATTTACTATACTCGCTGCTTCGTATCAAGTCCCCTTTCTGGGCTACCTCTTTCTTGGCTGGACGACGACTCACAACTTATGGCCGTGTAACCGGCGTGTTAAAAGCTACAGCGCAGAAAGCGCCAGTTGTAGAGGATGATTCCGGTGATAAGACCTTTGTGGATCACTACACAGCGCTGTTACTAGCTGTGATGATTTCTTCGGATATGCTACCGGCCCTATTGCAAGTGACGCGAGATGCCGACAATATGATGCTTAAGCGCAAGACTACCCTGCTTATAAGTGAAGTCCTGAAATTGGCAAGCAGGTTACTCCCTTCAAGTTGGAGTAGCGATATTCAGTTGCTTCCGGAGTTGTTTTCTGCTGCATCACATTTTGGCGATGAGGAACGATTCGATGCAACAGGAACGGTGTATCAAATAAGCCAAGTCAGCCGAACCCTTCACAGATCAGCACCCAGCACCGCCGCAACTCTGTCCAGTGCCGGCAACAATAGTCATGAGAACCTCACAAGTCTGGAGGATACGCCCAAAAACAACCCAAATCTTACGCTTGACGAAACGACTTTTCGATCTCTACTTGTGGAAACGCAAGTTTTGAGCAGCACAAATCCTATAAAGTGGAAGTGGGATATCATTTTGAGGATTATCGAAGGGCCATTATTGAACGGAAAGCGCTTGGATGAGGCCATCAAAGCCTCTAAGTTTATTAAGCGAATCATGAGCTTCTACAGGCCCTTCAAGTACAAATTTGCAGAAGTGCGAAATACCCGTATCAACCAGAAGTATGTTAAAGTTGGCTGCGCTCTAATCCACACGCTCTTGCAAAGCAATGAGGGAGTTAGATATCTGGCGGACAACAAGTTGTTGAGACAGATAGCAGAGTGTCTTGCACAGTGTGATCCAGTGAGTATCCATGTATATGTGTCTTGGTACTCAAAAACTGATTCAAATACTAGACAAGTGGTTTGACAGCCCAATCCCCAATGTTCTCCAAAGAACGGCTTCAAGAAACATTGTGCTCCGGCTACTTTGCTATGCTTGGCACCATGAGTGCTGATGTAAAGGGTCTACAAATGCTCGATCGCTGGCGTATGATTAACATGATGTACCATATCATTGATTTGAAGCAGCGTCCAGACCTCATCAAAATGTTGTTGACGAACTTCGATTACAGCCTACATGGTCATCCTAGAGTACTGCTCTCCAAGGCTTTAACTGCTGGATCAAAAGAGATCCGCATTCATGCAACGAATGTTCTCAGGAAATATTCCCGAGGATCCAAAGCGGGTACAAGTAGTCAAGGTGTTGGTGATGCAAAATGGGCCATACAACTTCTTGTAACACAATTATACGATCCAGAAGTGGAAGTCTGTGCAACCGCAATCAAGTTGCTGGAAGAAGCTTGCAATCGCAGACAATTCCTCGAGTACATCGTCGAGTGCCGTCCGGCTCTTGATCATCTTGGCGAGATTGGAGCCCCGCTGCTCCTCCGATTCCTGTCTACGTCTATCGGGTATCATTATCTTGATGGCCTGGATTATATCAGTAACGAGATGGACGACTGGTTTCTTGGACGTAATGATGCGTATGTGGGAGTCATTGAAGCAAGTCTTGCTAGAGCCTTTGTCGAGATGCCAGAGGAACCGTCGCGCCGCATGAGCATGGATGAAGAAACCTTCGACATGGATGCTGAGAATGATGCACAAGTACCACCGCACTTTTACCGCGAACTGACACGGACGAAGGAGGGTTGTAAGCTTTTGAGTGATAAGGGTCATTTCGAAGAATTCGCGCTATCTATTCGAGACTACGGGATGCTATCAGACGATCCTGAGCTGATCCTGAAAGTTAAGGGTTGCTTATGGGCAGTTGGCAATGTCGGTTCCATGGAACTTGGAGCACCATTTCTTGAAGAGTCTGATGTTGTGGAGAACATTGTCAAGATTGCAGAAGAGCACGAGATTATGAGCATGCGTGGAACTGCCTTTTTCGTGTTAGGACTAATTTCCCGAAGCGTTCATGGCCTTGAAATCATGTCCGAATTTGGGTGGGATAGCAACACCACAACAATGGGTGTTTCTCTTGGCCTTTGCATACCGCAGGATCTGAAGAAACTCTTCTCCTACGAGCCATGGCAGCACGAGAAAGTTACAGACATATTTCTAACACCAAAAAACCGTGCGCTGATCGACTCTGCGAAAACTGACTCTGACCCGGTCGCTAATCGCATACTCGAACTTATTGGCGATCTTGGAAACACCGTCCTCCAAAAGCGCTGTATGACGGAGCTCATGCACATCAAATCGAAAAAGGTTCCAAATTTTAGTCAACCAGCACTCTTCAAGAAAGTTATGGCCGTGTTAGAATCCCACCACTTCAGACTTACGGTCAGGAGATTCGTGATTGAGCTCTTTGACCGGAGCGTATTACGTCGAATCGTCTTTGAGGAAGATGAAGAAGAGGCCGGCGATGAAGTGGAGAGTGATGATAACAGTGAGAATAGAACGGAGCGACAAAGGAGCATCAGCGACCCTTCTGGTCCCCGATCTTGATATTCCACTGCATCACACGACTAGTGATTAGGATCAAAAAGCTATCTCGGAGCAAATGACTTAAAGCACGATGGACATGTCAGGATATCTACTGTATGATTATGAGAAACCCCCTTATCTATTTTGCGATGGAGCTTATTCTCTTGTGGGGTGGCGAGGTGAAGGGTGATTCGGCGTATTTGATGGTTTGTTTTTTGGCATAAGCAGAAATGGTAACTATGGGCGGTGTGGCATTAGGTTGAATTTATGTATCCTGGCGTTTCTTTTTAACAAGGCAGCGCTCGCTCGCTGTCGGCGTGTGGCTGTCAAGGGGTTTTCTTGTAACAAAAATCGTGGAAATGGGTGAGGTGGAGGAATCATCTTGGACGTTGAAAGGAAGGAAAGTATGTAGAGCAATCGAGAATGTTTCAATTGAAATTTATGCTATAAATCGTGACATGTGAATGTTCGTAGGATTCAGCGAAGCGTAGTGGTTCTACAAACGTGAATTTTCCATTAGGAATTTCATGGATGTTTACAAAACACTTGATGTCTGAGAAGCTTGCCTGTCCTCTGGACAGTATTGAACTTTGGAGAGAGAGGACTATTCAATATTTCAGGCGGTGCATGCTGTGATATTTATCATTTAGACATGGTTCAATTATCTTTTCATTCTTGATCTCACAAAATATGGCTTTTGTGTAAGCTCTATGTAACGCCTGGCATGAAACAAGAACAGCCGAAAAATAGGCACAAGCCCAAATGTAGAAGAAATCCCAAACCCAATGCAAGAGAAGCTTTACATTCTGAAAAGATCTACCTAAGCGCGGACAGCTGCACCCAGTGCACCACCAGTAAACTGAGTGCCTCCAGCTTGTCTTGGTGCACCAGACCCACCGCCACGACCGCCACCTCGGCCACCTCCACCACGACCGCCTCCACGGCCACCACGTCCTCCTCGTCCTCCTTGACGTTCGAAGGCGTTGGCCATTCCTTGTGTGCGGGTTTCGAGTGTGCGTTCGTTAGACTCGATGAGGCCGCTGGCCTTGTCGGAGAGCGTAAGAGCCAAGCTTTGCAGTCTGCTCAACTCAACACCCTTGCGGAAGATAATGGAGGAGCTGACTTGGTCGAGAGCAGCAGCAAGTTCTTCATGGCTGATCATCTTGCTCACAATAGCGGCGACCTTACGGTCAGATAACTCGAACATAGAAGAAAGAGTGGAGACGGAGAGAGTATCGTAGTATGGAGCATAGGTGAAGAGATAGGTTCGAAGACCTTCCTCTTGAATCTGTTCCGAGAGCATGGTCTTGATCTCTTCTGGTTTAGCCATGAGCTCCCATATCTTAATTGAGTGGATGAACTCGGTTGCCTTCTTCCACTCGCCGGCAGCCAAAGCTTTTGAGGCTTGCATGACGTGATCTCGAGTGTTCTCCGGCGGACCTGTGAAGATTTGGCGTTCATGGTACTCTAGCATGCGTCTGTATGTCTTGCTGATAACCCTCTTCTTGATATCAGGTGACGATCCTGTTTGTGCAAGAAGTGGAATCTCAAGCAACATGCTGCAGGTGAGATAAACGCACTCCAATAGCTCGAGGTTGATGTGCATGTGGAATGGAAGCTGTCTTTGGCGTTCGAGGCGCTCCTGCTCTGGTGAAACCTGGTTATATCGCTGGATCATAACACCTTGAGCCAGTAACTCCTTCTGCCGTCCACTACCACAAATCTCCTGTAGTGTTGTTTGTGCTTCGTAGACAAGACCCGCACGGAAGGCACAGAGACCGACCTGAACGAGAGTTCTGTTGAAAAGAATCTGGCTATGGACGTCGAAAGCGTTGATAGTCTCTTGTAAATGTGACATGAGCATCATGTCACGTGCCTTGTAGTAATTGTCGTGTAGGGCAAGGAAATAAATCTGGCAAAGCATAGCTCTGGCACGGATGATGCCTTCGCTGTTGATGAAAAGGTAGTTGCAAAGAATGTTGACGAGAGCAGTGGCATCAGATGAGCTACCACGGGGGGTGATGGCAGATTCCAAGGAATCAGGAATGGCTTTCCAGCAGTTCTCCTCAAGTATCTTAACTACAGCAGCTGGCTGGTAACGAAATCAGTAGGGGTCTGAAAGAGCAAAGTAGAAAACTGACCTTAAAGTACACATGCTCCAGTCTACGCATAACAACCCGATTGAGACTGTCTTGGGAGACTTGAAGGCTCTCGTCCTGGCGGAGAGATTCGGTGTATAGAAGAGTGCGAACTATGTTGTTATAAAGAACGCCCTCGTCAGACAGTCTGTCAATGTATTCTGCAGTATGAGGATCAATGTGCTGAAGTGACCGAGTGAGTTCGTCGTCTAATCTCTCTACATATGATACAATGCTTCCTGGGATTTTAAAAGTCTGACCGGGTGTAATGGTTGGAGGTTTGTCGTCATCCTCCCATTCTTCCGCAGTCTCGACTACTACCAACTCTCGGTTTGCTTCGAGGACCTCGAGAAGTGTGCCAAACTCTTTCTCCGCCGCTTTCCACTGCTCCTGGGACATGAATGTTTGCACACCAGTGGTAAGGTCGAATCGAGTGGAGACAAGGGTTAGAAGTACGCGGACTTTCTGGTAAGGGGTTGTGGCAACTTCGTAGAGCTTCTCCATAATCTTGATCTGCTCGGTTCTGTCGGTGTTTTTCTTTCCTCTTGATTCCAAAATCGTCCGCAGGTGCTTGAGGATACTTTCTGGCGTGAACTGGAGTGTACGGCCTCCTGGGCCAACTGTTGAGAAGCCCTCATCGTCTATAGGCTCACGAGTCAAGGGGACCGATTGCCTCTTTGGCTTTTTCTCGACAACGACCTCTTCCTCCTCGTCAGACTCCATAAAAGCATCCTTGTCAGCGTTGTACGCATCGATCTCCTTCTGGAATTCTTTGTTGTTCTTCTTGATGCGTTGCTTAACAGCGTTTAAGCCTCGTGCGTTTGTCGCATTCATTTTCTTGGTGGAAACTTTCTGCTTGGCAATAGTCTCATTCATGAAATCCTCCAATTCTGTAATAGCCTTAACATAGATCTTCGGCGTTGGACCGGCCAGCTTCTGCTGCTGTCTGTTGAGCTTATCAAATTCTGAATTAAACGTCAGCCTCGTAGCACGCGCATAAGACTCTCCTCAAAAGGTTTACCTGTCGAAATTGAGCCCCAGTCATTGATTTTCTGCCCATTTTCGATAGCCTTTATGGAAGCCTCCAACTCCTCGAGTCGTTTGTCTTTCGCACTCTTCACAGTCTTGACCCGTTCTTCGTCGCTGCCGCTCTCGCTTTCTGAATCTGAATCATTTTTCAAGAATTTATTAGCACCGGTTTTCTTCCCATCCTCGCTGTCGCTGCTATCGGAGTCGTCGTCTTCTTGGTCGTCATCTTGCTCGTCGGAGGACTCTGCTTTTTGCTCTTCGTTGTCGGAATCTTCAGAGTAGAGCTCTTCCTCGTCGGACGATTCACTCTCGCTGGAACTATCGCCTTGTTGAAAGAATCGTGACATTGTGGATATGGCGCAGTTATGTTATTGTAGGAGTTGTTGCCACACCTGGAGTCGATGGTTGTGAGATGCGAATTTCTGAAAATCTTGTCCCCACTACGGCAGGTTGGTGTCGTCGCAAATGGCGGGGCTAAGCGAGATCTTAGGGTTTTCGAGATTTCCTGATTAGGAATTTCTACTATGAATAGCTGCAACTAGCGATTGCTATATAGAAAAATCAACTTCATTGAGTCAACTCTTGGCCTGTAGTTTTCAAGGAAATGGATTCGCAGTGACTCGTTTCTCAGTGACTCATGAATTTAATTCGACTCACTCGATCTCTAACGATATGCGAGCACTGGGCTCACACCAAACGTGCACATCAACAAAGCTCAATTCAAATGTACATTTACTGTAGGTAGTCTCGAGTGACTGATCTTCTATGAGCAATATCATATGACTCTGTTTCTTATATGACCGGAATTAGCTTCTCCGGTCTCAAATCAACCTTCTCAAGTTCTGGTATGTCCTTGAAAGTACATGCTGTCTAGAACTACCACCCCGATTATCGTAGACCCCACGGGCGTTGCACTTACTGTTGCTATTGGAACTCAAAAGAATCTGCAATAAACGCATATCATTGACCCGCGATAATCCATTATACAACGATCTATATACCCAACTATGCATCGGTTGAGGTATCCATTACGCAACTCCAGTATCCAAGATTAATAAGTAAAGCCTATCCCAGTTTTCCAATACCGATACGCCCCCAGTTAATTTTTGCCCGTACGCCTACCAGATGGTCCCTTTATAACCGTTTTGCCCGCGGAAACTTCCAATTTGCACTTGCCAAAACATCTGACCATAATACTCAACAGCATCTTCTCTACACATCTCTCTGCAACCAGTCTGGGTGATCTATGGCCCTCCATGGCTTGATATTGTCGGGATTCGCGTTACGGCTTTTTCTAGCCTGTTCAAAGACTTTCTTGGTTTCCTCGTCGGACATTAGAGTTTTGAAATCCATAACCTCTTTATTAGCAGTCTTTGTCGATTCGCTGAAATCGCGGAACAGGCTTTCGGCTTCATAAAACACAGTCAGCTACATATCGGCAGCAGTATAGGCGAATGACATACGTGAAGTCGCGATGGTAGTCAAAGGCTCTATCATTCTAGGAATACATGTCCTTAAATTGCGAAGCTGTTTTACAGTCAGATAATAAAAAATGATTGCTAGTGGAACGAACTGACCTGAATGTGCATTTCCTTCAACAATGCCATCCCCTTCTCTAGTTGCGCTTCATCCCAACCCTCCTCATTACCAAGACCAGGTGCAGGATTGACTTGCTTTATCTCGCCATTGATGTTCCCGACATTCTTAACTCCAGGCAAATGTTTCTGCAGACCATTAGGTTGAGCCATTGTGAGACACCACAGCTGTCACTGGACACTCAGGGTGTGTGTCTCTCTTCATGAGCTGAAGCAGTTAAAGGGTAGAAGTCGAGAAGAGTCGGAATCAGCTGCAGGGGATGGAGCCACAATGTGGGGTACTTCAAGCTAACTGCAAGTGTAAATAGTTTATGAAATCATAGTCTGATGTGGGCGATGTTGCTCGCATTGTCTTGATGGACATTCACAGGATAGGGAGAACCATAAAGCTGCGCCGTACATATGGATTAACTACAGAAAGCCTGAATCTCATGGGTAGAACTGATACTATATTCAGTTATTGGATAATATTTGCACCTCATACAGCGACTGGGATCTGCTATGGTACGAGATCAATATGCATTAATAGGTGTTCAACTCTTGGAAAAGCAGCTCCTCACTGAGAGAGAACATGTTCAGCAACAAGGTGTTGTTCTGGCTGCCGTAGTCGGTATCAACAAGCCCCGTTACCAGGAGCTACCCCGCCAAACTTTTTAGATGATCCCAGTTCCAATAAGAAAGCTACATCAACTCAAATCAACCTCACACATCTTTTCCATCTGTCTGTTGTCCTGGCAATTATGGAACAGAATAACGAGAACGACCGCCCGCCGAATGGCACACGAACCTCATTTTCAATGGACAACGAAGAAGCTTTCACAGCAACCCCTCTCACTCAGGTGGAAGCTTCCCCTCAAAAGGTGGCAGATAACCCTACCTTCATGCAAAATCAAATCGCCATCCAGCGAAACCCTTCAACTGCTAGAGAGCACGCGTCCGCTTTGACGCGACAGCTTTCGACGAAGTCGAGTAATCACGACGTCACCGCTATATCCGGCTTCACCAAACGACTCTCTGAAACAAGTAACCAACATAAGCTGGAGGAAGAGCGTGGCGTGCAATCAGAGGAATCGGAGGAGTCTTATACGAACGCTTTAAATGGCACGACAAGTCAATGCCTTCTCACAAAATCACCATCAGAACGCTCGACAAGGTCCGTTAGGAGCGTACATGCTGTTGGAAGTTATCCATTAGGGAGTTTGCGAGTCCACTTACCATCTCCAACTCGATCTGTTGGTGGGGGCAGACCAGATGAGCGCCTGAAGTCGGGCGACGTGTTGATAGTTCGCGATGTTCCTAGTGGTTCTTTATTCGGCTATGACACGGTCGGCTTCAACGTCAAGTCTGATAATGGGTCGAAGTTCAATGGTTTAAGAGATATTCCACCAGGAATACATTTCATCTGGGGAGGTTCGAGCAATACCTCGATGCGCAATGGTTTCTGGATTGTCTCTGCCAAGCGAGCTTCGGATGAATATGGCGAAATTCATGTGAGGAGGTGGGACAAGGAGAATGAAGTTCTCGCTGAAGAGGTCAGCCAGGCTGAGGTTCGAATTCAGAGAGAAAGTCTTCCAGAAATCTTTGACAAGCTGCACCCGTACATGCTCCCTCACGCAGACCCAAATACAAGTCTTATCACTTCTACCGCTACTGTGTCGACATCCCCTTCAACTCCAACCTCGCCCACGCACGGAAGGGACCCAAATCTGTGGCATCGCTTAAGCTCATGTATTAAAGGGGCGCTCATCACTAGAATTACGGGTAAGAAGGAGTGGAACGAATGGCAAGTCAGTTCGGTCCATGACCGTCAGGATAGTACCCCCATCAGCCATGATGCGAAAATTGGCGACCTCTACGGCGACAATGTTCTTACCTTCATATTTCCAAGTCTCCAAAGAACATTTACAGATGAGTCGATCGGACGGGAACGTACTGAACAGGCACTCGATTCGACTTCTTACATCTTGAACGTTATCTCCAATAACACGTCTCATGACGACGCGGATGAGATTGTTGGCGAGGTACAGTTTTGCTACGTGACGGGAATGCTCTTGGGGAATATTGCTTGTATGGAGCAGTGGGCTCACATTGTTAAGACAATGTTCCGTGCATTTGATCTTGTCTTACAAATGCCGGATTTTGTTCGAAAGTTCATAGAGGCTGTTCATGCTCAATTCAGCTATGATGATGAGGGCCTGGAGGGCAGCATACTCGACCACGATCCAAACTTGAGTGAGGATTTGAAGCTCGTTCTTACTACATTCAAGGCACGTCTTAATGAAATGCTCCTGGAAAGAGGTTCTAGTATCACAAAAGAGCAGACCGCTGTAGGAACAGCGTTTGGGGACTTGGAGACGTTACTTTGGAAATGGGAATGGGATCTCCGTGCCGACTACGTACGCTCTGGAAAGTACCAAACCGAGGATGGCCAGTGGATTGATGCCGAGCTTAAGGAGTTCCAAGCCGAGGACGAACGAGGTGAGTACGCGCCAGCCATGGTCGAGCTGGATGAGTACGGTCGAGAGAAAGGTCTCCTTTGTTTTTGATTTTCTGTTTTCTAACTCAACGGTGCTCTTTTTCTCAGGTCCGTATTCAGGTATCAAAGTTGACCCTGAAAGACGTGGATCTCGATTGTCTGTCAGGCTAGCTCTCAAATAGAACTGTACCGAAGGATTCGCTACCTACTCTCGGCTTTGATCAATGGAGGTCAACTCGAGTTTGACATCTCTGATCTCGAGTTTCTCATTTCGCCAAATCATGTACAACATTACCTACCTACATACGGATTTCTTCGCCTTTCGAGCATGGCATGGTTCGGTAACGGAGTTCTAGACGGGCAAATGCACCTGGCAAGGAGTTCATTGTACTATTAAGGTATTTGGGTTCTGTAAATTAGTCGCATCCGTACATAAAACATAATGTAAAATGTATAATCATTCAGACGTCTATTCTTCAACACTGGTTTCATAAGCAATTTTCAAGTGTCATTGAGAAACAACACCTTCAAAATAAGATATAGGCATTGACAGTTAAATGAAAGTGCATCTTCTCTCCTTACTTATTAACTCGTCGGCCAAATAACTAAACAGTACTACCAAGTAACTCATAAGTAGACTGTAGCATATGTTAGTACCTGACCAAACTCAACTCATGCTTGAGTAACTCATTAGATTAATTAAGTTGTTTGAGATGCTCGTAAGCACACTGTATGTGATCGTATAATCTGCGGGTCGTGGGCTCCTAAGCATATTTAGGGACAAAGTCTGCCTCGGAGATAAAAAACGATCAGCGACTGTGTCAACTTCCCATCTAATACCTCGTATCCCCGAAGGTAGGTTAATATGATGTTCAAAATCCCCAACTAGCTCAAACTTCACGCTGTGAGTTTCTTGTTCTTAACAAAATCTGATTGAAATTAGAAGAGGTCTTGTTGGCTTGAGAGGTTTAGATAAAGCGTACAGCTTCGTGTCAGGTCAGACAGATATAGTATCTCAACTAACAGCTAACTGGTTCCCCACTCGGCATGATATTAAATGGTATCAAATATGCTGTCTGTGATTGAGAAATCTATTGAGCATAAGGACCCGGGCACGCGATTGATTAAAAACATAATTTGTAAGACAGTAATATGCTTGCGAAAACTTTTTGATTCTTCCTTTATAGTTGCGCTAAGCTATCGTGAGAGTAAATCTGGAGACCAGGCGATTAATGCCGTCCTCCGCGTCGTGTCTATTCCCAAATGTGATACCCATTGCCATGCAACCAGAACAGTAAAACCCAGCCAGTAATCTAAAGACGACGACCACGACGACCTCCCTTACGGCGGGTGCTATCGGATGGTGTTGGTGTGACATCCTCAATACGACCAATCTTCATTCCTGAACGAGCGAGGGCACGGAGAGCGGACTGGGCTCCTGGGCCTGGGGTCTTGGTGCCGTTACCTGGATAGTATGTCAGTCTCTTCTACTTCGTTTTATACATCTCCTAAATTGTATCTTACCTCCAGTGGCACGGATCTTGATGTGGAGAGCGTTGATGCCCAATTCCTTGCATCGAATTGCGACATCTTGAGCAGCCAACATAGCGGCGTATGGGGAGGACTCGTCACGGTCTGCCTTGACCTTCATTCCACCAGTAACACGGGTGATAGTTTCGCGGCCACTGAAATCACTCAGGTTAGCCTATGAACTATTCACTCCCATTTTATACTCCAGCCTTTGCCATGTGTTTGTTCGATCGGGTCCATCGTTGGAGCGGTTGATTCATGAGGTGACATACGAAAGATCAGTGATATGGACGAAGCTGCGCAAATGTTAGTTTTGTACCAATTCAAGGCTTTGGGGATTCGTACGTATCGTTGAAAGACGCAAAGATTCTTGCGACACCGAAGACGAGTTCGCCTATAGAAATAAGAATTAGTCTCTGAAGCTTCGTTGGAGGGGTTGTCCTCAGAAAGGTGCCTACAGGCTGGAGGGATGCATAAACTCACCATCTCTGACCTGAGGGCCAAGGGAGATGTTCTCCTGTGCTGGGCGGGCGGCTTTCTTTGGTGGCATGTTTGCGGTGTTGTCGGGTTGAATTTGGATAGATTGGGGTTCAAAAGTTCGCGATATTTTCTGGATTGGCTTGTGTGCGGTTTTTCGGATCAGCGCTTGGACCACTTTCCAGGTGGAGCAGGTCACGTGGTGCTGGCTACTGAGTGCGATCTTATTGTTCAGTTTCAACACACTATTAAATTTAATGGTATTTTCTTGTATTCTTTGCATTGTCTCAAGCATAAAATTTCTGCTTCATCTATTAGATACTTCGAACTACTATCAATCGCTGCACATTGCTAGGATATAGGAGGTGTCGCAAGTTGAAGTTGAAGAAGAAGCACCCTCGGTCTAAACCTGAGGCATCACTACACTAGCGTGGGACCAGAACTTTACCTCGTTTGAAATTTCAAAGCTTCTGCTTTTGATCTTTCTTGAGCATCAACAAACAACACTGAAGTTACGAATCTCGACCAATGAGTCGCTGCGATCTTCGCATGACAATCCCGAGATTCAAGGGCTGAGGTGGAGGAAAATTGTTATTTACGATACGTATTGTTTTCTTCGACTTCCAGAATGGCTTCCACGCAAGTGATAACTGGCCCGGACGACATGTCAAACTTCTCGATTGGCATCATCGGTCTCGGAGACATGGGGAAGATGTATGCTCGACGGCTCAGCGACAATGGATGGAGGTAGGTATCCTCTCTTCATGTTCTGCTGTCGGGCGACTTAGATCTGGTAAGCTCTTCCGCACTATTTCTCCCCCCTCCACAATGATGACTTGAGTGCATTTGGCTCGAGTATTCTCCTTTGCTGGCCTGACTATCATTCTGATACCAGGTTTGGCGCTGGGGTTTCACTGATGAAAAATCTCAGCTACCTTATTTTATTTTGTCTGAAAAACTATCACAAGATATCAAGTTTACTGTCGTACTTGACTGTAACTTCCGCTAACATGCTCTGATAGGTTTAGCCCTTGCTTGAGCACACACACTGATGCGATTGTAGAGTAAATGCATGCGATAGAGAAGAGAGATACAATGGTCTGAAGGAAGATTTTGCGCATAATGTAAATATAATTGGTTCAACCAGAGGTGCAGCAAGTGCTGAGTAGTTTTAGAAGCAAATTAATATTCTTCCAAATGGACATCTCGTTTCCCGCATGAGTGATTACATTATCTATAATGTAGAAGCTGCATCCATCGATAAAGTGGTAGCGACGTACGGGCCATGTATGAAACAAACCGCTGATAATGATGACCATTATTAACCATTCCTCAGCTACGAAGCAGAATGCCATCGTTGGTGGCCAGACTTCCTGCAAAGCTCCCGAGATTGCTGCTTTCGAAAAGTATCTTCCTGCTGATGTGGATATTATCTCCTGCCACTCTCTCCATGGCCCTGCCGTTGATCCCCACAATCAACCTCTGGTAATCACACTTACTCTCGTTTGGGTTTTCGTGTTAATCTCTTCAGGTCATTATCAAGCACCGTGCTTCAGACTCCAGTTTCGAAAAGGTCAAGAAGGTTCTATCATGTCTAGGCTCTACCCACGTCTACCTCTCCGCAGCTCAACACGACCGCATAACAGCAGACACCCAAGCCGTAACCCACGCAGCTTTCCTCTCGATGGGCAAAGCCTGGCACGCCAATGCCCAATTCCCATGGGAACTAGCACGGTATGTCGGTGGCATAGAGAACGTCAAGATCAATCTCACCCTCCGTATTTACTCTCAGAAATGGCATGTCTACGCTGGTCTTGCGATCTTGAATCCCTACGCCAAGGAGCAGATCCGACAATATGCTCAGAGTGTTACGGACTTGTACAAACTCATGCTTGGAGGCCATGAAAAGGAGTTTCGCGAACGTGTCATCGGGGCAGGCAAGAAGGTCTTCGGCAACCAACCCTTTGATGGAGAACTATTACTGAAAGATGAAATCCTCGATCGGTTCTCACTCGGCAAAAAACCAGAGACCCCTATGCCTAACAACCATCTCTCACTACTAGCGATGGTAGATTGCTGGTCCTGTCTAAATATCGTCCCTTACGACCACATGATCTGTAGCACACCTCTCTTCCGCCTCTGGCTCGGTGTCACGGAATATCTGTTCAGAAAGCCTGCTCTGCTCGATGATGTATGCAGAATCGCGATTGAGGACAATACGTTTAGAAGTGACGATTTGGAGTTCACATTCGCGGCTAGGGGTTGGAGCGATGCGGTCAGTTTTGGTGACTTTGAGGGTTGGAAGGATAGATTTGTTTCTACGCAGAAGTTCTTTGAACCTAGATTTCCTGACGCAACCAAGGTTGGGAACGAGATGATGAAGACTATTCTGGAGAATATGAAGAAGTGAGTATCGGCGGTTGGAGGTGAAGATACTGTAAATGTGAATGGAGGTAGTTTGTGGGTGATTGATTCGGCGTTACGACTGGGGTGGTGGTTATATGAAGAACTGTATACAGTAGCTGTCAGAATGTTAATGCATTTTCAATAATGACAACGCTAGTCCTCAAGCTTGCTTTGCCCGACTTGCTGTGTCAAACTCCGATGCTCAGAACTTTCTGTGGAGGTCCGTAAGACTTTATAAGATATTCATTGTACCAAAGGCCTCTGTGGAATTATATCGAAAGTACCTGATGTTCCGTGGGCGGAAGTTGACATACACAATATTTCATTTCAATCACATTTTTCATTTATACACCCACCAAGAATCCGATTCGTATGTAGGTTCGCCCACATCTCACAATAGTATTTTAACACTTTGCGTTCATATAACTGAGATTCAACGTTCTTTTCCTCAACTCCGCTTAATGTTGTCAGAATAGTTTTGCATTTATTTGCCTAGAAACCCTACAAGCAGCAAATAGCAAAGCCTGTCCAATGCAAATGCAGCACAAACCCATTCTCCCCAACCAAGCTCCACACGAATTCCATCCCTTAACGGTAAGACTTTTGGTATCTGGCTCTGGCTCCGGGTCCTGTGAATTATTTTGTCAGCATAACTCCAGTATAAGGCAAATATCCTGCACAGCGTACCTCCAAACTTCTTAGGCTCGCACCGTCTGTTATCCGCAACCAACAGTGTTCGGTCATACTGGACAAGCTGCTGCTTCAATGTGTTTTTGGAGTGCTCATCAACGAATTTTTGGTAGTAGGCGACGATTGATTTGGAGATGGCCTGTCTGATGGCGTAGACCTGGGATGTGTGACCACCACCTGTGACTCGGACGCGAATATCGACGTTGGCGAATTTCTCAAGACCAACAATGAGGAGGGGCTCGTAGACCTTGAATCGCAAGATCTCTGGTTGGACGAGGTTAAGAGGCTTTCCGTTGACCTTAACAAGTCCCTTTCCGGCCTAAATCCGAGAAAGATACAATTAGCAATCTGCAGCATTGTATCTCGTTCGACCTTGTTCCAAACAACTGGCCACCCTAAGTGCGCCTCCAAGATATTTATCCTATCAAATTCCCACTCCTCGAATTGAAAATTGGTGTACATACGCGGCAGTGTGCGACAGCGGTTGCTGTCTTCTTCTTTCCGAAACATTGGACGGATTGTGTGGAGGCCATCTTGAATGCTAAAAGAAGGATCGCAGGTTAGCCTTCTGCGATAATATTTCCCGCGTTCATATATCCTCCTAAGATCGAAATTTTCCAATAACAATAATTGCTCGTAAAATCGTCTGAGGTGCTGGGGAGGATTGCAGGCTGACGTACCTTCGATGGGGGTTGCTGTTGTCGATAGAGTCGGATCTCTTTTTTCCTGAGGTCTTTCGCGAAATCTGGAAGTGTGCGGTCGCAAATTCGCTTGGATGCGCTAGCGCGTTTCCCTGGAGCCGCTCTATTCACACGTGACATGGATTTCAACATCACATGCCAGGTTTACGAGGCAGTTACAACATAGAATATCAACCTCATAGGAAAGGACACCGCCATTCGTGGGCATTTGAAGGGAACGCAAAGCGAGGATGTCACGCAAAGGCGTTGGACTTGCGGCTTTTGACCGTTCCAGAATCACATCTGCTCAATATGCAAACCATGGCAGTAACCTACGAAGCTCACATTCAACGTCCCTCGCAACTCAACTCTCCGTCTTCCGTTCTCTTCTTCAACAGTTTGCTCAAACGCATGCAAAAGATATTCGTTCAAACCCTAGCTTCAGGGCTGAGTTTGCACGCATGTGTTCAGCCATTGGTGTAGACCCTTTGGCAAGCAGCAGTGGTGGAGGAGGCAAAGATGGAGGTGGAAGCTTTTGGGCCCAGATGCTGGGTGGCAGTGTGAATGACTTTTACTTTGAATTGGCTGTAAAGGTCGTGGAAGTCTGTAGTGCTACCAGACAGGAGAATGGTGGGCTCATTGGAGTTAAAGAGGTGCAAGATAGGATCATGAGCACGAGGATGGAGGGGTCTACAGAAATTACAGAGTAAGTGCTATGGACGATTTGCACTTCAAACTGCTGAACATGATAGGGATGACATTTTGCGAGCCGTCAATACACTCAAGCCACTTGGATCATCCTACTCTACTTTGACAGTGGGTCATAAGCTTTACATCCGCTCTGTACCCAAAGAGCTCAACACGGATCAAAGCGCCGTACTTGAAGCTGCTCAAGTTCTTGGCTATGTTAGCGTTTCTATGCTGATGCTTAATCTGAATTGGCCAAGAGCACGAGCAAAAACAGCTATCGATGACCTCGTGTCTGAAAGTATGCTTTGGGTTGACATGCAAGCCGGCGCAGAATACGAGTACTGGAGTCCGGGGTTTATGCTGGAGGCCGAGTAGTACTGCGGCTTCTAGTGCCTTCCAAAAACCCTCCGCTTACTCCTTTACTTTCAACTCCGAGGAATTCTCAATTGAAAAACAGTTGTGCTCAGCAAGGCTGTATGCGCCAATCAGCCTCTCAAGTGCAGTTGTATGGCCGATTTGGCCGCATTATCCTCAAACCTGTGGATATTCAACACTCATGTCGATTCGGTTACGATTCTGCAAAAGGAGACTTCAAAGCCTCAAATTTGGTGGTAGCAAGCTCAATCACGCCAATGAGACTGAGCTCATTCCATACTCCACAAGATCCGGCATTGCGCTCCCCGCATTTTATCACAAAGTAATTGCGTTTTCACAGTAGAAGCATCCACCACGGACAGCAATACGAGAAGTTGGATGATAGTTGTATCAACACAAAGCAAAGTGTTCAGCCTCACGGGGCGTTGCCAGTATTATGAACACTACATTGACCCCGTCCATTTAGATCTACATAGATCTTATTCCGAAACGTTTTCAATAAAGGAACCAGTGAGCAAACCGATTTCTTCAAACTCAAACCATATGGTGATCTCCGATATAGAGAATACATTGCAGGGACGGACACAAATGATAGAGAGAAATAGACAACAATGTTTTACTCAAGCCGAGGTATATTAGCTTGAGCAAACACAGATAGATAGGAAACAGAAACCAATATAATCAACATACCTTTTTAATATCTACGTGCAGACAGAAATCAAATTCTACTACATCCAACCTCCAAATTATCTACTCAGTAAAAATATCACCTCATTCAATCCCCTAAACTCGCCCCAACCTCAATGCCCAGATCTCATGAGGATGATCCGCCCAAGCCCCAGGCAGACATAGATAGACAGCAATGGAATTTGGAAATCATGATACTCACCAAAACTCACGAAGTCTACATCAAGACACTACTCAGCACCTCCTAAGCCAAAACCCAAACCGTACATCACCCATAATCCCGCATACACACATAATCTCAAGTCCCCACAGAGTCCACCTCCCTCGCAAGCTGCTCTGAAAACCCCCTACTATTCAGCCCTGCAACACTTTTAGCCTGCCAGTAAATTTCTTTCACAGGATCATTCCTCACTTTTGCCGTAAATACTATACATTACTATAACCTCCACCCCTCTGACTTCCTCACATCCCCCCTTCTCCTCCCACGCACTATCTAAAAAATCTCTCACACTCCAAATCCCCTTACACAATCCCAAATCCCCCAGATAATCTACCCAAAACAGCATGGAATGGCTGATCAGTAATGCAAGCCCCAAGACGACCGACTCCACACACTTCCCGCGCCCCGAAGATGTTAGTGCTAACACGAGAAACATTCTAATCAGCTGAATCCTCAAGACCAAGGACAACTTACTTACAGATTACAAGTTGCAAACTTTCAAAGCCCTTGAAGATCCTAATTCTAATTCGCGGCAATTTTTGGGAGATGATATATGTCTATTTCAACATCTTCAATCTGATAGTCAAAACATCAGACATCAGACATCAGACATCTTCATCAACTTTGTAAAAAATTCAATCGGTCCTTATCAGCCATGGAAAGTTCAAAGGGTTCTCCAGAACGCAAGGTGCAAAGCGAAGACAATCCGTACGAGCTTCCCAACTCCAATACGTGAACAGCAAACTACATAGAAAAGGCCATTCGCGCCACAGAGAGAAGTCACACAGTCACACTTCACACTTTACAGAAAGAAGAAGCAAGATATTTGATAATGTTTGGAATTATTATTTCCACGCCGGCGCGTGCATCTAATTTATTGCACCCGCCCTTGACAAAAAAACAAATCGCCTGTAGGTGCGCGTAGTGAGAGCGCACATGAAGAAGCGAGCAATGCCCTCTTCGGTTGTAGCAACGACAACATTAAATCCATTCCGGCCAACCAAGATCGTCAATTCCCACTCCTCTGTAATCATTTTCGCCAACCCTTTCTTGTAATATACGGATCCATCGTTTATTCTGCCAACCGAAAAACATGTTCTTTTCCGTCCCAAAGAACACGAAGAAGAAGATGAACGAAACATACTCCGAGCATGACGTGTGCAGAAAAAAATATGCCTCGCGGGTATGATAGATGTATGGCCTAAAAGCCAAAAATGCATTTTGTGCACTCAACCAAAACAGACGTAGGCGGACACCTGGTCCGCAGCTGATAAAACACCTAAACGCCGCGTGTACAAACCAAACCATGCACCCAACCCTACCATCCTGGTTTTTGTTTATCGGAAATGAGCATTGCGTGAGTCGAAATAACAACATCATCAAGCCGTCGAGTCGTGTTCGTTGCCGAACGCGAGAACAGCCGTCTAAGGACGGGAGAAAAGGCACATGTAAACGTCAAAGAAATAGCGATCAGCGGCCCCATATGATACAAGTGCATGGCGACTACAAAACATAAACGGAAATCATCGACGAAGAGATCCGAAAGGAGAGGGCGATTCGGTCGGTCGTGATTTACCGGTCAAGATTATTGACCGGATTTAATGCTCATACTTTGGTTGAGGTCCAGCCTGGTTATCTGCAAAAACGTTAGTTGTTCCCTACTACATTGGGAGGACAAGGGTGTAATGACGTTGACTGTACATTGGATTTGGCTGACCATATGGTGAAGCCGGATAGCCACCGTATTGGATGCCTGGTTGAGAGTTGTAATTCTGCAATTGATGAACATCGGGATTTGGTGCTTGGGATTGATATTGGCCTGGAACAGAAGCTCCAGGTTGGTAACCGATAGGAGGCAACTGAACAGATCGACCTTGTTGTTGATAGGCAGCACCGTGACTCTCGCCGGGAGCTTGGCCCTCAGGTTGACCGCCGCCAATTGCAGTTCGGGTGCGATCCTCCTCGGCCTTGCGTAAAGTCTCTTCTTCCTTCTTGCGCGCTTTCCATTCTTTACGGATCTCCTTGAATTCTGTATAAGTCAAGTGTTAGCGTTGTGTCATATCGAATTATGCGAGAACCCAAGAGGTCGGTTGGCCCATGCTAGCTTCGGAGTTGGATGAAGATATTCCCAGACCAAAACGAGACTAGCCTCGACGCCATCGGAAAATCAGCCGCACAGGGCGAGCAGCACACTAAGTTGTACGAAGCCATTTTGTCGAGATGGTAAGACAACACGTTCGTGTAACGTCGTGGGAATCAAGCAATTGTGCACATCAACGTTTAGATGTAACCATTTTCAGGTCGAGTGTGCGCACAATAACGTCGCACCATGGAAAACGTATATTGGTAATTCAAAAACATCTGCATGACATACCTTCAGGAGTGCGCTTCGAACCATGGCTTTGCATGGTGACGTGGGCGTTGAGGTGATTTAATGTTCCATACGCCTTCTCACAGCCATTCCAACCACACTTGTACATGCGTTCGATTTCTTCGTATCGGCGACGGGGGCGCTTGTGTTGTTGAGCGCCTGGAATGGGGACAAATGAATAGACCTGAAGAAAAGTGATCTCATCAGCTATGATACCTTTCAAGTCGCGAGCGAATTATGCCAAGATTCAACATATATAACGAGACTTCTCGCGCTTCATGGGGCACGAGGTATACTGCTGCCACATCAAAAACAGCCTCATACGAGGGGCGTGCAAGCACACTACCCTTTTTACCTGATGGCTGCAGCACAAAAGAAATGCTACACTGAGCCGAGTATGAGACGAGATCAAATGCTTACTTGGCCAGAACCACGCGCGCCAGCTGGGGCTGTAGATGTTGGTGTTTGGGCACCACTCACAGGATATCCTCCGGGTGCCATCGCGTGCTGCTGCTGATGACCGGCGTAGCCAGCCCAGTCTGGTCGAGGTTGAGCATACATGGCCTGGTTAGGGTGCGCAGGATAGTGCGACATATCGTGAGCTGGTGGTTGCCCGTATGGCGAATATTGACTGTTGGTGGGAGGATAGGTAGGACTCGAGGCCGCGATGGATGGATCTATGTGTACATCCGAGTCAGACTTAATTTGGGAATTTTGATGGTTCCCATCTTGCAAAGGCAGTGACGGACTTGTTGATTGAGCCATTCCTCCGCTGCTACCACTGTGGTTGCTTGCTGGGTGATGATACTGACGTTGGAGATGATCCGAGAACGTGGCTGATCGCGCCGACGAAGGATAGACACCGTACTCTGAGGTCGGCGTCGCGGAGGCAGAGAAGTTGCTCGATCTGACTTCTGGCTGCGGGGGGTAATGGGGGGCAGACGCGTGCTCTGCTGTTGGTTCTTCAGATTGAGCGTTTGTCAACGCGTGAGGATATGGTGATGGCAAACCTGACTGCGGGTACTCGGCTGCACCTCTGTCCATAGAGGTATGCTCTGGGTTGGTGAAGGTGCTGAGAAGGGAACTGAGCGTGGCTTCAGAAGTGTCTGGATACGGTTTGCGGTCCTCGATATCGGCTGCGGTGGTAGAAGATAAAGAGGTATTGATTGAAGGATGGTGTGATGCGACCAAGGACATAGTACTGTAGTACTGTGACGGGGATTTCTAGCAGCGACAGGGAAAGTTGGAGGGGAAGAAGTAAAGTTCACAAGCGCGGCGGCCCTCGCACTTTTAATGGAGGCAAGAGCAGGTGTGGCAGTGTGTGGCTTTCGACTTCTCGACGACTAGTCACTGTGATTTAGTGATTTAGACGAATCGAGCCTAATTTGAGATTGGAGCAGGTACGATTGCACGTATCTCTGGTACCGGTAGTGTCGAGCTACCAGAAGGACCAGATAGAATTGGGTTTGGTCGAGTTATAAGGAGGAGGGTTGAGGAGGGTGGAGGAGAAGAAGCGCAATGTTTTGCGGCGACACAGCTATGGTACAGCGCGATTCACTGCTGCGCGATCGGGGAGTAGTGTGGCTGCTGGACGATGGGGTATCGTAATATCGTAATATTGCACACCTCGGTGGGACGAGGGGGGGTGGTAGCGTTTTAGTAGCGTGGAGTTAAGGTGAATAGCTCGAAAAACGATCGCCGGATGATTTGTGGGTGATTCGTAGTCTCGACGGTGACGCCACCGGTACTTTTAGTCGCAGGGCCTTTTTCTGTTCTTGCAGCAAGGATCGCAATTTATGATGTCCTAATGTACGAGACGCAACGTGTAGGACGCAGCTAGTCCGTCCAAGTCGACTAGATCAGATCGCGACGAGCGTATCAGGGCGTGCGCGGGTGTGGTGACTGTGGTCGAGAGTGAGAGTGAGAGTTTGTTTGCGATGGAAGATTCCGGCGACGCGACTTTTTCCCTGTGCCGGAGTGATGACGGATGGTCGAGGCAGAGTTTTGCCCGTGACGTCTTGCAATTTTCGCTAGGACCGAGCCAAAAAAAAAAGGGAGTGCGATTACGATAATAATGCGTAATAATCGCAGCGCAACAGCACAGCAGTCTTGGAACGCGCTTCGCGGCAATTGCCCACCAGCGACTGGCAGCTAGACGGAGGTGGTGGTGGTGGGTGGTGAGAATGAGGATGAGTCGAGCGACGACTAGTATTGCGATGCACGAGCGGTACTCGTAGCGTCGACGTTAACGATGTGTAGAAGGGCTGGAAGTGCTTTCGTATGGTGAATACTCTATGTTGGCCGAGAAAGGTTAAGACCGAGGCTGCGAGGACGCTGGGAGGAAATCGAGAAAGTCGAGGACCGTGGGGGATTTCTAGGCAGACGAAGGGTGGAGACGCACTGGAGAGAGGGCACGAGTGCAGGGGGAAAAGCAGCGAGGGCAGGGGGCAGCGCACGCAGACAGGGTTTGCAGCGCTTCACTCGAAGCTGCTTTAGACGGGGCTCATGGCGGGGCTGCTGCGGTACATTCGGTCTGCATCTGCGTTTGCACACTCTACTGTTTCCTCCACTAAGTACGAAATATTGTTCAAACTGTGAAAATGCACAACTCACAAGTCTCCACATGCACAAATGCAGACTTCACGAAGTACTTTGCAAAACCACGAAGTCCGTCTAAAACCCCGGTACGGGCTGGAAGGTTATGACTTAATTATCCAGGATTCAGACCGAGAAAACTCTGCGAGTATGGCAAGTCAGCCGTACATGAGCTCCCTGGATATGATGGAGGAACCCTTTAGTCAATCGAGAACCCTCGTTGTACAGTAATAATCACATCAACGCGTCCAGACACGTAGTCTACCATGTACGGCTATTCTGTCTTCTTTGCAGCAGAAAGCCACACCCTAAAATCGGAAGATTATCTTCAGGGACAGGGTTTGCTGCTCGTTGGACAAGAAAAGGAAAACTCGACGAGGTTGGACAAGATGTCAGGATGCTCCTCTTTGCCTTTCCCAGTCACAGCTGAGGCCTGAAGAGGAATGCGCTCACAATAGTGTGTGGCTCACTGGCTCCACTGGCTCTTGAGGAAACTCAACCGGACGTGTGGGTAGACCAGTCCTCTAGAGAAGGACTGAAGGATGCTTGTGTCTGAGACCTCTACATTATTTGTCCTTCAGAATGATGTTTGGTAATAATAAAATAGGCTCTGAAAAGCAACCTGTTTGCCTAATTGTGATTGGGGCGCCAGCCTAGGAAAGGGCTTCTTCTTGGGAACTGAAGTCAATACCACGAACACCTCTAGTGTAGTATACTGAAAGAAGATCCCATGCTCTCGTATCGAGCATGTATAATTCGGCGTTCGATTTCGGAGTTATGGCTACTGTGTCTGCTGTAGCATTATGAGGTATAGCCAAGGCGACGTGAAAATTGCCGTCATGGGAAGAAGTGAAATTATCTTGGCATAGATATTCTACCTTTCAATGACGCTTTTTTTTCTCTTCCAGACTCTGGATCGATTATTGTGTAATATGATCAAGTCGATGATAGGCTTTAGCATCCTCGCATTTTCACCATCAACTGAGCCACAGCAACTTCTTCGAATAGAATATGCAACGCAGAATGACCATGCCAAGATTCGTCTCGCCAAGTCGATGAGCGAGCATTAGACCGTCCACCAACCTACTAGTGGAATGGCGTTCACTTATCTGGGAAGCCAACTTCGTACCGAATTTCCATCGAAGAACTTGCGCCGACGATGCAGGTATTGGATCCGGGACATCCATGTTGGATCAAGCAGATCCTGCTTGTCTACTAGGAGTTAGATGCAGGCGATAAAGGCTCTTGAAGACCGCTTTTCTATTGGTTGTACGGGAATTTCACAAGCCGGAAACAAGTCCGGTCTTCTCCAACCGTTTTCCTGTTGGGAATTCGATGATGATGTGGAGGAGTCGAGAACATATTGCAAAAGAGGTAGTGTGAACTCTATCCAAGTCCGAAATGACATGCAAGAATTTGGAATGTTGCAAGAACTCAATCGGGATATCCGTCTAGGCAGGTAATTGGGAGTTTTCCGCTGATCTTTGGGTCTGCCGAAACATCAACAGAGTTGGAAGTTATATGGTTATGATTATTAGATTTTGGAAGGGTCCCAGGAGCAATGGAACGGTGTCGACTGATTGATGCAGCTTACATTTAGAAGCTCATGAATTCGTCCGAAGTGATGAATCCGGTGGGTATGAAAGGTACAAGCGCTTCCCCTTTGAGGTTGACTCCTCGCCCGACAAAATCCTTGTTTCAAAGTTATACCAAAAGTTAAGCTGCGGTGCGCTTGGGAACTTGGTCTACGAGTCTATGGTGATGTGTAGAAGTCTTCGATTGAAGGGGGTGTGGGTGAATTCCGCGTGGACCCTGGTGTTGAACTCTATATCGCACGACACTAATCGTGTAGAGTCAGGAAGCTTTCCCCGCTCGAGTCAAATCGAGGGCATCATTAATCAAGCTGAAAACGGAAAATCCGAGTGATGAACAGGAGACGGCAATGCGAAAGCTTGAGCGGTCGTCATGAGAGCTTGGGAAAGGTTCGCGTCGAATGATGATTTGTTTTGATGTCGACATCTCTGGCCTTCCTGGTCATGTATGGTCCGCGAATCTCATCCGCCCAATATGGGGCATTTGAAAGGACCTTGGTTGGACTGCCTCTCCTGGCGCATCCAACGTCTTCAAATCTGGAGTGTGCATATGAAAAGTTCTGTGGTATGAAACTGTCAGCGATCCAGGAAAGATTAAAGAGCAGTGTAAGTCCAACGTCAACTTGTGCTTCATCAAACAGTCCATCATGCTTGACAAAAATGTAGACTGGTAGCGACGACAGCAACATCGAATAAGATTGTTGGATGGCAGAGTAAATGATCTTCAACTAGCGCCACTAACTGTGGTGGGTGATGTTGGCGTTGAAAGTTGGAGAAGTGCCCAAGAGACCTTGCCTCGCTGGGCAAATTACGAGCTAAGCTCTGCCAGGTACGAAAGCACCTTTCCTACAAGCGATGCAGGTGTGCAACGGATTTCAGAGAGAAATGTACGAAATGCGGAAACACCCTGATATATCAGAAATCTCTGAGAACTGATGAACCAAGTACCTTCCTAGGCAAATGTACTACACCTTTCTTTCATAGGATCTCCATAGGAGTCGCACAATTGCTGTCCCGTGTAAAACATCTTTTTTTGCTGAACGTTGAAATAGGATTTAAGAAGCCCGTTTGTTGAATGGCCTTCTTTTGTCTGGGGCAACGCTTGCATGCGATCCATCAGCGCGGATCTGGGGACACAGACAAGGACCTGGACATGCTAAATAGCGATCTTTGTCAAACCAGAACTATCTGGTAGTCTTGACGCCTAAGAGTAGTGAACGCACTCGCGCGCTTCCTTTGAACACACTTAAAAGTACGCGTGCTGCTACTGTACTAGATGGAGCAAGCAATGGCGCTTCGAAAAACTACTTCTCTGCCAGCCTCCCTGCGAATTTGGAAATGAATTCTCTCACAATGTCATCCTTTGAACATCTTCATCTTTCCTGTTGGTCATGACGCTCACCAAGGCCGAGTCTTCGCCGAATATCCAGAACTCCCACATGTTCCCAACAAGAGACAGACCCCCAAGCTGTGGCAAAAACGAGCATGTCGCGAGTTTGCTCCGCACTCACCGGGAGATGAGGAAGATGGTGTCGAGGCGGAATAATAATGATACCTCTCCTTCTGCTTAGGAAGGGAAGAGGGCTGTTGATGGCTCTGCCCCCAGAGAGGGCGGTCGGATGTGGATATGGATCCCTGTCGCTTACAGTACAGTAAGAACTGGACGATAACCTTACAACCTCGAATTTCTTCGCATCACAACATATTGCCAGGGGATCCGCGATCAAACGACTCAACGGCCACGGCCAAGATGAGAACTCCCGCAGTCTCAAGCGTTGCATCACAAACAAGGAAGAAAAAAGACACATCATGAGTGCCGCCCTCGACCGCCAAATCAGAAGTCAACGCGAAAAACATGCCCCTCTATCTCACTTATTACACCTGAGTCATGGACTTCTGCAATGGATGGCTGAAAGATCCATTGCAACGACATCTGACATAACAGCAGCCACAAGACATGCATTGTGGAATACGCGGCAAAAACCGGTCAATCATGCCTCTGCTCGAATT